TTAACTTTCAAGGCTTACTAGACAAACAAATAATTTGGGGCAAATTTTTCCTGGATGGGTCTTGGCTAATTGTCTTAACTTGTTTGCCAAATGACCCTGTCCACCATCTTAATCACAGAGATTTTACAGCTCTCGGATTTTCCGTTCGATGCGTCGAAGAATTTTTTTTTTCATTTGCACTTCACTATACTACTGAGTGCGAAAAGACTGCGATTGGCAAACCGGATTCTGGGTTTGGAAAATGTTTAACTTTTTAACCAAAACGCTAAAGAGTGGTCGCGGGCATTAAAATGTCAACGGATGCGTGCACCACCCACCAATCGAAACAATGGCGTCCGTCGGCGTTTGTGAAATATATCGTAAATAAAACGTTTTACGCGCACACTAGACAAGGATTATGCCACGGTGCGTGTGGTCTTAACACATTGATTTACAATGCCCGATTATCACGGCTCCGTCTCCCTTCAAACACAAAAAAAGTCACCACTCAGATAAGCTTAAATTAATCTGCGTAAAAATGCCGATGCCCGGTTATTGAATGTTCGCTCGTAAACTTCGAGAGTTTAGGAGATTAGTTTACGAGTATCGCCTTTAAGTACCGATGATCGTGATTTTTAATGCTATGGATGTTCGTTTGACGGTATTCCTTTTTTTTAAAAGATGGGATCGATAATGGGAACGAAATAATATATTTCTCTTATAGAAATATCTCAAAAAAATATGTAAAATACCAAATTACGCACCGATCTGGCGTGCGGGAAGCGTCACTTTACCACGTCAGTTTCGTTTCCCACGGATCCGAGCCAGTTCGGACATTTCCGGGATTTTCACCGCACGGGTTTGGGAGCAATCGGATGTTTTCGCAGATATTTCCCACGCTTTGAATTTTAACGCGTTGCTTTGCGAAAATGTAAGCAAAAACTAACGGTCGTAGAAAAAGTATAGTATGCAACACGTTCGGTAAACTTTTTAACTCACTCGTTTATTAAACACTCGCTCCGCTCGTGTGAAATAAACTCGTCAAATATATATATATATATATATATATATATATATATATATATATATATATATATATATATATATATATATATATATATATATATATATATATATATATATATATATATATATATATATATATATAATGATGACGCTATATTCCGGGATATCATCCGTTCGCTCGTTGAACTCCGACTGGAATCCTGCAAATCTTGCATTCGACTGGAATCCTGCAGACGTTTCGCCAAAATCTCACTTGGCATCTTCAACGCTCGCGCTCCGAAAACACTTCGAACACTGGGAGGTTCTCGGCGGTGCGTGCGGTATTTATACTCTGCGCCGGAGATGGTAAAGGTGCTGCTTGTGCGTGGGGGGAGGTGGCTCCGCCCCCTGAATTGTCGCGTTGTTAATTTCGCCCGATCGTAGTTGCGATGTCCCCGTTGGCTGCTGCGCATCGCTCTGCTGTTTGATTATCGTTCTCCACGTGTTGGATAAATGCAGAGCGTCGTCTCTCGTATTGAGGTGTCCGGACTTTTCTATTTCGATGGCCTCTCGTATAATCCTAGTCCTAAAATCAGGAATATTAGCTATTTGTTTGCAAGTGCCGAAATCAATTTTATGGCCTGTCTGATGTTGGTGCTGAAACAAAGCAGATGTTGTTTGTTTGTTTCTTATGGCTAAACGATGTTCCTCGAGCCTGGCTGAAATCCTTCTGTTCGTCTGTCCCACATACGTCAGGCTGCACGATCCGCATGCTACACTGTATACTCCTTGATTTTCCAGAGTAATTTTTTTGTTTTGGGTTTCTTAGTATTGCTCCGATGGTATGGTCAGGTTTGTATGCCGTTGATATGTCGTGTTTCCGTAATATTCGGCCGATTTTGTCAGTAACCCCCTTGATGTATGGCAGGACAGCGATCGATCTTCGTTGGGTCTCGTCCTGCACACTCTGCTGCGGCTGTTGTTGTTTACTGATTGCCTTGCTGATGGTGCGCCTTTGGTATCCGTTTTGTGGAAGACAGGTACTAATTTTCTTCAGTTCTTTATCTCTGTTCCTCTCGTTTGTGAGCCTGAAGGATCGAGCAATTAATGTATTTGCCACTGCCTGTATCTGTGATGGGTGGTGATGAGATTTAGCGTTCAGATATCTATTAGTGTGTGTTGGTTTTCTATAGACAGTGTGTTCCAAGTGTCCATCTTCGGTCCTTGTGATGTGCACATCTAGAAAGGGCAGACTGTTATCAAGTTCTATTGTAAATTGAATCCTTGGGTGAATGGAATTCAGATGATCTAGGAATTTCAAAAGCTCCTCCTTGCCAAAAGGCCATACAACAAATACGTCATCAACGTATCTTGTCCATAGTTTTGGCTTCACATTTGCCTTCTCTATTGCTTTCTTTTTGAAGTAAATCATGAAGAGATGATCCCATTGCTGCTCCATCTATTTGTCGGTAAATTTTCCCGTTGTGCATAAAGTAAGAGTTTTTCAGGCAATGTCTTGACAGATCCATTATGTATGGCGGAAGATCTTCGTTTTCTTCTATAAGCAAGAGTGCCTCTTCTACTGGAATACTCGGGTAGAGGGATTTGACATCGAAACTTGCCATAATGTCGTCCTTGTCCATCCTGAGAGAACCTAAAATCTGAGTGAAATGTTCTGAGTTTTTAACATAGGAATCTGCCTTTTCCACTATAGGCTGAAGTGCACTGGCCAGATGTTTTTCCAGCTTGCATAATGGTGAGTTAAAGGCGCATATATATATATATATATATATATATATATATATATATATATATATATATATATATATATATATATATATATATATATATATATATATATATATATATATATATATATATATATATATATATATATATATATATATATATATATATATATATATATATATATATATATATATATATATATATATATATATATATATATATATATATATATATATATATATATATATATATATATATATATATATATATACATACTATTCTATAGTCTATTTATTTATGTTCGAATAGCGCACAGCATAAGGCATTCATCAAAATTGCCATTGTTGTGATGACAATTTGGTCAAGTGACGAGGGCGGTAATAGATGCGGCCTAAATATGAACGGTCGCTATGGTAACCATGTAAGGTGGGAAAAAAACAATTCCCTGGAGGGGTATTAAATTATTAACGGGGAAGATTAAAATTGTGATAGTCGTATTACAATTTCGAAGTGTTAAATACAGCAACTGTTTGTGCATTAATAAGAAATATATGTATGTTGGTGGAGACAAAACAGATCTAGGCATATATAGTAAAAAGATATGTCCAAACTTATTTTCGATCTTTCATGTTGCTTCAAAACGAGATTTTTAAATCTTGCACATGTGCATGTACCTCAAAATTTTTTCGTAGTTGCTTCATAAATTCCTTTGTTATCATCATCATATACTTCTAAAAATCTTATTATGTATGTCAACATGTTTGTATCACTTTAAAATGGAAAGAGTGCCATCTATCGCGATATATGCTACCCACCGAGTTAACCCCCTTTCGTCGCCCGAAAAATTCTTTTCTTGGTTATTTTGTTTCTTATTGATTTTAATTATCGAATTTAGAGAACAAGACACGACTACTTTTATTTCCCGTGATTTATTATCACGCACGTTTCGTTAAACGCTAATGGCTCGCATAAAATAAAAATCCGCCTGAGACGACACGGAAAAAAAAGGGGGACACATAAAGCGAAGAAAAAAACGAAAAAGCGAAAATTGCGCCGGAAAGTAAATCGGCAGCCGGCTGCGGAGGGCGACGTTATAAAACGCGAAAAGCAATTTGCATTAGATTATTTATTTAAATAACTGCAAATTGAATGCGGAGTTTTTGCTTATGTCAGAGCGTGGCTTCGGCGCCTGTCCCGCTTTCCGGGACAAATTTATTTTTACCCGATGGATTTATTATCGGTTTTATTTTTCGTCGATGTCGCTTTGGCGCGAAAAGGGACTACGCACACCCACGAAATAGCGAATTGGAATACGCCATACAAAATGTATATATAAGGTGTTCCTTTTATTACCTTATTCTCAGTCGTTTAAAATAACATTTATTATTATTATTATTATTATTTTTATTGTTATTATTATTATTAATTTTCGTAGACAAGTGATAAATTTAGTCGTATTTCAAATTTGACATTATAGACCAAAAGTGACGTTTGCAGCTCTGAACACGTTTGTTACATATTTGAGGTTATTATAGTTTCGTGTATTGATATTATAAAAATAAATAAATAAGCACAAGCTGATCAAAAACTAACATTAAAAATGCTAAAAATCGTCAATTCGTTTTCTTCCAATTGACACACACCCCATTGTCGTTTTTTTTTTTAATTTTATTGAAAATAATAAATCATCTTTTCAATTTAGTTCTATTTACTATTAGTATTTTTGCCATTATTTAGGTTTTTTTTGAAGTACCACACAAAATCATTGTTTTGTATTGAAGTAACAGTTAATTAATTTCCAAAGTCACAGTCAGTCAAGGAGGAGGCGTTTCTGTAGTGCTCGATCGTTTCTCTTTCGTTTTACTCGAAACCTACGACTGTTTTTATTCGGAAACGAAATGAATAAGAATTTAACGTGCGACACCGCATATTTAAGGTAATTGTATAAAAACTTGTATTTCAATATAAGGTAGCTTTATACGATATTTTCACACCTCGCACACAGTTTTTTTTTATGTTTCCGTGTTTCCAAAGACTCAGTCATAATAAAAACTACTGCAGAGAAAATTGGTGTTTACTGTTAGGTATTTAACATACTTTTAAATAATTAAACTAGACACTTCGAAATAAACTGTATTTTTTTATATGGGACACGAGATCGTACGACATGATTTATCGCGAGATTGCTGCAAATTTAACCTTAAAAGAAAAGTACACTACATTTACGGTATTTACATTTTTCTGAGTTAGTTTATTTTTTGTTGCAGGGATACCTGGACCCGTGGCGTGGTGATCCTGAGTGTCCACTGGCAGAACACTTACATCACCTATTTAGCAATATCGAAGAAGTATACGAATTCAACAGGTGACCACCAGATTTGTTTCAATTAAATTAACCCATATTATCCCAAGCATAAAAAAATCTTTTTTGCTTTGAAATTATTTATTTTGTTGCACTTAGGAATACATTACATGTGTCAAAAAAAAAAACTCGAAACATACAAAAAAAATACTGGTGCGTAAACAAACCACAATATAATTTATACATAAATATACAAAAGAAATTTCAAATTCGACCGAAAACAACTAAAAGTAGATTTTTTTCCAAATAGAATCTGATTTCATACAAAAAACGCATAATATTTCATGGTGCGTGAGCATCGGATCAGGGTTTCATCATCTGATGAGTCCCATTCAGGTTCAGTAGTTCATGAATTACAAGACTGTTGAAGGACAGCTGTATCATTCGGTGTATGTAACTCGAAAGTTCCAACTATATCGGTTGGTTCTCTAAACTCTTGTAGATTCATATCATCGTTCATATCCTCTTCGTCAGTAAAGGTAAAGGTATTCACGTCGGGTTGAATATAGACCTCGTCAATATATTTTGTAATTTTTTTTTCAGCATAAATTTACCAAGAATCGAATGCTACAATACATAAGAATACGTAAATCCATTTTCATTGTTATTGTCCTCATCCATCACGGTCTTCTCAATAGCCGCCTCTAATTCCTTTTGAGTCAAATACCTCGGAAATGCCACGTTTTACAAACTGTAACGTTCACTGCACAAGGCACATGCGCTGACTTGTCTAGACTTGCAATAACGAATACGAAAACGAAATTTTTTTCAATGTAAAAAACTTAAAATAATTGAGGCGAAATAAAAAAAAAACAACTCTTTTCAGATCGTTCCTGGACGAGCTGCGCGTGGCCAACTGCGACCCCACCAAAACCGCCAACGTGTTCCTTCAACACGATTCCGGGTTTTCAGTGTACAACGAGTACTGCGCACATTACCCGCGTACCATGGAGGTGCTCGGGAACCTCCAGAGAGACGAAAAGATGGCGCCCCTATTCAGGGAGAAGCAGCAGCTGCTCGGGCACGCGTTACCCATCGGTTCGTACCTCCTCAAACCGGTACAGAGGATTCTCAAGTACCACCTTCTGCTTCAGGTACGGCGAAACTCAAAACATCAAAATTATAGGTTTCCTTTTAAAAATCCACTCGTAGCAAATCATTTACCATCATTTATATCATAAGATTTTCAAATTTGAACTCAACAAACAAACTCAGATTATGTCTCCTCGTTTCAGTAGGGATGATAATAATAATAAGAATAACCTTTATTTTTTTGGATCTATAAATGTTAGTACAATGTTTAATGAAAGTTGTGTTGAAATGTGCAAAAAATAGATGATTGGAAGCAACTGAAAAGAAGATCAATGTTTAAATCCTTGATCAGCAGAATTTAAATTTGTCCTTGTACGGACTACTGTAGAACTTTCGCAAAATCGTTGTACTTGAATTGTGCATAAGATCTATTAGAATTTTTTGCCCACAAACGATGTACCCTGTATATAACTCCAACAAATAGGGGCTATAGCTCTGGATCTCCTTAATATCCTGGTTTCCGAATTTTTACAATGGAGTAAATGGTTTCCAAAAAAATCCTTGTTTTCTGAAACCATGCAGTACGTGGTAAGAGTAAATGACGTCATCGCGACTACTTTGCGGGCGAGAAATGGTGATTTACAGTTCGATTTTTTCAAATATCTCGAACAGCGTATCTGATGGACGAAAACCGTAAATACAAAAATTGTAGCCCTTGATACGGCCTATGATACTGTTTGAACGGATTAGCTATTTTTTGTACGAATTTTGATTTACGGTTATTAATTTATTCTCTAAAAGAAGAATTTTTAGGGTATTTTTTTTTTTGAGGAAAAGATGTGTGGAACTTATTATGTTTTTTAATATTGCACGGCATATCGCCAACACCCTGTACAATACTTAAAAACCTTAAATACAAAAATTTTAGCTGTCTATATGGACTATATCGTCGTGTAAGAGAAACTAACATCTAAAATGAAATGAAATGACCGCCAATTTTCAATAATTTTTTCATTTTTTCAAATTTGCAGCGCACCGTTTATATTTTTGAAAAACAGTCTCTTTTGTAGACCCTTGCACAAGCGATTTTTATTTTTTTTTTTAATATTTATCGACCCCCGCCCCCGCCATTCTCAATAGGTTACGTCACAGGACAACACTGCATATATGTGCCAAATATGAAGTCGATTGCTTCAAATTTCGGACACTTATCGTGGTTGATAGCGAGGCCATTTCTTACAAGCTAATGTATCACGTGGAGGGTTAAAAACGAGGCAAATTTCAATTTTGTAGCTCCAACGGTTCGAAAGTTACAAAAGTACGGACCTGTTCGGCCATATTCGACTTTAACTTCAATGAACGGTTCGCCTCAACAACACCATGCAGTTAGTGACTTCGTTTTTTTTTTTTTTTATTACTGGGAGCCCCTTTTCATTCCATTTGTGAAGAAAGATTTTATTATTATTATTATTATTATTATTATTATTATTATTATTATTATTATTTCAGAGGCTCTCCAAGCAATGCGAGGTCCAGCACAAACCTGCCGTCGATTTGGCACTGGCGACGATGACCGGCATCGCCACGGACATAAACAACATGAAGAGGAAACACGAACACGCGGTAAGGGTTCAAGAGATACAATCGCAGCTTTACGGATGGAACGGGCCGGATCTAACCACGTTCGGCGAACTGATCGCCGAGGGAACGTTCAGGGTGCAGGGCGCCCGTGGCAGGAGGCACGTCTTCCTTTTCGAAAGAGTTCTCCTGCTGGCGAAAAGCAAGCAAGACGGCGCCCTGGCGTACAAGACTCACATTATGGTAAGTCTAGATTCTATATTTTTTTATTTATTTGTATTGTTTATTTTACCTACGATATTTTACGTAACTGAAAACGAGATGTATGGCATAATAATAATAATAATAATAATAATAAATGATAATAATAATAATAGTAATAAATAATAAAGTAAATAATTAAGAACATAAATAAATAATTACCAAATGAAATAGGTAAACACCGCTATAATTATTTCAAGGTAAGCTACAACCAAAATACAAAAAAAAACAACAAAAACAAAAAACTTTTCTATGAATTATGTTTAAAACATATCCAAACTTTGCCAGACCACTTATTTCTACCATTAAATTATTTTGCACACTTTGCGTGAAATTTAGTCTTATTTTTTTCACGACGTTTTGTCGTTTTTTTTTTGTATTTTAGTTGTAGCTTACCTTGAAATAATTATAGGCCTTACGGTTAATTTTTATAAGTTTCTTCGTGATATGTGCAAAAGTAGCGACGACTAAAATTCGTCCTTAATTAAATTTTCCTTTGTGTATTTTTTTTAGCATTTTTTGTTTTTACATAATTCGGTGTTTACCTATTTCATTTGGTAATTATTTATTTATTTTCTTGACTATTTACTTTATTTATTACTATTATTATTATTATTATTATTATTATCATTTATTATTATTATTATTATATGATATATGATTAAAAATGAAATAAATAACGTTATTATTATAATTTAAAACAATAAATATTTAAGTTGTTTATATGATACTTTATAATAGGTGCCAAATAATTATAAACATGTAGGTAAGACTTGAAATAAAACTTGAAAATAATAATTAAAGCTATTTCCAGAGTTTCAGTTCAGTTAAAACCTAAGATTTCTATGTTTATTGCTGTGAATTGTGACATCATTCCTGCATTATATCAGTTAACGTTAATAGAAGTGGATACAGTTTTTCCTATCATATACCTTGGGCCTGCATCAAACCATAAATGACCTCTTTGAAGTTTATCGCCAATTACATTAATTAATTATAAACGTTTAAAGATTTGAATGGATATGGCAAATCCAAAGTGAAACATAATTGCAGTGTTCGAATCTGATGCTGGTCGAACAAGTCCGCGGGGAACCGTTATCGTTCCAAGTGTTGCCGTTCGACAACCCGAGACTGCAGTGCACCCTCAGGGCGAGGTCGCCCCACCACAAGCGCGAATGGACGTTGCAAATCAAACGGGTGATATTGGAAAATTACAGCGCCGTGATACCGAATCACGCGCGACAGTTGGTGATGCAGCTCGGCCAGGACGTTCACGACACCGCCGGTAAGTTATACGGGGTGTTTCGCATAAGTGTTCCATGTGTTAAGCCTTTATCGCCAAAAATTTCAAAGCCTCGAAGGGAAAGTGGATTCATTTGAGTTGTACTGCAACTTTTGTCGGAAAGGATGTTAGTGCCCAGTATCGAGGTATTACGGCAATTCAACATTTGTGGAATACGATGTGTTCTAAACTTACTAAATGATGTAAAAACGATAATATCATTGTACGAGGTGTGTTCAAAAAGTAACGTGAAAATTAATGTCGAACCCCCTAGCACATAATATTACACTTGTGCCGAAGTTTTTTCCAATTCTAAAAGCACTTTCTGGCATAGAATTGATTTCTCCAGCGATTTTTTCTTCGTCTGCACAACCGTTCCAAACCTCCTTCCTTCCTCCTTCTTTTCATGAATATGGTCGCTGAGACATAATTGTGTGGTAGAACCTTGTGGTAAGAATTCCTGCTGTACTATGCCACGATAATCAAACAAAACAGAAAGCAAATCATTGACATTAGATCGAACCTGACTTGCTTTTTTCGATCTTGGCGATTCTGGGTCCTTCCATTGGGCCGATCGGGCTTTGGTTTCGACGTCATAACTATATACCCGAGATTCGCATATCACGACGATGCTTTTGTTCAAAATTAAGCAGTTTCGGAACAAATTTTGCTGCTTCACTTTTCATGCCCAAAACTTCGAAAAAAATTGCATAGAACGAGCTAATAGAGATGTCGAAGTCTTCAGCCACTTCTCTAATAGTGATTCGACGAACCTTTCACCACCATGCTTTGGCGTCCAGAGCCAGGTACGTCATGGGCATTTCCTCGGCCATCTTGAACACCTTGTACCGCTTATAAACATTTTTTTTTATCCAAGTAGATTCACCAGATGCCGTTATCGACATTTCAAGTGTTTTGCAGCACCATATTTCATTTTTTGTACAAAATTTTAGGCAAATTCTTTGTTTCATTTTTTTTTGACAGCAGAAAATCGCCGGGCACGCAAAACAAGTCCAATAATTCTGTCTCACAAAAAAGAGTAAACCTGCGAACTGGCTGAAACCGTGAACATATGTTGCAAAAAAAATATCGAATTACAAAAGTCATCTTACTTTTTGAACCCGCCTCGTATACACTGTAGAAAGACAACAATAAGGCAAACTTGGTTAAATCGGTCTTTTGATTCTGCGGAACATTAAAAACTAGAACACTGCGGAATGTGTATATTGTTTGCATGTTGTATGAAACTCGATAAGGAGTTCTGTATGTTAAGTTTTTGGCAAAATTCTCTCGCCGCCGAATCACCAACATTACCATTCTCAATAAAGTGCTATAACATTTTTTTTTAAATATTCAATTTTATACTCCCGTCTGTAAAATACCCAATTACACACTGATCTAGCGTGCGAGAAGCGTCACTTCACTACGTCAGTTTCGTTTCCCAGGAATCCGAGCCACTTCGGACATTTCCGGGATTTTACCGCACGGGTTTGGGAGCAATCGGATAATTTCGGAGATATTTCCCACGCTTTGAATTTTGACGGTTATCAGTTCTGACAATTGACAAAACAATTGGAAGTTTGACGTTAATAGAACTTTTAATAAATATGCCACAATTGTGCGTATTCACAGACATGTTCGTTAATATTTTACCAATCACCAGTATTTGTCGGTTTACGTCTCTACGATCCTCTTCCAGTTTAAAAAACTTCTTAAAATGTTTGTATCTATGCCGTTTAATAAAAATAATTTCCTTCTGCTACAAACAAAACAAGATATATATGTCAATGTAACAATCAAAATATACTTGAGTTATTTACCTTTCTTGTCTCTTATTTTTTGACTCGAAACTAACTGTTCGGAGAATTCCGTACAACTGGTGTGTTATACAAATTGGAAACCCCACTTTCCTAGGGTGTAACTTTTAGCGTGTACTTAATAATAATGGTAAGTACAGGGTGAGTGAAAAATGTTAAATTTTAAAGTTGTAAATATTGTTAGGATGCATAATTCGCAATTATTTTAAAGTATACAGGGGGGCTCAAAAACGCGTGACGAATAGAACATATATTTTTTAATGTAATGCCCTGTTTTAAATTTTTATTAAAACTTGATTTGAATTATGTCCTAGATCCATGTATATTATTTTTCCTGAAAGATCTTACAAAAAAGTACAACTTTTGTTAAGTATGTAATATACCTATTTTTAATACTTTGCCATTTATTTCAAATTTTCCAATATTTGCTCATCTTTCGGTCTCAAAATTCTCTCCTGCTTCGTATGCTGAGAGCTGCAAACCTTCATTGCTTAGATGCGGAACCGTTCACAATCCCACATGATTCTTTAGATGTTAGATTTTTGGATCGACATTCGCAATTTTTTCTCGACTGTATTAAGTGTAGTACAAAATTTATAAATAAATAAATAGAATAATTCTATATCAATTCTACATAAATAAATAAAACTTTTTCTTTGCGTTCTCAACCGTTCACAATCCCACATGATTCTTTAAATGTTAGATTTTTGGATCGACATTCGCAATTTTTCTCGACTGTATTAAGTGTAGTACAAAATAAATAAATAAATAAATAGAATAATTCTATATCAATTCTACATAAATAAATAAAACTTTTTCTTTGCGTTCTCAACCGTTCACAATCCCACATGATTCTTTAAATGTTAGATTTTTGGATCGACATTCGCAATTTTTTCTCGACTGTATTAAGTGTAGTACAAAATAAATAAATAAATAAATAGAATAATTCTATATCAATTCTACATAAATAAATAAAACTTTTTCTTTGCATTCTCAACGTATAAGATTGGTCTATTTGTTGCGTTTTAAATTTAATTTTTTTTTCTATGCTATTGTCTAAGCATAGAGACAATAAATAAATAAACAAGGAATTTTCCCGTACTCTTTATCGGTTCTTATGCGAAACACCAACCAACGTCGCCGTCGCGTTTCGTTTTTTGTCGACGTCACGCTTACCGCCTTCCGTTTGGTTTAGAAGATACATCTGAACGATGGTCTCCTCTAAAACCCCATTCGCCCACGCCGCATTATTTGGAACGTCGTTGCAGAGTACGAAAAACCAGGGATTTTTCTGGGCGGAGGGCCTCTTCGCAGGACCGCTCGTTTCCTTCGTTGGGCAGCTGGCGTAGAAAATCCGAACCGAGCATGATCCCGCAGCAGTACAACGTGAAGACGATGCCGAAGAAAATAACGAAACTGAAGAAAACGAAGGAGGGCTCCTCGTCCGGGGGCGGCAGCTCGACGTTTTACACGGACCTTTCGGATTCGGAAACGGCCGCCGAGTCGGTTGAACGGTTGATGACGGAGGACGTCGTCGACGAGGGGACGGCGAACGCGCAAGCCAAGAACGGCAAAAGTATCGAGAACAATCTGGAGAAGATCGTCTCCGAATTGCTGATGCAGAACCAAGAGTTCCACAAGGTAGGTCTAGTGTGGTGACTACGGAGGGCTAAAAAGAAGGCGATAAATCGAAGTCATATTTATCCGGATCTTCTAAACTAGCGGCACAAACTCTTCTTCTAAACTCTAAATTCACTCAAAAATTTCACGCGATTGTGTTTCGCAAGAATCTTATAAGATACAAACTACCGAAATTCCACACTTGAACTATTATAAAAGTAAGGTCGGAAAATTTTATCGATGCCGTCCCCTTCTAAAAGCTCCCTCCGCGGTGGCGACATCTAACGTCCCGTTGTCAGAGTTAACCCGGCGGCACATTTTCCACGCTTTTTTCGTTTTGCACTAAAAAAAACTAACATGCACACTCGTGCGGGGAACGTGGATTCTCCATTTTTAGGTATTCAACAGGGAACACGTGAGGCACCCGCGACGCAACATCAACAGCGAACCGGGACCGATTTGGTATGAGGAACCGCCCCAGTTGCCCAGCAAGGCGGACTCGCTACCCAGATCTTTCCAGCTCAACGATCAAATTGAGGACGGCGGGGGGAGTAGGAACGATTCGATGTCGAACGGCGAGTCGTTGAAAGAGAGTCCTGAAGTGTGCGTCGAGGAACAACACGAAAAGTAAGTTATTAATTGTTGCCGCTTAGGATGGTCACTGTGCCCCTCCCATTTTCCTTATTCTCACCTCATTCCCACTTTAAAGAATATAACCAAATACAATTGATCCGATAAATAAAAATTTTAAACCGTTGGTCACTTGACATGACATTAATAAATTGTGTAAACATTTCATTTGGAAAAATGAAATTATTTTTAGTATACGTGTGGTGCCAATAGGTTTTGGTTGTCCCAAGTTGTTTTGTTTGGTAGTGTAAAACCAATCGATACAGCTTTCCTGCCAACGGCCATGTTACGCCGCTAGGTCTTATTGATTGGTTTTGGTGTTAGTTGAAAACGTGATTTCCAACGGTCACTCACGTGAGATAGTTTCTCTACATTTTTTCTGTATTATCAGCGTAGCTCTATTTAGCTCTGTTGTTTTTCTAAATCGTTAAGTTGGTCAATTTTTCAATTTGACTTTTTTTTTGACGCTCCACATTGTAGACAAGGTCTATGTAAAATGGTATATCTACACACTTCTTGTCGTCATAAATCTCACCTGTTACACACTGTACCGTCCTCTATTTTTTTTTAATTCTCCATAGTTCTCTATTAAAAAGAGGAAAAATACTTTCTTGTTCATATAGAGACAGGAAAATTATCGTTCTAGCACCGTCTACTACAAAAAACTTAATAATATTTTTGACTGGTTTTTTTGAGTGTTATACAGCATTGGATATTTTCTGCGCCATCATCATTTTTTTGATTTGTTTCTCGTCCTTTAAATATACTTTCCTCCAAAGGGATCCTCAAATTTCTAAGTATCTCTGAATGAACACATTAAACTTTTATCTATTTATTTATGTATACCTAAATATACAAAACTGTTCTCAGTGCCAAAAATAACAACCAAAAATGATAATTAGATCACAGGCAATCTATATTCCTAAATTTTTACCTAAATAAAATGGATGTAATATTATTACAACCTGCAAGTATTAAAAAAAAAAAAAAAAAAAAAAACAATATTAAATGAACGAAAGTAATTGCATGAAATGGCAGAATATATGTGGCAGAGGGGGGTTATGTTAAATCGAGCGAGGTCTCAAGGTTGGTGAACAGTTAGAGAGTTTTTTTATGCTCATTGGCAGGCAACTGTAGAGCTTCCAACTCACAAGCTCTGTCCAGTTTGATATGTGTGCTCAGCTTTTATTTGCAAATTCGTGCTCTTGTGTAAAAAGTGACAGATGCTATAGAAAAATGACATTCTAATTTGTAGAGCTGGTTACACCACAACTATAGTGTATTGCAAAATAGATTCAACCAATGCTTCATAGACGAATATCAACAAATTTTGTTCATAGCATGAATCGTCGTTCGCTGTGACCTCACCTCCAAGGTTCCTCCTTCCCCCCAGTTTTGCCCCCATCCGACACATCCCGATCAAAAGTGACCGTCTATCTCGGGACTCCGTCCAACGCGTCTATAACTATGGCTCCCTTCCTTTAAGCGATCTCTCGTCGCGGTTAGACGACACCGACCATCCGGAGCACAAAATCTACCGCAAATCCGCCATACGCCTGAGTATTCTCCAAAGGATCCGGATGATCATGTCGGAAGAACAGAGGCGCAACAACAAGTATCCCTTACGTAAGCAAGGCTCGAAGAGTATGGGAGAAAAGATCGCTCATCCCGACTACGAGGATCCGCAGAAACTGCTACTCCATTCCAGGAACGCCAGTTCGGTCAACTTGACGACGGTCGAACCTGACGATATTATGGGGGACAGGGTCGAGCTTGACATGAGTTTCAACGAGAAAGAAGTACTTAAAGAGATCGAGAGTCGCTTGAACGAGACGCCTAGTCATGCGGAAAAACCGGAGAGCAGTTTGGATTCTAGTCAAAATTCCGATAGCTATTACGAGAGTATACTGGACGATTCCCTGACCGAAGAATACGTCAGGGACAGCAAAACCGGGAAGCTGGTAGCGAAGCAGGACAGTTTCAGCACAAAGTCGCCCAAGCCGCTTAACGCAAAGAGACCAATTATTAAGAGGCCGACGAAAGCGCCACCTCCGATACCCGCCAAACCTCAAAGACTATCGAAACACGGAACCAATGAGACAATAAGAGCGCCTAGTTGCGATAAAGACACGCCCCAAAGTCCGAACTGCGGGGCCGTGCAAACCAGCTGGGTGAAGGCCATGGTCGGACGGTTCGAATGATACGTCCGAAACGCGCCCACATACCACGTAGTATGAGACTAATGCAGTATGTTAGGTATTTATTTACTCCGTTACATTCTTAGGGTAATCCGCAGTTCTCGGAACCCACCATAACATTAAATAGGAATTTTATTAATAACAACTTTTTTACTTCCACGGATTAACGTTCAAAAACATTTTTGATGTCGTTAATTCGCGTGTTGATTATTTGTTTTTTTAATTAAAGTCATTTTTCCATTGTGCTATATGAATGGGGCTGTTAACGTTACGTATTGCAAAGTATACGTCGCACGGAACGTGTATTTTTATAAAATACACGTTACGTTTTCCGAGTTGTTAGATTCCGAAGACATATTTTTAGGTTAAGTTTTGTGTACCGTCACACCAGAACAATAAAATGAGTCTGAGAGTTTACAATAATCGTTTAAGTCCACTTAAAATATTTATATGAAAGTTTTAAAAGTGCCAAATAGAGTGTATTTTAAAATTTAACTGAATAAATTATTGTTGAATTATAAGTACTAATAGTTTTGTAAAGATGTTAAATAAAATTATATTCATAAAATTATTGTGGGTTTTTGATATTTCACCTCGGTCTTAACTAAAATAAGCAAATAATTTAACAAAGCACAAATTTTTAGACATATTACACAAAGTCCCAAACAATTCGAAGAACGGGGCTTGTTTTGTTTTTGTCGCCGCACCCGGTTCTAATACTAAAATGCTCGTTGTCGACATTAAACGCTTATGCTGAGCTTACGTCGCAGATGTAGTCTGGGATATTGGCCCAGTGTCCGAAAGTTACCAAGGAGAAGATTACTAAGTTACCCTTCATATTCTGCCTATTCTAGATAGTTGGCTTTGGCGACTGAAAAGTGACGCTATTATCTATGTTTTTTGATTATGTTTCGTGAAAATGCGTAGAAAAATTGTTTGAGGCATCGGACAGATGTAGCGCAATGTGTGATTCAAATTAGGGTACTTGTCGGTGGTCGATGATTTTGTGGAGCATGCAGGGAAACACTTTCAGGCAGCATATCAGGTGAGTGACATAAACTTAGATCTTATTTACAAAATTTATCGATTGTGTTGGCTAGGGTCATATATAGGGGCGCAACACTTCCAGTTCTTTTTTTATTTTTCACACAATAGGATATCCTAACTTTATTACATTAAATATTTAGTATGGTTCAATTAGAACTAACGAATTTGCACCTCGCTCTGAACTTAGAGAAAGTTTCGTGTTTGTCAGGTAGACCAATGAGCTGTTTTTAGAGTTTCTGCTGATTTTCGATTTCAATCGCTTTTTCCATTTGCTGCTAATCTATAAATTATCGGTGCCTTTTTACTTTATTGCTATGCAAAAATTTTAAGTTCATTTTGTTTTTAGTATTTTCCCTTAATAAAAAAAACAAAATTTTAAAAATGCCAGTATGTAATTATCCAGGTAATTATGAAATACAAATTTGGTTGGACCATAACCCATTATAAGAAATACAATGATTAAATTAAAGGAACTTTACAGGTGGAATGTTTAATTTAGATTGTTTGGAGTAAGTATTTATTCAACCTAATGACTCTAAATTATTTCTCTAACTGTAACAATTTAATATAGACAAAATTGTTGTATTGAAAATAATTAAAAGCGCCCATATCCTAAAAATATCACTCATATTACAGTATAACTTCAAATTTATGTTAGTTATGGTTGCAATTAACAGAACCATCTGATAAGAAGGCCATGAACGCCCACGCAGAAATCTGCTTGGCACCTGAAGAAGAAGAATGGTTGCTATATCAGGTCGACGTTTTCATTGAGACACACACCCTGTGTGTAATGCCATAATTTTGGTGTGATGTATCCATACAAGTTTTCTAAATCTCAAGAAGAAGAAAAAAATTAAAAAACAAAATTTTGTAAAATAAAAATTTCCTAAACATTTTAAAAATATAATTTTATAACTAATTTAATTATTTCCATTTTAATACTGACACTGAGAAATCCATTAAATCTTTGTGAAATCCGGGAAATCTGTGAAAGCCCATGATTGTAATCTGGTGTACCAATTTTGGTTGGTGATTTGCCCCTTGGATGTAATTAAAAGAAAATTATCTTGAAAATAGAAAAAATATCTTTATATGCGCCATCTTGTGTTTTTTAATCTAACATTTAATGTGCCCGCATACCGTTTATTTTAAGGTTTCTGTTAATGCTTTCGTATTTATAAAATGTCTATGTTCGGGGGTGAAGAGGATTTACTTTTTGGAAACTGACAAAACCGAACATCAACATAGGGCCTTGGACAGGTTTTTGAATTTTATGATCGTCTTTTATATAAAATAAAATATTTGTGTATAAGATGTGCGTTTTTTTATGATCCTTTCTTGAAATATATAAGGAAGTCGATTTTAGCCCGCATATTTCTTCACGTGCGTGCAAGGTTCAGCAACAGACAGCGCCATTATTGGTACCCCAGCAACTGTAGCATATGTGCGCCATCTATGTGAACGCAATAGATGACGCCACTATAGTGCGCGCGCGCTATCTATGGGTGTTTGCGTCAACTAACTAGTTTCATGGCTTCGCAATAGATGGCGCTATTGTTAAGCATGCGTGCAATCTATGCAGAACTTGCTTCAACTAATTAGTCCCCCGCTTTAGCAACAGATGCTACCGCCATGGGGGGTTTACACAACTAGTTTCGCTATTTAACGATAGATGGCACCACTTTCAGGTACTTGTTGGAATTAATTAGTTCCATGATCTAGCAAGAGATGCCAATATGGCTTCTGCGCGTCATCTATGGGACCTTGACTTAAGTAATTAATTCCTTGGTTCAGCAAGAGATCGCGCCACCATTATGCATGCCCGTCTTCTATGGGAGCTTCCTTGAACTAATTATTTTCATGATTTAGAAAGAGATGGCGAAGACGATATTCATCAACTGTCCGTTTCCATTACACAATTCATAAAAAAAGTAAACATTGTACATTGAAGTATATTTTAATGTAAAATACGAAAATTGTCAAAATATATAAGATTCAATAAAGCGGTTTCTTTTTAAATTATTAAAATTTCAAGTCTTTCTTAGAATAGTGTTACGGGTACATGTTCATTTGACATTTTTAATTTGAAATCGCCTGATCAACACACTCCAAAGCTATGACAGTCATGCCGTAGGACGTCCTGTATATAGCAAGAGGCAAATCGTAGCCGCTGCCACCTTGTTGTAAAACTTTACACTCTGTATGTCAGCAATTATAATTTTTTCTCAAAGTTTTACCTTTGAGGGTTTCATGTGCCTTATCTATCATTAGAAATTTCCCAGATTTCGCTTCTTTGTCAGGGTCAAATTGTTTGATTAAATACTGAATCTTTTGCTTCAACTCAGATTCGGCTGCGGTCTGCCTATATCGCAAGACTGTACAATTTCCGCTACTTGCAAGAACTGGTTAATTAATTGTAAGTTAAGTTGGTTAGTGGGTTAAACTTTGGAAAAAATATATTTTTTAATTAATAGGTTTTTGGTGTTTTTTATTTTAGGTTTAATCAGCCCGTTGTAAGCACACGGAAAATATGACAGAAATTTTATTAATCGCAATGGGTTTCATTTGTTTCTGCTCTGCGGATATTCCCTTGGCTTTGATTTTTGACGGGTATCGTATAATTTTAGTAAATATTACAGAATAATGTTCGTGCGGCTTTTGTTCAGGACTGACATGAACATGGGCGGCGTGGGGAATCTTAGTCATATCATATAGCGCAGCACGAAAAGTCCTTGAGAACTCTCCTTGTTGGTTGGTGACCTGGCTAGCAAATTCGCGACGTCGTCGGGATTTTCTCAAGAGTCTTTGCAAACAAATTATTCGCTTGACTTATGGCAAAGTTGGAAAAATAACAATTGTCAACCAAATTTTTGGATGGTAGGAAAATGATGATGAGTATTCCTCATATATGCTAAATTCTTTCAAGCATGTTTCGCCTGATCCTTCAAGCAACTGTGGGCCGTATAAACCAACTGATACCCAGTATTCATGCCATTTCATACGAAGTATTGCGCAAAATATTTCGTATAAGGTTGTGCACAACTTTATTTTAAATAACGAAAGACATCGAGACCTAATCTAATTTTTTAACGTAACTAACCAAAACTTATGACGTTAAATGTCAAATAAAGTCAGAGAAACGAGGTTATAACACCATGCCAATTTCTACATGTATTTCTGCAGAAATTGAAATATAGAACCAAGAAAATTAAAACCTATTATAAAACGAGCCAATAAACAATTTGTCTACAAACTATGTTTCAGTATGTAACCTAAATGTAGCCCTAAAGGTAAGAGAGTTGTACAGAAACTGGTTTTATCATATAATCACTAGAGATGTGGACACGCTGCCTATGCCGATAATGCAGGACTTTACGAAGTAACATGCCCGTGTCTAAAATCTCGCCCTTTGCACATTGAACAACCAATATAGCGGCTGATACATGTATTTCTAAAAGCAATTTTTATTTTCCAAAAATTCAGACAGAAGTACACGTACAAATTGCATCGCGTGTACCGAGCTTAAAAAGGTTCATATTCATGCATGAATTTGAGTTGTTGTGTAACCAGTAGCGCCATCTTAACCCTTAAACACAAACTTCATAAATAGCTAACGATAGTGTTCTGCTTTACCCGGAGAATAGAATAATAAAATTTAAACCTATAACTTTATTCTATGAGCGAAATTATTTTTGGAATGTTTTGATTTTTATAGGTATAGAACGAAAATGCAATTAGTAACGATCGCCTCTAACCTTGGGCAACGCGGCAAAGCAATAACAATGTAAATTTTTTATCTTTTACGGTTAGTTTGGTTTTACATAGAGATTTCACATAAATTCAAACAATTATATAAATTATTACGTCAAATTTGTTATGCATGTTGCAACAGTTTTACTTGGAGCATCGCTAAGTGTTATTATGGCTGCGCCATTACTCACGGACCAACAAGAATGGGAGCAATTTAAGGTAGAATAAATCGCAGACGGGATGGTTGATATTTGGGAGGAACGAACGCATTTTTTTTAGGTTAAATTCAATAGATCGTACCCAACGGAAGAGGAGGAGACAACGCGATTCAAAAGATTTCAAGAAAATCTCAAAGGCATAAAGGAACACAACGCAAAATACGAACGGGGAGAAACGACATTTTTGCAGGGCGTAAATAATTTTGCGGATTTAACGCCCACTGAATTTAAGCAACGCTTCACGGGAGGAGTGTTGAAGAAACCAAAAGAATAGACTAATAACCCATCTAGATTTTCTTTTATGGCTGTCTCTATGGAATTTAACTCGCATTTTGGTACTTACGTGATTCGTGTAACCTATTTGTAGAAGTTGGAGAAAACTATAAGTCATTGAATCTAAAAGGAAAATTATAATTGCATCTGAAATATGTTGGATTCGCATTTATAACTAAAAGAAACTAGAAACTAAATTTGTTCTGCCTATAACTTCGAAAGTTTTGGAAAAGGAATAAATTGAAAAGTTACACAGATGCATGAAATTTATAACCTAAAACTGCATATTTTTATATAAGTGTATATAAGTAATATAGGTGTTTTTTTTTGTAACATCTTCATATTTAAATTCTAGCGCGAATGCTAATAACTTTTTTTTTAATATTGGAATTTTGTTAATTTGCGAAGGAATTGAATTGCAAAATTTTTCGAAATTATTTGGATTTGCTTTTTATCTGGTACATTTTTAGTTAGTTTTCGAGATGTTTCACTTAGGTTTGTATTAGGTTAATTGGTTTAAATAGAATAAAATACAATTATTTTATTTTATATTATTTTATAGCAAAAGTAGGAATAATCACGCTTTAAAAAGACCAAATTTGCCTTTTTTTAAATTAAATTTATATCTTTTATTTTTTAATCGAACACCAAGCGCTTCTGTTGCCTCAAGACAACCAAGAAAAAAGTGTACAACCAAACACTACCGATCGATCGTATATAATGACGTTTTTCTTTTGAAAAAATCCTCAAAAATAATGAATTTTCTAAATAAATTTAAGGTTTTGCAAACTGGTCAAAAAGGGGAAGTAAACACGGGAGGCGATGGTTTGAGGTGGATGGTCCTTTTCAGTTATGTTACAAATAAATCTCAGTTTGTTGAAATTGCCGAGGGTCCTAGCTAAACAAGAAATATAGACTATGGAATTACTCAAGGTACTATCTGGGTCCCTTACTTTTTAATATGTATCAACGATTTTTTCAAATTAAAGGTTTTGGGTAAAATTGTAAGTTTTAAATATGATGCTCCGGTTTTTACTCGGCAACTAAAACTAAAATAGCGCTAATTATCACCTAAATTATATCTTAAGGAATTTTTAGAAAAACATCAGCTTAGACCACCGTACCTTTCCCTAGCTGTAGTCACATCTTTTGTGTGAGACGGCAATACTCAAAAATGGTCCCTTAAACTTATTTATGACAAAGGGAGAGCTTACCTCACAAACTTGCTTTTCCATTACAAAATTTTTGGATATCTGGCAGATTTATTGTTGTTATTATGAGCTTTTTTCTTAAAACCTAAATCGCAGGACCCAGAATATTTAATTATCTATCACTAAACATGCAAGCTAAAAAAACCCCGCGCTCTCTAAAATGTGTACTTTCGGAAAGAGTCAAATGTTAATTCGCTACATTTAAAATATGTAAAACGGTATTTTAATTATAACAATTGTAATTATTGTCAGAAAAAATCTTTATTTTTATTTTGTTATTTGTTATTTTGTATAATTCATTTCTTTTACAGGTATTATGCAACACTAGTTAAAACCGTTTTTTGAAATTGAACGAAACAAAGATAAATCTTACTTTGTCATCCTGTATATAGACAAAACTATAAAGGCGATTCTTCAGCGGCGGCCAATAAGAAAACTTGAAGTGTTATCGGTAAACAATAAATTAACCTTCGTCTGGGCCCCGCGTATAAATAAAGGATCGGCATGTTGGCCGCCCCACCAACTCGACCGCCTATTATTTAACCGATTCCTCTGAATTTTTAATTTATTTACCAATTCAACCGTCGTCTCACGAAATGCTAGTGAAATTGTGCCTGTTATCCGCCTCATTCTTGGCGATTGCGATGGCCGCGCCATTAGATTACGAGAAAACTACCGCACCGACTCTATTAAGCGACGAAGAAGAATGGACTCAATTCAAGGTAACTTTTTTTAGTGGTTATTTATAAGTTATACGATCTGATGTTTACGATAAGATCCCTGACCAAGGACAGAGGTTACCTACAGTGCGTCTAAAATAACAGGGAACAGCGTAAGTCGGCATTTCGAAAAATAAATACTGTAATGACGGTAAAGTGCTACTGGTAGCTTGTTGCACAAAATAACTACGGGTGGTTTAGGTGTACAATTTTATGGGTCTGTGATCTAGTTGAATACTGACATTATTGTCTGTGCTTTTTTCACCGTGGTTAAATGTAAGTGGGATGTTAATGGGCGCTTGTTGGTTTTTGCCTTGTATTCTTTGGTTTCGTAACGTGGTCATTCTTTGGTCTGTTAAATTTTCTTTATATGTGCCTTACCATTTTCTCAACTGTCAAGATGTCTTTTTTAAAAATACCGTTGAGCGGATTATCTCCCTCAGAATCGAATTGAGTGCATTTTTGTTGTCTTTGTCGTTCCGGTTATTTTTGCTTGTTAATTAATGACTAGTTGTCAAGGCATACGTTTGCATTGTTGGCCATAATTAAAAGTTTATTCGCTCAAGGCTATAGGCAAATAGCTATTTTCAACATTTTGAACAATTTTTTTCTAAATAAACCTGCCCCTTAGTTCGTTTTCTCGAGATCCCCTGCTGAGCGCCTCAACTTTCCAGGCGACGGAAAAGAAATCGTATCCGACTGCCGAAGAGGAAGCGAAACGATTTAAAATATTCAAAGACAATCTCGCTTACATTAGGGAGCACAATAAAAAATTCGAAAATGGGGAGACGACTTACGTGCTGGGAGTCAACTCTTTTGCCGACTTAACCGACGAGGAATTTCGCATGCGATATACGGGCGGTAAAGTGAAGTTTAATCAGAAAATGTAACACATTTTATATATTTGTTAAGTGATCAGTAAAAGTCGACTATTTTTAAATGTTCGTATTTTCTTTTGGGAACAGAGAATTTGAATAATTTTAACGATATTAACCTCGATATTTATTTAATTAGAAATAAACAGTAATAGGTGCCCTGTAAATATACCCGAACAAATAAATTTGTAATTAAAACAATGAAATTTGTTTTCACCTAAAAGGTGTATACATTAAACCGCTTTATTTTGCTGCATAAACTCCCTTTTGCACGCAGCCGGTTTTGATTATTTTTTTACAAGTTATTTGATGTTTCTAGTTTAAACGATATCGATTATCGTTTTGTTCTAATTTTAAAATAAAATCACCATATTTCCGCAGCAATGCCAATGTCCCAAAGACATTAAAACCTGACAATGGCAAATGCAATTAACAATATAATATTCATTGCCATTACAACAAATAAAACCTGGGACGGCAGTTTGAATAGATATTTTTAAATTTAACTAACGTCAATCGTAACAAAGGTAAACAAGAAATCTTCTCCAAATAAATAAATCGAAATTGCCCAGATTTCTCAGCAAGAATTTAAATGCACGTGGTTTTAGCGACTGTAATAGACAAACAAAAGCCAATTAAACGGCAATTTAAAATTATCATTCCGAAACCTTGGAATCATTAAAAATAAATTAAACAAAAAAAAATCGCAAGTGAATATTTTCTTGTATAAATACAACATCTAATGTGCAAAATGTAGTCGAGTTTCAACTTGTCAGCAGAGATGTTTTTGAAAACGGCCGCTTTGCTGTTGATTTTGAACGTAACTATAGCGTCGATGCAATCCGACCAACGGTGGACCAACTTTAAGGTAAAGCGATCTTTTGCTAACCGCTATCGACAAACAAAAAACTTTTAGGCCGACGAAAATAAATTTTATCCAAACGCCGCGGAAGACGCGAGACGCTTTGATATCTACCAAAATAATCTCGGGTTCATTAATAACCACAACGCCCAGTATGAAAGGGGCCAAACTACGTACAGGGTACGCGCCAACCCCTTCGCCGATCTCACAAGGGACGAATATAGAAGATATTCCCTTGGATTTAACGGCTGATAATCGTATATCAACAATGAATATATTTGTGTATTAAAACTTAGGGGTTAATTGCAATAAACAATAAATATTCGGGAGTCTTCATCCATGCTTACTTCCATTAATAGATTAAAAAGTCTAAAATAATAATTTTGCTTTTTTTGCGACATTTTGACACCAAAATAAGCTCACAGGGAGGAAAAAACCAGATAAGTGGATACTTAGGTGGCTTTGTTTCTGTTCATCATCAAGTCGGCATGATCGAAAATTCTGACAGTACAATCTGATCATCGATTTTGACGTGTTATCGATTTGGATTATGTGCAGTCGGAACGTCGCCTTCCTGTACATTCTTGTGTCTTATGTTGTGAGATACGTCAACGTAAATCGAGAAGAGAATCTGTGAGAATTTAAAAGAAAAAACACAGCTATTATTTACTTGTTTACTTATTATTTATTGACTTTGTAAGAAGACTTCGATATTCTAATTGGCTGTTAGATAAACATGCCGAGAATAATAATGAGCTTGTCGAGAGTTTCTTTTGTATTTTTGATTTTACCGATTTGAAAATTAATAATGAATAGAATTAATATTTTGTTTTTATAAAAATTTGTTCACCTATCTGGTTTTTTCCTTCCTGTGAGCTTATTTTTTAACAGAAAAAAGAAAAACCGTCATATCCTACGTAGAATGATCTCCTGAATCCAAAAATTCAAAAATATAGGGCGTGCCATTTAAAATTCGAAAGTTACTGTTGTTTCCGCTCAAACCATTGACTACATATTGTCAAAAAATTGGACATTCAGCCTGTATCAACCCTTCCAAATGCCAACTCGTTATCTCAAGCCGCTTAAAAGTTCCCACTTTCTTGTGTCACCCGGTATACACATCCTACTGCCTATACCTACACTACCATAAAAAAAGATCGTCCAGTATATAGCCGCCGACCAGTTAATCGCAACAAATGTAAATAAAATGAATAATGATTCGTTGGAATCCTTTATCTCAATTCCGCAGACGGCGAGTTTATTTACGATCCACTCGAAGTGAAACCTTTATCTGTTGTTAAAAAAAAAGCAGGCACTGAATTTTTACGCACAATATGATAGCTAAAGTATCGGTGCTAGTAGTGATTTTTATTGCCGTTATTATGGCAGCGCCTATCCGTTCCGATCAAGAAGAATGGGAAGATTTTAAGGTAAATACAACGGAAATGACATTAAACCGTTTTAAGAAAAATAAAAATTTGCATACGCCTCGGCAAAGGCAAATCGCTCTTTTTGATTATAAAACTACATCGTTCAAACAATTGATTACTTACTTACCTCAGACACTGGGTTTTCTGCCGATATTTGAAAACATCGCACACAACAAACACACAACTTTACGTAACATTAGATTATAATTCGTTGACAGTTTCAAAAAACATTTTCATGGCCTACCCGACTAGTCTGGTATGACCATTCTCTCCTTCTTTGCTACTATGCTGCGAGTGTTGAAAAATGAAGATTTTGTACAAGTGTGCAATCTAAAGTTGTAAATCATGACGTTATTGTTAAAACAGTATATAAAACACGGCTCATAAATATAAATAAACTTAAGGATCCTATTTCATTTTTTATCTCAATGCTGCAGTTTGTTTGTTTCCAATACAGTGACATTAAATTTTTATCTGTTGTTAAAAACATCCAACAGGCACAAAATACTTTTTAAAAAACCTAAAAAATAAATTATTTAATACTGGAGTTTATTTAATTCCTGAAATTAAAATGAAAGAAAATTGCGAAAAACCGACAAATAACAAAAACTTCTATCATCGGATGCATCGCAAAAAGTGGGAATAAGTTTTGTACTGAACTTAATAATACTTTTTTATGACCATTGGCTCCGTTTTTGCAAAACAGCACGAAATATAACCAAAATTGATTATGGTTTTTTAGTCGTGAACAAGGTAGTACAAATGAGATATTGGACAGCACAAAAATATTATCCAAAATTAGATATTTTGGGATAACTTGATCTTCAAATCATTTTGTTTTTGAAAGTTTTTAAAGGGGATACTTTAATGACGTCATACAACGACATCGGGTTAAGGAAAGGAAAGCATTCTTTTTAAATCAGATTTTTTCAAAGTTACTTGTACGCAGGAAAAACATGGGAAAAGCTACGAGACCGCCGACGAGGAAGCAAATCGTTTCAAAATATTCCAAGACAACCTGAAGAAAATCCGGGAACACAATGAGAAATTCGAAAAGGGGGAGGTGACCTGGACGCAGGGGGTAAATCAATTTACGGATCTGACTCCCGACGAGTTCAAGACGAGGCACACCGGCGGAATTTTACCACGCCCGACCGCATTTTGAAGATGATTGGTGGAAGTTACAACGTAGCCGTTCTATACCTGTGTTTTATAAGTGCAAAAAAAACTGATTAAAAAATCCGACGTAATTGAATAAATTTTTTCCTCCCCAATTTTCACCCTGACCAGGATGCTTCCGGTAAAAATTTAGCTCCTAGTTTTAAACCAATATAATATTGTGATCAGCTTAAAGTTGCCTACTTTTTAAAATTCAAATGGTATATCAAATAAAATGTAAATTACTCAACAAAAAGAATTTGTTCACTATTGGAAACCCAAATACTGCAATAGGATGGGTGCAAGTTCGAAGAGTTAAAAAATGTTTGAACGGTTAAGACTAAAGTGACACTTGAACATAATATTAACAAAAAACGACGGCTTTTATTTTCTAGTAGACGAATAAAATCTGGCGTTTTACGAGTCGGCACGATGGCACGATTTGTAATATTATTTTTGTGTTACTTCCAACCGGCGTAGACTAAATACAAACACGCCTTTACACGAGCCAAAAATTAACGTAAATAATATAATTCTCGGCCTATACCCGGAGAATAATACTATGACATGTCGCCGTGTCGATCCAAAAGCAGCGGTATGACGTCACGAGCATTCCCGCGCGTTTAAAAGAAATAGCCGGGAGACTTGATGTTTGGTATGCGTTATTTCCATACATAAACAAACGTATTAAATAAAAAAAAATGTTCAAGTTCACTATTGGTTACATATCTTCTTCGTTACCAACAGCTTCCTGATATATCGATACTTACCTTCGGCGCGGGCCAAAACAAAACGACTCCGTAAAAAATGATGTATATATGTACATTTAAAAATAGCGATCACGGTTTTCGAAAATATCACCCGTGGGGAATCAATCCGCGCGAACGTAGCGGTACTGGCTGAAGAGGGCGCTGTAGATCAGTTTCCTCTGTTCTGACGTGAACTTGAACTCGGGCCTCAGTTCTACCTCGACGTACTCGTTGGGCGGTCTTGTTTTCAACTCGGACAAATCCCACCACCTCGCTTCTAAAAAATATTAGCCGCCGCGTGAGTAATAACGTGAAACAAGATATGGGAACGCCCCCGAACGATCTGGGAAGAGAGAGAAAGGAGACAAAAAAGCGTCCATCTTTCAGACATAAATAGTAGTAAATATTGTTACATAAACACAAACCGCCTAGCCTATACAAATAAATATATACATATAATATAAATCGTCGGTGTAAATTTTAAATTCACTGCTGCGCTTCGATTCCGGGACTGCGAAATCAAAAAGAAAAAAACTGCTATTTAACCCAGACCGGTTTTGGTTGATATCTGCTGATTTTTTGATGTTTCCGGTACAATATGCGGCGGAAAAACTGATTTTGCCTTTAAGTGAGAAAGTGAGGTTTTAATCTGATATCGGCGACGACATCTTGTGTCCCTACCTGTGCGCTTGACCTAAACTGAGTCAATTTAGCTTAAACTCGGTAAGATTGTTGGATCACCAAATTTCAAATTTTAATCACTTGGTATTCATTTAGGCTTCAAAAATATTCTTTTGATAAATTGTATAAAGAACCATGAAACAAAAAAAAAATATTGTTCGAAACCGTATGCTACAGTTAGCGCATTGACTTTCGGGAATGACGTCATTTTTGGTTATTTCGTTTAATCTATGTCAACTGACAGAGACAAAAGTAGGAATTTATTTATTTATAACAGTCAATGCGGGTTTTGGTTGTGTGCCTTTCAGAATATATATCCGACTCTTTGCAAGATACCGCGAAGATATGACAGCAATCACAGGTAAGAATTTTAAATATCTTGGCCTTTTTTCGACTGAAAAAAGTTGCATAATAATGCAATTTAACGAGCTTTAAATACAACATAACTTAGTTCGACTCAACAACAACTGATCGAGGAGGGATACAGAAAAAAAAAAGAAATACGTTATTTCAAACCAGCGTGATGTCATTCCAGAAAGGTAATACGCCAACAATACCTGGTCGCTCGTTTATTTTGGGAGAAACACCACCACCGCTACCTATTAGTTTCAGTTAAAAATTTAAAACGGCTTTCGTGTGAAATGTGCAATCTTGTAATACTTTTGTAATACCTGTCGACGATATACATGTAAAGAGACGTGTGCTTATAATTTTATTCAGTGGGCTGACCATAGTGTTTGAGCCATTGATTGAATTCAGTGGATTAGTAAACACGCGGTCGCAATTCTCGGAACCAAATAGCTCGTAGATAAATTGAACACAGGCGCCGTCACCTATCCCGATAACATAGACACTTCGGTACTCACCATAGAAAAATGCAAATCTCTCACTTGGTCGTACCTGTGTTCAATTTATCCGATACCTATCAGAACCCGAGCGAAACAATCACTTTAGTTCCTAATACTATTTTCCGGACGTTAATTTCTACTTTAATTACATACAAATGACAAAGCGTTAAAATTAGCAGAAGGCGTGGAGGAAAAAACGACGCGACTCATTACAAATGAATCGCGTCGTGGATGTTACGATCCTCGATCGTCATATACATGCCTTCCTCTTCGTACGTCGAGTCGTGCTTAGACAAGATACGCAACAGGGGACGCAGTTTGAGCCACCATTCGTCTTTGGGTATGCGGTGCCTGCAAAAATTGCAAACAAAAAAATTATACGCGATTTCGGTAATTCACTTGGGCGCCGTATAGAATGCAATGCGTAAGATAAATAAAATGGATAAATTACTCACGGATTTTTAACTCAAAACTTCTTCTGTTGAGGTGTTCCTTATGTTAAAATACAAAAAAGGCAAAGCCTCATCTGCATTATTGGCAAAAGTGAGGTTAAATGACTAAATTCAAGTCTAAATTTATTGGCAGGCCATGTTATGCAATGAGGTGTGTATTAGGCACATTTCTCCAACTTTTTACGACTACAATACTAAGAAACCTGGCATAAGGGACCAGGTCAAAGAAAACCTTACTGGCTAAGCCATTATCGGTTTTGAAACCAAAACCAGAGACGGGTTTCAAGGGCGTTGAACATATGGCGCAAAAGATAGGAGAATTATGCATCTAAATACAAAACTTAACCTATCCTGTGCATTTGTCCAAAACCAAAGCGATTGCACTGGAAAACGACCCAAAACAATGAAAAATTAAAAGTTTTATTTTTAATTTTGGCTTGTTTTCTATGATGAAGGTACCACATTTTTTTAAAGGCAACAAAAAATGATTGGACTTACCATTTTCAGCACGCCGGCAACGCGGAGTAAACACACCGGGAGGGGGACGGACGACACTCTCGCGTTTAGCAGTGGCGGGGAGCGACAAAAAACCAAAGCAAGCGTACGTTAATTTTCGAGTTCGCGAAACTGGGGGATTTTCGAAAAATAAAAAAGGTCCACAATAAAATGCGACTTTACTACATCATCACAATTATAACGTGGATAATATAACAACAGATAAAATTGACCTAAAAAGTTGATAAAACGCGGCAAATGTACTCACAACATCATATAAATAAATAAATAAATTTCACTTAATAGAAGTATAAGCGAGTCCGCGGGGGTACGAGACTCATTCGAGAATAAAAAATATCACCGATTTTTATTAAAAATTCAGTATTGAGGATGTTTCGAAATATTCGAAAGGATCGATTTTCGGAAAAACTTAAGCCCTTTTCGTTTTCGCCGTTTTGGACACATTTGCAATGTGAAAATTCCCGTTCTAAGAAAAAAATTTCATATGTTCAAGCAAACAACACACTCTGGTTTTTTTAGATGAGACAGCTTCCTTTGGAATCAGTGAAAACTTAAAATTTAATTTCCAGCAGTATAGGGCCTTTCGATAACGAATTTAGGTTTTTTCATTCTTTCGTCTAACTCTAGTTGTTGCCAGTCCTCTTAGTCTTGATGTGAAATTATTTTCTATGGCTCCTAAAACCCACGATTTCTTGAAACCCTCCGTCCACATTTGATGTCAAGTCTTTGGCCTTTTCTTTTCAAGCTGATCAAATTCGTTCCAATGAATAAAAAATATACAAGATAAACTTATAAATAAAAGGAAATGTTTACATAGAGAAACATTCCTGACTTGACCCACCCAGTACAGTTCTCCAAAATTCGCCAAAAGCTGTCACTCCATCAGAAATCTAATAAAAACAAATTCCGTTCCTTGAACTTGAACAGGCTGTGGATTCTACAGAAAGGGTTTTCAACCAAAAATGGCGGGAAACGCACACCTGAGTTTAGCCGAAAAATCATCCCCATATTTCGCGTCGATTCAAAAGCACCCCGTAAAAAAGGTCACGATATCGCGATCCCCGAATACTATAAAAAAGCAGAATACTCTTTTAAATGGTCACATCGATTATTCTGTCCTCGATGGACATGTACATGCCCTCCTCTTCGTAAGTTGAGTCGTGTTTCGCCAATATACGGAGCAGGGGTCGCAGCTTCAGCCACCACTGCTCCTTCGGTATGCGCTGGCTGCAAATCAAGCCCCCCCCGCCCCTTTATTAAACGCGATTCAAAAATCATGGTCTAATCTGCTGGGCGATAAAATGAAATAAATAAATTTCCCTGTCACGCAAAGACGAAGCGGCGACAAGCTCGAAATCGAAATAATTAATCCACAAAAGCGTGCACTTACTCAAAATTGGTTTGTTCCTTGAGCGCCTGTAGCGAGGTGCACTTGTACATGCGTTTGACGATGCCCAAGAGGCACGCGGTGTTCGGGTCGGTGCACGAGATTTTGCCCTCGTGGTCCGTGTTGTTTTTCAGCTGACAAACGAGCCAGTCCACCGCTTTGGCCGCCATTTTGGTGCCCAAGTTGCGGTCGTAAGGCGTGGGCGAGCCGCCCTGCTGCATGTGACCTGTCAATTGCAATCCAAGTTCAGCGACTATTTAAGCGCTGACATATTTGTCTATTTGAGAGGTTCTTTTAAGTTACTATTCCTTACATTCACAATAACTGTAAATAAATAATAATTATTTACGCAATTTAATAAAAACAAACACTTGTTTTAACAATTAGAGAATTATTTAAGTCGGTTTGATCGTTTAGTAGCAAATTTGTATATTTCAGTTTATTAATTTCCATTGTTTCTAATAAGTTAAGTTTTTTGCTTTTGCCTTGACCATGTAATATTTTAACGTCGTTATTGAAGGAATGTCCTGTTTCTGTTAAATAATCACTATAATTAGAATGAACTTTTGTGTTCTTGAATCCGTCTCTTGAAACTTCTGCCTGTCTGACCTATGTATATTTTTGGACAAGATCCACATGCTAATTTGTATACTCCCGACTTACATAACTTATTTTATTATTTTTAATTACAGACCCTAATGTCCTATTACACTTAAAACCAATAATAAATATTATTACATAACATGTAGACCATGATAGCGTTCTTTATGTAGGATCTAGTGGCGTAGTCGGTTTTCTTCTAAAATGCACAAATTTTAATATACAAACAGCCCAACCACAAACAACTACAAAGCATGTACCTTTAATTCCTTTTAACCCCTAATTAATGCCTATTATATCCAATTTCTCATAATTGTAGCACAGTGTAAATCTCATAAGAGGCATAATAAAAATTATCAAGACATACAGCGTGTTTCCTTAAAAGAAAAACACAAGTTTTGCTTGTATATAAGCATTTGTCGGTGTAAGACGCAAAATCGTTGCGCCACTGGATCCTACGTAAAAGGACCTACTACACAAGGGTATCTAAAAATGCGACATTTTCAAAATCACCCCGTATCTAAAAGATACGAGGTAGTAGTTATGACATTTCTATTTGTACAACCTTTTACTTTATGAAAAAACATCCTTAGGTTCATAAAGCTGCAGCACGGTAGCTGTTAAACCATCAAAAATATTTAGAAACTACCTGCTACTATATATATACCGAAAAATGACAATGAAACCTTAATTAATGTTGTGAGAATTTAAGTTTAATAACGGGGAGGTATTTAAATCTACTTGATCGTTAAGCAATACATTTGAATATCTCATTTTGTTTTATCTCCATGGCTTCCAATAAATTTAATTTTCTACTTTTTGTGGTTGTATGTAAAATATCAAAATTGTCGTCAAAAATGTGTTTTTAGACGCTCTTTTATGTTCGTCGATGCGTTTCTTGAAGGATCTACCTGTTTGTCCAATACAAATTTTAGGACGAGATCCGTATTTAAACCCGTAGACACCTGATTTTTGAAATTTTGGATATTTCGTATTATTGTTTTCTAAAAAAAATAAAAAACACCTGATTTTTGAGATTTTGAAGGTTGTTTTTTTTTTTTTAAATTAAAAGACAATAAAACGAAATGTCCAAAATCTCAAAAATCAGGTGTCTACAGGTTGAAATGCGGATCTTGTCCTAAAATTTATATTATATTATATATTATTTAATTGACAATTTTGACATTTTACATACAGTCACAAAAAGTAGAAAATTACATTTATTGGAAGCCATGGAGATTAACAAAATGAGACATTCAAATGTATTGCTTAACGATCAATTAGATTTAAATACGTCTCCTTTATTGAACTTAAATTTTCACAACATTAATTAACGTCTTATTGTCACGTTTCGATATATATGGTAGCAGGTAGTTTGTAAATATTACATTTGATAAAGACACGGTGTTGTCGAAACAATTGTCATGTAAAAATATATAATTTCGTGAAAATCTGAACTTTTAGTTCTTATTTATTTTGTTAAAGGGATTTTCATCAAGTAAAAGCCACCTCAGTTCAATATTTATTCATAAGGCTTCTCATAACTATTTACCAACAATCACCAGCAACCAACAACTAATATCATATGTTATGGGGCTTTCGTGATATTATTTTTGTTTGCTTTTTTATATTCTTCAAATAACGCAAGATTAATTGGGCAGCAATGTATTTTTATTACTTTTCCCTATAATTTTCAGTCAGTCAAATTTCCGGCCACCTAACGGCAGAACTCTCTTATTGTTGTTTTTTTATAGGGTCTTGTGTTCAGTTTAACCTCACTTTTTATTACTTCTTCTTCTCTTCTTCTTACTTTTTATTACTTCTTTTTAAACTAATAAACCATATTATACGAAATAATAATACGTTTAGAAATTAACAATTGCTTAATTCCGGCCTTAGTGTTCGGGTAGTTTAGCATCTCACCTAAGACGTTCATTCTGGCACTAAAAAGACCCTTGCCCTCCTCAGAGTACAGACGGTATATGAACTCGGTGTTGTAGTTGTCGGACGCCTTCTCGTTACGCAAAATCAAACCGCGTTGCACGCCCTCGGACATTTTCGTGGCCATGTGGTAAACGTCCTGTTGCAGATCTTTGATGGTAAACTTCTCTTCGTAAATGTAAGCTGCGTCCGCTCCGCCCGCCAGACCCGATAGGGTAGCCAAATACCTGGGACGATTAAACGATGGAAACCGGCCGGAGATAGTTTTGGTTAGTTTCTTCAGAAGTCACCTTGGTATAAAGTTTTCTGGCTTTTAAAAACTGATCCCAATTTTAAAGTTGCACCAGAATATTAAATTGTTGTCAATTCTTGTATCTACCCAAATCTAAATGTCAACCTAATTTATTTTTAATTTTAAATTCGACTGTTTTATAGAGGCGAAACATGGCGAGACTAAAAGCATTGGAGAACTTTAATTTTAATTTAATTACACCGGGACAGCGCGTACGCAGTCCCGACTACCAAAAATTACGCGCCCGAGTTATCCGCATTAGGGATAATCGCGGGGGTCAGCCCGACCTCAGTGCAATGGAAGGGCCTCGCCCTGGGGGAACCGCCTTATTGATCACGGTAACCCCTGCGCCAGGTAAGTATGATTTCGAGTCGTATCTGCGGGCTTTTAAAACACGGGCGACGAATGAAAGCGGTGAGACGGTGCGTGACGCCATCTGTACCGCGAATATCGAACTAACGCGCCGCGCCGCCGAGCGCCGAATTCCCGCATTAAACGTGTTTGAATAAAATTTACCGACCATGTTTACACGAGGATCGTGTAGATGGCGCTAAGCGCGTATAAAAATCGATGCCTACTTATATCCGACGGTACAATTTTTAATTTTTTTACTTTTAGAGGGTGACTTGTAATACTTAATACATTTTGGAACTGTTTCAGTGTTGCCAAATCTACTTAAGAATATAACACGGTGCATATTATTACGGTTTTGTATTCTGCTATTATTAGAAATCTATTAGGTATATCTGTTTTTAAGTTATAAATAATTTCTGCTAAAAACATTGATTTACGAGAAAACAACTTTTGTGGTGTATTTTTGTAGTCAGAATCATTAGGCAATAAAAAAAGTTCACTTAGCGAAAATTATTATAGCAATCGCAAATTTCTACCACTCACCCGCAGTAACCGCCCATAGTTTCGATGACAAACACCCTCCGCTTAGTGCCCTGCGCCGACTGCCTTATGCGGTCGCATATCTCGGTAATTTCGTTGAGGGCCGTATCGCACCCCAACGAGAACTCTGTACCGGGCACGTTGTTTGAGATGGTACTCGGTATCACCATTATGGGTATGCGGAACGCGTGGTGCTCGTCGCGGTTCTCCGTGAACTGCAACGCCGCTTGGTAAGCCTGAAGACGGACGAAAAAATAAGTGTCGACGAGCGGGAGTGGCGTAACGCCATCGCCTAACCTCGAAACCGCCGATGATAAGCAACGCCTGGATCCCGAATTCGACCAGACGGGACGCTATCAAGCCCATACGATTCCCGGGCAAGGTACGCTTGGTGCCTAGGTAAGCGCCGCCCACCCCCACCCAGCCGGTGACGTCTGACCAATCTGGGAAAGGCCGAAGTTAATATTATATTATAGACTACTAGAAAATAAATAAGAACTAAAAGTTCATATTTTCACGAAATTATATATTTTTACATGACAATTGTTTCGAAAACACCGTGTCTTTATCAAATGTAATATTTACAAACTACCTGCTACTATATATAAGGAAAAATCTCCATAAAACCATAATTAATGTTGTTGTGAGAATTTAAGTTCAATAAACGAGAGGTATTGAGATCCAATTGATCGTTAAGCAATACATTTGAATGTCTCATGGCTAATTTTCTACTGTTTTTTGCTGTCTGTGTTTAAGTGTGTAGCATAATTTGAATCCAGACTATTGTTTTTGAACGCTCTTTTATGTTCGTTAATGCGTTTCTTGAAGGAACCTGTTTGTCCAATATAAATTTCAACCTGATTTTTGTGATTTTGGACCTTTCGTTTTATTGTTTTGTAAATATTTTGCTATTGTGTTGTTAGTTCTGAAAGCTATTTTTAAACCCATTTTGACAAATGTTTTGAAACTTTTTCACTAGGCTCTCCTATGTACGCAATTGTTTTAAATTGCTCGTGTTCTGCATTTGGTTTCGGATAAATAGAGTTTACTGTTGTCTGTATTTGTTTTTTATTTATAATTTTATCTATAATGGACGGATTGTAGCCGTTGTTCAGTGCTATTTGTTTAATGATATTAAGTTCTTTGTTGTAATTTTCTGTTGAGAGTGGCGTACTAAGAAGTCTGCGTATAAAAGAGTTAAATGTAGCCTTTTTGTGTGTATAAGGATGTCTGGGTGTGAAGGTTTATGACATATCGAAAAATCTAATTTGTTTTGCGCTTTCGTATAAGTTAAGTCTAAAAAATTAATAATTAATGTAATTTTAAAAAAAATTCAATTGTCTGTCCATTCCAACAAACTAATAGAAAACTTTTACTTAAAGGATGTTCTAGTATGATATTTTTCAAAGTATCCATAAAAATCTCGGCTAACAAAGGACTAAGTGGGTTTCCCATAATCAATAAAGACACGGTGTTGTGGAAACAATTGTCATGTCAAAATATATAATTTCGTGAACTTTTCTTTATTATTTATTTTATTATTATTTATTTTATAAATTTATTTTATAAACATTATTTATTTTTATAAATGGATTTTCAGCAAGTAAAAGCCACCTTGGTTCAATACTAGAAAATATCAAGCGTATTACAATTTTTAAGGTTTTTGGGATTGCACCTTTCAAATGAGACTGACGTCCTCCCTCTTCCCCTCTTTACAAAATTCCGATTTTCAATTCAAATATATCACAGGAGTCTCAAAAAAATGCTTTTTCTTGTATTGTATAACAGGAGGAATAATAACAATGACTATACTATAGTATAATAGTATAACATCTATGTTATGTGTTTATATATATGTGAACTCGACCTAAACGAGATCAATATCGATTTAAACTGCATCCTAAGTGAAATGGTTCTAATGGAGTCAATATTAACATTAATAAAATATCAAATTTAATTTAGAGAGGAGATTAATATTAATGACAACTAAGTGCAATGAGAGACTGTTTCATTGTAATTTTCAAATTTTAAACCTATTTGAGTTTGTTTGTTGGTAATCAATAAACATTTTAATAAATAGTAAATTCTTGTGTTGCATATGGTCGCAGTAATGTATATATAATCGGCGAAAAAAAGTTTGTTTTTTAGTTAGTTTTAGTTTGCATGTAAACTTATTGCACATTACACGATCTGATTTTGATTTATAAATAAATAACAACGCATGTTATATAAACATATGATTATAACAATCAAGTACTTACATATAATAGCGTATATGGCGGTATCATTTTCATTTAGCTGACCAAAAATAAAAAATATTGAATAAATTCAGTTTTTTAGATAAATATGTGGGTATTTTATGTATGTTTTGAAATAATACTCCTGAAAAAGTTGTTAAAACGTTAGAAAATTCTTAAATATTTTCTAGTAGATATGGGGAGAGGAAGAATGCTAATAGGAATTGAGAGACATCTTGCGGCTGGAGAGGTATCAGTGACAGGAATGACGTTAACGTATTTCTAGGGTTTAGGGAATTTCTTAGTAGAAAACCACTTATTAATATACGTAATGTGCGGCAAAAGTTGGGGGAAAATATATAACATCTTCTACCTGTCATCAGACCCCAAGGCATCGGTTCTTATTTGATGTATTATTTTTCCTACTTAATCGTTATTTAAGTCTGCTTAAAGGGTATTCGCTAAATAATAACACTCAATATTACTTTTGCCCTTGTTTTTCTATTACATCTTTGCCATTCCGGCTTAAATCAAGTTCACTGACGCAGGTCGTCAAAATGACCGCCAAATTGATATTAACTTTCGCGAAAGTATACAGGACACGTTAGACTTACTCATGTGCTTGATGTTTCCAGCAATCAGTCCCTCGATGCCGTCGTGTATACCCAAGACGGTGTCGCCGCGGTATATGCAGTTCCGGACAAACGAGCGCACGGCCGCGTTCATCCCGCAAGAGGGCGCCCCGATATGCATCACGGCCATCGTGTAGCCTTCCTAAAACGTCATTCCCTCAGCGATACGAAATAAAAGATGCTCTATACCCCGTCCGTTGCGCAGAGAAAGCCATAAAACAACCTGGCGCGTACAATAGATAATAAAACTTCGCATATTGATATATTGCCTAAATTAGCTAATAACATGTCACGGGTGTCAAGCCAAAGAATTCTTATCATGTTCCATAAGCTATTAATTGATGTAAGATTCTATGTACGTCGATTACACTGAATATGATTTGAAAAATATTGCAAGATGTCTATTACTGCATCGAGTTCAATTTATAAAAAATATGTAGTATCAACATTTAGTATTAATCTTCTGTTTACGTCAGATGTTTTGAAGAGGCTTTGAAGATAACCACTTTTATACCCGAGAATGGAGTATGATATATAAGCTTTTTTAAAACTAATTTTTAAATAGTACGACCAGCGATATTACTGAAACTGATCAGGCCTGTATAGCACTTAGTTTAATTAAATAAGATACACTCCGAAATAAACAATACATTCCTGAATATTACGTGTAGGTTTTGTAAATTACAGTCTAAAAATAATAAGCAACAATGATATATATTATATAATCGTATTAGAATTACTCTCTGTTACCAACGGACAGACTATATGTATATACTACTTAAAAATTTGCGATACTGTGAGAAAAAAAATCGGAAGCCAAGCTGCACGCTTATGCTGAAATATCTCATCCAAGCTCGACAAAAATCCCAGCCAGCTTGCTTCTATGAATCCTATTATAACTAAATATCATTTTCAACTTAACTAAGCGACGCTAACGTGAAAATTAATTGAAGTTGTGCGTCAATTGCTCGTAGACGTTTTTGTGAAGGTCGCCCCGTTAAATTGACAGCGAAATAATCCAAAAAACGATGCTACTTCTAACCTATTTCTCCCACCAAAAAAAAAAAAAAAAAAAAACGAAGAAAGCTGAATACAAAGCGGCAGTTTTCTAACTAAGTGCGTTTGCGTGTCCGCAGAGACGGTGGAAGTTTATTCGTTGGTATTACTCACCGATCCCCACAGGGTATCTCGCTGGGCGACCAAAAAAATACAAGAAATCGGTTAGTACTTCGAAGTAACAGCTCACCACCCAAGAATCACTTTTTCAACGTTAATGTCTTGGACTTGCGGGGGGAAATTAATTTTTCTCCGATGATAACACGCTCATGATACTGATACTGATTCGAAGAAACTTTATTCAAATTCAAAATTCAAATTCTTTCGTCTATTAGAAATAACTTTCCATTTTTCAATGTTAAAATTTTAAAATAATTGTATCTAACGTTTAACTTTAAGAAAAGTTTAAACGGCAATCAAAAGCAGAAACCGATGAGTTTATTAATACAATAATTTGTTCAATTATTATTGTTTCGTTAGGGACGCACAATAAGAACGAGTTCATGTTGTTCGATATGGAGCTATTTTTTTTTTGGGAAAATAAAAAACTGAAAATGGTAGTTTCAAAAACAATTCTCGGACCTGTATTAAAAACTGACTTTTGGAAAACAAAAACGTATTTTGTCGTTGTTGCAAAGGATTAAAATTAAATGTTTTCAAAAAAATTAAATCATGTTAAATATATTACCAAAATTTGAGCTTTTGTATTGCCCAAGCTGCGGTAGGTTTTTTAATAGTTATTCAATTCGCTCTTTGTTGCTGAATTTTTGTCAAAATTGGATATTTTTCACTTAGAAAGCTTCGAATCATTATATATAGATCTAAATGATTTTTTTTTATTACATATCTATAATAAAACTTGCCACGATTTGGGGATTTTTGAAAAAAACAAATTTGGAACTATACGAAACATACTATTTGCAGAGGACTTTTGAGTAATATAAATAGCTTGAACAAGCGCCTAAATAGGTCTATAACATCTTCAAAAAGTAATATTTCTGATATTTTGGCTGATTTTATAAATAGCTGACAATAATCCTTGATTTTTCACTTTTTCTTGCCTTACACATTTAAAAAAATGAAATATTATTTTGGTAAATCCTCAAAAGCCTAGTCTACACTATTTCATTTTACATTACTAGGAGATACCATCAATTACCATCCATTTTGTGTAGTTTCAAAATGTGGTTATTGCCCAATGTCCTGCAAAATATCTGTTTCGTTCCACTCTGGGACGTGACAGTACGGTAAAAATTATCTCGTAGTATATAACCTTCATGCGATCACATGCACAAAGCCATTCACCCCAGGTGACGTTTTACAAAACAAAATTTGAAATGAAAAAAAAAAAAAAAAAGACTAAAATTCACCGCTTAAAGAAGCAAATGAAATTCGAAAAAGCACCCACCAAACACGAATTAACCATAAAACATCAAATATTACCTTCTGCAACTTTCCATCCTTGAGAAAAAGATAAAAAAAAAACATCACACGATTTATTTCAAAACAACACGTCACCAAACATATCCGCTTAACTTTTGTGGAGGGGGGTCGAAAGGAGGAGAGAGGTTAAGGAGTAACGCTTACCCTTCCCTGGCCTTGATCGTCGAAGGCGCTCTTCGGTGGTTTCAGGCGCGTCAACAGCTTGTACGTTTCCAAATTACGCATGAACGATTTTCCACGTAGTTGGACAGCTTTCTCCCATTCCTTATCCGCCATCGCCTATCGGCACATCACGCATTATGAAAAATAATATCTTTCAAAAAAGCTAAAGTTTATTATTTATTATTATTATTTATTACTTATTATATTTACCCCAACCTTGTGACTTTTCAAAGACCGTATTTCAACCGTTTCAACAGCGAACGTTGCTAACAAAATTTTCCTCTTTATTTTGCGTTTTTAATTCCCCCTCCCCCTTATTGCGCGTTTTCAATAATTTTCTCTTTATTTTGCGTTTTCAATAATTTCCTCTTTATTTTGCGTTTTTAATATTGCCCCCCTTATTGCGCGTTTTCAATAATTTTCTCTTTATTTTGCGTTTTTATTATTTTCCTCCTTATTTTGCGTTTTCAATAATTTCCTCTTTATTTTGCGTTTTTAATATTTCCCCCCTTATTGTGCGTTTTCAATAATTCTCTCTTTATTTTGCGTTTTTATTATTTTCCTCCTTATTTTGCGTTTTCAATAATTTCCTCTTTATTTTGCGTTTTTAATATTTCCCTCCTTATTGCGCGTTTTCAATAATTTTCTCTTTATTTTGCTTTTTTATTATTTTCCTCCTTATTTTGCGTTTTCAATAATATCCTTTTTATTTTGCGTTTTTAATATTTCCCCCCTTATTGTGCGTTTTCAATAATTTTCTCTTTGTTTTGCGTTTTTATTATTTTCCTCCTTATTTTGCGTTTTCAATAATTTCCTCTTTATTTTGCGTTTTTAATATTTTCCCCTTTATTTTGCGTTTTCAATAATTTCCTCTTTATTTTGCGTTTTTAATATTTTCCCCCTGATTGTGCGTTTTCAATAATTTTCTCTTTATTTTGCGTTTTTATTATTTTTCCTCCTTATTTTGCGTTTTCAATAATTTTCTCTTTATTTTGCGTTTTTATTATTTTCCTTCTTATTTTGCGTTTTTAATTCCTCCCTCCTTAATGGTGCGTTTTCAATAATTTTCTCTTTATTTTGCGTTTTTATTATTTTCCTCCTTATTTTGCGTTTTCAATAATTTCCTCTTTATTTTGCGTTTTTAATATTTTCCCCCTTATTGTGCGTTTTCAATAATTTTCTCTTTATTTTGCGTTTTTATTATTTTCCTCCTTATTTCGCGTTTTCAATAATTTCCTCGTTATTTTGCGTTCTTAATTTTCTACATTTCGTTTTACCTGCGCAACCGCTTTCGTCTGTTTCACGCACTCCATCAGCGGCAACCTGACCGCCTGATTTCCGTCCAACGAAATGACGCAGGGTTCGGAGTTCTCGTCCGCCTCCATCAGCGCCATCACCGCTTCCGCCCCCATCCTCGAGCCCTTTAAGAAAATTTCTGTTATTTTTGTTAATATCCCCAAGAGATTTACATTAACTTTAAAATAATGAATTATTTACTAAAAAAACTGTACTTTAGATAAGCCAGTAACAAACAAACATAACAAATAGCCCTTACCAACACCCTGTCAAAGGCCGACGGGTTGCCGCCCCGCTGGACGTGCCCCAAAACGGTTATCCTGGTGTCCTGCTGGAGGTTGTCGACGACCACCTTCTTGATCTGCTCCGCGGTGATGGGTTGACCATTACGATCGATAGCACCTTCAGCGACTATGATTATGTTTAATCGCTGACCTACATTTCGTTCCTAGCGGAGAAAGTTTTGCTATTCAGTACACAGCTCGACAACCACCACAGAGGACAAAAGTTGCGGTTAAAAAGTGAAGTTAGTAGCATAACATGCGAGAATAATTATTTTTCCACGTGAACAACTTAGCTTGAAAGTCAATGTTTATCTAGCAGACTATAATATATGAAAAAAATTAGATATTATTATTAAATATTAAATATTCCTACACGCAGGACAAAAGGCGGTTACTGTTGCTATGACGATTGAATATATATTTTATTTACGTCTAATATTACGCAGATTTCGATAAAATCACTACATATAGGTTCATTTTTTAATTACAGAAAATACATTGTGGAATTCGCTGAATTTTACAAAATTCCGTTTTTATTTTGAAACCAATTAGAAATAGTTTTAAAATTTTAGAGATCTGGGTCAAAAAATTAAAAATAAATTTAAAAAATTACAAAAGAAACGAATAAACATTTTTTTTAATGTTACTTTTTCCTTGACTGCAAATTTTTTTTCTTGCGGGAGTTTACTAACAAATTATAAAAAAAAAAGAAGCAGACCAACATTTCAAAACTCGTTAAATTTAAAAATGTTTTACAAAGAAGTACTATAGCAATAAATAATAAAAAATTAATTGCATCGATGCCTCTAAACAAAGTAACCAACAAAATAATGCAGTTTTAAAGAAATAACTAATTAATTTTTGAACACAGCTGACAGAGCGGCGATGGCCAGCTTAGAACTAAAGCGCCATCTACATTACCCGATCCCCCCCGCAGCGTTAAAAGATACCTGCATAAGCTTTTTGCACAAACGTTGGGGCCAATCGACGCCCGCGGGGTCTTCCGGTATAAATACGTAATCGGCCTCGCTAGTAAGGGCGGCAACTAGGGCTAGGTAACTGCAAAATTCAAACAATGCGGGTCTGAACACTCAAACCGACGATACGATATCTTGGAGGTCTCCATTTTTATTTTAAGACGATCCTGTCCGCAAAACTAACCACTTTCCTTATCTATGCTATACTATTTTGTTAGTAATGAAACGCGCAACACGCAACAACCCCTTCAAATTATCTATGAAAACAAAACGCACAAAAAACATTGATCGAAAACCGTGTTAGGATGTGAATCCCAAAATTCCATTTGCCTAACCTGCTCCAACTTATCGCAAAGGCGTTTTTGCCAATCTTCAGGAGGCGGAGACTCCGGCACGAAAACGTAATCCGCCTCCGAGGTTAAAGCCGCCACTATGGCCAAATACCTATGAACGTTGACAAAAATCCCCCTCATACGCAATTGAAAAGATGGGCCTGACGGACCACAACATATAACTTCGCCTTACCCGCAATGCCTGCCCATAACCTCCATGATAAACGTGCGCTGATGGGAATAAGCCGTGCTCACTATTGCGTCGGTCGCTTCGATGATCCTTGAATCGAAAAATGGGAAATTATTGCGAACTTAAAGGTAGAAATCCACGAACCTGTGCAATGCAGTATCCGTACCGATCGTCATGTCCGTACCGCAAAAATCGTTGTCTATTGAACCGACCAAGCCGGCTATTTGTAATGTTTTACATTTCTCCCTTTGTTCCTTGGTGATTTGCCCTGTCTGGAGCAGCTCGTCGAGCAGAGAGCTCCACTCTTGTCGAAAGAGATCAGCGCCCGTGAGGGAACCATCACCTCCGATCACCACCAAATTCGTGATTCCCTTTTCCACCAAATTTTTAGCGGCCTTCAACCGACCGGGACGCTCCCTAACGCAAAATATCCACTCACCATAGAATCCCAAATTAAAAAACTTTTTGCGTCACTTTAGTTAATTGACCGTGAAGATCGAAAATAACATTGAATTATTTAAGCACTGTTTCAGATTGACCTTCATTGTAGCAATTTAAACAAAATTAATAGTAATATATTAATACTTCGACCTAGAGAGTTTTTACTCCTCTACACTAGTTTAAAAAGTCCCTAGATTGCCAGAACACAGAACATTGGCCAATTTGGAAAACAATTGCAAGCAATATTTTCAAATTTTTTTTTGAGATGGTGCAAATATTTTTAAAAAATAAAAATAATCAATCAATTGAAGAATTATACAATCTGCACATTATAATCCAATTGGCTGGCAATGTTTCATTTATCAGTTTGATGTTCTGCCAGATTGTATGGTAAACAGAAATGTACTGACATATATATGATATAATAAAATGAAATAAACACAGTGATCCTTGAATAACTACTCATCATAAAGTTTGAATCAGATAACAGATACTCGCAATTCACATGCTTTAAAACTGTGATTCACATTATCTACCAAAATTTTGGGAAAAAACAATTAACAAACTGCTAAACGCTTTTTTCTAAAAATTGCCATAACCTAATTATGGGAATAAAATAGCGCAATTCAAAAAAATTTCACCTGAAATCTTGACAACGAGCAGAGCCAATAATTGTCCCACCTTTGTGAATAATGCAGCTAACAGAAGACCAATTCGCCTCGATTATGTGTTCTCCTCCATCTACCATACCTAACATAAAGATAATTAAATTATATATTTCAAAAAGGAGGCTTGGATTCGAGACAAACCTTGATAACCCTCGCGAATGAAATAAACTTTGCAGCCTAGATATATCCCCATTCGTACAACAGCCCTGACAGCTGCATTCATACCCTAAAATTAGTTATTATTTGGGCAGTATATTAAATAAAATAAACTCCTGTAAAAAATTACTTGCGAGTCACCACCGCTAGTGAATACGGCAATTCCCTTGCCCTTATGGGCCCCCCTTTCTATAAATTTGGCACCGGTTTTTTCTGTCATCTTAGCCTAAAATTAAAAAAAAAAAAAAAAGTTGACCTAATGACATGAATATAGGACATTTATAATAATTGTAGCACCAAACATTTCACCTATTATCTCCGAATTAAAATCGCAACTTTTTAAGTATCTAGCATCCAATGAAAAAATACAATCGTAGAGCTGTACACTTTTTTCTCACTTGGCAAATCACAAATTCGGCGGAGAATTCAAAATAATAATGAATTCAAGCTCCAAGGTGACCTCTGCACCGACCAAATAGGTCCTGTGACCGATGCGATTTTATTGGTTATAATTCGCACAAGGGGAGGCTCCATCTCGGGTTTGCCTTCGGTATTAGGCAGCAAAATGTTGGAATTTAAGAATGTAAGAATCACGTGATTCTCAAATTTATATGCGGTCGGAGAAATATGAAATACGCCAATCCATCCATCAACATGGCTTCAGTGCATAGTTTTAAAATATCGCTAGTTCTGGCGCACACTTCGTTTTCATCCGCCAACCCAAGCGCGGCCTACCAAAATTAATCGAGCAAAATTACGCAATATTTTGGGTGATCTTGTTTAAACTAGTTTTCTTGAGGAAAGAAATTTTCTGCTTCTAATGGTTCAAACAGACTGTTTCCCACAATTTCAATACAATTCAATTTTCCAATCCGTTGGAAATTTAAGCATGTGCTGACATCTTGTGAGTAGTAGCTACAAGAATGGTTGACATTTATCTTTGAAAGTTGTTCCTTGAATTACGTCAAACGTCAGCTGAGGCTGACATCCACTAAAAATTATAAATAATCAATTTAATTAATTCGTCCAGGTTTAGGACACGTAATTCTAAAACAAAATCGGTATTGTTGAAGATTTCTTTCGCGGTTTTAATTTGCTTTTTGATAGTAATGGATAGTAACAAAGACGAAGCGCTGAGGTGTATTGAAATGGCCGAAAAATATATCAAGGAAAGAAACAAGGAAAAAGCCCAGAAATTTTTAGAAAAGGCCGAAAGATTGTACCCCACGCAAAAAGCCAAAGGTGCGTGTTGTTTTTTTATTGCAGCTACTTTTTACATAATTGCTGGGATTTTTAGATTTACTACTACATGTCGAAATATTGGCATCTCGTGTTGAAACAGAACAACCGAGGAAAAGAAATATGCAACCGAAAACAGAGGAAACCACTAAAAAGCCCGAATATACCACTGAACAGGTCGAAGGTGTGAAGAGGATAAGAAGCTGCAAGGATTACTATGAAATTTTGCAAATAAGTAAAGATGCTACGGATTCGGAAATTAAAAAATCCTACCGCCGAATCGCATTGCAGATGCACCCTGATAAGAATAAAGCCCCCGGAGCCGATGAAGCTTTTAAAGCAGTAGGTTAGTTGCTTGGTGGTTTTTGTCACTTTATAACCCACAAGCTTTGCTCGGTTTTGAAATATTTTTTCAAAGATAGCGTTTTCAAACTACCAATAAAGTCAATTAAAGCATTTGGCTATTATTTCTTTGATTTAAAAAAACACTTCTACATAATATCTAAACCAAATTCTAATTGCATTTTAAAAAAACGCTAAATTTGAGTTATTTATATAAGTGTGGTAAAAACTGACAAAATAAAGAATGGAGGTAGGCCAAATAAGAATCATTTTTTGTCTTATTATCTTTTCTAAAAATTTATGACTGTTCACCAAATTTTTTATAAGGAGGGAACTCCGTTTTTTTAAATTATAATGTCTGATCTCCTGAATAGTAATGTATTAGAATGTGTTTTAAGGCAATGCGGTGGCAGTATTAACAGATCCTGAAAAGCGAAAACAGTATGATTTGTACGGTAATGAAGAAGATAGACCTCAAAGATCACATAATTACAATACCTATAGTCGAGGTTTTGAAGCTGACGTTAATGCTGAAGAACTGTTTAACATGTTCTTCGGCAGCGGTTTTACCGGGTCAAATGTGTATGTTCGCCGTGGAGGTCGCTGGCAAAGGCAGACCACTGGTAGTCAACAAGAGCATCGGCATAGAGAGGTTTGTGACAACTAAAATTACTAAACAGCACTTTTCAAAAATATGAATATGATAAAAGCCATCAAAATAGGATTGTCAAAGTGGTATACTATCTTAGCTAGGTTTTCTCTGTTTTTGTTGGTTCCAAAAATGAAAACCATATTCTAAGCACTCTGTTTTACAATTTTATTAATTTCATTATTATCTATTTCCTAATGGTATTTATTTTGGGTTTTTTAAAAACTTTTATGCTTAAAATAGAAAATTTGTAGTACCTTGTGTGTGTGGCTCTTTTAATTTTTCGGGAAAATGGCTTGAAATTCTGTCCTTTAGTCGTACATTAATATTGGTGATTCTGTTCTTTCGTAGCAGCAAAACAGTTTTTCTGCGTTCATCCAACTCTTACCCATAATAATCGCTATACTTTTATCGATGGCGTCGAGCTTCTTCATCTCTGATCCCGCTTACAGTCTTCAGGCGAACTCGTAAGAATAAACCCATCGCATTTTTACCAGTAAACAGCGTCCCCATTATAGGAAATATCCGATCATGCGCAGAACGCAAAACATGCAGATTCCGTATTATGTCAAGGAAAATTTCCATTCGGAGTATCAGGGTTCTGTGAAAAGGCTCGAGATGTCAGTGGAGGAAGATTACGTTACCGGCCTCAGACACCAATGCTACAGAGAGAAAACCTACAGTAATTGTTTTTATTTTTTTGTTTATAACATTTTACTGAATATTATTCAATTCGTCCGCGTATTATCGGAAATATTTAGTAACGTTGGATTTCCTACCGGATGTTTAGTCACTGAATAAAAACGTTTTGGTTAGTCTCGTTAGCGTGGTTGCGTTCTTTGGGATAAAATTACAGTTAAATGTAAAACGTTTCGCGCGGGTAAGCGGACGATTTGGATTTCACACCAATATGCAAATTTCTCGATTTTAGGGGATTCCATGATATGGAAAGCGAGAAACTTTGGCGACAGGGACCTTTACCAAAACGCTCAAAATTTGAAGATGCCCTCGTGCGATAAATTGCAGGATTTGCAAAGGACCCATGGTTAAGTACAATCAACATCTATTTTAATGTATTTAAACTAAACATCGGTTATTAAATAAATTTCCTTTTCCTACGCCACCGGCAAATTTAGCAATTTAAGCGGATTTTTTGAGGTTAAATAAACTTCTTATGTTAAATCCTCTACACTGTATCTGGTGTGGCAAAAAAACGATTTTTTTTTGGATCTGATACACAAAAATTAATTGCTAGTTACTTCTAGAAAGAAAGTACTTACCACGTATGAAGATTATCCAGATTACAATTTTGCATTTTCGATTTAGTCTCGTATGTAACTAATCGTATATTACCACCAATAGGTCATCAAGCCAATTTTATTGATAATTATTGTAGGAAATTGAACGCTCAATACACTTTTTCGATAAATCAAACCATTTCAAAGATATTCGAGGTTAAAGATTAAAGAATTTAAAAAAATATATCGTTTTGTTCTGAATTTTGTTATTGACTTAAAAAAAAAAAAATTAGCGTGAAATGTTTTCAATTATTCTTACCTATATAAACTATATTCATAGTTTCTAGTAAATGTATTCAATGTGTTTATTAACTAGACGAGTTTTCACAACATTCATAAAAAATTAAGTTTATTTTGACAAAATGACAGTGTCTAAATTATTTTTTACCGTTTGTTTAAGAGTATATTTCTTAATGATCAAATTTCTAATTATATTTTCTTTTATAATTTTACTTTAATCACAATTTAGGATCATAATTGAATATTTTTTTTGTCTGGGAATTTGGTTTCAAAAGATTGGTGATTCTGTTCATTCATTTCTTGTTATGCTAGCGCTATCTGTGGTTATATGTGCTTTCTATGTCGCCTCATATATCTTCTGTAACCTATAACTGTAACAAAATAATTTAAAGCTAAGTTTTAATATAATTACGCGAATTGTGAATTATATGCTAATTATTTAATATGAACAAAGAAATAATTCGTAAACCGATGACAAAAATTCTTGAAACAAAATTACCAACGGTGAAAGAGGTTATGTGTATATTTTTTTAACAACATAATTTCCTGAAATATTCCGTGAACCAAATTGCTAAAAATGTAGTAGATCAAATTATGGATCTATGAAAAAAATATTCCAACTTCGGGTGCTGATAATGTAGTGAAAAGGATTCTTCGATGTCATAGCAAATGGTAAAGAATTCAAAAAAGCTGCTATCGTAAAAAATCACCAGCACAAAAAAATAGGAATAGGATAAGATATGATTACTTATATAAGACTAAATTCAAATTGCAAGATTGTAATGAGGATAACCTGTGCATTAATATTAAGGGCTCATAGGTGGTAAGTACTATCTACAATTTGTTTTTGGGTGTCAGTTAAAAAAAGTTTCCTTTGACCGACCCTAGTGGGCACCTAGAGAAAAATTTTTTGAATGTGGGATGAGATGTGTATATTGTTAAAGTTGTTTATTCTAGTCAAATTCTATTTGTAATGTTACTGGATTATTTTTTTCACAATCAACTTTTTCCGCGCCGTTTGGATGTTCTTGTGAAAGACGCGGCAATATATATTTAATCATATTTTTCCGTGGATATTATTAAATTGTTAACTCGGTCACCTTTACAAATATTTTTATTCACTTGTAGAACGTTTCATGGTTTTGGCTGTAGCATTTTATGTGATTATTAAATAAAAACAAGTGTCATCTTAGAGTTTTTTTTTCCATTTTTCTGCGAGATCAGGGTGAATATTTTTTCCGTGGCACGGGATAAATTTTACAATAAAATGACAAAAAAAAGTAAGTAACGCAAAGAAGTGCTTGCCAAATTACATAAATTCGATAGATCAGACGGACATTGTACGTAGGGATAAAAGTAGTTCTATTATTTATCGTCTAGAACCGTATTTCATTTATTTTAAATACTTTGGTCTTAATAATTTTAAGAATTTCCAGTACATATTTATTTGTTCCACACACAGTCTTTGTAATTTATAAAATGTTATTAACTTAATGTTTTTCTAAAGTATTTCTTGCTCCTTTTTTATTATATTGCTGTTTAATATTTTTTAGTATTATGACCTGCAAACATTACATTTTTTTTCAACAATAATGTCTTCATATTAAGGGTGTTTCAGAAGTCTCTTGGTCTATATTGTTTTGGTTCAAAAAAATGTTTTTAAAAGCCAAGAGTTCAGATGCTGAAATTTTGAAAATATTACTGCCTCCAATTCTCTTTTGTTTTTACAATATTTCTATAGGAAATTGAACGCTCAACAAAAATGGTCATTGAACCATTTCAAAGATATTTGAGGTTAAAGACTGAAGATTTTAAGAAAAATACCTTTTAGCTTATTCTTATAGGAAATTTAAGGCTCTCCAAAAAAGGTCTGTTGTGGTTTTTAACAAATATTTTCAATGTAGTTCGAAATTTTTACGAGAATGGGTCAAAAGGAATCCAGCAATGGGGAAATAACTTTTGAGAACTGTAAACCTTAACCCCCTCACTCATTAACCATATGTTTTTAAAAAAGAAATAAAAGACAACTACGTCGAGTCGATTTATTTAACGAGGTGGCTCGATTTATAAAACATATAAATTAAAATAAGTTAACTAACACTACCGAGAACACTACCTTAATCACATTAAGCAGGTACGTGTCATACGGATCGCAATACACCGAATCTAATTAAACGACATACAAATTACATACAATAAGCAGTCCAAAATTAAAAAAAAAATGCGATCAGTAAATTATTTCTCCGCCTTGTGGGTTTCTTGCCTCGTCCCACCGGTACCCTCCTGATGAGGGCAACCGGCCTCCCCATAAATTTCGTGCAAATCGTCGAGCTTATTGGATATCGTCACGCTCTTGTTCGACGTGCTCGTCACTTTTGACAGCAACTGCTCACACTGGCCTTCCAGCCGTTTGAATCGTTCGTCTCGCGCCGCCAATATCTCTTCTAATGTCCGTTTCTGCGTAGGAGAACCGCTCGGACCTGCGACGTCCACACTCGTCTGGTCACCTACGATAACGCAAAGAGAAAACGTAAAAAGGAAATTATAAAAACGCAAAAGAAACAAAAATATTAAAAAAACTTAATACTACTGAAAGGACAAAAGCCGCTACACTTACGAAGAAATCTCTGGGAATAAGAGATGATCGCGCATGTGCGCTTGTATACTATCAAAATTACCTGTTCATCGTAATATCAAGATTCTTCACCTTTTAGAAATATCGTAAATTTTTAACCTCTTAGATAAAACAAAACTGTCCACAGCGTATAATTTCCAGCTGACAGCGATGTTGCCAGTAGTTAAAAAGTATAAGACGTGCTAAGTTAGTCGGCCAATTAGAGCTTTATACGCCGAATATATATAAAAATAATATTTCTAATGTACACAGTTATTCAAAAAAGTCTATGTTGCATCGATATAATGTCGTAACGCATTCGAAATTTAAATAAATTGGGACTTTTTATTTATCTGGCAACGGTGCGAATAGTTTCTTATTACAGACTTGTTTTTTCTCTCTCCCAACCTTCTTGTTTTTAATTCCATGGAAAGAAATTAACAATTTAGCGGTTCGTGAATAACAAAAAAAAAATTGAAAATCTTTTTAGTTTATCACAAGCTTGTATTGCATTAATATATTGTTCTTATGTGTTTTGAAATTTACGTAATACGAGATTTTTCCTATATTTTTGAATTATGGTTTCTTTCTCTACCAGCCTTCCAGATTATTAATTCTATGGATCACGGAGAAAAACTTTTGAATATTTCGAGGATTGTCTCGATTTTGATTTTGTGTCTATTGGGTCAGGAGTAAAAAAAGTTGTCATTTAAGTCGATTATTTAAAGTAAACAACAAACATTACAAAGAAGTCAGTCACAATCGGCTGAAAAATATTAAAGATATTTAAAAAAAAAGTCGATTTTATTGAATATTCATATTTTTCTAATTATTTCAGGGCCAACTTTATATGCACTTTTTTCATTAGGAATCTCCACTCGAGCATTCTGGTATGATTGAAACACCCTGTATAACTATGCTATACTATAAATTAAACGCTATTAATGGCGTTGATCACTAAAAAATTCAAAGAACTTGAACCTGCAGAGGTAGTCGCCGACTCATCCCCCACCATTCTAATTTCGTCACCAGTCTTCGACTTCTCGGATTGGTCGCCGCTTTCTGCGGAACTTGCCAAAGGCGAACTCAAAATGTTGCGCAAAGCTTCGGCGATGATATCAGTTACGGCCACTTCCGCTTGCTTCTGAAGCTGATCGTCCGGCGCTTCTTCTAAATCTTCGCACGGTTTGGTAGCGGCAGATTCCGAAACGTCGGTCTCGTAGCCGGGTTCGTCGTCGCTCGACCTCTCGTCGCTGAAGCCGCTTTCGGTACTGTTGTCGCCCGCGTTGGCGTTTCTTCTAGACGCAAACTCCACCCTCAATTGTTTCCACTGCTTCTCCGCGTCGCAGTTCTTTTCGCGCGCTTGGTTCCACTTGTCGCGGCTGTACTCCAACTCTTCGCGCAAAGTCGACAGCAGCTTCCGCTTTTGGGCCAGCTCGTAGCGCAGGATTTTCTCTTGCGTGTGAAGTAGCTGGTGCTGTTTTTGCAGCTTGCCCACCTGAAACGGCCGAGGGAACAGACGTTTATCATATCTGAACTGGAACTGTCAAATGGACCATCTGTCAGTGGCCATGTTGGTTGTTGAACGCCGTCTTATTGGTTCAAAACGAGATTTCAAATGACCGCGCAATGTGAAGATCGGACTTTATACAACAATAACCGATAAATTTGAAGATACCTTCACAGACTTCAGTATCTGTTGAAATACGCTTATAATAATAAATATTAATTTGAAGAAAAAAGTTAACCGCCACCTTCTTTCGTCTCTTTTGACAAAATACGGCCGGCTACATTGATTGTCGAACCTCGCGAGGTCTTATTATTATCGATATCGAGCCTGACAAGCTTCAGAAAACGCAATCATGTAAAAAAAAAGTAAATCAAAACGATGAATCAGAATCAAGTTTGGTTAAACTACGCCCCATAACAACAAACCCGAATTCAACCAACCACGTGCCAAGTCTTGTTCAGCTCGGACGACACCAACTGAAGACGTTTCTCCTGATCCTGCAGTCTGCTCTCCAAGTGAGTGTTCAACTGCTTCAGGTGCCCGGTTTCCTTTTCCAAAGCTTTCTTCTCGAGAATCAAGTCCTTCAGTCTGATGAACGTTTGACTGACGCTCAACACCATGCTGGGCCCTTTCGGCGTCTGGACCGTTTTGTAACATGGATTTTGATCCGGCATTTCTTCGTCCGCCAAAACATTGGTGGGCACTTTCTGGTGACTGAGCAGCTCTATCAGCACTCGCCATACTTTCGGGAGCAGCACTACGATTTCTTCGGCACTATTAATTTGGGCGGTGGTTGTCTGTGATTCTGCAAAACAAATCGTTTGATATTAATGGAGGTTTAATATTTGGCACCAATGTCATTATATCCAAAGGAGACCTGGTCTTGCTGGACGTTTGGTTCGGCTTTGCATAATTCTTTATTGGCATTCTACTGTCAAAAATAACCAATACATATGGCAATGTTTCGAATGCAAGAACACTGGAGATAATTAACCCATTTTGACCCAGTGGTGCGTTAATGCAAAACCTATTCTATGACTTTTTTGTCACATCCAGGAAATATTTTTGCACATGTATTTAAAAATTTTATTATCATCACAACTGAAGGACATAAAACCGTAGAAATCGCTAATTTATGTGTAAACGAAATGTTTTATACAGTGTGTCCAAGATAAGCATGCACAGCATGGGGATCTCGGAAACTATAAGAGATACAGTGTCGGTTAAATTAGACAAAAGTTGCGCATTTTGATACCGAACAAGATCCCGTTTTACAAATTTGAAAATTCCAAGCCGTTCCGGAAATATCCGAGAAAAACCGAAATATTGCGCTTTCGTTTTTATTATTTTTTAAAGCTATTTGAAAAGATATGAAAAAACGGAAAACACTTTTCCATTGGCACTTTTTAATCTCTCCAAATTGACGTTAACAAATTTTCATTACAGCGTTTCGATTCCATGGAACCACCATCAACTTTGATTTTTCTTATGGGACGGAAAAAAAGTACACACAGTATTAGGTTGTGCTTTTCATTGCGAATTCAACGATGTACGATACAATACGGTTACTTATGTTTTTATCCAGAAAAATGGCTTTTTAATACATTTCTAGTATTTTATTGTAGTAGGCCATGAGATCCGAACGATGAAAGGCAAAAGAAAATGGTTGACAAGTTCGAGTTAATGTGTTTATTTATTAACTAACTCTAACTGTTCATTTAACATAACAACTAAATCCAACAAGTTAATGAAAAACAAATTCTATAACAAATGTTCGAATAAATGACCTCCATTTTCTAGGCATAAGTACGCCCGTCTCACGGTAGACTCCAAAACACGACTTAACATTTCAGGAGTAATTTTATTAAACGCTGCTCGTACTGATTGACGTAATTGTTCCTCGTTGTCAAAACATTCTTTGAATACCTCATTTTTTATGTAGCCCCATAAGAAAAAGTCCAAGGGAGTTAAGTCCGGGGACCTTGGAGGCCAAGGTGTTTCACTGTAAGTCCCAATGTATTTTCCATCAAACCGTTCAGTTAAATATTGGCGAACTTCTCTGGAGTTATGCAGCAGCCTTGCACAGCGCCTAGCGGTAAATCATCTAAGGCATCTTCTAAATCGTGCCTCAAGATGTCAAGGTACCGCTCGGAAGTTAAGGAATTATTATAGAAAATAGGGCCTATAATCTTGCTACCAAAAATCCCACACCAAATATTAAACCCAAAGCGAACTTGATGTCTGGATAGTCTATTAACACGTGGATTTTGTTGCGACGAATAGTGTGTATTGCGCCTGTTATAAATACCGTTATTGGTCACCATACTTTCATCAGACCAAATCACTTTATATGGAAAATTAAAACTCTCATCACACATCCTGGTATACCACTCACAAAAATGTCTACGTCGTTCGTCGTCACCCGGTTTTAATCCTTGACATATTCTGAATTTGTAAGGCTTAAATTCATTTTTCCTTAAAATAAACTGAGCTGTAGATTTAGCTACCCCATTCTGGTCTTCAATTTCTCTGGTAGAAGTTTGTGGATTTTCGATAACAGGTTGTAGAACAATGTATTGGTTTTCTTCATTGGAAGGTTTTTGTCGGGATAATGCAGGCTTCTTAAATGATCCATATTCTTTCAGATTAAATAACAAACGCCGAAAAATACTCTTGTCAGGTTGTCTCCGCTCTGGGTATTTGTTAGAATACATACGCTCGGCTTCCACACAATTTCTTTGGCATCAGATGTAGCAAGACAGCATATCACATTTTTCTTCGTTTGTAAAATTACCTCCCTCCATTGTAGAACAAAATAAATTAGAAAAAGACAACAACAATAAAAATACAAAAACAATAACTAAAGGAATAAACTTATGATCGACTGATAACAAAGACAAATAACATTAATGTGTCATTGAAATTGACTGGATGTCATTTTGTCATGGCCTACTCCATTTAAATGCTGAAATGTATATGTAAAAATCCATTTTTCTGGATAAAAACATAAGTAACCATATTGTATCGTACATCGTTGAATTCGCAATGAAAAGCACAACCTAATACTGTGTGTACTTTTTTTCCGTCCCATAAGAAAAATCAAAGTTGATGGTGGTTCCATGGAATCGAAACGCTGTAATGAAAATTTGTTAACGTCAGTTTGGAGAGATTAAAAAGTGCCAATGGAAAAGTGTTTTCCGTTTTTTCATATCTTTTCAAATAGCTTTAAAAAATAATAAAAACGAAATCGCAATATTTCGGTTTTTCTCGGATATTTCCGGAACGGCTTGGAATTTTCAAATTTGTAAAACGGGATCTTGTTCGGTATCAAAATGCGCAACTTTTGTCTAATTTAACCGACACTGTATCTCTTATAGTTTCCGAGATCCCCATGCTGTGCATCCTTATCTTGGACACACTGTATATGAATTCAAAAGTTAACAAAAGTGGTACATAAATTGGTATCACATTTTCAAGTAAATCTAAAATAGTAAAAAAAATATTTTGGATTTGTATTGCCATTTTTGTTAAGTCTATAGCATGTAGATTATATTTTTTTATCTCACCACTGGTGAGATAAAAAACACGGAATATGGACCAATTTTTACCAACTTTCAACGCCGCACTCTGCATTGAGCTAACGTTAAAAAATTTTTTTCAAAATTAAATCAAAAATGCAGCATCACAATCACTACCATCCTTTCTAGTGACTGCGCGTACCTGACTCTTCAACAATCGTTTCGAGTTTGTTCTCCTCGTCGTCTTTATCGCCAACATTCACCTGGTGCACCAAGTCGAGCAGTACTTTGGGCAGTACCGCCGAATACGCGGACGAGATCTCGTTGACGACGATATTTTGCAGGAGCTCGTGATGGTCCTCGAGGTGTCTCGTCAGCTTATCCAAATCGATCCCTTGCGAATTATTGAAACCGAGCAGGATTTCCGAAAACAGCTGATTGATGGCGGTCAGTTCGGCCTGGTACTGACGGCACTCGGCCTTCGCCAGGCCCAAATTCGACTCGAGCGATTTGATTTCGTCGTACTGCCGCGAATTTGATGCCTCCAGTTCCGATATCCGCTCCCCCGATTCCCTGAAACAAACCACAACCATTACCACTTCTCGACGTAAACGAAAACCAAAACAATACTTGGCTTTCTCCTGCTCCGACTTCATTTCTTTTCTCGTCTCCTCAAGTAAATTTCTAAGCCCCTCCTTTTCCGTTTGGTCGGACCTCTGCCGTTCCTCGTACAGTATCCTCAAGTTTCTGATGCTTTGCAATTGGCGCTCGTACTCCTGCCTGAGATCCTGCGACAGTATGTTCAGCTCCTGACCCGACAGAGTCTCTTCGATACTCTCCACCTTCTGACGCAGCTGAAAATCGAACAAAAGCAATCACGTGCGGGATCGAGTCCGTTTTTTAAGCCGCTCACCTCCCTCAACTGCGACTCCCTGACCAGCAGCATTTTTTTGGAGACGCCGATAACATCTTTCAGGGCGGCAACGTGGCTTTTGTATTCCTCCCTCTCCTTCTCGAAGTCCAGGGCGACCACGTTCAAGCTCTGCAGTTCCTTCTGCATCTCCGCAATGTTGATGCGCAACTCGCGGTTCGTCTCGATCACGTCGGAGGCTCTGTCCAACTCTTCCGTTTTGTCTTTTAAGCGTTCCTTCAGCTCGGTGTTCTCTCGCAGCAGCTTCTCGATTTCGCGCAGCATCTCTCCGTTATCGCGCGACTTCACCAGCAACTTCAGGTCGCCGTTTTCCTTTCGCAACTCGCGACGGTCCCGCGTGAGGAGGTCATTTTCCTCTTTGAGCCTCTCCACGTCCGCCCGTAGCTCGTTCATTTCTTGCTTCTTAGCAGCGATGATCTCCCGTCGTTTCTCGTGTTTTCGTTGCAGCTCGAACTTGAACTCCTCGAGTTTCTGTTTGTTCCGCTCGCTCAACCGCTCCAGACTGGCGTGTCGTTCTTTGTCGTTCGCGTTTTCTGCTCGTAAAGAATTGCCGCAGGTATTTTTAGGCTGCCCGTTAGTCCACCACACGTCGTCGTCTACTTGTTCCGAATATCCGCTGCGCACGTTGCCCATTTTCTTTGTGGAAAATCGCTGAAAAATAACCCGACGTTCAGCGCGGGACGGACGCTTTTCACGCGACTGGCGCGTCTACGTTTCAGGTTCAATGGAATTTCGGTTCTGAGTTGCCCGTTTTATAGTCCGGCGTCATGCGTACCTGACTTTCCGAAACGCGAGAGCCTTTTCGCAATCCTACGTTCCAGTTAAGGACGCAGTGTATCCCGCTTAGCTGTCAAAGGCGATTGACACGACAATTTATTTACTTGGGCGTTAAACAAATGACAATATTCCAAAAAGAGGCGTCACGAATTTTGTATTAAACATTATACAAAAATACATTACAATGGAATTAAATTACACAAAAATTTGAACATTCTTAGTCATCTGAGTATCTGTCGTCTCCTCCTGACGTTGTAATTGAACAACAGTTCTCTGGTGTCATTTGCCCAGTGGCTTATTCAAACACTAGGCATCATATTTTTATAGTTTTTCTGGTAAAGTCTGTTCATAGATATAAGAAAGTGACTAACTGATACTAATTAAGGTAGGACCCGGGCAAGCTGTAAGAATGAAGTATGGCCGAACAGGTCCGTACTTTGCTTAGAATTTAATTATTTAATTACTAAACAATATTTATTTATTTATGTTTAAATCTAAAATAAAATTACAAATTATTTTTATTACCTACTTAAATTTAATTTTGAATTTAAATTCCGAAACTTTAAGTAATAATCTTGTTGCATTGTATGTTAATGACCACCCATCCCCCATTCCCATTCAAAAGCAATTGGTCATTTTCTTATATCTATGAACATACCATACACGGTGTATTTTTAAATTAGAAGTAAAAGTTTAAATTTCAACCGCGAATTTGTGACAGATCCACATTTTAAATGGAAAACCCTGTATTTGGACCGTGGCAATCGACTAAATTTCCTCCCCCGTTTGCTGGGGGTTTTACAGTATTTAAATTATTACAAATTCCTTTTTTTCCAAGATGTTTGTTACTTTATAAACGTCATTTGCTATTAAAACAATATTGTTATCTTTAATTTATGTTTTTGATTGGGGAATGATGAGGTCTGAGAAAATGATTAAAGTTCCAGAAACTGTAGTGTAAAAAATAAACTCCACACTTTAATTCCAAAAATTGGAACAAATCTGTGAAAGCGATAGAAACGACATCCGGGCCCTTACTACACGATATTTTTAGGAATTAAAGGAAATAAACGCAGTTACAGTACAAGCCAAAAAATTCTATACCTGGAAATACGAATGACAATCGAATTTAAATTTAGACTATAAGTTATATTTTTATGCACCGAATGAAATTCTGGTATCTGGAAACCTCCACTTAAAGCCCGTTAATTAAAATTTTTGAGTTGCAAAGCGAGGAAGGGAATATTCAGTTTTAAAAAGAATTTTACAAACAATTTTAATAGCTAAAACCATTAAAATGTAACTTTTTTTATCAATGAGTTTTGATAAATCCTGATCTTGGGGATAGTTTCTGCATCAAAAATTAAAACTAAATCAATTTACTAAAGTTTTTAGTCCAAAAATAGGGTATTTTTGAAAACATCTAACCAACTAACAAAAATTAACCAAAAATAGGGTATTTTTGAAAATATCCAAAAATGTTATTGTTTTTTTTTCATAAACTGCAACCTAGTTTAAAGAAATACACTGAATAGTTTTTCTTTAAATTTGTATTAAAAAAAAGAAAATCTGCAAATATTTGGATTACCTTTATTTTTGACACTGTCATTAAAAGTAGCTCATTTTTTAACTCAGTGTGCGACTTTTCTGGCGTCTCAAAACGAGATTTTTAACAGCGAACTTCAATTAGTGTTTATAGAAGAAAAAGTTTAGTGAATCCGAAAATAAACCTAGCCGACATACATTTAAACAACCCGAAATGTCAATCACCTTCAACCTAGATCGCGAAATTGCCAAAAATTTTGACGGAACCGGATTGCAATCCGTATAACCGTCTCGCAAATTAGCTCGGACGCGTCACCCCATAACAACCTTCCGAAATAATTCAAAAAAGACAAAATTATACTTACGTACGTGTCGTCTCTGGACCAAAATATATCGTTCGTTTTCAAACTGTTCGATTATCGAACACCCAACGCCGAACCGAAAATATACGCTCCCGATCTCAAAATTTCCCGCCTATTTTTAACTGCCAATAACCGTACGCGAGATTTCTTTCGTCTCGACGACGATGACCAGCTGCTAATCCGAAAAAAATTGACGCCACGTTTTGCGCCAGTTTTTGGCATCGATTGACTCCGAACACGTGTCCGATGGCCGAATCGACCCTTTGGGATAATTAAGTATACTTTGTTCTAGGCGAGGAAGGAATGCGTCCTTAAAATTAAAAAGCCAAGATGTGGACGCCGTGCCAGGCTTAAAAATAGAGCAGTTTGCTTACGTACAGTCTGGATTTAACACCAACAAGCCTCCATTGGCGTGTGAGGTTCAGGTTCAGAGTTACACTCAGGTAACTATAGCTAACTTCCACGGGGTTTCTCTAAAATCAACTTCAACGTAACAACCAGATGTAGTCTTTGAAATATATCAAGTACACTATGAAGATTCGTCTAGAATCTAGAAATCTTGAATCGCTTCAAAGACTTTACAATAGGGACAATGATGAAGAACGCAACTGTGTCCAAGATGATGGTGGAGTTGTTTTTCTAAATTATTTCTTTGCACTGTGTTATTTTTGTATCGGCAAATAAAGAATTTGACTTAGGTCACCGTTTCCACAATAAAATCAGATATTTTAGGTATCTACGGTCTCCGATTTTGACTGAAAACCCCTTTCAACTAAAAATGTATATTTAGTTCCTGGTCAGTGACTCTGTATTTGAGCATGTTTATGCTCTTCATCCTTGTCTTTCTTACTCTCGAACGTTGACGAACTAGGCGCGGGGTCTTGCATCCTCGATAACTAAATCCATTAGTTGTTAGTCGGTTCGCTCGGTCTCGTTTTAGCTAATATAAACAACTTAATACGTAGTTGTCATCTAGTCGATGGTGTTGCATTCGTGTTAGTTCGCCGCAGCCGATATTCGGGTTTTCACGTGAAACGTTCGGAAGACTAAGGAATGGTCCGTTACCTATAATAGGTGAGATGAGACGAGCGCGACCGCCGCGTCGTGCGTATAGACACTTCTCCCTTCGCTTTCCTATTTTTTTTTTTAATTAGGTCAGTTCGTGTTGAACGCAGCTTTGATTACTTTTTATTTGAGTGTGCTTAATTTTGTTTGTGTTTGTTTAGTTTTTGCGAATTGTGGTTCGTTTTGGTGAATTTTTGCATTTTTTTTTTGGTTTGGTTGATTTGGGTTTGTTGCGGTTAATTTTGGTTTCTTTTGCTGAATTTTCGCTAGTTTTGGTTACTTTGGTTTATTATTTCCAGTTTCGGCCGCTATTGGTTAGTTAGGGTTAATTTTGGTTAGTTTTTGTGAATGTTTCCTATTTTTGCTTAATTATCGTTAGTTTTGGTTTGTTTAGGATAATTTTGGCTTGTTTTTGTTAATTTTAACTACTTTTGCTTAATTTTGGTTAGTTTTGGTTAATTTGGTTTGTTTTGTTGAACTTTGGCCAATTTTGATTTGTTATGATTAATTTTGCTTAGTTGTGGTTATTTTTGTTTCTTTTGGCTAGTTTTGTTTAATTTTGGTTATTTTTGGTTTGTTTTGGTTAGTTTTGGTTAGAACACCAATGGACTCAAGGACGCGAGCTTAGAAATAAACGCATTACGGGGTGAATTTTGATGTTAAATAACCCGAAATAATTATATTTAAAACCCCGCGCGACGCCCATGTGGCTACGTGTAGCCCCCAAAGTATGGCGTACGCCAAAATCCAACCTCTTAGTTTATTTTAAAATGTGACCGAAGGAGTTTCCGATACATACGGATAATATTTTGATTGCGAAGTTCCGTCGCACCGGGCGCGAAATGAAAACGTAAATATTTATCCAAACTTTAACGAGGATCCGGACAATTTTCTCAGTTTTTTTGCACCCGCGTCAGTTCGTTAATATGTAGCCTACGTTAGAGTATCCGAGTTTGCAGCGAAATGAGGTACGTATTCAGTCGGGTTTGATGTCGGCAGTGGATGATTAATTTTTATTCGGCTTACTACCAGAAATGTTTTTGTCGCTGGTCTCGTCATTAGAAGAACCAAAGTATGTGCCATAATAAATTGTTGAATTATATTTCACGGGGCTTCTGTTAAGATGATTAAAAGTTGCAACAGGTGCACGCTTAAAATAAAGAACAGCGCAGGTTCGCCAAAACCTAGTTTTTACAACTTCCGTATATTTTAATCAAAAATTACAAAATAAATAAATCAATTCACGTTTCATTTGGACATGTGTTTTCTTTGTCGTTTATTCCTTTACTAGTACACCGGATATCCCGTTTATTATAAGATTTATTAACTCAAAACCTAAAAGAAATATCAAAAAACATACAGTCAAAAGTTGTTTGGATTTACGTATACTTTTATCATATTATAATATAATATATACATGGTGCTTGTATTTTCGGCGATAAGTAGTAACTTATTTAATATAGAACACCCTGTATATTGACTTATTTTTTTAATTCAACAGATCTTCTAGACGTTTTTTTAGGCTCAAATACTAATGTTGTTTCAAAATTCATATAGGTGTCTTTAACAAAATGTCTTCACGCATATTTCGTTTTTCTCCATTTGATAAATGGAAATTTCTTTAAAACCCTTTCATTGATCTCATTTCTCAAAAAAATTATGAAATGAAGGTCACGAATCGTAAGAAATCGAAATAAACGAATGCATGTTTTCTGTAATTAATTTTCTGCTGGTAACCTTTATTGATTATGATTATTTATTATTATTATATTTATAAACGACGGCATAATTTGAACCAAACTTTACCACGCTTATCCACTACCGCTGCCGACTCGGATGTGTTATTCCCGGAATTTCAATTTTCAAGTTCCAGGTCGTACTTTTACGGCGTACTGCTGATTTCCTGCTGGCTGGTCGTTGACGCTGCCGGGCGGAACGGCAAAAAGAAAACCGACGACGTTTCGGACGAAAATCTCGACTCGAAATCCGTCGTCGGGGCGAGGCATAACGCCGGGTGCACGGCGAAAAAGTGCGCGGGTGACAGGTCGGTGAAAAACGAATCGGACGACGAAACAATGACCAGAAATCGCTACAAAATGGACAAGCAAACTAAATACGACACCTTGAACAAGGCGAATAAGTTTATCAAAACTGCTAAAGTGGAGAACGAGAGGAAGAAAGGGGGAAACGGGAACAAAGATTCCGACGAATCTGGAGGATCGTGCGATTCGTCCGTGGAAGATTGCGGCTCGAGCGAAGAGGACTTCGACAGGAAAAAATTCCGTGGAAAAATCAAGTACAGTATTAAGTTTCAACACGAGAAGAAGAAAACGCCATCGAAGATGGACAGCAGCATCTTGCGCCTGCACAAAAATAGAGGGAGAGACAGGTACGTCTTGGTCACGTGGACTTCTTAAGCGCTTCTTAAGTTATACAGGGTGATCCGAAGTGATTGCTCCAAGAAAGCAGCAACTTGCTTGCATTTTTGCTCTGCATTCCGTTTTTAAATTGAATCAATAACTATCAATGCAAACTATCTTCCTTGTTTTTTTTTTAATTTCTGGTTTCAAAATATTTCAAAAACAGCCGGTTTTAAATAGTGCTTATTCTCACTCGGTTTCTCTTTGAAAAATTATTCTATTTAATAATTAGACATCTAAGAAAGAGTTTCATTTATATCAATAATTAATAGTATTTATTGTGTTTTATTAAAGAATTAAAAAAGATTGGGAAATGGTCCTATCCTGTGTAAACTAATTTCTTGAACTCAAAATTGCCAAAAATATAAGATATGCTTAGAACTTAGCGTCCTGCCCGCTCAAACCGAAAGTCCTTCCTTTTTAATTCTCGTACACTAAATGACATAGCCTTCAGAATTGACAAACTTCAAAATTCAAGCCGTCGGTTTTTATTGACCTTATTTTTCTGCTAGGTATTTTACAGAAGGGAAAATTTATTTTTCCTACTCCCTTCTGAAAAATATCTAATTATACATCGATCGAGCCACGTCAGTTTCGTTTCCCATGGATCCGAGCCACTTCGGACATTTTCGGAATATTACCGCGCGGGTTCGGGAATAATCGGATGTTTTCGGAGGTTTTACCGCACGGCTTGAATTTTGACGTTTGTCAATTCTGAAGGCTATCTAATTTAGTGTAGTTGTGTTGTTTTGCAAAAATGTATCTAAAAACTAACGGCCGTAGAACAACACGTTTCGTAAACTTGTCGCATAATATACTATTAACACTAACCGACGCATGAGGAATCCAGAGGTTTTGTAAATATTGGGTAATAATTACTTTATTTTAATTATGAAGATCCTCTCTAACTAATTTTACATACTGGAGGAATAATCTTATGTGGAAGGCTGGCTGTATTGTTTTCCCACTGCAGAAACGGAAGATGTAGATGTTTTGCGGGGACAATAAAATTTTCAAACCATTCCTCGCTTTATAGCCGAGAGAGAACAATGTTTGTTCACCAGTTTTACTGATCCAGCCTAGGCATTAGCTTCATTGAACACTATTGTGGTAGACCAGTGCGGTAAAATCCCGTTTATATCCCGAAACTGACAACCATAGCAGAGACAAGATTTTTTTCCAAGAAATTAAAGCGGCTGATGAAATGCGTATCTGCTGCACTTTAAAGGATCAAGGATAAAATTTCACAATTTTATAACTTTCAATTAATAACAGCGCCACCATCTCTGCCAGCATACTTCCCGCCGCATTGCGCATTCCAGTGCAATGTTAATTTTGATGAACACCGTATATATGTGACTGTATTTGTGGACTACGATACGTAATTAGTATACTAAATTATATTAATCTTGCAGGAACACTCGTGACGACGATTCCAGCGAAGAGGACGACAATCCATTTCCAAAAAGGATTCGCTTCGACGAGGACGATGACGACTAGTGTTAGTTTGTTGTACTCACCTTCAGTTTTACGACTTTCTAGAGGCACGGAATGCGAATTTTTTCCTTTTTTTTTTCGTGTCAAAGTTACTTTATACTTTGACACGAAAGTAAACCCCCCAAAGTTAACTTAAACACTATTGAATGTTCTTGTAATTCGTGAATATATAGATTTTTTTTATAGTCCGTTTTGATTCCTCTGCAAACTGTCCACGAGGGCAGCTGTTAATTTTGGAAGACGATGCGGTGTAAATAATGTCAGTAATTTTCGTTGATAGTAATAATTACTGATCGCCCACTCGGCGGCCATTATAATGGCAGAATTATATGTTTTTGCGCCGCATGTGCATGCCCTCAAAAGGTATTACCTCGATAGCGGGTAATTTGATGGTGAAATATTTAACTATTTGTCCAGCCACTTACGGACTCTATAATTTCTCCGGCGCATCATGCGATATCGCTGTCATGATACCCCGAAAGGCAACGTTTGATTTTTACGGACAGAAAGCGTTTCCACCAACAGTCAACAACCAAAAATTACCGAACGATGAAAAATTAAGTTCTTTATAGTTAATACTTCTAAGTAATAGTAAATGTTGAAAAACTCTACAACTCATCATGATATCTTGAAAAAAGATCAACTCCTCCAAGCTGTAAAAAGATTATTTTATTAAAAAGTCTTTGACTAAGTTAATCAGGCCTGAGGTTGTCCTTATTCAGCCTTTTGCAGGTCTGAACTTTATTCACATGTAAAAAATCTGCTTGATTCTCGCAAACTGAAAATTTCGATCCAACATCCTCTCTGTGTTTGAGGTTACTCTACGTTCTTGGTCAAAGACCGGGAGCCTGGCCCCACCATAAAGCAAATGGGAGTCAATTAGAGCTGTCAATCATATAACTACGTATTAGAAAAAATGTTTTTTGAGATTTTTTAGCCACTTGGTCTGTGGGGTCACACCAATTTAGTTTATTCGCAGTGAATTCTCTAGAATTTTGCACTTTGTCCACTATTTACTTCATTGATGTGCCTATGAGAAAAGATTAAAGAAAATGTTTTCCCTACGTTAAGGGTTAAGGTATTATTTGTAAACCAGTCCTTAGCTCTTGCTAATTCAAAGTTAGCTTTAGCAAGCGCTTCAGTAAGATTTTTCTTATTTATTAAGAACAACGCCAGTCAACCATTCAAAAGGGCTTCGGAAAAGTCGAGGAAGAGGGTAGGTCCAATTCCTGAGCCCTGCACAACCCCATAGAAACGAACCAACTAGACTCAAGATGCCAAAATTGTAATATTTTAATTTTTTTAATAGAGTCGAGTGCCCCACGCCGTCGGAGCATTTAGTAATATCGCAAAATGTTTCAATCGTTAAGTTGTCTTCTTATTGTCCTTTGACCATAGCTTTAACCAGCTTAGGTTAGGTTTTTTTTTATATTTTTTAAATATTTGGGTACATCTCCTTGATCAAGGCATTTATCAAATGATCTTGGCTATTTTTAATTTTTTTATTTATCAAAAACAAGCAATACTTGTAAAAAATCTATTTAATGTGTTTGCCTCAATTTCGTTTGTGATTACTTGTTGAGGGTCGATTTTTGTTGATTATTTTCCAGTGGGTCTTAGCTGTATTTCCTTCGTCTTCAATGATTTTCTTATTGTCGAATAACCGCTGCATATATGATGTGATTCTTCTAAATATTTATTAACGTTTCGATCGTAATTTCGATCTTTTTCAAAGTATTCTTATTTTGTGAGATATATAACAATTAATGACATTTGACGTTGTGTTAATATATTAAAAATAAAAATAATTTGTCAGCGAATATTTTATACGAATTGGAATGGCATGCAAAACAGGTACGGATGTTTTTTATTATTTTTTATTATATTGGATAATTTAATTTTGTTAGTTTAAAATTGAATGATATATTTTATTAAGGTTTTGTAGAATCGGTTTTGTAATTAATTGAATTTTTGTTTTTTTGGATTTCTATACTTTCATGGTATTAACCTTTTGAAAATTAAATGTGTTTGGTGTTTACGCAATGGGTATGAAGAGCTGTTTTGTTTTTTGTTGTCATACTTATGTCCGTTGATTCTATTTTTTAAATATTGGCTTGTTTGTCCTATATATACACTGTCGCAATTAGAGCATGGAATTTCATATACTGTATTGCTTCTTTTTTCAACTGGAATTTTTGCTTTAAGTTTAGTGAAGTGTAAATTATAACTTTTGTGTCCTATTTGAATTTTGTGTTCGTTGAATATGGTTTCTAGTTTTTCTGATAATCCAGGTATATATAAGTTAGCGATATATATTTTCTTTGAGGATTTTGATGTTGATTTTTGTTTACATTATTATAAAATTTGTTGGTACGTTTATGGGATAATTATTTTCTACAAGTGCGTGTTTTGCTTTTTCAATTGCGTCTGGTCTATATTCTGGATCGGATAACATTATTGCTCTGTCTGCGAGACCTATTATGACGGATTTTTTTTGGGCTAGGGAATGATTATATTTAAAATTTAGATAACGTGATGATTTTATATATAAATATATATGCATATTTCATACATCATATGTCTGACTTGATACGATTGTAGTTCAACACGTGATCAATAAATTCTATTCTATTGTATCTAATTCAATTATATTCTATACTATTTTTTCCTGTGTATGGCCGATCAAACGACTCTCTTTCGGTCAACGATCGATGGTGGATGTTACCTGCTGTTTCACGGTATAAAATCAAACCCCTTACAGCATTTTATCCTCGGTCTGAAATACTTGGAAAGTTTACGTGAGAAAATTAAAAAAAAAAAAACGGCTGATATCATGAGTTCTATCGGCAGGACGGACGGTAAGATTATATTGTCCCATTATTTATTAACATAAATCGACTCCCCTTCCACTGTATTTAGAAATATTATTCGACGAAACCACAAAAATCATCTCGTTGAACACATTTCCCGATGTCGAATTTAGGGGGCTCGGGTATGAATTTTTTCGCAGCATGAAGATCAACCGACATAAGATTGCTCAGGTGAGTACCGAATTCAAAACATTTTGTTTAAAATATTTCACGGTCGCAGAGTATGCAATTTTATTTTAACTGTAATCATTTTAACCTTGCTTGCAACTTTCTTTTGCACCGTTGGATTTCATTCGTCTCTTTCTTGATAAAATAAATATAGTAGTTATAAGACAGTAAATGAGGAGGACTGTTGTTTTTCTCGTTCTCATCCATTTAAATGTTGATTATTTACATTATTTCCGTTTATAATTATTAACGAAATCATTTACGTTTCATTCCTTGATAATTACGCAATATTTTCTTTAGATATTGGTAAAAATTTATTTAAAAAATAGCAATGTGCAGTTTTAAAGGAAAAAAGTTAAAACACAAATTCTAAATATTTAACCAGTATTTTTTATTTGTTCAAAAATTTTTTTTTGAATTTTCTCATTACCTTTGAACAAAAGCGGTAGAGTGAACATTAAGAGACTGATTTATTTTTCTATATTACTTGGATAATACCTCGCTGAGTTATTATTTATCTATAAGGCATGTAATGTAATATTTAATAGGTTGTCACTATCAAAAACAGCAAAATTATTTCACCACTCAGCTTAAACAAATTCACAAAGTATCCGTAACCAAACAACAAAAAATCCAAACAAGTATTAAAAATGAAAAATAGTATTATTTATGGTATTATTATTTTTGACATTTCTCGTTCAAAATAGCTTTTTACTAATAAAGAAGGTGAACTTAATCCGCGGCTGACATTTCTCCGTTTCAGTTCATTAACGATTCCGATTCCACGGACACCTATGGTGCCCTACTTCAACGGTCAATCAGAACGGCGTTGCATCTGAGGGACAGAGACTTGACCGAAGACGACGTGATCTGTCTCTGTTCTTACAATCACGGGGACAGCTGCGTGCCTTTCATCGCTTGCCTGTTTCTTGGGCTAAAAGTCGCGTCCCTTGATCCTTCGCTGAGTTTAAACGACGCCATCCACCTGGTCGAATTAACAAAACCGAAAGTATTCTTCGTGGTAACAGACTGCTTGCAAATGATACGAGGTTCCATAAAAGCCGTGGATATAGATTCAGAAATCGTCGTCTACTCCGAATCCAAAATCGATGGGTGTACTCCCTTCAGTACGTTCTTACAAGAGCACGTCGATGAAGAAACCTTCAATCCGAAAGAGCCAGCAGATGTTTCTGATACAGCGGTCGTATTCTTCAGTAGCGGCACCACGGGACTGCCCAAGGGAATATGCTCGACCCACAAGGGGCTGCTATACCAGGCCTTTTTCCTAAAGTGAGCTTCTATTGGGTGCAGGTGCAAAAACTCAATTTCTGCTTTTAGTCACCTGGGCATGGTCGCTTCCAACGGAGTCGTCTTATCTTACTCTTCTTTGTACTGGATATCCGCCGTCATGAACCTCGTCGCTTGCACGATTCTTGGAGCCGCTAGGGTGATCTGCAAGTCATTCGACCCTCTTGAAACGTGGAAGATTATAGACAAGTATAAGGTGATCGATATTCTTACCCTTAGAGTTTAGTTACCTCCAGAGGTTCCAGGTCTCGTACATGTTTTCCGCACCGATTCAGGCGTACCACATGTTGGCGGTCGGTAGACCTGACAACATCGACACGAGCAGCTTAAACGCGTTAGTCACCGCAGGTAGTCACTGCTCGGTGGATAAAATAACCGAGCTAAGAGACCTGTTGCCAGGGACGTACGTCTTTCAGGGATACGGACAGACGGAAGTGTCGGGCGTGTCGTTGTTTTTCAACACCAATCGGACGAAGGACAAGTTGCAACTGTATTACAAGCCGGGCTCGTGCGGGAAACCGCTACCCATGTTCAAGTACAAGGTGATCGCATAAGGCGGGCAGCACGGTGGGTTACTTTTCGATCTTAAAGGTTACAGACGCGGAAACTGAAGAAAACTGCGGGCCTAATCAGAGAGGGGAGTTGCGTGTCAAATCCGATTTGTTGATGAACGGATATTTCGGCATGGATTCGTCGGTAGCTTTCGATTCAGACGGGTGGTTGAAGACCGGAGATGTGGTATACTACGACGACGAGTTTTGTTTTTACATTGTTGATAGGATAAAGGAAATGTTGAAGTACAGATCTTGGCACGTGGTACCTGCCGTGTTGGAACAGGTATGGTCTGTTCATAGATATAAGAAAGTGGCCAATTGCTTTTGAATGGGATTATTCATGGGTAGTCATTAACATACAAGATTATTACCTAAAGTTTCGGAATTTAAAATCAGGTAAAATTGTGGTCCGTAATAGAAAATAATTTTGTACCTACCTGTGTTTAATATTCTTTGGTTTGGTATACTACTTAGTTTAAGTTTATTAGTAATCATTCTTATTTCGTGTGTAATACAGCGTGTGTTGAATCGTGTGCGAATTATGCAAAATATGTGCGAGTCTAGTGTATCTCAGGAGATGCTCCCGCCCAAATTTAGAAAACATTTTGTGACTAAGTTTATTTGACTCTCATTGAACGTGGTGCCAGCAAGCAAGCATCTTTGGACGAAAATTCCAACATCAACTGTACAATACTTAAAAACCGTAAATACAAAAGTTTAAGCTGTCTATATGGACTATATTGTTATGTAAAAGAAACTGACATCTAAAACACAGATTTGAAATTATTGCCAATTTTATGAAGTCGTTTCCTGTGCGTGTTCCGGTTCAAGAATTTTTCCGGTCTTGTAAACTGTTTTTGAAAAATGGTCTTTTTTGTAGACCCTTGAACACGCGAATTTTATTTTTTTTTTTAAAACTTTGTGACCCCCCAGCACTCCCATTTTTAATAGGTTCCGTCACGGGGCAAAGCTGCATTTATGTGCAAATTATGAAGTCTATTGCTTTAAATTTCGGACACTTATCGTGTTTGATATCGAGGTCCAAAAAACAGTGGAAAATCGCCAAAAAAAGATGGATACCGGTGTCGGATCAGGGCCATTTCTTATAAGCTTATGTGCGTCGTGGAGGGTTAAAGAGGAGGCAAATTTCAATTTTGCAGCTGCAACGGTTCAAAAGTTATTCAGGATAAACCAAAAGACAAGCACGGAGAACGGAGAACGGACAAACAGACAAAAAAAATATTTTTTTTGACAGTGATCGTTTCTGTACCAACGGCGATCCCATAGGACTTACCGTTACCGGGATATAATATTTTTATATGAGCGCAGATACTTTCGAAAAATTCGGATTCATCGATTTTCGAAAGTAACAAGATTGGATAAGGATAGAATAAGAAGCCGCATCGCGAGGGGCCCATTGTACCACTATGTAGAAAATGTCTTTCATATTTCGCCGAACTTCAAAGTTACGGCAAACATTGGTAAATACAAAAATTTTTACAAATAATAGCGATTTCCAATTATATTTTTTCAAATATCTTGCTCACCCTGTACACAAATTACGACACTTTTTAAACCGAATTATTCCGTGTTTTATAGTTTTTCATTTACGCCGAAAACGGCAATTTTAGGATCTTTTACATTTTTTGGCCATAAACGACACACCCTGTATATAATTCAAACAATGTATGAAATTGAGGAGATAGCACTGGATTTTCTTTTTCATTCTTAAAATACTTTCCGACTCCCCAACCCCCCCCCCCCAAATTTCAATAGGTTCCGTTACGGGAGCAAGCTTCATACGTGTTTCAAATTTGAAGTCGATAGCTTCAAATTTCGTGTTTCATAGCAATGTCCAAAAAACAGTCGAAAATAAAAAAAAAAGATAGGCGCCGAAATTTGACCGCAGTCATTTTCACATATCTTATGCATCTCGTGAACTGCTAAAAAGGAGCAAAATTTGAAGCGTCTAGCTCAAACCCTGCGGAAGTTATCGGAGAAAAAGTTCAGGAACAGAGAACGGACAGGCAAAAAAACGTTTTTTTTTTCGATGCCGCAGGACGCATCGATTTCATCGATTTCTCGAAAGTAACAATATAAGATAAAAAATACAGTTAAATTAAATAATAAAAATATCAAGGGTTGTTAGTTTTTAAATTGCTCTTGAACTTTTAAAAACCACCAGTAGTTTTAAGATCAAATTCATTAAAAATTCTAGGAAGAAGGTATGTAATCCATAATTTGATGTCCTAGATAGATACAAAATATAATTCTGTTTGCAGGGTATTCACATTTAGGAATGCTCAGTCTAACAATATGCTTCTACATTTTTTCAATAGTATTCCGCACGTACCCCTAAGGAATTCTTTTTCTTTAAGTGACGTGTCCTCTCAAAACACTGGCGATAAATCGGATGATCTGTCAGTAGCCATGTTGATTGTCGAATGCCGGAAGCTCATTGCTTCCGGCATTCGCATCAAATTTTCTTCATTAGTCCTTGTATTCTCGGCATTACAACAATATTTTTGAGACAAGATATTCTTCACAAAGCAGCAACATGATTATCCTCTATTTTTCCATGGAGAAATTCGTATTTTGTACCTATTTCTCATTATATGATCAGGTTTATTTACTTTCTTAATTCCTACTCTACCTCACTTTATCCACCCATAATCTTCTTCTTCAGGTGCTTATTCATTTCGAATGCTGGCTACTACCATGGATATTCTAATCTTGTCGACTGCTGCTTTGAAAAATCCTGTGGTTGTAAGAAAGAACCATTTTCTCAGATTGTGGTTGTGTGCCATGGGATTCTCCTCCGTCCTGGGCCTCTTTTTCCTTACGCTTCAGAATTAGCAGCAACAGATGGTATCGCTGGTCGTCACGCATAATGTGACCAAGTCGCATTCTTTGTCAATTCTGTTCTATCAACCCAGCAAATTTTTAGGATACGTCTATAGCGCCACATCTCAAAAGCCTCTAATCGTTTCAGAGACGTCTCTGTCAATATCCAGGATTCAACCCCGTAAAGAAGAGTAAGTAAAAAAAGACGGAGTTGACTTTTAAAAATGTTGTTCATTTTGATAAATGCTGATCTAGCCTTTTGTATCCTTTGTCTAATTTCAACTGAATGATCCCATCTGTCATTAAGATAATATCTTCAACATTCTTCTTTTAGAATAATATTCTGAAGACAGCAACGTAATGAGAATATTCTTAAGGGAATTTTAAACCCCCGCATGGTCTTAAAGCATGTTCTGCTTGTTCTATTCTGCTTTCGATTTTTTTTTATTCACCCTACAGTTCTGATAACAACACCGATTATAACCGCAGCAAGGCAGCAGCGGGTTGTATTGTGGATGATTGTGGGAACAAGGTTGAGGTTTCCTATAGAAATGTTAAGACTGCAATTTTCCAGGTATTGCTCTCCCATCCGGCGGTCCAACAAGCGGTCGTTATAGGCGTCCCCCACGAAGTAGACGGCGATCATCCGATGGCTTTGGTGATCGTTAACGACGGAAGCAGCGGCGTAACGCCCGAAGAATTGGAAAAATACGTGGACGACAAAGTTAACGAGACGCACAGGCTCAGGGGCGGGGTCAAATTCGTGAAGTCGTTTCCGGTGACCCCCTCAGGTAAAATTAAACGGGGCGTTCTGCGAGACATGGTAATGGAAGGGATAATTCAATGAGTTGTTGAGCCTATGGGTGCTGTTACTTGGGTAAATAAACGCAGTTGCTTTAAGTATTAATCGGTAGTTTATCATTTGTGATCGCAAATCAGGTCGATCTATAAAAATGGCCGAGATATTTAATTTCTTGTTGCACATGTCAAAAGTATGATGCAGCAAGCAGGCAGGCTATCAATATATTTTTTTAGGATATTCGCATGTCCTCCCACTTTCTCTCACAAATAGCATAAAGAACTTTAACCGTCTTTTTAGCCACATCTTCATGACCTAGATTGTTGAAATTTGATCGGTGCATCAAGCTCCGACATTTTCGATTTGGATTAAGGATTGAATTGTTTAGTTTCGATTTGGTTCATTGAAATAGTTTTCAGTCAAACAGTAAACTTTTTAGTCGATATGTTTGGTAGAAGAATTCAATTGGCCTTGTAAGTCTCAATTTGTACAAAACTTTAATTAATCTCAGTTCTTCTTTTTTTTTTTTAAATGACATGGACCAGGGAATCAATAGCAAAGTTGTCTTTTTTGAGTATTTTTGTATTTCCAAATTTTAAGAAGTCAAATTGTTACGTTATTTTTCATTTTTTAAATTCAATAGCTTAAGTGCATCTTTTGTCCAAATAAATACTTTGTTCTCGCAATAAACCTACTTTCCTCATTTTTCATTTTAAAGAAAACGTAAAAAGACGGTCACATTCAAAATAATTATTTAATAATTTAAATTGTAAACTCAGAAACTCAGAGGACAATGGATCGGTAGCCACTGTTTTATTTTGAAAGTTGGGCTGCTATTTTTATGTTTTTATTAACAACTAAGGTGTGAAACCCGTTTTTTGCTATAATTTTTTGTTTATTACCCGATTTATACAAATCACAGCTCGCTTTTTAGGTATTTTCACAACATTATGTTTGTTTTTATTGGAGATACACTATTTAAAAGCGAACATCTCATCTTGTGCCAAGCTAACTTCATCAATAAGGTCTGTAATAAATTCTTACGGAGTGGCATCAAATTCTTCCTTAAGTGACATTCATGTATTGAACGAATGATATGGCCAGTACTGATCTTAATGCAATTGAACACCTCCGATTCAACCTCAATTATAACTAAACCAAACTTGAAATACCAGAAATAAAGGAAAAAAAATCATTGAATAATTGGTTTCATTTGTATTTTAACCTGAACCTCTCACTTTTATAGAAGGTGCAACTCCCTCAGCCTCAAAACACTCCATTGTTGTGCCTATAGACAAGAAGAATATCACTTCTATCGGTTTTTTCCAAAATATTCGAAAAGTGTTTTTACGTGCTGCTCGGTGCATTTTTAAAGAAGGAGCAATTTTTCTATAGAAAAAGCCTCATTGGAAAAATTGGCGTCTACGTTGACATATTGATTTCTACCTGTTTGTGTTCTTCATCGATCTAACATCGATGTAAATGGCATCAACCTGCACCAACCGATGCCATAATTCTAGAATATATCCTGTCTAAGATATTATTATATATTAGAATGAATGAATCTACTATTCGTAGACCCGTGCTGTCCGTCTATAGTGTGTCTCGTGAATACAAACTAAATATACTTATAAAGAAAGGTTTCAAAAAGCTTACCAAAAGTGCAGGTAATGCATTTTCTACTGAATTTAGTCCTGAGCTGACACCAAATCTGAAAAGTTCTGAAAAGATCATGCTATATTGCGATCCAAGTGACAACAGCTGCCTCCGCTATTGCATTTTACAGGGTGTTCCGAATTTCTCGAAAAAAACTTGGTCCTTTTGGTGCACCCTGTACATACTCAAATTAAAATAAAAGTTTGTGACTTTGCGTAGTTCATTAGGGAACGACCTATGATATTGGGACCAGTTGTTAGTGGCCGGATTTTCTTGTCCAGCAATTATACCAATTCGTTTTTATTATGCCCTGAACCGAGTGCGACGGACGTTGCGAAAACAATAAGCTCTCCTTTATCGTCCTTGAGCGTATAAAGCGAGATTTCGAATTATTTACACAGTGACCCGAAGTAATCTGTGTGCGGTAAGCTTTACGTTATTTTTCATTTACTAGCTGATAGGGGGGCCTTTTTATCGCGGACCGGATTATAATTACGTTACGAAATTAACGCTCGTTGGCAATTTCAATTTTCCACAAGCGTCTCAGTTTATTTTTTCCGAATTCGATTCACGGTCGTTACGACATTTTGTACATTTATTTTCGTAAATCATGAATTTTCGCGGCGGAACGTACGGTAAGGCTTGATAGTTTACAAAAATCGCTCTCGCAAACATACGTTTGATTTAGAAATATTTTACGACGATTCTACGAAGATAATTTCGGCCACTCAACTACCAGATGTTAAGTTTCGAGGACTGGGGTTCGAATGTTTTCACGCCATGGTGAAGAATGGCAGCAAAATAGCACAGGTAATTATGCTAGTTTAGCGGTAATTAAAAAAACAAATATCTTTTTACACATTTATTTTATTTAATTACTTTCTGTGTAAAACACAGCCTTAGATCTGGCACCATAAGACAATTAAAAATTCATTTTAGAGAATAGATACATACAGTCAATTCAAAATCGATTTTTTTCTGTTTTTTTAAACTTATTTTTTGGTTTGTTGTCTACCTCGCTTAGGCTTTTAAGTCGTTTTAAGTGCCAAATAAAATGATTTGAAAACCCATAGGAGATACGAAAAAAAGTTTCATACAAAAGTTTCTTGGACTCTCCTGAAGATTTCAGATATTTTTTGTTGATAACAATGAGGTTATGTGTTTTTTTTTTCATATTTTAAATGTCCCATACAAAATTGTGTTATGAAGCTACTCATGCAGGTATTGCAACGAAAATTTAACCACAGACTAAGGAGATGATGCACTACTGAATCAGTTTGACAGATGCGCCTCAGCTTATGCAGGGTGTCCCAAATAGGTGGTGCCCTTTTGGCCAATTCAATTTACAAAATTTCAAGATTTTCGAATGGAACACCCTATATTTTTATTCAGGTATCAATTCTAGGACAAAAGATAAGGCAAGTTGGTAATTTATCTTTTGTTTAAATGTCACTTATTTTTTGAGATATTACACACACATTAGGTTACTTGGCGGCAAAATTAGGTATTTTTTAAATAACAAAGACATACTTCTTTTAAAGATATAATACTCCAGATATACGAAAAAACTAACGTTACAGGGTGTCACACACTTTAACAGATTTAACAAAACTTCAGAATTCATATTTAAAGAAACATTTAGTAGTTAATTATCTAGCGTGATCGAATACACCTTATAACAAAAATAAATAATTAAAGTTCATAGGCTAACTAAACAATTTGGAATAAAACAATCTATAAAAGAAAAAAAATAGAAATAATAACTAAAAAAAAACTTAAATATGGTGATACTGTAATATGTTTTCAATATATTGCCTTCAAAAGAACTAGTATCATCTCTTTGCTATTTAAGAAATACCTAATATTGCCAACAAGTAACTTACTATGGGCAGCTTTAAATTCAACAAGAATTTATACGGGTGTTATCTTAAATCTCGAATATCTCAAATAGTTGAACTCGCCAACACGGCACCACCTATTTGGGGCACCCTGTATAAGCTGAAGCGCACCTGTCAAACTGATTCCGTAGTGCATCATCTCCTTGGTCTCTGGTTAAATTTTCGTTACAATCAGTAGCGCCACAACACAATTTTATATGGGACAATCAAAATATGAAATAGAACACATAACCTCAATTTCCGCAAAAACTATGCAAAATTCGAATAAGAATTTCTTAAGAAAGTGGCCCCTATTTTAACCAAAGATTCCAAAAACGCCGGAATATGCAGGGTGTACCATTTAAAATGACAAAGTTGATGTCAGGGGGCACTTTTCGGGCACTTTGTATCAACAAAATTATAATATTTTAATTATTCATGGGAATCCAAGAAACTTTTGTACGAAACCTTTTTTCGTATCTCCTATGGGTTTACAGATCGTACAGTCGATCATTTTATTTGGCACACGGTGTACCTTACAATAAAAGTTACGTCAATACCATGAGTTACACTAGAAAAATAATATATTTATAAATAAAACATCCTTTTTTTTATTTTTCTATTTAGAATGTTATATTTATAAAAATAAAATTTAAAAAATTCACATGTTTCACTTTTTTATACCATATCTACATACTACAGTTGTACATTCTCAGTAAGACCTATAAATGTTATAGTTGCTCGTGCGTCCGTGAACACTCAAAAACCTCTAATCGGTGTTTTAGCACTCAAACTGCTCACTAAAAATGCGAAATGCCTTACTATACTATAATACAGAGTTTTGGGTTTGAGTCAGTTTTCTTTGTGCCTTTTGACGTTTCAAATCACTGACCTAACTGTCCGTTTGGTGGAAAATCGATTTTAGACAGTACCTAGTGCGCTCTTTAGTAACTTTAGCTTCCCGGTTTTGGTTTATTTACAATAAAAAATCACACCACATTCTTGGTGCATTTCAGTTTAATTATGAGACGGACTCCACGGACACTTTCGATGCCCTAATCCAACGCTCAATCAGAACCGCTTTGCATCTGAAAGACAGAGACTTGTCCGAAGACGACATGGTCTGCCTTTGCTCTTACAGTCACGCGAATAGTTGCGTGCCTTTCTTAGCTTCCCTGTTTCTTGGGCGAAAAATCGTATCTCTGGACCCTTCGCTGAGTTTGAACGACACCATCCACCTGGTCAAGTTAGTAAAGCCGAAAATATTCTTCGTGGTACCGGATTGCTTGCAAATGATACGAAAGGCGACAGAAGCTGCGGGCATAGATCCAGAGATCGTCGTCTACTCAGATTCCGAGATCGATGGGTGTACTCCATTCAGTTCGTTCTTGAAAAAGCATCCCGATGAAACAACATTCGCTCCAGTGGAACATGCAGATGTTTCCGAGACGGCCGTCGTCTTCTTCAGTAGTGGCACCACCGGGCTCCCTAAAGGAATATGCACCAGTCATAAGGGGTTGTTTTATCAAACTTGTTTGTTTAAGTGAGTGCCTTTTGCGTGCCGCCGCTCCCGATCGTGACGGTTCTGATTGCAGATACTTGGACTTTATGAATGAAAATAGCGTGGTCTTGTCTTTCACAAGTCTCTACTGGATATCTGCCGTTCTGTGCCTCATTGCGACTACCATTTCCGGAGCTGCTAGGGTTGTGTCCAAAAAATTTGATCCTCTGACTGCGTGGAAACTTCTGGATAATTATAAGGTGCGCAGGGTTGTTAAATATCTTTCGGGTTATTAATGAGAAGTTACAGGTGACGAGCGCTTTTTGCTCACCGATCCAGATGTGCGAAATGCTGTCGATTGGCAGACCTGAAAATATCGATACGAGCAATTTGAGAACTTTCGTAGTGGGAGGCTCTAACTGCTCCGTACCCAAACTCTGCGAACTTAGGGACTTGTTGCCAGGAACGTTTGTTTTTCAAGGATTCGGGCAGACCGAAACCTCCGGCGTCATGTTGATGTTTAACATCAATGATCCCAAAGACCGCACCGAGATACACAACAAACCAGGCTCGTGTGGTAAACCAATTCCGATGTACAAATACAAGGTAACCACCTACCAGAGTATTTGCGCAAGCTACCATTGACGTTAAAAGCTAATTTAACTTTTATTTTTCTTTATTCTACCTACAGTCCTTTCTGGGTTTGGACTCCTCGCCCCCCTCTCGTCTAATCATAACTTACGTAGTAGTCTTTACTTCTACAATCATTAGCAATTTCTTCAAGATTTTCTCGATTTCTTCGGTTCTGAGTAGGATCCAGGTCTCAGGTCACTACTGACCTTGTTAATTTTTGTAGTATCGATTTCAACTGTAGCTTAGGATTTTCGAGTCCATTAGCTTTTCAAATTCGAACAAATAATTAAATTTGAACTCTTCTTCTCATTCAAAATTAGAGCCACACACAAGCGTCGTCTAAAAGTACAAAAATGGTGCTACACTCGTATTTGCCATTACTCTCATTAAGTCACTGAGTCACTTAAAAAACTTTTCACTTCAAATTGTAAACTAGCGTTAATGGTTGCTTACGTGAATCGACCGTAAGCTGGACAGTGTGGTGTTTGTTTGTTGAACTCAAAGGTTACGGATCTGGAAACTGAAGAAAACTGCGGACCTAATCAGAGAGGGGAGTTGCGTATCAAATCCGATTTGTTGATGAACGGATATTTCAACATGGATTCCTCAGTGACTTTCGACTTGGAAGGATGGTTGAGGACGGGGGATGTGGTGTACTACGACGAAGAATTTTGTTTTTATGCTGTGGACAGGATCAAGGAAATGCTGAAGTACAGGTCTTGGCACGTGCCACCTGCAGTATTAGAACAGGTAAACCGACGCTTCATAATGCAAATGATCGCAAAATCCTGAGCAAACTCCGAAAAAAAAGTAAATTTAAGCTGAGCTTGAATTTAAACCCAGAATTAATCTTATTTTGGTGAGCGTTAGTATACACATATCTTATAATGACAATTGACGTTGTTTCCGTATTATAATATGTTATCTGAGGTTCATTTTGCAATCTTCCAAAAACAATCGCGCTCTTTGCAGCATTTTTCTTGGTCGCCATAAATTAGGTTATCAAATATTTGGATTATCGTTCACAATTAAATTGTTTTTGTTTACTGAAATGACATGCGATTTGGAAGTTATTCGTTTCCAAAGGACAAGAAAAACATAACAAGTTTTTAACAAATACTGACGCTCTTCAGAACGTTTAGATTTAGGTGTGTCAGGTGTCTTTTTTTTTCCCTAAAGTATTTCCATGAGTTTTTAATTTAAAGATAATAGTCATTTACTACTACATTAATAATACTATAACATAATAATACTAAAACATACATTAATAATAATAGATAATAATATATAACATATATAAATAATATATAACAATATGTAACATTAAAATGGTATAACTGTATAGAACCTCTATACACCTTCGTGTGTGGACTGTATCTTGCTCTCGTACCGTTCAAACGCACTTTCCTTTGTGGTGGTCAGTTCGGTACTGGCGCGCTGGGCGGCATCCCTTCGGCTGCACAAACGGTCTGGCACGCACTTGGACCGTGATTGATGCATGATAGTCACGTGACTCCGGCGTGTTCACACATAGCGGGGTTTCACATATAGCAACGAAAACCAATAGGTTCTTAACAATAACATTAATTAAAAAATATTATTCCCTTAATGTATTTAAAGTTCAAGATTATTAATGTTATCCAAAATCATGATAATTAAAATCATCAGTGATGGAAGATTATTTAAACCAAGTGCGAGTGAAAACGGCTGTTTTTTCTGCTTCCAGAAGTGAGGTGAAGAATATCTAAGTGCTTTTAAAGCATGTGTGAACATCAAGAATGTGTTTATATGGTTGTTATATTTGAAAATTCTGCCAACCATTATTTACTACTTCCTAGCTACTATCTACCGACGTTTAAATTAAATTAAAATGAAGCTTTTTTTACTTGTATCACGTAAGGTTTTTGCAAACAGGAAAAAAAACGATATTTCTAAAATAATTTAATTTTTTATTCAGTAAAAAAGGGGAATCCTAGTTAAGAAATACACTACCGGTTCTTCCTGAGTGCTGTATTCACATAATTCTTTTTGCCATCCTGAAGGCTGGACGTTAACAACGATGCAAATCTCTAATTGAATCATTTAATTCGCGTTGGTCAAACACTTCGTGGTCTCTGAAATCTGGTGTGAAATCTGAGCCATCTGAGTCGGAATTAGATTCCTCTGAATCTAACGATATGACGTTTTTAAATTCTTTTGGGGCGGTAAGGTATTGGTCAAATAGCAGAATGAAGATCGGGATACACATTTCGTTTCTCATTTTTTCTGTTGAATCCTTGAACATTATACGAACAAAAATAACAATCATCACTGTGATTCCTAGGCTCTCCATAGGAACACCAAAGTTTAAACATTTCTTCCTACCTTTTTACCAGTGTCTTAATGCTTCAACGCAAAAGAAGTTATAGTTTGCCTTTGCACAATGTCTTCTTTTATAGGTTTTAGAACATTAGAAATACGCAACAACGAAGACAACAGCCGCGGACGACGACCAATACAACCAAACTGCGCATAAGCACGTTACAACGCTGTATTGACGCTTCTGCGCCAACTCTGTTGCTTTACAGAGAAATCTAATATTATCCAGTGTTGCCAAATCACACTCAATTTCAGAAAAAGCAATTTATTTAAAAATCATGCGTAACATGGAACAAACCTGTTAAAATAACATTTTTAAGATATAAAAAATGACGCGATAAAGCAAAAATATGGCGTTTTTTGGAATGAGGACCCCAAAAACATACAAATAAGCAAACAGCTTTCAAACATCAAAATCACTGTAGACCTATGTTATTAAGGAACCAAACCAGAATATCTTACAAAAATTTATTTATGCAAATGTTCAGAATTACCAGAAAACCAAATTAAGTGTTTAACAAGTTGTTTTGGATAGCGAAAATAGCGAAACACTTTGTTGGTGGAGAAAAATTCAATCTCTATTTTTGTGGATTCGCTATATTTTTGATTTACTCGATTTGTTTGTAGAAGGGATGCTGTTACGACGATCACAGTGCCTGTAAATGTAAAAGTCGTCAGTGTGACTGGCTATTTATATCTGACACTTCAATTTTCTATTTATCAGTTTTACGAAACTACTGATATAAAGATTCAAATTTAAATTGATCTAAATTTCTACTACTGATAATGCTGATTTGCTCTGCTTCCCTATAGAAATGTTAAGACTGCAATTTTCCAGGTATTGCTCTCCCATCCAGCAGTCCAACAAGCGGTCGTTATAGGCGTCCCCCACGAAGTCGACGGCGATCATCCGATGGCTTTGGTGATCTTAAACGACGAAAGCAGCGGCGTAACGCCCGAAGAATTGGAAAAATACGTCGAGGGTAATGTGAACGAAACGCACAGGCTCAGGGGTGGCGTCAAGTTCATGAAATCCTTCCCGATAACCCCAACCGGTAAAATTAAACGCACCGATTTGAAGAAAATGGCGTTGAACGGGTCAATTTAGTCGCGTCATACTTTAGTTACTGCCAAATTTGAAAGACTTTGAACTGGATCGCTAGTAGACAATACGTGAGGACTTTGCCTTGGATCTACAAAGGAAGGAGCATCAATGTTTTCGTTATATTGGTATCGATTTCACGCCTTACGCTCGTTATCATGGCGCTGTGAAATAGGAATATATCCGACGCAGCGACCTTAAGTTTGTAATTGTCCAAGATGAATAAAAAGTTCTCAACCTAAAATCGTAGTGGTCAGCCGACAATCCGATTTAACTGGTAGTTACCTCTCTTAAACTGGGAGCAACAACCCGACAGTATCAATTCAAGACAAAAATTGCTGGTAAAAGTTATTAAAATAATATTTTTAATATATATTGTTTCCGGTTCCTACTCTAAAAAAAAGTGTCACTTGAAAAGACGACTTTAAAGATTATTATAATTTTGACATGTGTCAAAACCGATGGTGATAAAATAGTAAACTCTCCAACACGGTTATTAATTTCTCCACAAAAAAAGTTGCCGCCAGCTTAAGAGAATTGTAATTAGTAACTCGATTACCATCTGAGATTCTTTCGCTGTAAGTCTACTGATCGGGTACTTAAACAAATAGCTGGTTAAATCGTCGGTCTAAAACCCAAAACGTTAGATTAGTGAAATGTATATGCCTCGAATAATAATGATATTCGCTAGAATGTACCATAAATTAATTTAATGTATCCATTTTGCGACATTAAAATGAATTGCAGTATTAGGACTTTTGCTTGTTTTAATGGTCCTAAAGTTTTATTCTCCCAATAAATTTGAAGAATGGACTCTATTACGGCAATTTTTATTTTGCAATTATCTTAATTTTAATTAAGCGGTTATTATAAAAATTGGTTTTCGGAAACTTCCTCATTCCCACCATTTTACATTCAACCATAAAAAATAAACAGATCTTTTACACACATTTATGAATACTTTCTTTTCTTTTCTGCATCTAGTTAGGATTAAAGGCATTAGAAATTAATCCTTTGTTTAATGGACCCAGGACATTTATTATTGTCAAAAGTCAGACACAGAATAGTTTCTAGTCAGCACACTTGATAAGTTGCCCCTTTAAATTATAAAGTTTCTTATCATTTAATCTAAAATCTTAGAGCGATTTTCGATCCGAAACTAAAATTAAATGGACATGTAGAACATAAATATATTGTACAACTCTTATGACAGAAATGTTTTATACTTGTCGGCGGAGTTTAAACGGCAGTGAAATCAAACCTGATTAAGAACTTTAATGAAAAGAAATCACGATTCACAGAATACAATGAACAAAAATGGATAAAAAGTACTAAGCGTTGTTGTACTTGGCGGCGGTATTTTTCTACGCGATGTAGATCGGAACTCCGTCGAATTCTCCGAACAAAGGCGGTTGCCATGGTTACGGACGGACAGTCGGCTCGCACGGCATAATGAGCGCATTCACTAGATCGAGAGTCAGCAAAACTTTTCTCTAAGAATACTATTACATATAGTCATTTTATGCAACATACAAAATGGCATAGAACTATTTCTAAGATATATTTATTTCAAAAAACATGGCATATAATATTAATTTTGTATCAAAGCACTTGAAAAACAGACGCAGAGTAGGGCATCTTTTTATACAAATTACGTGGTACAAAGTAAATTGTCCCGATTTTGAGCTCTCGAACAGTGGTTCCCTGACTTTTTCTCACTTTCAAAATTCAGCTGTGGTAATTTTAATATTTGTTTATGCAATGACTATCGTAGGTGAGGATACTGCGAGGTTTCTAGAAATGAGTTTGGATGAATAATTAAACTGGAAGTCTGATACTCTTATTTCACTCTAAATAGTGTAAACTCTGTTTTTATAAGTCTTCGTGAGATCTTAACTAGGCAACAATGCGAAGGTGGAGACCTCCACTTAAGAGTGTGTTTAAATCTTTATAGTTTATTTTTCAAATTTCAAAGTTTTAAATTAGAAATTTGCAATTAACTGTAATTTCATTCTTTTCTTAGTTTATGCTTGCTTATATTTCGAACTGATTGGTTTAAGTTCCTACGTGTTTATTGTTTTTAACTTTTCTAAATAATCAAACGCAAATGCAATGCAAAAACTTACTGCACCCGACAGGTCTTCCGATCTTTTACATATCCATCCAGTGATTAGGCAAACGAATGTACATTTCATGACGTTTTCCATGTCGGCAGAGCTAAACCTCGCGCTGGAACTGGCGATAGCGAAAGCGACGTACATGAAAATGCACACCTCGCTCATGATGACGTAGCAAAAATGGGTGGCGGCGAATATGATTGTCGAGATATACAGCACGTGACCGGTAAACGTCATGTGGGCGGCCAAGTAGAACCTTTGGTAGCCGCGCAGTTGATCCGCAAGAGTGCGCGCGGGCCAGATGCCCCCACCGTCTTGGCGTCTTTTCGCCTCCAGGGCGTCTTTCGAATTAAATCAAAGCAAATTTTGTCAGTACAAAAACAAAATTCGGCCAGCTAAATTGAAAAGATGTACATTCTGTATAGGCAACAAATAGTAGTTCTCCGGTATTAACAAAAAGTTTTATTTTATTGATAATAATTGTTTATCAAAATAAATAAGAACTAAAAGTTCAGATTTTCACGAAATTATATATTATGACATGACAATTGTTTCGACAACACCGCGTCTTTAACAAAACATTTGAATTTTTTTTTTGATCTCGTAAACAGTTTCTAAAAAATGATGTTTTTTGTAGACGCGCGATTTTTAATTTTTTTAGAATACTTCCCGACCCCCCAGCCCCCTCATTTTCAATAGGTTCCCTCACTAGGCACATATGTGCCAAATATGAAGGTCCAAAAAAAATATCTTACGAGCTTATGTGCAGTTGAAAAGGAGGCAAATTTCAATTTTGTAGTTCTAACGATTCGAAAGTTATTTAGGAAACACAAAGAGACGAGAACGGAGAACGGAGAACGGACAAACGGGCAAAAAAAATTTTTTTTTCGACGGAGACTAGCGTCAATTGAATAAGTGGGACTAAAAAGTGCTAACAAAAAGTATCTCGCCAATCCATATCTAGACCTGCTTCACAGGATAGTATCCAAAGCACTGCTGTAACTAGTGGTAGCTAGCGATAAAGTACTGAAATAAATACGTATCATCTACCTTTGACGACTCCAGTTAGTTTACCAAATAGTTCTTCGTAAAGGTTCAAAATCAAAACCAAGTAATTGGCCAGGCAGTTGCCCTGGTACGAGTTCAAACAGTCTGCCAATTGCTCGATAACGTAGACAGCGCCCTCTCGATAATTTATCCGGATCACGCCCGCGAATAGGAACGCGACGGATATGAGGCTAGCGAGGAACGAGTGTCTTCGAAACGTCTGCACTTGCGCCTGGTCGATTATGCTCGATATGCCGTACAATTTCGTCCTCTGGAGCAGCTTGGCCAAGCCGTTCGAATATCTCTCCGCTTGGGTTCTCGTTCGCAGCACTGCCAAGGTGAAAATTATGCTCCAGGTGCACCTGGCGAGACGACATATTTCGTTTTTCAGGTCGACGTGTTCTCGACGGTGAAAGCATTTATATGCGGAGGATGCCCTACGAATTGAAATACGCTGTTGTGTCTTTTCTTAGGAACTGCTCGGAATCCAGGGCCAGTCAATAAATATTTTTATAAACTTTGGCAATGTGTTTTTAATAGCATATAGAAAAATGTTTAAAAAAAATTTTATGCGATTAGTAATTATTAACATTTTGGAGTTTTCCTTAAGTTACATTAGTGTAAAATTAAATTTTAAAAAGAAGAACTATTACAAACTTCATCTGGGGTCTCAAGGGACTGCAGGTATAACGGCGAAGGGAGGGGAGGGGAATAGAGGGGGGCGACAGCAGCTGTTGGGTGTAGTTAACGCGGGCCCTAACAGAATAGTACACGTGGCAACTTGATAGGCTTGATACGTAATTGTTGTTTCCTCCGAAAAAAAAAAATAATTTAAAACAATTAAAAAATAAATATATTATTGTGCAGTGAGCGTGATAAAAGTTAATTACTGGGTTTTACAAACTTTACATGGTTTTGAAAACAACTGTGAATATTCAATAGTATATTTTATAATAGATCGATCTTAAGAGTTAGAACGTAATATTAAAATTTAATATATATTTGGAATCTGCATGAAATTTCCTATAAGATAGTGCTTACACAAACAGTTGATTTATTTTTTGTATTTTATTTATGCAGAAATAATATTTTAATTAATCGGAAAAATAGTGAAAATTCCGATTTTTTCACATTTTTGTTTATAAAAAAAGAAATTTCCAATCCTTACGTATGAAATTTTAATTAATTGTGATATAAAGGTTAGTTATTGATATTAGTAATATTTGTTATTACAGCCTCGTATCAAAATGGGTGAATTATCGAATAATGATAATATAAATAATGATTGCCTCATTTATGAAAAAAATTGGATGTAACTCTGAATTAAGCTCTGAGCTAAGAGATATTATAAAAGTCACTAGAAGAATACCAACACTGAAAGCTGCTTCTGTGAAAAGAGGGGATGGACTTTCTCAGTATTTAAATACTTGCGAATTTGTCTACGTGCATTCAGTATGCAGACAAAAATATATCAATAAAGGATGTATTACTGCTTATTTAAAAAAAAGAACACCACATCAACATGCTCTCCACCTAAAAAAAAACTGCGAACGGCTACTTCTATTGATTTTGATTGGAAAAATAAGTGCTTTTTATGTGAAAAAGAGGCGGATGAAATGAAGGAAAGAAGAAAGTCCAAATCGGTAAGACAGCAAATCAGCTACGTAACTACTTCTGAGTTCAAGCAAACTATTTTAACAAAATAAATACGAACAAAAAGTTCAGATTTTCACGAAATTATATATTATGACATGACAATTGTTTCGACAACACCGTGTCTTTATCAAATGTGTACACATTTGATAAAGACACGGTGTTGTCGAAACAATTTGAAGTGAAAATCTGAACTTTTAGTTCTTATTTATTTTGATAAATGGATTTTCATTAAGTAAAAGCCACCTCAGTTCAATCAAACTATTTTAAATTTGATAAGCGAAGAGAAAAGCGAATATTGTCGCAATATCCATAAAAGAATTGTAGGTGTGTTAGATCTAGCAGCTCAGGAAGCTAAGTATCACGCGGATTGTTATATGCGTTTGAAAACTACCGTAAAACAGACCCAGAGGGATAAAAAAATTCATCCAGTCAGTCATACAAGTAGATGCAGCAATGGAGCAGATTTTCAAATATATTGAAGAAAATGATGACTGCCAGTTTTCACTGGCAGAATTAAAAAGTATTGTGACAATTGATCATATTCCTGATGATAAAACGATAGAAATGAGGTTAATGAGGATAATATTGTACTCTCCGGTAAATTTGGATCTAATACAATCATATGTTTTAAAAAACAACAATATGAAATACGTCAGCTTTTTTTCAACGTAGCGAAAACGTGTTTTGCAAAAAATTTCGAAAAACGAACGGACTTGCAAAATGCTGCGACAGTTTTTAAAAATGCACTCTTGCTTTATATAATGCCCCCCAAAAAATAAAAGATCTTAATGCATTGCGATATAACTCTTTTTTGAAAGCAACTGCCAAAAATACCTGCGCTAAACTGCCGTCCTTACCACCTACTGCAGATGCCGCTATTGAACACTTCAAAAGAGTATATTTACTAGTTCAAACATGGTTCGGAAAAGAAATATTACCAGAAGAATGGGGTTGGTAAAATGAACGCGGAATATCGATACCGCAAACAATGACGCAGCGACCAGCTCCAATAATCTTTACTATTGGGTTGTTCGGAAAGTCATTTCGTTTTTTTTTGGGAACATGAAAGACAGTTTTCGTATAATGAATAAATATTTTATTAAATTATATATTGGCCATTCTGGTCCAACACCTTTTGCCATCTTTCTGGCAGTAACATAATTCCCCTCTCATAAAAGTTTTGGTCCTTGCTGGCAAAAAACTGGTTCAGGTGGTTTTCGACATCTTCATTTGAGGTAAAGGTTTTGCCATCCAAAAAATTTTGCAGGGACCGGAACAAATAGTAGTCGGAAGGCGCCAGATCTGGAGAATATGGTGGATGTTGCGGTACGTCCCATTCAAGCTGTAAAAGTTTTTGGCGAGTGACCAAACTTGTGTGAGGTCTCGCATTATCCTGGTGGAACACTACACCCTTCCTGTTGATTAATTCGGGCCTCTTCTCTTTAAGTGAATCATTCAATTTGTCCAGTTGATGACAATAGACTTCTGAATTAATCGTTGTATTGTCCGGCAAAAGCTCAAAAAAAACGATTCCTTTGACATCCCACCAAACGGAGAGCATGACCTTTTTTTGGTGAATGTTGGCTTTTGACACGCTTTGAGCCGGTTCATCTTTTCTGCTCCATGACCTCTTGCGTTTAACATTGTTGTATACAACCCATTTTTCGTCCCCAGTAATAATCCGCTTCAAAAATGGATCATTTTCTTGACGTTTGAGGAGCGAATCACACACGTCAACGCGACGACACAAATTTCGCTCCGTAAGGACATGGGGCACCCACACATCGAGCTTCGAGGTTAAGCCCATACCTTTCAAATGGCCATAAACAGTCGAATTCGACAAATTTAATCTCTCACCGATCTCTCTTGTGGTTGTTCGCCGATTTGCATCAACTAATGCCTTTATCGCATCTTTGTCAGCTTCGACCGGCCTTCCAGACCGTGGTGCATCTTCGACATCAAAATTGCCGGATCGAAATTTTGCAAACCAGTTCTGGCACTGGCGTACTGTTAACACGCCTTCTCCATACACATCCGTCAATTTTTTTCTCGCTTGGACAGCATTTTTACCTTTTCTGAAGTAAAAAAGTAAAATATGACGAAAATGCTGCTTATTGCTCTCCATATTTAAAAGGGCACCAACCAAAAACTACTGCGTAGAATTAATAGAACTTTTTCACACACAAGCCTTGCAATATCAGCTCTCAAGACATATAATGGTTATGCGGCTTAAGTGTGAAGTTGGTTTCGAAAAAACGTAATTAAGTCCTCTGACGGGAAAAAACGAAATGACTTTCCGAACAACCTTATAAAAATTATTATTTGCGCGTGCAAAACAGGATGTGGAGCATCTTGTGGGTGCAGGAAAAGTGGATTGAACTGCACTGCAGCTTGCTTAGAATGCAATGGTGCTAGCTGTACTAATCCTTTACCTACAATCTACATCAACGAAATCGACGACGACGACGACAATAATGAACAATAATCGATATAGTTAAGGTTAAATTTAACATTGAATTTACTCTGCAAACATAATTTATTACATATAAAATTAAGATCTTTACTGTAAACATTTTTTCCCCATTGCGCCTTCCATTTTTCAGTAAATTGTTTATAAAAGTTGATGTAATCGAGATCGGTCAATTTTTTTTTACATTTTTATTTGAGGTTTTAATAATGCAGTCAAACACTTGTTATTCAGATTCATTGACTGGCCCTGGGTTCCGAGATTTTACCATTTTTATGCCTTACGGCGCTCCACTACTACCCAGATAGCACAAAATATCCTCAGTATATCCGGTCAATGTCCGTTTTAAGCTCCGGGACATGTCGAGAATATTCTGAGAAGCAAAATACTTAGTTTTTTTATATTTGTGGTGTTTTGGGAGACATTTTATTGGCAACGTTTTTGTGCGACGTCACTACTAACCATCCCAATAGGAATATTAGATTGCAAGCCAAGGACAAGTGAATCCGCAGACTCGTCGTCTTAAAACGTGGACCGAAAACTGCACCGCTATTGCGATGCGGGCACTCGTATTTCATCACCGTAAAGAAGAAAAAATTGAACGTGAAAAGCGGACCCATAGCGCAGGCGTAACAATCCGACACTTTCCGCGAATCCCAGAAACGAATTTTCAATGGAACTTTCATTCTTTTGCGGACGAGACGAATATAAACGACAAACTGGATCGAACCGGTCTAATCTGGTTTATTTGTCTCTATAATTTGCCTTTTGTTTGCATAGAGGATATTCGAGCTATTTTCTATTTACTTTTCTTTTTGATCAAATACGAAATTGATGAGTACAATAGGTAAAGTAAAGCCTTGTTTAAAAATAAAATACATTAACATAATGACAAGACTTATTTGCAATTTCGTTATATAATGGCAAAAATTGGTCAGATAAAAAAAATGCTAGTTCAAATTGAATAAAATTTGTTTCTACTTTTTAGGTATAGTAAAATAAACGCCCGAGTGAAATGAGCTTTTTTTTTATTGCTAAGAATAAATCTGGCAATTAGCAACTCAACACTTATTTTTTAATAATGGGTATGATCCCCCATTGCCCTAATAACATTGGGCATACATAGATCTAATCTATAAGCTCTGGGATCGAGGTTGGGGTACGAAGTCTATATATATATATATAATATTCGACCGGATTGAGGTCGGGACTGCATGCTGGCCTTTCCATAACTCGACAACCCACTTCTGTAATGTAATCTTGCACGATCCTTGCGATGTGCGACAGTGCATAACAATGAATTATTCTCCAATGTAGTCGGCATGTCATCTGATAAGATATTAAACCTGTTACGACACGTTTCGATTGTTTAACCGAGATCAGCACTCCTGACAAAATTAAAATCATAGTAAGCGATATTATATTCATCATTTTAGAACCTTCAAAAATACGTGAATAATATTCTACGCAAAGATAATAATAAATATAACATTTTGTGCTTTATAACAGTTAACAGTTTACTACATCAAAACAAAATTGTTAGGTTGATTGTTTAGTTAATTAAATTTAATTTTAATTAATAGACAAATATTTAATTATTTAACTTAATTGACCATTATCAAGATCAAGCCAACATTTGATTTGTCGAGTGATTAAATATTTTCAATAAGACCAATATTAATCAAGTAGTATCTTTTTCAGTAGATCTTCGAGGATAATGAAAAAAAAAATAAATTTGCTTGGACGGGGTTAAAATATGAAATTTATTCAAGAATTATGTATATACATCAAGTTGAAGATCCGGGTGTTAGAAATTTGGGATTATAGGGATCGCCTGGTTCCCTGGACAATTTTATGCACATTTCGCGGGACCTCATGATGAATATGAGCTGAGAACAAATCTCCTCCTCAAGTTCGAAATCGCCCAGATCTCTAGCGATGTACAGCTCCATGCATTTCTGCCAAAAATTTTAAGCATAACCCGACGAACAAATAAGGAAATTGCGAGTCACCTGATAAATTCTGTCGACGTACGGCATATCCTGGATCCATATGTCGTTCACTTGTCCGTAGATGCCTCTGACGAAACCAAACACCATCATAAAGTAAAGCAAGTACATGCCGATCACCCTGGAAAACCGAAAAATTAAAGTCTAAAGCTTGATTTTCAGGATGCAATCAAATCAATTATAGTATGTTATGTTAAGCAACAGGTTTAATAAAAGCTATTTTGGTCATGGGGTTGTGTAGAGAGTACTTAATGAATCAGCTTCTGAAGAATTTTGCCATAAGTAGCATTCACTGAGTGTTGTGTGATGTGACCGTCAGAATTTTGATTTACAAACCCGTGACTAAAGTGTCTGAAATGTCTAAAGTGAGTCACAAAGATGACCTTTTAAAGAGACAGTTGGGTAAAATTGGGTATTTTAAATTAGACAGTTTAAAAATGTACACTCCGTGCCAGTCTCACATTTAATTTTGCTGCCAAAATGCTAATTAAAAGTTGTAACACTGCTATTTTCGATTCCGTCTTAAGGTTAAGAGGATCGATTTCTATTTTTTTCCGTATTTTTCAGGCTTCGCGGTCACTAGTCTTAACATCTGAGATCAATGAAACAGGTTTGATAATTAGTCTGGTAGTAGTGATTTATTTTAAGGTTATAGATGTTACGAAAACTATCTGTCCCAATTAATTTTTCAAAAAAACTTCCACAGGCCGCTGTAATACTTTTTACTTTTTAAAAACTCGCTCCGCTCGTGTCAAATAAACTCGTGAGTCACGACTGTTTTAAACTGGTGCGCAGCACTTGTGCAAAACATCTGAAATCTGAACATACTCATAATTATTACGGATTCGTCGGGTCTCGTATCACGTGTTACGTAACATACTCACCCCCCACCCGTGACGATGGTCAGTGTTTCGGGTAATATTTTATCGCTCAGGACGTACAGCGTGATATAATCGCAAGAGTTGTGTATCAATTTCTTTAGGTAATATTTGTAATTTAGCTCGTTCGGGTTGCAATCCTCCCTCATCTCCCACCACATCTTGCCGTGCTCGTCCTTCCTCATTATGGCGAGCAGATTCCTGAAGGTGTCCGGTTTTCTCGTTTGGTTCTCCGGTACCGAGCGAGGATTCTCCATCACTCCGCGTATCGGCACGATTTTGCCATTGTCCATGACCCGTACGAATTTCGGTAGTATATTACGCAGTCTGATTGGAGTGGACGACGATTCGGACTCGGTGAGCATTTTGGCGAGGGTTAATCTATCCGGGTCGGGTGCGGGCGGCAGCAAAATAATGTTGCTGGCGTCAGTCAAGGTCTGAGATTCCCCCGAGGGCGTGTTTCGTACGATCGTTATCCTCAGCATCGCGCTAAATGGCGCGGCAGCTGAAAGAATTTAAACTACAAATCGAAGAAATCATATAATATAATATAGTGGCCCTAGTACGGTAAAGAAAATAACCCGCACCGCCATTTTCTTTCGAAACACCGATTTCCGATGCCGCATCCAAACTTATTGGCATCTGTCACCGGCCATGTTGGTTGTCGAATGCCGCACGCGCATGTTGGATGAACCTACTCAATTTCAAAAGTTCCTGTACTATTTGAATCTACTTTTCTAGTAGCTATATCGAGAAACCCGATATTCCTGACGATACCTTTGTAGTCTTCACTTATTATTACCTAAGTAACTAGTGTTAAAAATGAAACAACGGGAACAAAGAACGGTGTCTCTCGAAGCTAAAATATCCACAGTAACTGTTCACCTAAGCAACTCTTTCTTATCATGTATTCTAAACGCCTTTCAATTGCAATTGAAAAAATCAATAGTTTCAATCGACAATCATATAGAAATGAATATTGGATATTATTTTAAGTGATACAATAAAGAAGATATTTTTTATTGGTAAATACTGAAATAGAGTATGAGTCATTGATATCGCATAACGCTATTTTTCAAAAACCACATTGACATTAAGATTTTGGAAAAATGCGTGGACTATACTTATTACTTGTCAGTCTTTCTTGGAGCAATTTAGTTTCTTAATACCTATGTCGAATGTCGAGTGGATCCAACACTTGAAGGTAGTAAATAATGACATTCTTTTTAACCTTCATTTTTCATATAGTTGAAGATTACGACGAAATTGCATATATGTTGAGAAAACTATATGAATATAAAAAGCGTGGTCTCCTTTAAAGCAGAATATGTCGTAGTTGGAGGAAAAGCAGAAGAATCCAAATATGTACAACTTGACGTAGAAACTATCAAAAACACCAAAATGTACAGATACCTCGAAGATGGAACAGACAGAGATAAAGACAAGAATAGCCAGCAGACAAGGCAATAGAAATGGAGACAAGCTCACCACTAAAGTAAGAAACAACAATGTCAGAGAACGGATGGATTTGACAACTAATGTAGAGAAGTCTTGGAGAACACGAGTCACTTTAAATATCATACCCGAATGTTATTCGAATTTATTCAAAATACAAAAATGTACACTTGTTTACGAGACTCAAGAACTTCCTGTCGGCAGAGAAATACACTAATTTTAAAATCAGTGTACAAAGCGTCTGTCCACTATAACAAACAAATAAAAACTATTTTTATACTATTTGAGAACACGTCTTGCTGTCAATAAAAAAATATTTGACGTAAGTCTTTAATTTTTTTTCGCAGCCTACTAAGATATATATTTAAAAGAAGACAATGTTTTATCGTGATACTTGAACTGCATCTATGTCAGGCCGGGAAATTTTGGCGCTAACCTCGTACCTCCACACTTTTGAATTTTTGTATACATCATTTTTTTGTATACATCATCATTTAATTGTGGAATTTTTGTATTTCGCGTAAATCAACAACTCGACATATAATACGCTTAAAAAAAATTGAAGCCATTCCAGAAGAGACTCAGTGCTTATCTGACCTTTCTGTTATTAAAAACGATTTCTCTTCTTCCTTCCAAATGCTGGCGGGATAAATTTGCTAGTTGCATAGCAACAAGACAATCATCTGATTACAGTGTCAGGTTCCGATAACGAAATGTTTCCAACTTGTTTTTTTCCCACCCTTAAAATCAGTTAAGGCGGCTTCTTTGAGGTTTGAATTGAAAACCGTGGTTGCCATATTTTATCGTAAATATTTGGGTGACTCTTCTTACCTGGTATACCCTTTTTGCCCCAGTCAACCGTGTGATATACGCAAAAGGTCTGGGATACTGTGAAATTGAGGAAGCAATGGAATGGAGCACTAAAAATGATTGTGACAAATCGACAAAGATAGAAGTTTAATGCTTTAATGTCACTCATGCATAAAATTCGATTGAAGTATAATTAAGTATCTGTGATTCATATATTTTGTATTTGTTCAAATCGACTAGACTTCTGTTCAAAATTTAGTTCTTCTTTGCCTTATTTTTGCAAGAAAACTGTAATGTTATGTAGTTTATGGTTGAATATGCTTTCTACACTGTACGAAAAGTTTCGGTCCTATTCACTGCTTCTATTTTGGACTAACTAATCAATATTTAATCCACAATATTTTTGGATCTGCACAGAAACAACGTTTAGACGTGCTACTAAACGTCTTCATGGTTTCTGTAATTCTGTAATTTTAAAATATAATAATATTAATAATAATTATAGTTATTATTTTTAAAATTTTCAATAAATTGCAATTTAATTTTAGTCCTGCTCCCCCTGTCTGCTTTTCATTTTACTTAATTTGTTTAATATTTTTTTCTATCTGTTTTTTTGAAAGAGTTGTCCATTTCTACTTTGTTTCGCTGCAGGCACCAATAATATATTCAAGTTGATTTGGTTCAGTTCCCATATCACCTGATTCCCCGTCCCTTCGTGGCCATTTAATGCGAATGTTCGCTATTTGACAACTTACAGTTGACTTCGTCGACCAGTTTCTTATAGTCGATGGGCGAAATGGTCCACAACCGCGATGCGTACGTCTTGAGCCGTGTGGCGACTATATCTTCCGGTCCGAAATCATCGAACGTTTTTTCCGCGATATCGATATTGTTGAAGGCAAGCTGCATCGCTTCGTAGTCCTCCTGGTCGAACCTGATCAAATCCGACGTAAAGATCCACGTGGCCGCCTCGTAATAGCCCAGGTTTAATTTCAGACCGACCAGGATGACGGTGGAAGTCTGACTGACTGATCGTCCCATTGAGAATATCACGAGAGGCGCGATTATGATGAGTATGAGGAAGAGGAGGCGGCATCCGCCTGTCAAGTACTTCAGATTTTTTCCCCTCGCCCTCCCCCCTGCCGGTATCTGAACTCCGCCCGCTTCCTGCTCACACTGACACTCCACGTTAAGGGAACACCCATCGTTGAAAATTCCTCGCTTACCTTTTGCAGGTATATGTTCGAAGTGATGTCCTCGACTTTGAACCACTCGCTGACGGTGAGGGAGGTGTCGGTGCACGTCCAATCGATGAGCGTCCTTATCTCGAAAATGTACGGTATAACGGAATAGAGCTGGAACGCTAGCGCGTTGAACATTCCGTGCGCCTTCCAAAGGCAGTGCCCGTAAATCCTCAACGGATACCCCCTGCCTATCTGATGCGCCGAAAGCAGGAAGTAGACGCATTTGAAAAAATAAAACACCTGCAGGGGTCTGGTGTGCTGAAGCCACCTGAAATTCGTCTAGTCAAACCCAACTATGATCCGTAAGTTGCTGAACGTACCTCTGAGCGGTTAAGGGGATCATAATCAGCAGTAATCCGTGGAACAGGATCACCTGGGTATAGTGGAACACTAGCTTGCCGAATCTGTTTTTCCGCAGGTATAGCCACCGATCGATCAGCATTAGACCGAAATATGCGAGGGTGACTATAACGAACTTGACCGAGATCGTATTTTGAGAAGCGTAGTCGATGAAACCGGTTTCTTCCGATTGAACCTGAAACCGATCTATATTTCAAATAACCTGAAGACACTTAGAACTTTGAAGACATTTAGAGATCGAGGTTACCTCTGGAGTGACGAGGGTAGGGTGAAAAGATTTCGGCCTGATCAAAAGGTGGCGCCACTAGGTTTACTTTTGCAGCAGAGCGTACAGTTCCATTCATACCAAGCTTGTATGGACAGTTTACGTTGTTTTCGTGAATGGAAAAGCTGGAAGAAAGTGCTGGCATCTAGTTGAAAGGTTTTAAACCAAAACACATTAAAGAAGAGATGGATTTAACACAACATACTCAACTAGCAGTGGGTTTCTGAATTCCATGGGAAATGGGGACCCATTGACGTCACATCTTCAAAAATGATTGAGAAAATCTATCAAATAACGATGGGAGACCGCATGTTGAAAGTGCATGAAGATAGCTGAGACCTGTGCGAAATATTTTGCACACAAAGAACAGTCAAAACAGTGAGTTGCAAAATTGGAACCAACTCGAAAGAAGGCTAAAATAATTTTATCGGCAAACAATTATATAAATTGATTATGCTGAAAAGGGACAGACAATCACTGGTCAAATTAAACGACCTTATTCGTCAATTTTTGCCATGTCCAAAATTCACGAATTGATGCCGCAACCTCCCTAGTCCCCAGGCGTAGCCTCCAGCGACTATTACCTGTTTCCTAACCCCAAAAAATACCTTGGCGGTAAAAGTATTTTTAGTATTTTGAAAAGCTTGACGAATCTACGTTTAAAACTGATATAACTAAACCAGAACACCGTTATAAGAAATGTATCAGTATTGATGAAGATCATGTTCAAAAATAAAGCAAAAACAAAATTTTTTTTCTTGCTCAGGCCGGAAACTTTTCACCCCACCCTCGTATATCAACCAAAATGTACTTATATATACTTATCTAATTTATAAACGACTTTAAAGGCAATTTTTGTACCCAAGGCAGTAATTTAATGTTTTTAATATTTCCTAATCCGTCGCATCTCCTCGATGCATTAGAGAGTTTAATTATATTTCACTTTTCATTCTCAATTTACGGTATAGGTCCTTTTTCATTCATTTTAATGTCGGGTACTAAAAAAGTAGCCGTTCCCTATCTTCAATCAATCCTTACTTGATGAGCTTAACAAACCGCTAAGCTCTGATGAAAATTAGATAAAATCTTCGACTTTACAAAATAGTCAGCTGGTTTCGTTTTATTCTTGAATGAATTAACTTTAAAATTGTACACTTACATCGAAAGATTGGAAGAAAAAGATGAGCACGAAGAAGTTGACCAGGTCGCAAAGGAACATCGGAGTGTAAACGTCGTCAGGCACTTGTAGCGAAGGCTGAATCAGTTGCTGCATGAACAACAGTATGATTTCTCCGTATTTGCGTGCTCTGGAATTTCGCAAAATAAAACAGGCAAACCTACGAGTTGGTCCCATACCCATCGATAACAGATTTGGGGAAGTAGTCGCCTAGAGCAATGTCCCTACTGTTTATGTTGAATATTTTCATCCTTTGGCGCGTTTTTGGCGTTGTTTTTGCATCAGTACTAAAACGGAATAAAAATATAGGTCAACAGAGGTTTTTGTTGAATGCTAGGGCACCTCTGCGCAGCCCTGTAGGGTTCCAGCTGTCCGTCCCGAATAACGTAGTCTCCGTCTGCTAGCAACGTCGATGTGCGATATTCTGTCGATTTCCAAAGTCCCAACCTAACGGAGCAACGTAGCAAACACCGTGATTATAATGATTTCCTTTGTTTAAATGTCTTTGTAAATGCAAACTAAGACCGAGAACGCGTTCATCATTACTTTAATAAAAACACCAAATACTAACTAATTAATAAGTTAGTACAAAATTAACTTTAACAATATTTCGATTTTTGAAATTATGCTGCACGGTCCAGGGGCGCGCAAAACAAAATTTTCCTAAACTTTTATACAGCATACCGATTTTGGTATTTTAATTCACCCGCAATATTACAATGTAATGGCAAATGTAATGCCTCTGTTAACATAAAATGATCTTAGATACAAATAAACAGACAAAGGATAGAATTGTTTAAATATTGTTAGCGTCCTCTTGTTCTAAAAAATTATTGCCAGCTTTCTAACTAGGCTCTAAATCCACGTAAAAAAATATTTACTTCTTTTTAACTAACATGTGTAGTTAGTGAGATCTATGTGATGATTGCCCAATTATACAGGGTATCCCTTTTAAGTGGTACCACTACTGAAAGTTAGTTTCCCATTCAACGCTCACTTACAGTGTTTTCAAATGTCTTTTAGTTTAGTTTAGAGAGCAATTTCCTGAGGATTTTAACTGCTTCCACTAGTATACTAAAGAATGGCAAAACCCACCAATTTATCTGCTAATATTCCTACCTTTGTCTATTACACCCCGACGTCGTACCAATTACCGGATAATTACAGTAATTTTAACTAAAAAACAGGATCGGATTTTTGAAAAATTGCCACGAAAAATTATTACGCGATATTACTCTAGAATTAGTGAAAGTGTACCAAATGCATCGACAAGAAAAGAAGAAATTATCAATTGACTGCCCAGTAAGTGGATTAATTACCCAGGAGTTGGTAAAAATTATCAAAATATTACAAAACATGATGATACAGACGAACTAAATACTGAAATGGATAATCAAGTTTTAAGATTACCATTGTATATTTAATGAATTGCTGAGTGCTAATATGCTAATATTGCAAGTGAGGCAAGGCATTTTTAAAATTTTTATTGCATTTTTGAGTTGATTTAATCATTATTGTTTCATGTAGATTCACCTACTTATATATTCGCATATCATTATCTTTTATTACATCTCTAATTCCGTCTCTCTTACTCCAAAGTAATATAATCGTAATCGTTAGTTGATCAGGTAGATCTTAAGGGCGGAACACCATCTGTTGAAATTTATGTGGGAGCAAGATAAACAATTCTGACTATATTTCAGAAACAGTTTTCATTTTAATAAACACATTTCTCTCCTGACCTTACCAACGCAAAATCGTCCTGTGAAAAAACAGAAGGGACAACAGCACCAAATCGAAACCGATTTTCGATTCGGTGTGAAGGCCGAGGAAATGGGGCGGATAAAACGGTCCGACGTTTTGCTGCTCGCTCCACGGCAACGGGTGCAGTCTGAACAGCGCTTTGATTATCAACATAACCTGAAAGTAGTCGCATAAGATCGCGCGCGACAGCAATGCGAACTAACCAGGACGTAGGAGATGATCGCGACCCAAAACATCCTGGTCGGTTTTGGGATGACCAACGTGCCCCAGCAGAACACCAGGAGCGGTAACGGGACCGAACAGAAGTCGTTTACCACCGCTTGGAGGAGGATTATGATCAGGTAGCACCACCACTCCGAACGCGTGAGTAGAAAGTGCCAACAAGCGAGGTAAAGTTTTCCGAGTATGGAATAGTTGATCGGGTCGACTCCGTGAGGCACCTGATCTTGCCTAAGAGATTTTATATGGTGAATTTTTACAGGTTAATCATGTCGGGATTTGCTTTCTTACTGCGAAGTAATGGTTACGGAAATAGAGTAAAAATGTAACAATGTTGGTTAATTTTTACTAACTTTAATAGCAAAAACCACTTTAAATAAGTATTCCTATGAAACCTGTTTTCACAATTGAAATTTGTTTATTCTCCTGGAAAATGGTTGCATTCTGAGAGATATTAGAATACCATTTCTGTGAAAAAACAAAACCTTAACCGAATTTCAATAAAAACAAACAAAATATTCATTGGGGTAGTAGTTACGACACACATTGGATGATTATTTCGACCCTCTGAAATTCTAAAAACTAATTTTTTTAATTTAAATGTCTTTTGCTACGCGAACCTAAACAGTAGCCAAAAACTGTTATATCTATGCAGCTACTATACATATGGAGCCGTTCCTATGCTGATCACACAGACTTTTTTGAAGCCAACATCAAAAAATGTTGAAAGAGGGCATACAACATGGCCAATACTTTCAACATTATATGGTTTATAAAGCAAATGTGTTTTTAATATTATATTTATTAATTAACTTCTGATAGATTAGTGACGATGCACGACTTAATCTAATTAATAAGGATTTTAAAAATACACTAAAAAAACTTGATATGACAGAACTTTACTTGTTTGCAATGGCCCATAACTCAACCCCTTATAAGAAAGTACCCTTTATAAAGTTCTCCAAACAATATACCATTTTTACGACATAATCCGGTATTTAACTTTGGTAAATTTTTATTTCATCAATCAATCATCAATTTTATTCATGGTCAAAAGCTAGATTGATAAAAACAGCAATTTTTGTACTAAAGGACGTTGATTGAAAAACTCGGTTCTTATAATTGGCTCACGTCGATTTCAATAATTCGCTGTACGATTCGGACGGCTGCCATATTTGATTTGATGTCGCCCTCCTGCCGACGTAATAATCCGTTTTCATCAGCACGAGCCGTTCCCGCTTCATCTCTTCCAAAATGTCTCTCAGATCGCTCGATTTGTGGTTCAGGAATAACGTAAAACTAACCACGCAAGCCTCTATAAATCCCCAAACGACTTTGACAATGCCGAACGAATCGTGAGGTTCCTCCACTAATTCGATGTCGTCCGCGTCGCTGCTGGTAGTCGCTCTGTCCTCTTGAGGAACCGACGCCTTACCCAAATCTTCTCCCTGAAATGTGGTACGTGTTCAAAGTTCAAGTGACTCCTCTTGACTCGAAACTTTCAGACATTCCCGCATTTTCGATTCGTTGTTCCGTTTTTCCGAAAGAACCGGAAAAATACAATTCCCGAACAATCCTTTCAGTTACTTAGCGATATTAAAAAAAGAAAGGTGGATTCGGAATGTCGAGTTTTTACCCAAGAATGGATGTGCTTTCTTTGCAATACAACTGTTGCAGTTTTAAAAGAACATAACATTCAACGCCATTTCAAGAGCAAACAAGAAAACCACTACTACTCATCGGTAAGTGAAGAGGTGAAAAAAATTAGTCAACACAATATTGCTAAATCTAGTAAAGCATTTTCAGATGGAGGTATTATGTGCCCTGAAAATAAAAACGATTTTCAGTCACTGTCTCTCTCAGGAAGAACACAATCACCGAGAGAATTGAAAATATTGATAAAAATCTAATTTCACAACTGACTACAAAAATTCAAAAATTTATTTTTTATTCAATTACCATGGACGAAAGAACAGATATCAGCGATACTGCGCAGTTACTCGTATTTTGTAAGGGGAATCAACGCCCACTTTGAAATTACAGAAGAAGTTTCTTGACGATATTTGGCAATACCTGAAGAGTTTTAAATTACAGTTATTATTATTTACTAATCAGATCTCTAAATCTGATTTTCCAAGAATACAATTCTTAAAATTCACTATATCAAACAATAAGATTATCAAACAAACTTTTCATACAGTACCATTACTAAAATTTTATAAAAATTTGAGTCCAGATAATATCCCAAATCTAATTACTCATGCAATGAAGATAATGACAATGTTCGGCTCATCTTATATATGCAAAAAAATCTTTTCAACAATGAAGCTTAGGAGAACTTCTTTAAGGTGCAAAATTACAGATGAGCACCTTTCATCAGTTTTAAGAATTTCTGCTTCGCAAATGGAACCGGACTATGATGAAATTTTGATAAAACAGTCTCAATTTCATTTTTCTCGTGCACCATCAACCACTAATGACACCAGAAAGGAAAGCGGTAATATTTCACATCAAGAGCTACACTAAATTCATTTTATATTTTGTGCTTATATTTTTCTTACCTTTTGCATTTTTACTATTAAAATAGTATATGTAAACACATAAATTTTTTAACGATTGGCCCTCTACGATCGTCTAGTTATTACAAATGGCCCTTCTTAAAACAAGTCTCCCCGCCACTGTTATAGATTGTTGTTTTTATATATTTTGTTGTTATAGTTTCGCTACCAGTTTTATCATGTTTACGCTTTACTTTGTACTTGTTACACCAAACAGTTTTGAAAAATAGCGCATGACGCCTATCCGTTTTAACTTACGTTGTGCGCTGTCAAGTGACAGGAACTGGCCAATTGCTTGGGTTTTCTACCATAAGAGAATAAATATGCAAATCAAAAACGTTTAGATAAAATACATGTGTATACCGAGTTAGTAAAAAGTATCGGGACACTTAAATATCCAAAGCTGGAACGATAAAAATCATTTTTGAACATGGAGACGTTAAAAATGATGAAAGTTTCGAAATAAAATTTCAAAACTTTTTCTCTTAATTACGGAGCTATGGCAACACCGCCTCTTCTGAAAACAATACCGGAATAAGATATTCCATTTAGAATAACAACCAATTACCAATAACCAATTTTTTTTTAATTCTGCATGTTCAAAAGTCCCCAGATATTTATTTTTATCGTTCCAGCTTTGGCAGATTCGAAGGTATTTAGATGTTCCGGTACTTTTTACTGACCTTGTATGTTAGACGTATGTATGTTTCATATAAAATGTTAAAAACTTTAACCGACCGTCTGGGCCATTGCTAAAAACATCCGACAGTGTTGAAATATAATTGAAATCCTACCCGCATTCTTGCAGCTTTCAGAGTTCGCCTTTTATTCCTTTCCTTTAACACGCCACGGATTCCGTTTTGAGTCAATTCGATTAGAAACTAAAACCAAAATTCAATGCCGAAAGGGCATACAAATTTAAATTTTCTACCTCGCTAATTAACATCGGATCATACGGGTCATGATCTCGTTCATTATCGTCGCCTGTCTCGTACATCCAATCGATATCGTCATTGTCGATCTCGTCGAACAGATAATAATCCCCCGATTGCAACACTGAAATTCGTACAGATAAAATAGTCCAAAAATACCAAACGACCCTTTAATAACCCCTTAATGACGATTAATAGGCTGCTAGTAGTAGCAGCTTTTAGCTACAATGTAAAAAGGGGCACTTTTAAATCCGTATTCGTTGAAAATTACCTAGGAAATCTGGTGGAGTCCTTTGGTTCTTATGTCGATGTTCCCAACTTTTGTTAAATAATTTAAATTTATTAAAAACAGTCATTAAATACGAAATTTTGCAAAAATCCTCATAATAGTTACGACCATGGTTACCTTACTATGCTGGATTTCCTCATCTCAATCTATCAACACTACAAAATACTCCGGATTCATTTTAGTCACAAATATTTTGAATTTATGAAATTCAAGTACCAGATAATCAGATTTAGACACAAGTGTAACTTTAATTGGGCTAAATTGTGATGATAATGCGAGTCATCAGTACAATTAATGTTTCTACCTAAAAATTCTTGCTTTTTATTGCGTCTTTGTTTTCAAAAATTGAACTGTAGTGGCTTTTACTTGATGAAAATCCATTTATCAAAATAAATAAGAACAAAAAGTTCAGATTTTCACGAAATTATATATTATGACATGACAATTGTTTCGACAACACCGTGTCTTTATCATTTTGCTAAAGACACGATGTTGTCGAAACAATTGTCAAGTCATAATATATAATTTCGTGAAAATCTGAACTTTTAGTTCTTATTTCTTTGTTTTCAATTTAATCATGGCATTTTTTTTTAATTATAATAGGCAAAGATAAAAACAAACATCTACACAATAAAAAAATCACAATTCTAATAAGAAAAAAATAAAAGTTTTAACCTTTTTTATGTAAAGAAACTGCTAATTTGTTTATCAACACTAGCACTATATGAAGGTAAAAGTAGCAAAGGATTCTTTTCTTTTATGGCTAAATCTTTAAGCTGAAGATGTTTTTGTAAGGGGAAGGTACATTAAGTTAAGTTTCAGTTTTTTACAGATACTGCCAAATTTCCTAATGTAAGAATCCCTGGTTTGACAAAAACTGAATCACAGCAATATTTTATGGCTGGAAATCACTATTTCACGATTTGGATAGAGTTTCGGAGATACCAATTCGATAGACAGTCGCAGATTCACTGCTTAATCATTGTTATTTTCAAATTTCTCGGGGAGTATCGAACTGAATCAAAGACCGTTAGTTTTTGGGTATATTTTCGCAAAACGCGAATACACTCACTGACAGGACCGTCAAAATTGACAAACGTCAAAATTCAAGGCGAAAATATCTCCGAAAATATCCGATTGCTCCCAATCCCGGAAATGTCCGAAGTGTCCCGCACGCTAGATCCGTGAATAATTAGCCATTTTACAGACGGGAGTAGAAAAAAACTTTTATTTCAAAATCATGCAAGAAAAACACTGACCAGAAACAATCTCTCTTCCGATTAAAATTCATTCTGCCGAGGGCTTTGTAATTAAGGGAAATGGGAATTTTATTTCTTCACAGTTAGGTGAAAGCAGCTTTATATACAAGGTGTCCCATTTGTAAAAAGATGTGCCGTTTTTATAGTTAGACAACGAATTTCCTCAATTTAGCCCACCTTGCATTATGTTTTGCAACTTAGACTTGGTTGATAGCTAGTGTCTAGTTTTTATTCTCATGTACTAAGACACAAATAAAAATTCGACACCCTCCAAAATGTATAGACCATTTCTACGCTTTTCATTCCACAACTTACCCCGAATATGGTTTTGCTTCCTGCTAAAATAGTTCTCGCCCTGCACTCTTACGTGAACCTTTCGAATCTTCTCCATTTTCCGCTTCATTTTGTCCCTTATTTGCTGATCTTCTTCGTCGATCGCCTTCCTCTTCTTCAAGTCCATCGCTTCTATCAATTCGGCACCTGAATTCAAGCAATAGACATCGTGTACTCGTCATATTGAAAACCTACCCCTGAACGCCAAAATGGTAAATATTTTCTCGTCGTTGACTATGTGGAAGAAATTGTAGCTGTAAAACAGTCGCCTCTGCGCCAACAACAAACAGAAACAGATTATATCCCATCCGAGTCCCATGTGTTCGGTCTGAAGTTGGCAGTTGGTCTCCATCTTGAGGTCGGGCACGTCATCGACGTCGCCGAATCTGTCCACGCAGCCCACGGCGAGCAGATGAAACACGTAACAATGTCCTTCCAGATAGTAATACGCCAGGATGCAGCCCAGAAGCTGGCTTCCCACGCGCAGTATCATGACGACGATAGTGTAAGCAATCAGTAGATTCCATCTGAAAAAGATCATTGCTACCGCTGGAGGAAGTCTCCTGTCCGCCGGTCACCTCCGTATGATCGAGTTTATGGGTCTGAGGTACATTTCGCTGCCTTCCCAAAGGAAAATGCAAGCGAGGCTGAGGTACCCGAACGTGTAGATGCCCAGACGCATAGCCCCGGCGAGGTACATCGAAAACAACGACACCGAACACAGGGAGCACAGAAAACTCTTTTTGATTACGTCCAAAACTGACCTGAAAGCACACCCACGACTTGCAAATTATCCCACCGTAACCCACTCCTTCCTACGTTGCGTTGCTGATAAAATCTGGTACCGGATTGGTGAAACGCTTGTTTTCGATCAAATGGACGACGCTTTCGTTGCTCCCGCCTGGGTATGCCTCGCCGGTGTAGCTCTTCTCGATCCGGAATACCCGCCACTGGTCGACCATGAGGAGGAGTAGTACAAAGTCGAGGAGGAGTTTTTTTATTTTCGGCGGATACGCGTCGTTTCTGATAAACAACCACTTCTGGAGACGGATATATATTTCGTGCTGGTTCCAGTATTTCGTAACTGATGGGAGAACAATCACGGTTGCTGCAGATTCTCGTTTCGGATTTATATGATGGATATTGCGGTGAACGCTTTAAAAATATTTTCATTTCGAATATGCAGGGGTCTATTATGGTTGCATTTAAAAATTGCTTTCTTATTGTACAGAGTGGTCCAAATTCGAATCAGGGAAGGTTTAGTTTTAACGTATGGGGAATTTTAAATGCCGAAAGGTACCAACAAATTCTAGAAGAGCAGGAAATTCCTTTTATGGACGTCTTGCCAATACAGCAAAAGCTATACTTTCAACATGACCGTGCACCACCTCTACTGGAAGGGAATTGGGAAGAGGCACATCGTACCGCATTCACTCAACTTCTTAATGCGTAAAATTGCGTCAAGAGAAGATGTAGGATACGTTTACAAGAAAAGGGCCGTCAATTTGAGCATTTGTTTTAGAAAGAAACTTGTTAGATGTAGATTTTAAGTGTTAGATAGTTTAACTATTAAAAATTTTAAATAAAAAAATTGCTTTTAACAATTTTATTTCCGTTTATCATTTTAGGGTCGGTAATTATTGTAAATTAGAAGTTAAATGCGAGGTTGCTGTATCCCCTCGTGTCGTAGAAAACTTGATTGTGCATAAAAAAAACAATATAATTGCATCTACACATTTAGGGTGCGCAAAAATATATTTTAAACTATTTAAAAAAAAAAATTATTAGAAAACTGATTTTTTTCAAAAATTGGGCAGAAATATAGCTTTGTGTGATATCCAGGGAAGTAAAGGCGCTAAAACGAAACGGGTAAAATAGAGAGATTCCCGCTTAAAGAAACTTTTTTCCTAAAACTCTGTTCTTGCAATTAAAACAGTTATAGAGGGCCTTTAAAATCGCACATTTTTGAGAATCACCGTGTAGCTCAAAAACGCCTTTATGCGGTTTTCAGTTTTGCAAATGCTTAGAGCCATAGAGGCCTATCGAATTTGGATCACCCTGTACAAAATAAATAAGAACCAAAAGTTGAGATTTTCACAAGGTGACACGCGGTAATAATAAATGGATCTTCGTCAAGTAAAAGCCACCTCAGTTCCACCCTGTACACATTATCCCAAATCGAGTTGTGGATTCCATAGATCTTGTGGCCTACTTACTGTCGCAAGTGCTAGGAGGCCACCCCAGGGCGCTATAGTACTGGTACATCAAGGAAATAGCCAGGCCGCAAGTGAGGACGGGCCATATTTTCGCCAACGTCGCTCGACTCATCGCGAACACTATCAAGAGTACAATCGAATAGATGAGCGCCATCAAGTCCATGCGAAATCTCATCGCTATGGTGCACATCCCGAAACAAATCTGTGCAATCGCAAACGGTCAATGGCATCATCCGTTAAAATGGCGCATACGTATACTTCAAGGCCGAATTTATAGAATCCGTAATCGGCCAAATACTTGACCATGTTAAGGAAACTGGCGTGGGAGTTTCCGAAGTTCACCTCGGGGAACATGGCGGCAGGTTCCTCGGTGGATGAAATACCCGCTGCCATCCTACGGTTAAGGTGCCTCAGCGCTGCCACCTTGTAGATGGTGGTGGTCGCGATATAGCTAAACGCCATTGAGTAATCCGTGGTCGACGAATAGACGCCGTCAGTTTTTGCTGAAAAACCGATCCATTCGGCTGTGTTGCGTGTAACGTTGTAAATCCGATCGCCTCGTCGCTAGAAAAATGACATACAGAAGCCGCAAGTCATACTAATACAGGAATAAGTTGCACAAAGCAGCATATAGAACACTACAGTTTCTTTGATTTATCGGACTGCCAGGCCAATCAACAGGTACACGCAGCTACCCAATTACAGAATGACGCAATATTGGTTTATATTATTTAACATTATACACGATTATTATTGTTAAAGCTTAACTGTGAATCAAGACCAATGAACGAGTCTTTTATTCATCTGTTTATTATCAAGCGTTAAGCCTGTAATAAGAATATATCGACTTTTATCAAGATTTAAGAATAATCTGCGGTTACGAGGCTTCGACAAAAGGGGACAATTTTTGGGAAATTGTGACGGTATACCTTCCGGCGCCGGGCTCTTTTTAGGAGTCAAATTGAGCAATATTTTTTCAGTAGAATTTTCCGAAAATCCAGATATGACAACACTCTCGTTCGTAGGAACTGATGAAATGTGGGACAGATATTTTTACTACCAGCACCATTAAAAGTTAACAACAGATGCATTTATTAAAAATTCTAAAGTAATTAAACAGTGTTGTAGTATAGCACAAAGAACTTCATTGAAATTTTTGGTAATTCTGTATATTTATCGCGATTTTTCCGACATCAAATCAAACGAAGCTCTGTTCGCTGGGTAATTTCTTTCACTATGTAAATTTTCCATTGATAAAAGCTGAGTATAATTGAGTACAAAGCTCCTTTTTTCCAAAAATTAATCAGATATATCCAAATTTTAAACAATATTGTTTTTCTAGACCAGGAATACTCTCTGTCTCTTTGCTCCGTCCAACAAATTCGAACATTAACTTTTTAGTTAAAAAAATTCAAAGGTCATACTGAAAATGTGTCTACTAATCAAATAAATGTTACATTACAGATTAACCTTATCAGTACTGCCTGAATCGCCAAATGTGCCGATACAATTAGGGACGTAGACACTTTCAGAGAAAGCAACTAGAACGCTGCCTGTGGTTGTACTAGAACTGGAGCTATGGAACCTCCATTACAATGTTTACTGATTTCACAACATAAGCGAAGTTTTCCAAGATTCAATAATGATAAGTTTAACTTATCCCTGATGGAAAAATATCTTTTTTTTCTGCTTATCGGCTTCCAGTTGAGTAGAGCAAAAAGGGGCATACTTACGAATTGACACGTGACGTCAAGTCTCCTATGATTTTGGGTAGTTAGAACGTACGCCAATTGGGACACCAGCGTCGCGCATACCACGACGGACGTAAAGTGGATTGCGAATCTGGTGGCCGTTTTTCCAAATAGCTGTGCCAGGCTTATCACGGCGACCACCACCATGAAAATGAAGCACTTGAAGAAGACGGCGTAAGACACGGCGATTACGAAGGCGACTTTGGGCAAGTGGAACTCGCATATCAAAAACAGGACGTTTATGAACTGGGAATAATCGCGCCTAATTCGGGACCAAGTGGAATCTGAGAAACAGTTGGCGTGTTAAAACTGACATTATTTTTTTAAATTAATGTATTTAACTTAACAAATAATAATGTGTAAAAAAGACTCACAGCTTAAAATCGGATGATCTTTAATATAGGTTAAGTTAAATTAATATCAGATGAATAGTTTCTAGAAAAAAAAACAGTGGGTCGATTTCTATGCACGCAAGTTCAGTTACAAATCTTTTTTTTAATTTATTTATAATAAATAAAAATGAGTTTCTCTTTAATTTGGTAGACCCGTACGTTGTTGGTGCATTTTCCCAAAGCTGTCGAGGTATATACTTTACCGGGTTTCTTGTGGTTATCCTCTTCGTCCAAATACCCTTCCGATGACGGATCAGTTAATTTATCGAAATCGATTTGAAAATAACGGAGCTGTAATACTGAAACGATTTGAAAGAAAAGCGCCGGCGCTAACTTAACGAACAGCTGCTTGATGGTCTGGACGTGCTGATATCCCAATTTATTTAATCTAAAAGAAGAACCGACGCGTCAAGAATTTTTGGTATGGTTCACCGAAAGATATACCGCTTTTACAACCTTTTAGGGTTTCGACTTCGGAATGAGTTTGTTGTAGTAAAGTGGAAGGCACCGTACTTTTCAGCACGTGTACCGCAAGTCAGGCACAAGAAATGTGCCATGAAGACAGTTGTATTTTAAGAGTAGGGAAATTTTCTTTGGTTAAACTGTTATATTAATTCCTAGGAACACATGACGGCACACATCTTTGAAAAAAGGCTTTCTGAAAAATTGCTTCCCAATATATCACAAAACAGCGTTGTCATTCAAAATTTTTTGCTTGAACCTGATATGAATTTTGAAAATTCCTACACAAGGGCCATGGAGCGGGGCTTCAAAGTTGTCCGTTTTTGACCATATCGCTGCAATTTTAATCCGATAGAAAAAATATCTGTTTCTAGTTGGAAAAAATGTGTAGAAGAAGAAAATGTCTACAGAAGTCGACTAGTGACAGACTTAATTAGTAATGTGGGAGGAGGAGTCCAGTGACGATTGAAGTGAAATAACTTTTTTTTATAAATATTCTAGCATTGTTTTATAACTAAATTTACTCCTTTATTTATATTTATAATAAACGTTTTAAGGTAAGAATGGAATTTTCACTGCATAGACTGATAATAATTGAGGAATCTCACCGACGAAACTCTACACAAATCCATCAGCCATTTGTATGCACGAAGTACCGAAGTACAGCTCTGGAACGTCATTGCAGAATTGCGGAATTGAATTAAAGGTTAGACCTTCATAAAAATTCACCAAAGTTAAATACCGGATCATGTGGTAAAAACGGTATATCGTTGCGCGAACTTTACGCTGAAGTCATACGTGTCATCGTCCAAGTGTTGTTTTATGGCAGAGCGGGCGAAACTGAACTGGTATAAATACACGGAAAATAAGTTGAACATGGCGTAGCAAATCGTCAGCCACCAATAAAATCGCAGAAATTGTTTCCAACGCTTGAAGGGCAACAGCTGGAACGAAAGAAATTATATACTTACGGGCAGCGCCAAAATTTCCAGGCCTGAATATGAAAGAAACAAAGTAGAGTAACAATTTTTCTATTATTTTTCAATATAATCACCCTTAACTTCAATACACTTATTAAAATATTCTTTTGGTTTGACTGCAAAGTGAGCTGAAACAGCCCTTTTAACTCAACTTCGTCGTTAAAGCGCCGTCCACGTAAGTCCTTTTTCAAATATCGAAACAAATAATAGTCGCTGGGGGCCATATCTGGACTATAAGGAGGATGATCTACCTGTTGGAACCCACACTCTAAAATGACAGCTTGTGCAACACCAGCAGTATGCACACCTCTGGTCATTTTTGCTCTACGTTTTACAGGTATGCAGTCTTGCAATTTATGGAATGATGTTCCGTAATATTAACCATTGACAGTGATATTAGTTTCTTTAAAATCCGTCAAAAGAATTCCTTCACAATCCGAAAAGACCTTGGAGGTGCTTCACCCTTACGACGCCACTCCATTGATTCTTTTTTCGATAGAGGGTCATAATAGAGAATCATAGTTTCATCTCCCGTCACAGGCTTCGGTTCCGACCCACAGAGTTCCAAAAAAGACCGCGCGCACTCGACACGGCGTTGTTTTTGAATAGCCCAAAGGTTTTTAGGAACCCATCTTGCACTAACCTTATGCATACCTAAATGATCATGCAGGATTCGACGAACACTTGTATCAGAAAGCTTAGTAATATCTGAGATTTCCTTGACCTTTAAACGTCGATCACTCAATACCACCTCTAACATAATCGCAACAACATATCCACTGGTCGACCAGTTCTTGAATCATCTTCAAAGGATTCCGGCCCCATTTGAAAAGATTTTGCCCATTCTTTCGCTACAGAATACGAAGGAGAACTATGGCCGTAACCCATCTTGTTTAAAATGCTGTCATTTTTTTTTTCGCAGCCTACTAAGACAAAGTTTTATCGTGGAGCTGCAGTATGTATCTCGTATCTCGTAGTATCTAAAATCGACAATCTAGCGCCAGGATAGTGCCTCTGGTTTTCCCGCTGTTTTTCTAATATTGCTGCGATACCACAATTATTACATCGGGTAAATGTCATAAAACTTTTCTCCATGACATATAATAACGTCATTTTCAACTTTAACAAGACAGTTGTTTCGAAATTTCAACGCTAAAGCAAACTCCGTTCTGTTTCTATCCTTTGATTTTGGAGGTCGTATTCTTAAAGCCTCTGTTGAAAACTATGGACCGATTAATATATTACATTGGATTCAAAAGATATTTGGAAACATACTTTGCTTGCAAAACTTGCTAAGGAGCCATATGCAATACAACGCAAAGGCATTTAATAAGGTTAATCATGGAGCCCGGGGCAACAAATCAAAGGTTTCTCTGAGACTACTTTCTTTCGATGTGCTTTACGGATACCTTAGGCAAGTAACCTTCGTCATTCTTGTAAATGATTCACTAATCTGCATTAGTCTTTCTAACAGGCTGTTGTTTGCAGATGACCTTAAACTGTTTAAGAATATTAAGAGAGTTGAACAACTAGATAAATAGTATTACAGTGTGGTTGAGTAAAAACAAGATACTAGTCGTAGAATAAATAAAATACATTTTAATTACTTTTTAAATACATCTAGGAGTACATCTGCAAACAACGCTTAGGTTTAACATCCACAATCACGAAATTGTGAGTATAACATACATAGATGGGTAGATAGATAGTTTTATTCACAAAGCCCGGTATGTATACAGTGGATGTTTCGTCAGGAAACGAGTACATTATAGAGTAGTATAAAGATACATGAATTATGTATATAAACAATACGATAACACAGTACAGTATAGAACAGTTACAAACGGATATACAAACAGTACAAACATATGTAGAGAATATATCACAAAATTCATCAGGGCACTCCAGTAATATATATTTCCAATTCTTTCAGGTCGTAGAAAGCATTGGTTGACAGAAGCTTTCTGATGCACTTGAAACAAATTGTACTAATAAGGTCCTGCGTAATTTACCGACTTTTTGTAGAACATGTGGTTCAGTCTTGGCTTTAGAAGGTGTTCTCTGTTTCGGGTGTTATAACCGTGTGAGAGCCTTTATTCTTATGAAAGATGATGAATAATTTAAATAAATATATGCAAGTCACTGTTAGTATTTTATACTTTATAAATATATCTTTGCAGGATAGCCTCGGGGGCAGTCTGAAAATCAACCTAAGTATGAACACCCTCCCCGAATCACTCGGTTGTCCCCAGTTTACGATATTATATGAAATAGACGAGTATGCTGAGGCGCAATAGAAAGTCAACAAGGATCTTTCAAAGAATATTTAAAGCCCTGGGGTTTATAATTAGTGTTAGGGTAGTTTGAGACAAAGACTATCGGCTATGTAATGCCAAACCACATTTATAGCATGATTGACAGTTGTTTGCATTCTATGCAAAAATTCCGCTTCCGAATCAATAAATCAATTAATTCAATTTCTAAGAAAATGTTTCTTGTCAATGCGACCCCTACCTGAAACGACAGCACCAAAGTGGCGAACAGTACCAAATACACTAGTTTGAGCAAGGAGTTTTGGCCGACGAACGCTATGGCCGCCATCGTCGCCCCAACTATCCATATCCAGTACAACGTCAAGCGCTTATTAAAGTAAGCCATGGCGTCCTCAAATAAGAGACTTCCCTCTGCGCTAAAATCTGAAGGAAATGGTTGCTGGACGTGCCAAAACGAATCTCAGTACAGTACCAGTCAGAGTTTGCGTTTCTTCGACACCTATAGCTTCTTCGAGGCGTCTTTTTTGCTTATCGGCCGCCCTTTCCCTCATATATTGACGTAAACACACAGTTAGCATCACGTGACAGAGCGTCTTCACCAGCAGATGAACGAACCGGTCGCCTTGTCTCGTGTACGAGTCGATAACGAAGATACCCAGCTTGGATGGCAGTTCTTCCTCGGTGAGATCCAAACCGTAGAGGTACGTTACGACCAAAGCTAAACTCGACCAAGAAACGATGAAAGGACTCGAGGCGAGCATGATTTTCTTTTGATTGGGCAGGAGCCAGATCAAACTCGCCCAAATTAACAGGACCATTGCCATCCAACCGACGAAAGCTATACCCCACACCATCATGATGAAGTTGGCGATCAAGTACGACGAGCCCATGACCAGTATAAGAAATCCGTGCGAGTAGTAGGTGATTTTGTCGACGAACGTAGGCTCCTCTTCGATTTCAATGAGTTCGAATTCATCTTCGCTCGTGTTGTCCTGAAACGGGAGAAGGTGCGAGAGCCCTTTGTAAGCGCCGCAATGTTTACCTGCACTTTTTGCCCTGCCGTCTGCCATTTCATATGTTGGAGGGATGGGTTGGGCGTTTTGGAGATGTTCGATATATTCATCGCCATCGGCTGGAAAAGTTCAGTAAAGGATAGCAACCAAAAAAGCGTTTTATATGAATCTGAAGAGGATGGAGCCTTATACTTTAAGGTATTAACGAGTACCATTGCCGGTCCCAAGCCCGGAGGAGGGTTCCCAGGACAGGCCAGCTACCCCTTGGGGTAAAAAACCCACGGAGAATTGCTACCTGGAACGTAATGTCGAACCCAAAAGATCAAGAGCAACAACATAGAACTAACCCATGACATTCTAGAAAATACGCTCAAGTCTCTAAAGAATGGGAAAAGCCCTAGACCAGACGAGATCACCAATGAAATGCTTAAATACGGATGGAAAAAACCACAGAATGAAATTGGAAGAACGGCACGGCAATACCGATCTTCAAAAAAGAACGGAAATCAAATCCGGAAACATTGCACACAGGAATTACACAAGGCGATTCACTCAGCCCATATATATTCAATTCATTGACGGATAAAATAATAGACAACCTCCCTAGAACAGCTGGATTTAAAATGGGAAAGCCATTCTTCCATACTGTTCTTATTGCAGACACACTTTCAACACTAAAGCAAGAGAATTAAACATGCTCATCAACACCGAGAAGACTAAATGCTTAGTAACATCCAAATAACCTATAAGATGTAAGTTGGAAATCGATTCAAACATAATAGAGCAGGTAAATCACTTTAAAGATCTAGGTGCAGAAATAACGATTAACGAAGAAAGAGCAGAAACAAGAGTTGTTACAAACAGAACTCTACAATAGTTGAAATGAAAATATTAAGAACTATACGGGGTATAACTTTGTATCACAAAATACAGAACGAGCAAATCAGACAGCAGTGCGGAATACAAGACATAGGAAGGTGGGTGAGGCAAAGAGGAAGATTTTGGAACAAACACATAAAAAGAATGTAAGATGGCAGACTCGTCAAGAACGCGAAAATGGACAACCCAGTAGGGAAAAGATCTCAAGGAAGACCGCCAAAACGGTGGCGAGAACACTGGACCTCGTCTTCCGGGGAAGACGTGTTGGCAATGAACAGGCAGTAGTCTACTAATATGGTATCCATGTGAGAAAGAAAAAAAATTGTACTAGAAAAAAAAATCTAATCAACATCATCAAGGCACTTTAAGGGAACAAAATATTTTAAGATTGTCAAGAGTTGATTCGTAGCAAAGATTTGAAAATTGCCATTGTTGAAGTAGCTATGATCAGATGGCAGATACCACCTGGAAGACTATAGCATTACATTACCACTCCGTCCTTATGGTAATCTTAGTATAGAGACCCAATCATCCAAAGATGTAAGTGATCAAGTAAGCGAGAAGCTGTTTTTTGAAACTTACAACTCATGCGATATTTCTTACCTCCATTAGCAGTATTTCTTTGGCAACTAAAACGATTAAAGTGTACAATACGTAAAGCAGGACAAAATTCGAAAGGTCTATGTACGAGTCGCTCGTGGTGAATATTCTCGGATCGGAACAATTTTTCATCGTCCTGATGGGTTGTAGTTGCAATAACCTGAAATCATGTAGTTTCTTTTGCCCTCTTTATGCTGCCTACAGAAGTTGGATGTACAAGGTTCACGGTTGTAAATAGGAACAAACCAAAATCACATACTGCACTCATTTAAGAGTTCAAGATAGATGTTGGATTTGATATTTTAAAATTCACATATATTTGTTTTAATTTTAATGTTTTAGTATTATTATATAGGGTGATCCAGCTAAAATGTTAGTTATTAGTGACTATTTTCTGGATCACTAGTGTGTACTTTTTACAAAACTTCTGGATTCATCCTGCGTCGGTTTTTGCTGAGTCTGAATCAGTCTCCCAAGCTCTGAAGAAGCCAACAGGATGAATGGCGAAACGTCAGCAAGTTCGGCTCAGCAAAAACCGACGCAGGAGGAATCCAGAAGTTTTGTAAAAAGTATTACAGTAGCCTGTGAAAGTTTCTTTGAAAAATGGATCATTAGTTGTTTTTTAAATAAGTGTTAAAGTCTGTTCATAGATATAAGAAAGTGACTAACTGATACGAATTAAGGAAAGACCCTGGCAAGCTGTAAGAATGAAATATGGCCGAACAGGTCCGTATTTTGCTTAGAATTTAATTATTTGGGATTATGTTAGGAAAGATACCAAACAATATTTATTTTTTTATCTATGTATTTATGTTTAAATCCAAAATAAAATTACAAATTATTTTTATTACGTACTTAAATTGCTTAAAATTGTTCACATAATATATCAGTATCACTATCGCTATCATCGCCTGTTCTAATTATTATTTGTTCTATATTGTTCTGCAGCATCGCTTCTTTTTTTCCTCGCTAAAATGGGATTATTTACAATTTTCCATACAGTTGACGTTGGAATTTTCGTCAAAGCGGCCGTTTCTTCTAAAGACGCTTGCTTGCTGGCACCATGTTCAATGAGAGTCAAATAAACAGTGTTTATAACGTCCTTAGTCTCAAAAGAATAGGGTTTTCTACATTTGGGCGGGAGCATCTCCTGAGATACACTAGACTCGCATATATTTTGCATAATTCGCACACGATTCTACACATAAACTTAAACTAAGTAGTATACCAAACCAAAGAATGTTAAACACAGGTAGGTATAAAACTATTTTCTATTACGGACCACAATTTTGCCTGAATTTAAATTCCGAAACTTTAGGTAATAACCTTGTTGCATTGTATGTTAACGACAACCTTTGGATAATCCCATTCAAAAGCAATTGGTCACTTTCTTATATCTATGAACAGACCATACCTCACCACGATACCTTTCTCCTTCAAAGCGTTTTTCAAGGCAAACTGATACCCATAAAGCGCCCCCATGTGACTAAATACTATGGGCAACAACAGGCACAGCATACAATAGGCAAATTTTCTGTGGACGGTGTGATAATATCCCCACCATATTAAAATCCACATGAAAATTGAAAAATATATCGCACCAAATAGCGACGGCCTCAATATACCGACGAAGCACAACGCCGTCGAAGTTCCATATTTACCTACAGGTGTATTTTCGTGATACCGTTAGTATCGAGTATAATGGGATTACCAATTTTTAAGAGTGTCTTGCTTGTTCCTTTCGATACGAACGCTAATTCGCTAGGCAAAGCGAAACGATCTGAATCCTCCTCACGTCCGGAGTCCATGTTTTTGGTGATTTTTTTAAATACGATAAACAGCCCTAACGATACCAGGACCATCAGCGGTTCGGGTACGTACCACGTGAGGATACCTTCGACAGGCATATTCCTCAAATTCACGAAGCCAATTTGACGTAATACAGTTTCCAAGATACCGCACGACTGAAATCGAAATATTCAGCAAATGCCTGAAGGGAGTCGGTTAGAGCTCACCTCAAGCGTTTCGGATCGGTGACCGGCGATAAAAAAGTGACTAATGAGCACCGCTGCCGATATCAGTATCGAGATTATGACGTAGAGCTTCATGAAAAAACCGGTGCTTGATCCCATGCTGGCCCGGGTAGGTATCGGTACAAAGGGAACGTAACAAGCCAGTAGAAAATAAACGACTGACGTTAATGACGGTCTCAGGAACATTACTGTAACGTCCGCCATGCGCAACGAACGCCAAAATATAGTTTAACACCTTACCCGATAAAATCGAACACGGAATTATAACTCTGAATAGTAAAATGCACAGCCATGAATACTCCATGTTCTGTACCGAACGAGTTCAGAATTTTTGTAACTTATTTGACCGATACGTCAGAGCAAATGACGTTAGAAGAGGCGACAGATATGTACAAAGACATTTAGAGGGAAAACATCAAATATAAAGGATTATCAGAAACAGACGACTTTCAAAAACTTAGCATTTGGAACATATGGTGTTCCATTCTGGGTCCTTTTTTAAATAACTTCATGGTTGCAGAGGTCGTGTCAAAAGAATCAAAGTTGTATGTTTTTAAATGTTTTTGTAAGTTATATCATTTTTAAATTCTGTTGTCAAAATAAATACTTAACTTTGACTGCAAAATGTATCTTTATATATACTCAAGTCCCACGGAACCATACTTATATTCCAGAATACTTAGCGTGTTAGTAAAAAGTATGGCAACCCTTAAATATATCCAAAACTGCCAAAGCTGCAACGTTAAAATTCAATACCTCAAGGTTTTCGAACATTGCTATGTTCAATTTTTTTATTCATGTTTATGCATGTTCAAAAACTTCCAGACATTGAATTTTATCGTTCCAGCTTTGTCAGTCTTCGATATATTAAAGCATTCCTGTACTTTTTACTGAAATTTTTTATTTACGCAATTCATTCCAACAAAAGTAGATAACGCATTCCGTTTAACGTAACAAAATTATGACGTGTAACACAAAAACGGTAAATCTGGCAACATTGCAATTAGCACTTTACGTGTTCAAAAACTCCCAGGTATTGCATTTTATTGTTCCAGCTTTGGCAGTTTTGGATATATTTAAGCGTTCCAGTAATTTTTACTAACTCGCTACATCGTTCAGGTTGAAAATAACTCTAGTGCCAACTTAAAAAAAAAGATATTATTATAATAATTGACAACGCAGATATCGTTTTGTTGTTTTAAAATAACAAATATTTTTTTTATTTGGCAAAATATAAAAACATCACCAGCAAATTATTATTAATTTTATGGTCGTCATCAAAGCAAGAATAGTTGTATAATTTAAATATAACATATACGCGACTGTGGACGTCTTTATTTGGTAACATAGACCTTTTTCTCTCCTACTTGAATATATTTAAATCATCGTGTGTGAACTATCAAGGACGAGTTTATCCATAAATAACGTTTTCAACAAAAAATCCTCTTGAATGCTGATTTTTTTTATTCATTTAGGTAGCATAAATAATGTGCGTTCACAACACTAAGTAATTCAAACCACGTCCTACACAGGCAGAATAGGATGATAGACTCAGGGCTCCTACAAAGAAAATGCATTTGAAAAAAATGAGAAAAGTGAATGCAAGAATGCAAGTTTTACAAAACCAGGTTGAAATACCTTATATAAATCATAATAATTCATCAATCATATAATTCCGTCTAGACCCCATGGTTGAACTCCTCTTCCAAAGGTCAGTCAGCCTAAATCAGTATTAAGACACAAGGTGTTCTATTCGAAATAAAAAGTTGAAAAATTGAAATTAACATAAGCAACTTTTGTATTTAACATTTTGTTCAATTCAATCTCTTTCCGAGATAAGGTACGGTAAAATTCTTTATTTAATCTAACAGATATTGTAAGTAGTTATGACTTAATTTATGTACGATATATATATAAATATCCTATAGCTTTCTGGTTTCACAAAAGATGTGAAATTATGTGTTTTTTCAAATAAAACCGTTATGGTATCTAATGGCCTGCGATATTTATTAATTTAGTGTAAATCATTTAGACACCAGTTTACTTTTTTTTCGCTGTATAGTTTGTTGATTCGATACAATACTTGAAACTTGTTCGGATTATATTATTGAGAGTTACAAGTTTCAACATGTTTATAAACCAATTATCAATAGTTGGTGAGCAAAAAGTTCGTTTCGACATACAGTGGATTTTGTGTCAGATTATCGAAATTATGATGTTTTAGTTTAGAATTTTGCATTGTGCTATAATATTTTATTATGCAACAAGTGCGGTAAACGTCATTTGACTTACGAGTTTTTAATAAACGAGTGAGTTAAAAAGTTTACCGGACGTGTTGCATACTATAACTTCTTCTACGACCGTTGGTTTTTGGATACATTTTCGCAAAACAACATGACATGATCGTCAGAATTGACAAACGTCAAAATTAAAAGCGTGGGAAATATCTCCGAAAACATCCGATTGCTCCCGGAAATGTCCGAAGTGGCTCGGATTCGTGGAAAACGTAACTGACGTGGTAAAGTGACGCTTCCCGCACGCTTGATCGGCGTGTAATTAGGTATTTTACAGACGGGGGTAGAAAAATCTTTATATTGTATCATTTTATAGTTGCCACCGCCTAGTAGTTGCTGCTTTTTTGTCTATTCTATTTTTCCGCTTGTAACGAAAAACGCATAAATACAAAAAAATATTTATTTCCATTTTGTTGAAACGCGAAACAATCCGACCTATCACATCGTCATTAAATAAAAGTTATGCCAATTAGAAGAACTCGTCAGCCGACAGCCATGATTTCGACACTCGACGAAACTTATTGCACGTTATTATCACATTCCGTCCAAGGCACTGAATACTGATGGTTTAGACTTGGTGTTTGGTGAACGTAAGGAATACCTAAAATACCAAAAGGCTCAAACAGTGCTGATCGCGTTACTCACCGCGACACCCACCTGCTCCAAACTGCTTTGTCCCAGTGAATAATCCTCAATGTTTAAGTCCCTCCTCTTCCCCTCCTCCAAAATACCAAACATTCTGGACCACGGTATATCCCTGTCCGTGACATAATAAGTCAGCAGTTCTTCGTGTTTCTCCCTTAGCACCGCACTTCTGAAATTGTCCCTGATAAACCTCTCGATTTGTTCGGTGTTTGAATGTTCGTCTGCGGCGCTGTTTTCGGGTTTCTTGATTTTGATCGTTATCGTGTACCCCTCGGCGAACTTGCTCTTCAAATGCTGCGTCGATCCCAAGCACTTGAAGTTTCCGTTCACCATTATCGCCAGCCTCGTACAGAGAGCCTCGCATTCTTCCATGCTGTGCGACGTCAGAACTATGCACTTGCCGCTGTCCCTCACTTTGCAGAGGGCGTTCCATAGATACCTCTTGGTTGCCGGATCCATACCTGAAAATTTCAACAATCAAACGGTGGCGATCGTAACCCTCCGACTCGTGAACATAAACCGGTGAGAATCGTATCCAGCGGAATTGTGAAACACCATGACTAGCAGTCTGGCTAGATTTCTGAAATGTTCCTAAATTAAGTTTACAACCGTAATAACGAGAGTTCCAATTGACGACAGAAAATTGGAAAGCCTAGTAGATTATGATGTGAAGTTATTTTTTATATTTTAATTATTCTGATATTCTGTTTACATACGAGGATGGGTCGCATACGTCACAGGCCTGACATAGAGATGGCGCTTCAGTGTATTTTTTTATCGGCCATATAACATTAATTAGTATTCATGTCATGGACTTGTGGTGAAAGCACAATTGAGATTTGGAAAAAAAAACTTTTACCACGCCTTTTCAAATAAAAGATAAGATGACATCTTATCTTATTTCACCATGACAATGCACCAGGAGATTCTTCTATCATAGGCATGGGGGGGGGGGCAAAGATTTGAGGGCAACGCGTATGTTAGTACTGCTGAATACCGATAGTTTGAGGGATTCGACGTTTCGCTTTACAACTAAATTAGAGCACTGATATAAAAAATGCATTAGTCTCTCTGGGGACTATCTGGTATCGAGCTATATAATCCCAAAATTGGCACGCAAATTAGGAACGTCGAGGCTAGTAGCATACTACTTAAGGCCTGTAGACTATTTTTAAAAATATTAAAGTATTATATACCCATTTCCCCCCACAAAAGCTTGCCAATTGCATGTGTTAAAGATTTTAATAGATTTTTTTTGGTAATTGTACTTAATTGCTAATTGAATAACTGACCTGTGGTCGGCTCGTCGAAGTACAAAACCGGCGGATTGCCGATGAGGGCGAGGGACGTACTCAGCTTCCTCTTGTTGCCGCCACTCAGCTCTTTGACTTTCTTGTCCAGGTGTCTGAAGAAGTCGAACTCGCGGGCCAAATGTTCCGCTACAAAATTGCACTCGTCCGACCGCAGACCCCTCAACAACCCGAATATTTTTAGAGTTTCCCTTGCCGTGAGGTCGTCGAGGAGGGCGTCGAACTGGGGACAGTATCCGACCCGTTTCTGTACGTTTTCGATGTCGTTTTTCACGCTGAAGCTGTCGATCCAGGCGTCACCGTACGTAATCCGAACATCCCCCGTCATCATTTTGAACGTGGTGGTTTTACCGGCTCCGTTAACCCCCAAGAGGCCGAAGCACTCGTACCGGTTTATGCCCAAAGATAATCCGTTAACGGCGACGTGGTTCTTGTAGTACTTGGTGAGATCTTTCAACACCAGGGTGTACTTGCGGAGCAGTTCGTCCTGCGGCGTGCCCGATATTTTGTTTTTCTCGTTAGCCACGTCATCGTCCTCGTCAGGGACGGGTTTCGGGTGTTTGGAGGAATATTTTTGCGTCACTCTGTAGATAATTTTGGAAAACACCTGGTACGCGACGACGAGAAGAACGGCGAACAAGACGGTGCCGACGGTGAAGGAATAAGTGAGGTTACGACCGATACCGGGCGTGTCCCATTTGAAATAATTACTGTCGAGGCCTGAAATTGAGATATGTGAGATATCTTGAACCTTCACCTCGAATATTTTTTTTCTCCTCATGAAATGCAGATAGAACCGCCCGCTTTTGAGTCAATTTATACATTTTGCCTAATGTTTATTGTTATCTATTAATTTTTTTTTCAAAGATGACTATTTCTTGTTTCAAATAAAATGGGCGAACATTTCTTCTAACTGCATATTTGTTGTATTAATCAACGACATTGGCTGTTCCTGGAATTTTGCTTGGGATGACTTGATATCTCACTGATAATTTCAGAATTTGACGTCGTTCAACAATTTCTTGTAAAGTAAAAATTAGAAACACTTAAAATAATATCTTTTTAATCTTCTGTTAGCGGATAATTTAAAAAGCCCATTATCATTTAAATTTACGTAACTCAATAGACTGCCACCAAGGTAACGTCATTTTCGAGTCATAAGTGATCGCGACTCGTCAGTGGTCCGAAAAACACGTCAAATTGACGTCAAAAAAGGAGGCCTTATTAAAATCACCAAAATGACGTCAGATTAATAAAAACTATTATCAAATTCTTCTATTTTAAACCATGGCGAAGGAGAATATATTTGTAGGATATCCAATATTAATATATCTTGGTTATTTATTTATTTATTTTTTTAAGAAAAATGTTAAATACAAATGAGATGAAAAGAAACAATTGATAATTATTTTCAAATATACAGCGTGATTCATAAATGTGTGCAAAATCAAACTTATATGGTTTAAATGGAACACCCTGCGTATTATGACATTAATAGGTATTCCGTTTTATATTCAATCGGCCAATGTAGGGTGACTATACCGAGTGTTTTCGGTTATATGGCCATTTTTTCGCCAAAAATGCCCTGTGTTTAATACCCTAAATTTTTGACGCCGTTTGCGACAGCTGTAATTTTATTATGCCAACAATATTATAAAATGGTACAGTCTGTACTTGTCTTGAAGTAAATTCGAATTGTTTATACAGGGTGAGTCAAAATGAAAAATGATAATTTTTAAATTTAAATTAAATTAAATTAAAAAAAAGGGTTTCTTAACATTCATTAACTATAATTCTCCATTTTCCGCAACCACAAAAGATGTTCTACGTAATTTAATTTACTTTACTTACATTAATTTAATTTCGATTTTCCCCATTCCAAAAAGAAAAAAAAACAATTAAAAAATCATTATATTTTTCAGCAGTAATGACCAAAATCTGGCTGAGTTTAAGTTAATCATTCGTTTGAGACATTAGTAGGTCAAATTCGTCATTTGTTGACTAGTTAATGACGTCATTTTGACGATCCTCTGCTACCTCGAACATTGACGACCATAAAGTTTTTTTTTTTAATTTTACCTTCACAATATGCTCTTATCTCAGGCGATTCATTGAGACATTCCTCGTTGGTCGCGTTCGGGATGGTTTGCCTGCAAGTGTCGTAAAAGAAGTCGCAGATATAGTTGTAACTGTAAAGCGTGTAGGAGTCTCGAATGCCAGTGGCAAGCGAATAATGCGGAATCACTAGGAATATCCAATCGAGGATTCTGCCCACGTATTCCAGATCCAACCCGTCCGTGTTCAATACCTGGACGATCAAAAACGCGGCGCAACCGGTGAATATACTGAAGAGGGTCATTCGGGTGAAACCGGTAGATGGGACTTCGAAGCAAAAACCGGCGAAGTAGATGAATGGCAACATCGCCCAACCAAAGTACAGCAAAATAACGAACATTCGTCCTATAATAATAAATAAACTTGTACTAACCATCAAAAATTTTTTCTTTTGCAATACACTGATACGGACATCTTAATTATTTTGTTTTTTTGCAACAAATTCGTACAACTGGCAATCTATTATCAACCTAAGTACTAACCAAGAAAAAAAAGAGATAACTTTGTTGACATTTGATTAGTAATAACTAGTACTACTTAGAGGAGAGGTATTTAAATCTAATTGATCGTTAAGCAATACATTTGAATGTCTCATTTTGTTAATCTAAATGGCTTCCAATAAATTTAATTTTCTACTTTTTGTGGCTGTGTGTAATATATCAAAATTGTCGTCAAAAATGTGTTTTTCTGTGTTTAAGTGTGTAGCATAATTAGAATCTAGACTATTGTTTTTATATACATATATATATATATATATATATATATATATATATATATATATATATATATATATATATATATATATATATATATATATATATATATATATATATATATATATATATATATATATATATATATATATATATATATATATATATATATATATATATATATATATATATATATATATATATATATATGTATTGACTTAATGTAATTTAAAAAAGAATTCAATTGTCTGTCCGTTCCAACAAAGCAAGCAAAGACATCGTCCACATGTCTATAACACCATAAAAAACTTTTACTTAAAGGATGTTCTAGTATGATATTTTCCAGATTATCTTCTTCCAAACCTTCTTTAGAGATATAAATCTGTCCATTAAATTCAAAATATTTTTGGTCTAAAGATACTGTTAAGCAATCTAATAAATTTCACCAATGGGTTAACCTGTTTCCGAGTTAGGGTAAAATCTACTAAATCTACCACATCCATAGGTGGAATACTGGGAAATAAGTTTTGTACATCAAAAGACAATAGAGTTGCGTTAGAAGGGATTTTGATATCTTTAATTTTGTTGATCAATTCAAAAGAATTTTTTATTGCAAATTTTGGTTTAAAATCTGTCTGGAACTTTAAAATATTTACTAATTTTGTAGAGAGTTTAACTGCTGGCGCTGTTATATAAGACACCACCGGTCTAATGGGCATATCTTGTTTTTGTAATTTAACTAAAGAATATAATTTGGATTTTGTGGATTGATAATTGTTAAAAAATATTTGTCTTTGTCACTAAATAGTGTGGAGTTAGTAATTACATCCTTGACTTGTCTTTGATATAACTCAGTTGGGTCGTGTTTGATACAAAGGAAAAGTTCTGGTTTAAGAGTACTACTTAGGTTCAATATTTCAATAATATTTCAATATTTTTAAAAAAAACGATCTTTAATTTTTTTCCAACAAATGTTTGCCTCGAAACAATGTACGGTTTAGAATTTAAACGCAATGAAAATAAATATGCAATGTCGAAATTTCTTGTTTTACCTCGAAATTTTGAAATGTCATGTTTAAACTCGAAATTTTAGTGATAGTCATTTATTTTCGTGGTGTAATTTTTCTCGTATCACATATTTTTCATAAATTTTATGTTATCGTTTATTCCCTGAAAGTTTCAGAAAATCATTCTCAGAATAACAGTCTAGTATTGATGTTCATCCAAGAAATCGCGCACTGCGCCCTCTGCCGCGTACATGCAGAAGACATTATTTTTTTTCGCCTTTAAAGAACAATCAAGGTGTCAGGATATTATAAAAGTATTTCTCCCTGGACTCTGTGCAACATCTATTAAAACAATTATCCAAAGCGGGGATAATAAAAGCAATAAATAATATAAGTAATTATAAGGATTTACCGACCTATTTCGCTGAAAGTTTTGAAGCCGCCCTCTTGGAAACAAACGAGCGTCACCAAATATACCGCGATCGTTATGAAATACGTCAGAAGGTCGCAGATCAAGTGGGTGATCCAAAACACGTAAACTTTGACACCCGAGACGAACTGCAAATGCTTCGCCTTGCTGACGCGTTCCCGCACAATGAAGATGATGTAGAACGACGAGACGAACGCCATGCTGAACGCCACGTTGAAAGCCAACTGAAAACCCATGTTTTCGCCGCTTGACAAACGGAAAACCTGAAAACACAAATAGAGCCAAAATAAATAATATTCAATGATAAAGATACACAAAAAGTTCCAAATAACTGGATGTCGAAAACAACTTTTGGCTAATACTCCTTTTTATTCACTTCCTCAGTAGATAGAGGTTTGAATTAAAATAAAATTGTGACAGTCTACAGTGTTGACAATTTTGTGAAAATTTTATTACTACATATTGCAGAGCATACCTATGTAGACAAATTTTTTCATTTTTTGTTTTCATTTGTTCAGAGCAAATAACCAGAAATTGAAAAGTCAGCCAATGTAATGGATGACATTTTAAGAGCCGCGGATGACGGAAAAATTACCCTTATGGCACACCTAGACTGTACCAAAGCATTCGATAATGCAGATAATGCATTGAAAACAAAATTATAAAAATATACTTTTCCTGTTATAGGTCAAGCGTTCGCCTGGGCTGTCAAATCATGTGCCGAGATCGAAATAAATTCTTTTTCACTGAAACACTCACTATTTTTAAATCCCAAGACATGTAGTATTACGCTTTTTGGAAGAAAAAATGATATGGATCTCATGTTCATAATTTAAATATTAGATTTAGAGGTGCCATAACTCCTAATCCTATTTGAGCGTGGATTTTCCTTTGATATTGCTAAATTGTAAAATAGTCTTCCTAATAACTTCAAAGCCCTGACTCCAAGTATATTTAAATTTTATGCTTTCAGATATTTTTGCGAAAAGTAAAATTTAAAAAAAAAAACAAACGTGAGCAAAATAGGATACATTAGTAAATGTGAGAAGAAGTAATTTTTTTTCTGTTATTGTGCTATCGCTGTCGCCATAAAAAAAGAGGTATTGTTTCTCAATCCTTTGGGTTAAATAGATCAGGGTGGCCAACATACTGATGTTATCCATATCTGGATTTCACCCATTTCTGTGTATGTATATATATACATTCATTTTGTAAAAGAAAACGGTTATTTGAGGAAAGAATTTATACACAGAAATAAAGACATATTATTATTATTATTATTATTATTATTATTATTTTTATTATTTTTATTATTATTATTATTATTATTATTAATATTATTATTATTATTTACATACTTTTATTACTTATATTATTTATATATTTATATCATGTTTGAAAATAGGTGTCTTGACGTCAGAGCCTAGAATTGATATGCATGCACAGAATAGAAAGAATCGTAACATCTTAAGTAAACAATTGAAACGCAAAAATGGCAAAGGGGGTAGTGCCAAAATTACATTTTTCAGATAACCAAGAAAAACTGTTGCCTGTTAAATTAACAACAAAGGTGATAACTGTCCGTTTTTTTTTTAAATAATACACATATTCCTTCCTCCGCTTGTAGTAAGAGGCCGTTAATTATTACTAGTACGACTCACAAACTTTTATTTTTGAAATATTATCTCAAAAAAATCTATTCCGATTTCGAAAGAAATTTGTATGTGTTTCACGAGGTATCCACACTTGGATTCCAAAAGTTTTACATGTCTGGATTCGAAAATGATATCCAGAAATGACATTTGAATCCACTAGACAGCATGTTACTGTAAACGAGAAATATATTAGAATACCATAAGATGAGATTTGTAAATCTGCGGCTTTTGATAATGTTTTTTCCATTGCTTTGCGATAATATGCAAATTTGTTGAATTAAAAAAGCAGAATAACAAAGAATGGGGATTTGGGACATTTATTGAGCGACTTTACAGTTTGACTGTCACACTGTGAGCCCATTGCCCATACTAGGTTGCATTAATTCGATTATATTCTAGTAACTTAAAAACCTTTAAAAAAGTATATTATTTATTATTATTATACATTGCTGGTAAATAATAATACAATGTTTTTTCAATTTTCCAGCGTTGCCACATTAGTATTTTTCGGAGTATATTTTAAAAATATACCAAAACTAGAATAAAAAAAATTGGAAACATTTTGCAATTACAGCACAGTTTTATTCAAAAAGCTTCTGCAGTCACGTGAAACAATTTAACTGTATTTAAGGAAACAGAAAAAATACTAGTTAACAAATTCCAAATATATGAACTATTTACCCAAATTAAATTAACTTATTGAAAATATAACTATATTATATATAACTAAAACTTAAGGGATACGAAAAAGCATTAGAATTGGCTTATAAATAAGCTTTTGGTAAAGATGTTTTCCACTTAACATAATTTTTTAACCCTGAAACCCACTAGGTAAATTATAATTTTAGTCATTCTCGCTGTCATGACATGTCAGACTCACTACCCATACACTCAAAGTCATATTTGGAGGTCTCCGAAAAACAGTCAAAAAAACAAAAGTAGTCTTGCAATTTTGAGTTTAAACGTGTGTATAAAATGAAAACAATATGTATAAAAAAAATGCATTATAATTGGCTCATTGCGTAAGCAATACATGCGATAAACAACTTTAAGAGCATATTAATGGTTAATATTTTTATCACTCAGAGGTTGACATTTTTAACTGGCATAAGTTTTACGATTATTTGCCACATTTTTGGCTAACAGTTTTTAGTAGTTTACACCCTTGCCTAATAAAAAATGTATATTTTAGCTTGGCACTCGTTGGCCTTCATATTTTTCTAACTCTATAGAATTTAAAAAATTAAATATTAATGGTACTTATCCGGTCACTTCTTGTCAAATCGCAGAAAAACACAAACATTCCACATTGCATGTACAGGTGTAAACTAATTAACAGGACTGACATCAGTTGTCAAACACTTAAAGCGGCATTTGTTTTCAAGGCCAACTAAGCCGTTTAAAAAGTACGAAAACTTCGTTATTTTATTGAAGCGATTGCAATAAAAATAGACTTTCTTTTAAACATCTGATATTGCGCCTTCATAAAAAATTCTAGTTAAAATATTTTTAGAAAGCAACACTGTTTTTACATGTTTCAGTATGTTCTTAATTTGAAAACATTGACAAATTTTGCATTTTTAATTATGACGTATTGCAACCTAGTTTATGCATGGGGCCCACAGTGTGTCACATTTATTTTCTAGAAGTTGGTAGTAATACTAATACTAATATATATACTAATACACACCATGTTGCAAATGTCATTTAATGAATAAAATTGGTGACTCACTTGCGTTTGTAGGCTGAACGGTAACGGATAATTAACAAAATCTATCCCGCAGTCGGTGCAGTTCAGCATCACCCTGTACATCGTGTTCAAAGCGTGGGCCAGCGCGATGGCGGGGGTGTGGTAGGGGTCGTTATTGAAATACGCCGTAAAATCCGGTCCGAACGTGTAATTGTCATTCGAAACGGACGAGTCGCCGAGCGAGGCGCCTATTACGTAGTGACGCCTCACCAAATTGGGTACGTCTCTTGTCTGAAAAACGATTTGAAAAATTGCAAAAGATGAAATCAATGTTTAGAAAGTATAATTTATTCTACGCTAACTAGATGTGCACTTGAAAAAATGTACTTGGATTTATAGACAGTTATAGATACACCGTTATTATTGTTATTATTATCATTATTATGTCACTCTTTCACTGAGATAACTTACCAACAGGCATTTAAATTATAAATAGAAACGAAGCCTCCTATTTCAAATTCTACTGTAACTTTTTTTTTCATCGACTGGCACATTTATGTAAAAAAATATATTTATGTTTTAGAAGAAAACAAAAATTAATCTTACATTAAGAAAGATGTACGCATTCAAACTGAAATTAATACTGCAGTCAGAACGTTCAAATTAATTCATTCATTTGTTTATGGCTCAGTACATTCACTTCCAAGATTAATATTGTTAATTAGTTTACAAAAAACACCTATTATGTCAATTGCTATTTTAACGGGTACTTATACTTATAAATAAAATATATATTTATAATATAATTATAAATAATAAATATAATTATAAAAACAATTATCAGAAAAAGAAATTTTTAATTTTTTCCCTTGTATTTTAAACCATTTAACTAATTATTCTAATAAAAGCTATCGAATATTTAAATTTATTTTTATTAACACGTCAAAGACACATCAAAGCTCCGACAGAGAGTGCGGCAACTTTTATTTTAATCCTGTGGTAGAGACACTTCTAGACAAAGTAAGCTTACGTATTACTTTTGTAAAATCGGAAATAAATGTGCTAGAAAAGAAATACTAAAATCAAGTAATTTGGTTTTCCTAAAATATATCTGATAATTTAATTTTGGGTAACCCACCATACGTGTATGATAGTTAAAACTGTATACATTTCTGCCTCTGCAGGGGCGACCTTGTGGAGTAAAACCCATCCCAACAGTGTGTGCACTATATTTCTGGTCGAAGTATAAGATTTCACTCCCACTTACCAGATTCATCATGGACTCCCGGATACTTCGCACCGTTTCAGTGGTCGACCCCACTACGTCTTGATAAGCGTTAGCATATCGCTTAACGAGGGCATTTTGCGAATTTACTTCGATCAAACTTATCGATCCGGAAAACCTGTCCAGATCCAGAGCCATGGGGGGTAGGTCGAGGTTCGCGCCGCTGTTTTTGCTCACGGCCATCGTGATTATGAGGAATATCATGGGAATGGCGATCTGGATCAACGACAATATCCACGATCTTAGTGTCGACAATATTTTCTTGATGAACATGGCCTTGAACTGATTTCTCACTAGTTCGAAGTGGGTCGTGTGAGCGTTCGATCCAATTTCCACTGAAACCGACATTATTTCATTAAATTAATCACCCCCCACAACCCCGCAGCGCAGATGATTTGTTGGCCATATTGTAAGGATTTTTCTTTCCATAGCACACTAAATTAGCAAATAAAAAACTCAACTTTTCATAATTTTCAATATTGACCAAAATAATGGAAAAACTAAAAATGCGGATTTTCTCATGGAATTTGCGATGTTATAATTTAAACCTTTTCCGATATCTCTAACGTGTGGGCCGCGCTTAAAATTTGAATATTTACTTGAAAATGTCAAAATCAAGAGATCTCCATTTAATTCTATAAAGAATTGACCTGTGCATTTTGCATCAGCAAGTTTTTCTTCTCAAAAATGTTATCCTAAGTTTTTAGAAAATGATTCATGCAGAAAAACTTCACCTCATTCTTTAACCCGATTTGATAAAAAAAAAATGTCCTTCAAACAAAAGAAACCATTTTAGATTATTTTGAACAGTATTTACGCAAGTGCAGAACAAAAAACAAGATATTTTAATTGCGTGTTTTTTTTTTGTATGATTTTTAGCATAAAGGAGAGTCAGAAGTTAAATTAATTTGACACATTGTGTCAGACACTAACCAAACCCTACCTTTCGTTTGAGGACCATCGGGACTCGATAAATGGTAGTTCCCGTTCTCGATTGTTCCGTTCTGCACTTCGTTATTGTACATTTCCTCTTGTCCGTGATCCGCGCCGACCCTGCGACATAAACCATAACGATCCGGCTCGAAGGACCAACCGATCACTTACTTCATAAACACCTCTTCCAGAGTCGTCAGCGATATACCGTAACTGTTCACACCCAGTTCGGTAGTTTTTGTCTCCAGATCCCTCAGCATCGGTTCGAACACGTACGACTGATTTTCCGACAACAAGTACGTCAATTCTGATCCAATGTTGCTCTCGATCTGTAAACCGCAGAAGTTACATTTGACGGCCATATTCTACAGTGTGGGAAGTACTTCGATGTTCGGAATGTGTCTCCTCAGTACTTCGGTGACCCGCATAGGATCGCAGTCGGCGGATTTGTCCATGATCAGATGGTACCCGGCACCGAACTTCTTCTTCAGGAAGAAAGAAGAGCCGCAGCACTGCAATTCGCCACCGGCCATGATAGCGATCCTATCTCCCAGCAGATCCGCCTCGTCCATAAAATGGGTAGTCAGCAGCACCGTCCTTCCTACAAGAATAGAACGCGTTACAAAAAAAAAACACCACCACGCGGCCATCGTGAAAGTACCCGTTTTTTGGTTGAGCAGCAAGTCCCACAACGCTCTTCTCGCAGAAGGGTCCATTCCGGCAGTGGGCTCGTCCAGCATCACCACCTTCGAGTTTCCGCACAACGCGATGCCGACGCACAACTTCCTCTTCATGCCGCCAGATAGCGTGGTTGATTTTTCGTTTCTCTGCAAATTTATATACGTGGTTTTTATGGCCTACAAAAATCATCAAGTGCAACAATTTGATATACTTTTCCTAAAGCTTAAGCTCAAAATCAAAAAACAAATGTTTGAAAAATATATTCAAATATACAGATACAAATATATCAAAAATACCTTCTAAATGAATAAGTCAAAAAATAAAGATTAAATTACGACACTTTTTGAAAATGTGGATTTGGAAATTAGAGTTATGGTTTCGAGATAAGTATTGAACTGTTTATTCAAGAAAATATTAGCAACATTATTAACCAAATATTTACTTAGTCCTTAAGTTCAAAAAAAAAATGGTAGGTAGATACAGGAGGTTCCACTGAAAAAATCAACATCAAAATCAAAATCAAATCAATCAAAATAGTTTTATTGCTAAAATCACAGCTACTTTGGCTAACATGAGTTGACACCTGTAAATTAAGATTAGCTCTAAAATTGCAATCTCCAGTCGCAAAGGAAAAAGTTAAGAGAAAAGTTGATATGTGGTCGTGTGTTCCTAGATATTTCTAATAAATTTGAGATGCGACTTCTAAAGAACATTGATTCATATATATTTTTACTTTTTAAAGAGTACATAATACAGATATTTTTGGAAAAAATATTACCTACGTTAGGCCGCTGCAATCTGAATGGATTTTGATCATTTTAGGAAAATGAAATTGTGAGGTTTAAAAGTGGATAGGTCAAGGATATGGGTAAGTTAATAGGAGAGTCGTCCATTAGAAACAGCTTAATGGCTTTTAGTCAGCATGATATTTGTTTGATCGATAGATAAGACTGATATCTTAATGATATTACCTTAAAACAAATATAAAAATTGAAATATGTGTAAATTAATAGGAGATTCGTCGATTAGAAACAGCTTAATGGCTTTTGGTCAGCATGATATTTGTTCGATCGATATAGGACTGATATCTTAGCGATATTACCTTAAAACAAATATAAAAATTGAAATGGTCGAAATCTATTTTTATAAAAAGTAAGCAAATTTTACGAACCATATTGAAATGTTGAGAATATATTTTTATAAATATTAAATTTGGAATTAATATATCAAACTAATTGTAAAGTATTCCAGTTGTAACTGAAAAATTTTGTTAGATGAAAGTTTACAACGTACCACTAAATGTACACATTTTTAGAAAAACCTGAAAAACTAGCAATGATATCAAGAACATCTCGAAATTTTCGTCTGGTACGTACCGCCCCTTGTACCCAAGTACCCTTTATTTAAAAATTAATGTATGTGGTTTTGCTTAGAACGCCCCAACCACCGCTTGAATTTTACCATATAATTATTTATTTGCCTAACCAAATGCACAAGCACATTGTCACCACAGTATATAGTAAAACAAAATATAAAATTTTCTTTGCTCACACCACTCACACACTCCCTCAGCAATCATTCAATACCCCAAAAAATACATGGTTTTACTCAACAATTTTTTTTTGAATTTTTAAATTTGCTTTCATTTGTAATAAGTCTAGTAAAGCCTGGCAACTCAACCCGTTACGTGATTTAGTGACATAAACTATGAACTTTAGTAGTTAATTCTACCAATATACCAATACCAAGTGGTCAAAGAAAAAAGTAAGGTACTTACCTTGGGTTGGAGCTCGAGAAGTTCAACGTATCTGTCAATTTCCTCCTTGGTGTCCTTCTCCTTGACTCCTTTCAGTTTACTGAAAAAGTACAAGTGTTCGGCGACGGTCAGCTCGTCGAAGATGATATTGTGTTGCGGGCACAACCCCAGACTCTCCCTCACTCCGTCCATGTTGGTTCTGATGTCGTACCCGCCGACCACCGCGGTACCGCTCGAAGGCGTGATCATCCCGGTCAGCATCGACATGGTGGTCGTTTTTCCGGCACCGTTGTGGCCCAAGAGAACGGTGATCTGTCCCTCGTACATGTTTAACGACAGATTCCTCACCGCAGCTTTCTGACCGAACGCTTTGCGCAGGTTACGAATTTTGATACCGGCGTGGAGATTTCGCGGTTCCTTTTCGAAATATTCTTTTTCGTTGACCGCCTCGTCGGCGAAGTCTTCCACAGCTGAAACCCGCCCCCTCAGGCTTTAATAAACTCTAAAGATATAGAATTCTTTCCCTTTTGGAGCAACATTGTTTTCGTTAAAAATATTAATTAAAACATCAAATTTTCCACTTACATTTTTTTTTTTTTTCAAAATTTCCGCCCTAATATTAAAACCTATTTCAAAAGATCTTAAACTAACTTTTTAACGTTAATTTAACTTTGACTATACCACATTGGATGTTATCGTCACCATTCGTGCCCCATCTTTTTAATTAAAAGTATCAAATAAAATATATAAAAAATAAATTACACGAGATGCCATTGTCATTTTTTTTAATATATTAAAATAGCTGCCCAATTCTTAAGTTAGTTTAATTTGTTTAATTTTAATTTAACTTTGAAGTTATCAAATTAATGTTCTATCGCGACCATTCGAGCACCATCTCTTTGATTAAAAGTATCAAATAAAATATCCAATTACAAAGGTAGGAGAATTCAAAAATCATCCAAAAATTAAAGATCATGTTTGCTGTAAGCTAACTATTTTGGGATGGCCAAGGGAGTGAGTGGTGTAGTCACAATCTAAAACTAATTTTTCTGATAAACTTTTATTGAAAATATTTTTTTTTTCAAAAATACAGTTTTTGATAATACCATTTCGAATTTTATTTAAGAAAAGGCAGGAAGAGATCAAGCTTTCATTCACAGATGGCTTCAAAACTAATGAAAGTATGGGAGTCTGCAACTATTCGGAACATCCAAAGCTCAATGCATGACATCAAACTCTGTGCAACAATACTTACACAGATAACATTGAAGGCTTTAAAATCCTATAAGTCTATGTACATCCAACGCCGTAATAGAATGTCAAGGGGTCATAAGTTATAAAAAAAATTTTGGTTGGACCAAAAATCACCACAACCTCACAAATACGAGGGCAGCGCCAAAATTTCCCGGTCTGAATATGAAAGAAACACAGTAGAGTAACAATTTTGTATTATTTTTTAATATAATTCCCCTTAACTTCAATACACTTATTACATCTCTTTATTAACAACTCAATCACTTAAAAAAAATATTCTATTGGTTTGTCTGCACAGTGAGTTAAAACAGCTTCTTTTAACTCAACTTCGTCGTTAAACCGCCGTCCACATAAGTCCTTTTTCAAATATCCAAACAAATATAGGGCGGATGACCTATCTGTTGGAACTCAAGCTCTAAAATGGCCGCTTGTGCAACACCAGCAGTATAGACAGGTGCATTATCCTGCAAAAGGCGCACGCCTCTGGTCAGTTTTCCTCGACGTTTTATATGTATGCAGTCTCGCAATTTATGTAATAATGTTGCGTAATATTTACCATTGACAGTGGTATTAGTTTCTTTAAAATGTATAAAAAAAAATCCTTCACAATCCCAAAAGATCTTGTCCATCACATTTTTTGTTGACTAGCAGACTCTGAATTTTCTTGGAGGTGCTTCACCCTTACGACGCCATTCCATTGATTCTTTTTTCGATAGGGGGTCATAATAGAGAACCATAGTTTCATCTCCCGTCGCAATAGTTTCTATCACAGGTTTCGGTTCCGACCCACAGAGTTCCAAAAAAGACTCGACACTGCGTTGTTTTCGGAGTAGCCGAAGGGTTTTTAGGAACCCATCTTGCACTAACCTTATGCATACCGTGTACCAGAAAGCTTAGTAATTTCTGAGATTTCTTGACCTTTAAACGCCATCACTCAATACCACCTCTTCCACAATCGGAACAATATCTTCCGTTGTGACTTCCACTGGTCGATCAGTTCTAGAATCATCTTCAAGGGACTCCTGCCCAATTAGAAAACGTTTTGTCCATTCTTTCACTACAGAATACGAAGGAGAACCATCCAGCCTTTCTTTAATAATTTTAGGTGCTAACCCTTCTTTTGTCAAAAACTTTATGACTGCTCTATACTCAATTTGCGTTATGTGCGACATTTTTTCGGACACGTCTTGTTTAAAATGCTGTCGATAAAAAACTATTTGACGCAAGACCTCATTTTTTTTTCGCAGCCTACTAGGACATATATTTAAAAGAAGACACAGTTTCATCGTGATACTGGAAATGCATCTATGTCATTTACCTGTCTGATTAGATCGTCCGCACCAAAAGCTCGAAGTGAACGGGAAGTACCAGGGCTGAGGCACGCCATATTCGCCGGGGAAAACAGCTTCGATGTAGAGAGCTATCAAGAGATATAGCACCGAGTCGACGGCAAGCATCACCGTCAAGAATCCAAGGGTTAGATCGTCGTCGGGAGTCACGGGGCTCCACAGGTTGCTCCACTGCACTCCTAGGTATAAAAATAACATAGCCGTCAATTTTCAATGATAGATAGGGCCTTATATTCAAGGGATGCTTTCTGCAACTAACAAATAAGAATATCTTAGAAAAGGAGTGAAGAGCCTCTTGTTATTGCGTCAGGTTTTAATGTTTCTATTATTTTTATGTATAAAACTTAAATTAATCTCTTGGGCAGGGTGGGAAGTATACCCACCGTCTCCAGTTCCCTCGAATCGTATCATCAACTGGAAGCCGAAAGCCATCGCCGAGTTCGAAGCGAAACTGGCTATCACCTTGGAGGAGTAAGACAGCGTGTCGTAGTTTTGGGCCATGAACAAGTACGGGGCGTAAGTTATAAACCAGGCGAGACCCGCTATGGTGGCGGCCGTGTTTGCTGCGAACGATAGACGATTGCGCGAAACGCTAGATGGCGCGGAACGAAAGTCGTTTACCCTTCGAGAAAAAGACGCTGACTACGAAGCAAAACGTGATCGTCGCGCAGATGTAAAAGAACAGAAAAATGAACATCAGCGACGGATTCGCGAATGTAAAAACGGTACTGTCGGTGTTGCTGTACCATTTGACTTTCAGAAGGATCACCATCAAAACGATCGATATCAGCAGGTAGCACAAGGACTTGGCGAACCAGGCCGTCCAGTGGAGCCAGCCCGGTAAACCCATTATTTTCATCGCTTCCTGTGAAAATATCGAGAAACGTAAACCATATGACTGAAAATTCCAAAAATATATAGGTGTTTCAGAAATAAATATACCTAGATGAAAAGCAGGGTTCTTTGAATAAAAATATTGCGAATTGGATAACTTTCTTCAGTCTTCAACTTACTAAAACCGTTCATAATCTTCCGAATTATTAATGGTTTCCGGATCGAAGTTTTCGGTGAATCGCTGACGTACTGCGTTGGCCTTTTACAAGAAATCAGCATTTGGTTTTTGTCACCAACATTCAGTTTTTGACCACTTACAAACTCTTTAAGAAACAAGTTGTCATTAGTATTTTTTTAGGAAAAAGTTGTCGAAACCAGAAATTAACACAAAAACCCAAATACAGTTTTGCATATAGCGCCTACGCTAATTGGAACCGAAAAATGATACGTGCGGACCCTAGAAAACCCGACATACCCGAAGATTCAAGATTTTCGCGCGCCGACCGGATCACACAAACAATTCAATTCAAGTTTTCCCGCCAAGAAGAGACGTAAATTAACTCCTGACAAGAAAAATATCAATCAAAAAGCGCTAACTAGTTTATTTCATAAAAACTTCTTTTATTTTTCAATATTTAGCAATGCTTTAAAAGAGCGAATGTCTAGAACTTTAAAATTGGCGTCTGCACGTCAGTCCTAAATTTAATTTTATTAAGAGGATTATTTTTATTTAGATTAGAAAGCCGATAGTGATGCGCTTGATCTTTGGAATTGCGAATGACGTTTCTACTTAATTGTCTGATTGATCGTGTGCCAGGAAAACGGTGGCAGATGTTCGGATTTTTTTTTATGTAAATGTCCATATTTCACAAAAGGTTTGACGCATTTTACTGAACCTGGAGTTGTTAAAGAAAGGGTTTTTTCCTTGACCATTAATGGTGCTATAAGTGACGTGATTGCCACCGGGTGGGGTTTCCTGATATAATCGCAGACAAATTGGATTTTGTTTTCTTTGTTTCAAGGAAACTTCCACTGCCTACTGTAACTATTTACACATCTGTTCTTGTCACTAATAATTTCCACATTTACGTTTCCATATTAAGCGTTCCATCACAAAATACGCTTGACCACAACCTTCCAAAAAAAATGAGTCCGAAAGCTACCCCACACCCGCCACTACTTCCTTACCACATATCAAAAGTTATTAAGAAATATCACGTCAAAACCAGATTTTGCCACTGACAAAATTGAGATACAGCATTCAATGCATATGCTGCAAAGAATACGTTGGAAAAACAGCACGAAAAACATTAAGAATCACAGCGACATAATCATAAAACCGAACATGAAATCTTATTCTTCTACCATAGAAAAATGCGAGAATCGATGAAGATCTCTAACATTTCTGAATCTGTACATTTTACTACATAAATAATTATTTAAAAAAAAAATTGCTTAGTCTTCAACAGTTTTTTTTTAGTTGACCCAATAGTGATAAAGATGTATTAATTTTATTTGACTGGGTTATTTGACCATCTAATGGGGTAAAAAAAGTTATTTATCCTTTTTCTCTTGTATAATCAAAGACCTAAATAACAAAAAAATAAAAATAAATACAAGACATTCAAATTTTTAGTAGTCATATGAACCGGAACCTATTTTCATATAATTTAAACAACTAACATTTTATACGACGCTCTTGTCATGAACACAATATCATCCAAAAAAACTGTGAAACTTCGTGAAAAAAAAATGGATCCTAACGTTTGTGCTGATAAACGTTTGCAGTTCTACTACAATTATAATAAATCAAATTTTTTCCTTCCACCCCGACCCGATAGTCGAAAAAGTTGGAGGACTTCTGGTACCCCGACCCCACCGAACCGACCACTTACTTTCAACTGCTTCTCTTTTTCTTGCGTGATGGTCTTGACGGTGTTGATGCAAGTGTAGACGAAACTCAACATTATTATCATCCCGACAAAGGATTCCAAAGCGGTAAGAAGCATGTCGTCGTACCACGAAGCGTGAGGAAATCTTCGCATCGTAATTAGCGGTAAATATGGCGGCAAGGCAGCCGCTAGTTCCGAAAAATCGGTTAGAGACACGTTCAAACGTTCCAAGATTATCAGCAAACTGGTGATATGCTGCAGACCCAGGAAGCCCTCGCGATAATAATCTAAATGTTGGGTTTTGAGAACAATTGTAACTTGCAAACGGCCGCCACTTACATGGCGTCGCTCCCGTGCTAGAATTGGGGGACCGAGGGCCAGCTGTCTGGAAAATCGGATACACCAAGTTGGTCAACCAGTTTTGGCTGTTTACGCCATAGCTCGAGCCTCCGGACCGAAGTTCCGAGGGAAAACTACAAACAGATATACTCCGGTAAGCACTAAACTTTTAAATATCAAAAATTAGTTACAATTGCGAATTTCTAATATCGTAATCACTTTGAATTTCAGTCAGTTCAAGAATAAATATGGTAAAAGAAAATTGAAAATAATATATGAAAATTTGTATCAGAATAGAGTTTTTGATGTATCTTATATTTTACAGGGTAGTATGTACAGAGTGTACCTTCGTTTCGACAACACCGTGTCTTTATCAAATGTATCGATATTGACATTTGATAAAACAATTGCCATGCCAAAATATATAATTTCGTGAAAATCTGAATATTTAGTACTTATTTATTTTAACAACATTAGTCTTAGTATTATAAAAATTCCTTATTAAAAAAAAATGAATGAATACGTATAATTACATTCAATCATTTTAATTTAATTTTATTAATTTTAATTTAATCATGCGACTATTATTGAAATAGAATATCCAAATTTAATGTTGCAACAAGATGGCGCTGCTTTTCGTGAAAGTGCAGATCAATAAATTTTTAAATGGAAATTTTAGACAAGGAGCCCGGATTTCAACCCACTGCCATTCCTTTCGGGGGGCACGTTCAAAGAAATAGTATACAAAAATAGGCCCACAAAATAATAAATATAATTAATTAATTTAATAATTTATTTAATAAATAAATTATTAAAAATATTAAACGCTTTCGGGTTAATTGCATTAATATTACCTCGGAATTGATAAAAATCAATGTTCATATATATCGGTGTATTCGTCATTTAAAGGGGTATTCGAAAATGCAAAAATATACCGCGTATTATTTTTAATTTATATCGTTTAAATATATTTATATGGAAAGGCCAAACAAGCAGAAACTTGGAATTCGAAAGTAAGGAAAATTGACAAATGCAGATCTGAACTCTGTCGATCCTTATCGGCTTACCGTATAGCGAGGCTCAGGCGATCAGGTAAGTGATCGCTGTTAGCTATGTCGTCGCTGAATTGCAATCCAGCGAAGGTCGTGTTAGCGCTGTGAGTGACGAAATAATTTTCGAGCTCTTGGGCGTTTTGCAGGGCCGCCACGTCGATGCCCCACAACCTCAAAGGGTTCATCGCCCTATCCAACGCTGTATTTTTGGGCGAGTACACGAGACCGAAGTTCGTGACATCCCTAGAAATCCATCAAGTTTGAACTATCTGACTAGGGCACCATCTATTCCAGACTTGCCTCAAATTCAAATCGTTCTGTTCCCCTTGTCTAGAACATAACGCTATGGGAATGGGCAACGTGCAAAACGGCTGGAATTCCACGGGACCGCGTGGTTTCGGATCCACCAAACTCCTTATAACCACTAGTATTATGGAGAATAGCACTGGTGCGATTATTTCTATGATTGTCTGCAGTGGTTTCCTGTACTGGAGGAGCCAGTTCTTCCACATGAGCAGCCGAAATTTATCAAATTTGTTGCCCATCGTTTCTATAAACATACGAAACTAGATAGAGAAATAAGCCTCTTCGTGAATCAATCATTTTATCGACTTTCACACTACACAAACCAGAACAACAACAATAGCAAAGTTAGGCAAATTAATATTTTTCGGAGTAACTATTGATGATACTCTTAAATGGGAATATCACTGCAAAATGCAAATGCAAATATCTTCACATCGCAAAAAAAATAGAATTAGATTTATGGCTGAAATCTCAAAATTTACCTCGGGTGGTTTATATTTTTCAAAAAATCGAATTTTAACTGTGTCGTCTATATACTGCAATGTTATACGTTCTAAATCATTATTTTCAATATCTTTTCAGGGTAACTTTGTGACATCATATCTTTATTAAGAATCTTGCGCATATTGAATAATAGAGATTTGCATCAGATTTCAAAGTTGGCGGGCTCGTTAAACATTTACGCGCAATTGTCTAATCTAATTAGATAGTCTTTATTAACACGTAATGAGTTAAAACATCGTTTGCGATTTAATTTGGTCGTGTTAGAGATAAGATATCGAACTAGAAGTGCGAGTGCTAATGAAACGAACATGGTTCGGGCACACCAACATAAAATGAAATATTCGTTAAAAATCACGACACCTATAGTTGAACAAGCATGACTACCAGAGATATAGAGAGATATAATACAGAAACTTATGAAGCAACGATGAAAGAAGAGCTCACTTTTAACCAATGAACTTGCGACATTCAGATCGTCAATAAGTTCGGATGCGGCATTTTTACGGCAACATTTTCTCAAAATATGCCTAGATCTCGTTAAATGTTCTGAGGAAACGAGTTAAGTGTGCGAAAATCGCTGTTTAGGAAGAAAACTGCGGCGGTGCGTGCCGCGCATGAAGGTTTATCGTCTACGATTAGTTATGCGCATGCGCGAGTCATTGCAAAACCCTCAAACATCCCGCGTTCAACCAATAAGACCGTGCGGCTTCCAATATATCGCATTTTTCGGCCGTATTTTGACGAAAAGGCAAAATGACCCATCACTTATGCCAGGTGCAGCACTGTATATAAAATAAAAAAAGAAAATAAAATAAAAAGGGAGATAGGACTGAGTTGATGATGAGCGGACGTTTTTGGGTTTAAATTATTGCGTCTAAATTGGGTTTTTAATTCGTATCATAGGATCGTAGGATTCAAATCGCAACAACAACTTTCCAAACATCGATCGATAGTTCATTGTAAAGTAAAAGTAAATATATCATGTACATCTAAAATAATAACTTTTTTCATAATATTTATTTGTGTTAGTATTAGGATTTAAACATATAAATCCATCAAAATAAAGATCTAATATTTCCATACCGAAAAAACGTCTTATCAGATTTTATCGTCCAAGTAACCAAAACATTTTGCGCTTGTTATTATTATTGTATTAATCGAGTTGAGTACGTCCCTGTCGATTACGTCTTGCGTAGCTTGCTACTGTGCCAAATCACGAAGGAAAATACAAGTGGAGCATTCAAAATTCGTCAATTCACTCACCTACGGGCGTGCTGTTATAACTGTCCCTATCATTGTTTCTTATCAAATCGTAAGGATAATTTGCCGAATTACTCATTTTGTTTACACAGTATTAACTGAATATATTCGCGTAAATCTGTGCGCAGTTGTTTAAACAATTGTCAGCGGTTTTGAGGTTAACTATAGTTAATAGCCGGGATCGGCACGAGTGGATTAGAAACGAAATCAGTTTCCGGGAACTGAATTTGATCATGCACACCCGTATGACGAGGCCATCTATTATTTACATCCACTTGGTTCTATGAAACCAGCGGTCTTCGAAATTTTAATCGTTAACGATTAAATATTAATACACGTCTAGATGAGTTTTATTAAATGACGTTGCTCTAACGTCCGTGACCTCTCTTTAATAAATAAACCCTTAAAGCGTAATAGGTCTGGCAAACAGGGCAGGAATAACGTCGAATTTTCAACTAAATTTCAAGCGGATATAAAGTATTTTTAGATTAAGGTAACAGTAACGTTGTCATTGTGTTGCCAAGTTTCGTTTCAGTAAATCGTGGAAATAAGGATTTACATAGAAAAAAAAAGATTTATTTTTTTAAAACACCCCAAAAATGATGGATTTTGTTCACATTCAGACGTCGTCCTCTGTGTGAATTGAAAAAAGTTGGTCCGCTAAAATCAACACAATTAATAAGTAGAAAAATAATGTTTGTGGTTTTTTCCTAAGACTTCTTCATGTATTTAATAGAATCAAGAATATATCGGAAGAGTAGTTATGAAAATTTCAGATAATGAGTATTTGCAATGGGATTCGGTTTTTTTTGCGCAGTACGTTAAATTAGCCATAAACTCGCCAATAGCATCATTAATCTTACTAATTTATACGAAAATAAAGATTAACTTTATCGCTTCGGTTATCGGTACGGAAATAATGTTCACTTTGTCGAAATTACATCCTGTGACGTCAACGTAAAAAGCTTTCAAACATCGGACATGACGTGGCAACGCTATAAGCCGCGATCAGGCAGACATTCACGGAAGTTTCAGTTTGTTGAATTAAGTTGCACAAAGAAAAATAAAAATTATCATTTAGACCATTTTATCAGATGAATTAAGATGAAAAATTATCTCTCAGATTATTTAGTAGCATTTATTTTTAATCCTTTATATCTGGCAAATTGCACGAGTTGGGTTTAATGTAATTTTATGTAGAGTATGAACCAAATAAGATGCCAGGCGCGTCATCAACCGCTTATCATCCATCTCCCATTAAAATATATCTCTTTTTGTGGCACAAAATCGATATTGCAATGGCGGCTAGGCTGTAAGTATGGAAAATGTTATGTTTGTAACATATAAACATATTTCATGATAATTAAAAACGCGAATGTGTTATCCAAAGTAATTTTGGTTAGTTTAAATAACTTCTTAGATCTTATTATTCAAGTAAAATGTTAACTCGAATATTTATACAAAGCAACAACATTTTATAACATTCTTCTTATCCGAAATACGATTATGCTGCATTTAGCATTCAACTCGTATTCAGCAAAAACTGCAATAAATATTCTGAGATCAACTAAGGAATAGCACGGTTTTAAGTATTAACATATCGATTTTGTTTCTTCAGGTAAAGTCCACACTTAACTGGTTTTAGGCTTAAGTTTTAAGCCGTTTGTATTTTTGTAGTTTACGTGACTTGGGACATACATTTTAATGCTGGTTTTGAATATAAAATGAAACCATTACCAAATTAGGAATAATATTAACTTTAAATCAGTGCATCAAGGTGGGTATTTATTTTACTTCCTAAATAAAGGTTTGGCAACATCGAAAAAGGCCTTACAGGATGAGTGCCACGTCACAACTGCCGTCTCAGGATTATATCGTGGAGATTATCGATATATTTTTTATTTTATCAATTATCACGCCTGGGCCATCTTCCCAGCTGGTTTGCACTCTATCAACGTACACATAATATAAAAGCAATGCAAATAAAGACAAAAAAATCACCCCAACTTCGAAGAGTTAATGATAACATCATTAACATCTTTTGGGGACTAAACAATAGAATTTTATAGAATAAAAATCAATAATCCTTATATCAATTAAACACTATATCGTTCTTTCATGGACTATAACAAACCTTCGAAAACGCGAAGATGTGTGGCAAACGTAGAATGACGGAACCACCAAACTAAATCTCGAAAACTTCTGACATCGTTAACGCATCCAAAACTATCGAAAATTTATTGTAAAATTTATATTCACTTCGTGCCTATCCATTTCCATATTGATTGAGTAACGGCTTGATTACCAGTCGGCTTTTAAGGAGCGCTATACTGGGTGGTCACATATACGTTAATTTAGAATAGACGAGACGTTTATATACAGGAATAGCCATTCCGTTAAAAAAAAAAATAGATGCGATAGATGGAGAAAAGTGAGAAAAGTAAATTTAATAAAATACAAAATTCCCAAATACATTGACCAATCGTACTAGACGGCGATGTCAGATTTATGTAGGTTTCCTTAAAGCACAATACTTAAAATACTAAAAAACTTTAGACACTTAATTTAATTTTACAAAATTTTGCAGCTAATATATAGGGAAATTTAAGTTAAATTAGGAAGTTCTATATCGGAAAACACTTGTTCGACATATTAGGACCTTTTAATATGTCAAATGGATCTTGGAATGTAGCCTGGGTCCGGTTCTGTGCCAAGGTAACCGTCGTGGAATGAAAGTAAATATAATACAACCAAAAGTATAGTGTATTTATTGCTTTGACGTTTAAAGTATCCCATCCCAACACATGTTTATTCTGCATTACGTAGGTCTTGACTGAGATGGTCCGTTTTACATTTTTACATTTTACATATTTTCGATTAAATAGAAGCGGTTATTTTAACATCAAAATTTCGTATTTCGTATTTCTGTAAGAAAATGAAAAAACAACTTCTGGAATTATTACATAAAACATTTTATTAAAGACTACAAAATCAATTCCTTGTATATTTAACCCGATTGAGTTGAAAGCGCATATAAGAAGAAATAACAATGCAAATGGAACGTAATAAATTGTTACTTTTTATGTACATGTTTCCAGAATTGCTGGGAGAAAAGGTTGAAAACGTACTTATATCCCGCTTGTTGGTGTAGGTAGAAAAATTTCTATGGCGGTCCTGGAATGGTTACGGGTAATGGTCTGCTCTATATTTATGGTCTAAGTATACTAGAAAATGACAAAGTTGTCGGGTCATGATTAAAACTTAACTTAGTTTTCATTCTCTCTCCTGTTCGGCGTTGCCTGTTTTACGATATTTCAGATGAAACGGCACCTAGTTTTGGATATCTTCAACATTTAACGTTTATGAAGGAAACAGTATGCAATTACTACCATTCAAGAGGCGAAAGGGTTAAGTTATGGTACTGTTCTGTTCTTGGACAGTAAAAAATGTTGTTCTAGGAGAATTTGTCGCAAAACTTTTGCGCGTTGAGGATTCGAACCAGACGTTGACGTACATCTTTATCGTTAAACTATTTTATCTGTCGATTACATTGAATGCCAATTGTTTATCTTTCCCTTGAAATGCGTTTTGAAAACAATTTTGCAGTAACTTTTCTATTTTTTTTTAATGAAATCACTGCGTGTGATGCTTTCATGACCTGATTTTCGAGATTTTTTCCGAATGTTACGGATAACGACACGTAAATTGCAGGCGAGTGAAGACAAGATATCAAGACCTACCTTTCGTATCGCTATCTCATATTTTATACCCGAAATTTGTCCCGAAATCGCGGCAGACGCGTCTTGGAAGGTTAGAAACGCTGAAAAACTGAAAATAGAGTTGAACTTCACCTTGACACGACGGAAAACGCGCGCGCTGCGACGGGAAAACTACGAGACTCCGTCCGACGACGAAAATCGTTACATTAACGAGTTTGTGTTACAATTTTCGCTTTTATTTTCCCTTATCTGATTTTCGTACTCCAATCGATATGCCTACTGATACCGTTCTGCGTAATCCACGAATCGTATTTCATTTTGCTTATGACTATCTAAGCCTGTAACAGACTAGTAAAGAATTGACTAGTGAAAGTTGATAGTATGTATAAATAGTAGTCCAAACTACCCCACCCCCACATTCTTTAATTCTGTAAAAGAAGTTTTTCGTATTTTTTATATCACCAACAACTATTTTCACTAACAGCGAATATACCATATGGAAAATTTGCATAGATTTCTATCCTTTAGCGCCGCAACATAGCAAGCCGAATATTAAGCCATCATATAAACTGTAATTATTGCAATTCATTAAAATTAAGATAAGCAACACGAAAAAAAAGAAGAAGAGTTGTGCGAGAAGAAAGAGGTGGTACAGACAAATGGAGTCGAATTTTGGAATCACTTGATTTACTATAAATAATCATTTAACAGACAGCGTGACGATAAACTTAGTTAACCTTGAATCCTGACGGGTCGCCAGAAGAAAGTTTTATTTTTCATAAAAAAAATTAAATTAAATCTTTTACAGTAGTATGTTAACTACTATTAACTCAGCTTATTATCTGTGTAAAACCGTGTTCAAAGATCCAATCATGGAGTTCAAGGACCGTTCAATGACGTCATATTAAAATGACGAGAAATAAGCGAAACCTGCTCGAACGCAGTGGGAATAGGCAAACCTTCCCTAAAATACGTAACGCTTCACGCAGAGTCGCATTTTTTTTTATTGCAAATTATGGCAAATTAAAAATTTCAAAACATTTGTGTTAATAGAGTATTTTCGTGTAGAGGATTAAATGTTTAATCTTTATTTTAGGTTAGGCAAAGTTTCGCACGAAAAACGAGTTCAGGTTGTTGTCTATTCTGTGACCAACTAGGTCACTGCGAACCAGTGATACATCCCCATAGTTCTTCATGTTTTCGAAACGTCGGTAAACTCGTCGGGGGGCGGTGGCCCATTAACGCATTTTTTTGTAGTACGTAAATCTAATATTTCCGCAAGTCGACTTACCTAATAGCAAAAAAGACGCAAACCACACTGCAAGACGGGATCGAGTAAGATGGTAGGGTAAAAAAAAACTCACATTTTCCACGTTTTTTTTTTATTGTCTTTATATCACACAACAATTCTAACACATAAGTCATTTTCGATTCACTCATATATCACGTGACATAATGGCAATGGTTTCTACGGTTTCCTTGACATTATTTTAAAAATGTGACTTTCTTCAGGTCGGCGATATTATTGTCAGAATAAATCACTATTACTATTTCTCAGTATTTAAAAACCGCGTCTAAGTAAAATTAAAATTCGGAAGCTTTGTGCGTGGCACTAAGTGCGAACGAGAAATCACTGCCTATTTTTAAAAAAAAAGTATATCCACAAAACACTTAAGTTAAGGACATCCTTGCCTATATTATTTATATAAATATAAATATATAAATAAATATATAATATATCAAATACAGATTATAAACGCTTAGTATCGATGGCAAGTCGAAAACGGAAATCTATACGCACGTTACTTTTTACGGTAAAAGCGAATTAAGAAAGCGAGAAAATCACAGAATCTGTCTCGCACCTCTTCCGACTGCAAATAGCCGGTCCAGTTTGCCATGACGGGCACAAGTGATTCTCACGCCCTTAAAAAAGGAATCCAAACAAATTTAAACGGGGAAGGCGCCTGCGCAGATGATAAAGTGACGAGTCTCAACTGAAAACCGTGCTGAAAAGCCTTGTTCCCGCAATACTTTCCAAAGTGCCTACGGTGCAATTTTTGGCGGCGTTGTCAGATGGTGCTCAGTATCGTTAAACTTTGAGGACACGTCTAAATAATGTAATCTGCACTTCGACGCTACGGAGTATTAAAAGTAGAGTAAGTCAAAGGGTGATCAGATGATTTATCACTCCGTATAATGGGTGCATAGATTATATAGATATGATAAACATATGTTTAATTAATACACCATACAAATCCGGTAGCGCCTATTACCAACATAATTCTACAACATTCTTTCGCATTTCTGTCAAAAATTATTTATTTATCTGATATAATAGGAATTTCACTTTTACAACCACCCTTCCATTCCAATGTTTGAATATGCAGGAGCAAAACCTAAGTAAGCCTTAAGTGTGAGTCGTTAGTAAAATTTAGTAAATGATAATTTTGTTGAGTCGTCAGCACTGCTATTAATTACACTGGTCTGCAAAAAATTTTTTTTTCTCTCCTTCTTGTTTTCATGCATGAATTCATACAAATATACAAATAAGTACCACACTTAGGTTTTTAATTTAATATTTATTTCATCAAAAAACAATATTATTAATGTATAAATTATGATTTTTTTTCGAGAATCCTCGTGTAGAGATCCAAAATATAGCTTATAAGCTGTTTTAACCAGATCGGCCATGACATGTCGCTGGGTTTTTAGTATGTATTCGCCACATATGTAGCAAAAACAATCTGAGGAATTTTTACAAGTCTGTGACGTTTAGTAACCTAAAATCACATAAAATTAATTTTAAAACAACTTTCAAACTTCTATTTTATATTTATTGGCACTACTTTTACTGGTATATTACTACAAATCACATTTAAATCGTCATTTATATAAAACGTGACCCCTAAAAAAGAATACCCTCAATAAGTAATATTATATTAACTGCCATCGAATATTAATCGACACCTGTGTGGACAAATTCCCTCTGTAAAATGTACATCCAGATCTTTTAAAAACAAGGCGTGTTGTACATATTTCCTAAAAGTGGCTACGTCGCAAAAATCTTGTCTCGTATCGATTGCGGAATAACAGGAATTGCATATCAAAAATCTAGGATTGTTTACTGAACACTTTGTGCATCAAATAGCAAATGGATAAATTTTGCAAAACAGGGGCTACTTCCGAAGTTTCAACGATTTATTTATGCCTGTTCGCGTGTTCTTGCAAACTTCAAGTGGCAGTTTTTCAACCGCAAAACAAAAACTAACCATTTAACGTTTTTTAAAATTTATTTGTATTATTCATTTATTTAACATTAACATTAAACATTTTTCACAACATGGATGGAGTCAAAGCAATTTCCATTTCCTATTAACGCAATATATCACATTCTTGACATTATTTTATAAACAAGACAAACCAACCGATATACTCTGGAACCAAACCCAATTTTCTGCATCAATCTTAACCATATTCAACGCTTTTTATTTTCAAATGTTCATAAAACGATGCGAAAACATGTTTTTTTTTTAATACACTGACCGGCAAAAAAGAAATGTACAGGACGTCCGATTTAAGAGGGGCTTCTCTGGGAATGTTATAAAAAGTAAAAAGATCTTGAATTTTCTTGTATTATTTCAATACCGGGTGGTCAAATATAGTATTATTTTTTAATGCAACACCCTATAGTTCATTACATTTCCAAAATATCTTCGAGAATAATCACCTTTCTCAGACAATATTGAAAATTGAAATATTTTTATCGAATACGCGGTATCGCGACGTTTCGCAAATTGTTATTTCTCTCAATTTTTTAAAATCAAACACCCTATATATTCTTGCAGTTTCCGGCTTCATTCTGAAAGCGTTTCTAGTATTTTTTATGAAATTATTTGAAATACATTTGGAGGCATTATTTAAAATGGCGAATTTTATTTTTAAAGAGGTTTCAAAAGTTAATATGCAAGGTAACAAAAACCTGTCCGCCTTAACCTAAATCCCGAAGATATTGGATCACAACGGTGCATTAGAGACCGATAAGTAGACAGTTGCATTAGTCTTATTACTTCACCACCCTGTATGTAATTGAGTGACAATTGAAGGATCATTTTACTAGAACCTATTTTTGTAGTATTTTTTTTTTTATGACACTCATCGATTTCGAGAATATTTAAACCTGCCACCCTGTACATTATAAACCTGAAATTTTGCAATTAAGGTTAGTGAATAGTCAAAACTAAACTCACTTTGTCAACCCACTTTTCAAGATGCTGCAAAGGTGGACCAACTTCTTCTAATTTCAGGCGAGAAGACCTGGTAATTTTGGTATATAGTAGTTTCTTTGTTGCCAGCTGAAAATCTACGTGGTAGCATTTCGACGTCATGAAATTGGGTTAAAAAATCGATTTTTTAGAATTATGTACAAGTAAGTTCATTCCTTGGATGGGATACCGGGTTAATAAATACAGAGTGAGGTTAGGTCCTTTTTTTTTAGTTATTCTTCCGCCAATATTTTTCGACCCTTGGAATTGATCAGCGGATAAGTCAAAAACGTAACATTCTGCTTATTTCTGCAAAGAAAATTACTTATTTGAAGTTATAAAGCGTCGCTTATGAAAAAAAAATCACTTTTGAGAGTCAATATTAAATACATACCTCAAAAACGGTAAAACTCAGCTATAGGATGTTATACACGAAATATACCTAAATTCTTCCAAGAAATCGTTTTAATCATTTAAAATGAGCAAGCATCTTGAAAATATTTTCTGCGTGCCAATAAAAAGGACAAATAATTTACAAAAAAAAACGAACTTCAGAAATACTTTACTTTTAAATTACTTTATATAAAATATAGGTAATATTGAACGTGTTAAGAAATATATAAACCCTGAATTTTTCAGATTAGAGAAATCTAAATTGTTCAATATGTTTCGAAATAATATTCAATAAATAAAATGAAACAGTCTGCAAGATTTCTTAAACGGTGAGATTTTTAAATCATTGTCCGTGACAAAAATACTTTTTATTTGGAAACACCAATAAAGCTTAAACTTACTTTACTTATTTACTAGTGTATAAAACATTTAAAAAATATACAAATATCTTATCATATATATAAATAAATACATATTATAAAAGCTCAAAAACTATGAACATAAGTCTTGACAGCACATCAAATGAAACAGAAGATAATAAAAAAGCGAAGCTCACTTTTTACCGTAAACCTGTTTGGAATCTTCTATAAATTCCATGAGATTTCTCGACATGTGGTAAGGTCTGGCCATGCCGTCGTTCATTAGGGCGTCCTCGCAATAGCATATGAAGATAGTGTCGATGGTTGTCTGGAAAGGGACAAAGTCCTACCCATAGTAAAAAAATTTTTTTTTGAGTTTTAATGGCACCTACCTCGAACACGCCGAAAGTGACGATTACGACCACGGCCGATACCAGGCCTACGATCAGATACGCCCATATCGCGCTGACGTTAGTCACCGGGCTCTAGAAATTCCGTTTATTTTCACTACAATTAGCAAACTCCGTTGTGAGGTAAGATAATTGGATGTTTTATTATTCCTGCTGGGTTTTTTGAGGCTAAATCTTTTGATAGCGGATACCTTATGAAATCATTTTACTAGTTTATCATTTATTCAAATAAGTAGAGTAAAAATTTCATGCTGATGTTTATTGATAAACTTTTTAAAATAGTTAATTCTTGTTTGACATATTGTTCCAGTGCAGGTTGCAGGAATTTATATATAAAAAAGGGCTTATTTTTTTGGGTAATTATACATATCCACAGAACAAAAACCGAGTCGTAAGATATAACCGGCGCCTGTGGTCTGTGATAGTTTTAGCGCAGTCGGAGCAGTCGATGGCTAATTCAAATGCGAAGTCATAAATTTGGGATGCGCTTGTTCACTCTTTGGTTTTTGCGTTGCAATGGAAAAAAAAAAGGAAAAACAACTTACGGGCCAGACGGCTAACAATCCGGAAACGCACTGCAGGGTGACGATCACGACGAGGAGTTGGGCCATGCCCAGGACAAAATCCCCGACGAAATTGATCGAAATCACGTCGCTAATGTTCGACAGAATCAATTTCGCGGCCCTCTTGCCCGATCTCACGAAAGGCTGACCGTGCATCGCTATAATAAAAATGAAACGCCCATATGATTTTAAATTTACTAAGCCCGTTTGAATATAACTTCACTGCGCCGCACCCACCTGTGACGATATAGGCGTTCTTCGACAGAAACTTCAAGAATGCTTCAATTGGATCCACCAGACTTTTCACTACGGCCCTAATCCTCTCGTTTTTGATTAGCCATAAAATTAATTGCTTAATGATGGTTACGATACTCAAAATCAGCGAACCGAGTGCTACGGTGCCTAAATGGTACTTGAAGGCGCACTTGAAGCTCGTCCAAATAGGGTGTCTGAGAAAAGCCTTATCCCTGAAAAATCCGTTCGGGTCAATTTTCGGGCGGAGGCGCCAGGTTTAGGATCCTACCTCGTGAAGTACCACTTGGCGACAGCGCCGGCTATTACCATATACTGCAGGCCCGTAACGAACTGGGTCAACCAGATGTAAACGGCGCTATTTAGAGCGATCGCCACGATCATGGCGGGATGCAGTTTATACCGATAAACGTCGTAATCTACTCGACTCAGGTAGCCGGAAGATGACATGAATAACGTCAGGATGGTAAACGTCAACGTCAGCAGCACCAAAACGATCACCGTCTGAATCATAAACAAACTTTAATGATTTCAATGCCAAAATGTTACAAAACTTAAACTTAGTTAAAGCAGCTGGAAGTGTAAATATGTGTAAATTCCTACCCTATTCCATCCCTCTACTTACGACCAAAGGTATAGCGATGAGTCCGGGCATGGCGAACACGGCCTTGGTCGTCTCCTTGAGCAGAGCAATAACCAGCTGGATCTTCTTTCTGCACCAGATGAGAACCGCGAACAAAATCACGGTCAGGCAGGTAACGACAATGGAAATAATAAGCACGGTGCGTTTGTCTTCCTCGGTCACACCGCTGCCGACTTCTAGACTTGCATAAGAATACCTGTGAAGACGGTATGATTAGAAACGAGTAATAGTAATATTAAAAACTCAATAAAAAAAGTACCATAGGAAGGTGGTCACAGCGGCGAGAAGCAGAAGACAGCCTCCCAATATGCCCCATACGGCAACGGCGACCGCGTATCGAAACAGGAAGAGCATGCCCATAGAAAACACTAAAAAAAAAGGATCTTAACAACAACAACCCGGCAGTTGGGAGGGAGGAAACTCACAAACGGACAAAGCGCACGAGATCAAAATATGCCAGACCACGCTTTTCAGGTATTCGCCTACATTACCCGTTTGCTTTTCTAGCTCCTCGAATTCGGACGATTCTTCTTCCCTCGTACAGATTCCGAATACTGGTGTGCTGCAAATGTGCGTTTTGGTTAGAAACAGTTTTGCCGCACATTACCTGCAAAAATCGGCAAGACGAGAATTCCTTAAATTCCCATCTTAACATTTCATTCCCAAAGGTGACCTTGGGAATTATCTGTATGCCAGTGCGCATGATTAATTGTCTAAAACTTGTTTCTCACAGCTGCAAAAACCTTATAGCTTGTAACTTGCTTATCGACACGCTGCATAAGTGAACATTTTATAATAATCATTTTTCACGTTTCTGGGTTTTCTTCAATAGCATTTATGACAGCTTCCTCTATCTGAACCGTTCTTACTGTTCTTGGTCTCCTTATAAGAGCAGCGGGCCTCTTAAAAGCACCCGTTTCTCCAAGTCTGGAGTGAATATTAAGTAAAAGTTGTCTGTTATTCTATTCACAAAGAGCATATCTGCCATTTCACGGTTTGTGCAATTTTATTCATAAGTTTGACAACTGTCATGTTATTGTTATAAACAAATGAATTACTGTCGCTTAGCAAGGCCCACTTTGGCTCTTTAAGTTTTTTTGACTAGTAAACTGTCGATTAAATTGCAGTTTGTTTCTTAAATTTTCCTATGAAATTGCTAGTTTGATTAAAAAAAAAATAAATATAAAAATGATGATGTAATAGCAAGTTTTAATAAATCAAAAAGCTAAAAAGAACTGCGTGAATGCTAAATGGAAATCATAAATGTCGTCGCAAAACGAGATAAAAAAGACATGGCGGTGAAAAAAGAATCACTAGATTATTACAAATTATTTATTTTTGTGGGCACTCGTTATAGCATTACACGTGCCAGATTGAATGGCGATTTTAAAAATTATTTTTGTTTTCAGAAAAAGCAGTGACGTGCCATTTTTTTCTTTAAAAATATTCATTTCAAACCACGTACGGACGCCCCAAAAATAAAAATGAATTATATGAATTTTTTGTCTTAAAATCACGCAAGGAATAGTTTCTTAAAGCGTACTTTTTTAACACCCTGTATAACATGCTTGATCTATTTACCTATCTGCTTGAGATAATAAAAAATTTTATTATGTTATTTTATCTCAAAGCCCAAAGAAAAATACAATGTAAATGGTATGAAAAATATTTACTTACTAATTCTGTGCACAGGTTGTAACACATGTACCTCCGCTTACAGAATCTTCATCATTCAAGCTCGTGTTGTACTGCAAATATCTGAGAAAGCAACGACACAGTAGGGCATAGTAGAAACTAAACGTAGAAAATTTAAAAAACAGGAAAAAAAGTTAAGAAAACGAGAAAATATTGATACCGGTAAATGGGATTATCGCGAGAGTTTCTTCTCTGACGAAAAAATAACGAATTTGAAAAAATGATTTAGTTATTAAATTCGTTAAATTAATTAGTAATTAATAAAAGAGTCGCAGCTACCACCGTTTTGACTTGTTTGTCTATTCAGAACAACCCAGTATACAACGTATTTAATATATCCATTAGGCCCGTTTGAGGGGAGAATTCGTTTTGTTGCCAGACACAAACTGGACGTTTGTTAATAAACTGCACTGATTTAAGATCGCCACGTAACACTTGCAAAAAATAACTATTTCTCTTACGGTTTGCCGGTAAAATCCAACCCGGAACAATCGATACCATCGTAATGGTAATTATTGGCGCCGCAGATGTTTCCGCAATTGTCGTATCCGAAGATTCTGCGAATGTCCGAGTAGTATAGCGTGTACACCAAAAACGGGAGCTAAAATTTAATTAACAAAAAAAAAGAACAAAAACGCAGCGCGCCTTACAAGCACAGCAACGGTCGCTATCAAAGCGACGCCCCATTTGCGGTTGGTGGGACGCCTTTTTTCCGGTCTCTCTGGGATATCGACCTCGAGCAACGAAGCCTCTTCCTTCGGGACCCGCTTAAAGGTCGCGAGCTGCAACGGAAACTGAGTGAATTAAAAAATACATTGAGAATTTGAAAATGTCTTGCCTCTTGCGGCTGCATGGAGCTGGTCAAGTTGCCCATAATGAACGCACGCAATTTTCACGCCTCTACAAAAAACTAATCTAGAAGGCGCCGGCGGGTCTCGAGAGTGTACGTAAACTTATAAAGTGCACAGTGCAGTTTCGCGGCGTTGTCGGATGGTGGATATTATCGTCGAAAATAAGCAACTGTGATAATATGAGGCTATTTATAGATCTAACGTTTAAACCAGATTAAAGTGACATTAGATCGAATTATTAGTTAATCCCTCATGTTTGTCTCTCGATTGATATAATAATTTGTACTGTAAAACCAACGCAGGTAAATTTTTTTGATCGAAGACAATGAAGACAATGAATTCATTATTCCCTTCTTTAAAAGGATAAATTAGCTCTGCACAGACGTCAACGTTAAGATTTCGATATAAAACAGTAATAGTTTAAGAAAAAATGAACGGTTTTTTCGAACCTAGAGGAAAGTTTTTTTTGCTGTAACACAATTTTACATGCAAAGAGCAAGATGGAACAGATGCTGAACGAGTACTAAAGAGTAGTATATTATTTCTGATAAAATTTGATATTGATTTTTAAAAAAAAAATAAACAAATTACTTACGGTTTTGTTGTTTACGTCCAACCAGAAAAAACAACCTTGTAATCAATGCGCTAAATAAGTAACATCGTTCTATCGTGCAAAATTTATTGATTGATTATTATATCGGAAACTCAATACTCGTAATTTTACAACCGCTGAATAATTTATGCAAGAGCGTGCTCATCCGGATTCCAATGTTTACATTTGAATATATATATTAATTACATATCCATGGGCATAAAAAATGTCTAAAAAATGCGACATTCCAATGAATCTGGATACAGAAAATACGAAAAAAATTCAAGAGACAAAAAGTTGCATTTTCACTTGCAGAAAAAAAAAAGATTGGCGGGCCTTGTTTTGTCAAGTTCGATATGGTGCCCCCGGGATATCACCGCAATTTATAATCTTAATTTAATTAATCATGAGTCTCTTGTCACAACAAAAAACACCATGAAACTTCAATAAAATTGAAATTAAAATGCGCATGCGCGGTTATTTGACATCTCGTTTTTAACCAATAGGACCTGATGCTCAACATCCAACATGGGCCGCTGACAGTTCGTCAATTCGACAGGTTTCAGTTTATGGCATAATTAATTGTATGTAAATGAGGAAAAGTGGGTGAAATGCATACACGTGTGAAAATACCGCCTAAGGGTGTAATAGTTTTAAGGTAATTACAGCTACCTAATCGCTATCGCAAAATACATTTTTTTTTTATTAAAAATGGAGAGAAAAATATTGGCCTTCAGAATGAGAGACACTATAGACAATAAATCAATGTACCTATGTTTGATGTAATATTATACCTTCGTTGTTGCTTAATCCCATGCGGAAGTTTTGAATTTTTAATGAGATTTCAATATTTTGTTTGGTCAAAAAGATTCATAAATGATGGAGGTGAAAACTAGCCGCCTCATCATTTTTAGTAAATGAAGACAGGAAATTTCGACAGTTGTCAATTAATTAATATCTCACGTGATCAATGTTCATGTTCCTATTGTATACTGTATACTATAAATAAAACTTTTAGAGTTGCGGTAGCATCTGCAGCAGGAAATATTAGTAAACAAAAAAATCCTAAAATATTCGAAACCACATAACCGCGCAGAGTTTTATACCAAACACGATGCATTAAACAATTAGTTTGTAGTAGAAAATGTCCACATGCAACTCACCCAACGTTTACTCGGATAAATTCAAATCTACAAACACGAAAGTTAACCCCAAAAACTAACGCCACAGTTATACATTACACGGTAAATGACGTCAGCGACGAATTCGGAGATAACAACACAAAACCATACACGCCGCTTCTCAGGCAACAACGACGTCACGTGCACAACGCCATTTTGAACATTTGAATTTGAGCGCGAACACAAAATTTTTACTGTTAATAAAAACTAACCTAACAAAAGGCTTTTCTTTTTTGATGGAACCATTGCACATGGCGGACGTTGCTCCTGCTCGGTTCTAAAAAATCTGTAGAAATCGGTTGAAATTAGAGTCGTTTAAAGAAAATTTTGTTTTGTATATTTGTTATCTGAAGCGATAGAGGCGTAGTGCCTATAATTTTGAGAAATAGCGTTCGTTTTACGCGGATGTATACGAATTTGTGATGTGTTTCCGGATGTCTTGTACTCACGCTGGTAACCAGTCCGGATGGGATCGGATATCCCGTATAAGATAATTTCGGGACGCGTTTGAAGAATCGGTCGTCATTTTATGACAATTTATTTAGAAGTTGTTCCCGTTTTTTCTATATGTTAATCAACCTGGAGGTTGATGGATTGGTCCAGGCCCTTCTTTAAGGAAGGCATTCTTCAGGATTTTTGTCTATGTTATTGTCGTAAGCTGGCCGAGTGACTTAATGCAATCGTGGCCATTAGAAGTAAAACCCAATCTAACCTAACAAAAATTTCAAACTAACGTGTTCATTTTTATGTTTTCTGTCGTGTTCGGTAGATCGGACGGAAAAACCAAACAGTAGTTTTGTAATTTACCCAACTCCCAAGGCTTTTCTTCAAAAATTGAGCTGAGGAGGCTTTTACTTGATGAAAATAAGAACTGAAAGTTCAGATCTTCACGAAAATATATATTTTTACATGACAACTGTTTCCACAACACCGTGCCTTGATAAAAAAAATCTGAGCTTTTCTTCAAGTCGTATGTTGAACGCAAAAGGTAAAAAAAATGAAAATTTTCTAAAACAGGCTTTAATATAAAACACACAATAAAAAAGACGGAATACAGGAAAATGGCATACAAATTGTGGGATGTTAAAAAACCCTCGAAAAATTCGTTTGAGATTCAATAAGGCTCAGCCTTGAATATTATACACCATAAGTCTTAAAAAAATAAGAATATAAACTGACTAATCTACGTAGATCTTGCTTCTCACTCTTCTAGGCGTTCATACAAAAATACATCTAAAATAAAAATGTAGGTACTACAAAAACTACATAATACACTAAAGCTTTTGCACAACATGGGAAACTTGGTACGGTTTTTCATGGTAATAACAAGAATTGCGAAAAAATCTGAAGCCCTTACTTCAATTTTAGAACTATAAAATCGATATACTGGTTGGCCCGACTTTAACAGTCAATTTATTAGGTCGCAAATTACACCTTTGCGCTGATGTCGATGTTTACTTGCAAATTTGCAGTCGCAATGTATAAATAGCAGAAGTTAGAGGGAATCAAATACGGATTTCGTCCAAGGAATGAATAATTGGTTAATTGTATTACTTTTTTGACAATTTTGTATTGAGAAAGCCAATGAAAATGAAAAATCCAGATTTTTTAATGATCCCCAATCATAACTTTAACAAGATACATTTTGTAAATTCACTTCTTTGTCCTCCTGTGTCAGCAAAAGTGTCGTAAAGGCTATTGCATCTTTTATGGGTAAGTTTCACTTCTCCAACCACTGCAGAGCGTAGGCAATATATAAAAAATCAATTTTGAGACATTTCTTGGCTTGTTTTAACGAAAATAATAATAATAATAAGGATATTTTCTGATCAGAACCCAGTAAAAGTTTTGCGCGAAACCAAAAATATAAGTATTCGTGCCAGGTAAGTCATAGACTAATCTTTAGGCCTCTCCGGTCTCTTTGTTGTCCGGTGCTGCTTCGAATTCGAGCATTTTTTTCGAGTTTTCCACAAATTCCATCAGGCCCCTGGACATGTAATAGGGGTTTGCGCCGCCATCGTTCTTTTCGCAGTCCTCGCAGAAGCACAAAAATATAGTGTCGATCGTCATCTGAAAATTGTTTTTTGCAAAAAAATGGTAAACAATCCCTCAAAATGTTGAGAGCGTTTGTATTCTTTAGGTTGGCGAAACGAAATTAAAAATCCGAGAATCTATAGAATAAGCAACCTGCGCCAAAATTTCCCGGCCTGAATATGAAAGAAACAAAGTAGAGTAACAATTTTTTATTATTTGTCAATATAATCCCACACAAATGAGCTAAGCTAGAGCCTTTTTCGAATGTCAAAAATAATATCAATTAAAACGACGCAAGACTTCAATTTTTTTTCCGCAGCCCACTAAGACAAAGTTTTATCGTGATACTAGGGATGCATCTATGTCGGGTCGGGAAATTTTGGCGCTAACCTCGTAATAATCCTAACCCCGACTCATTTAGCTCCACCCCTTCAAATAATATATAACCAGTTTAAGCTCTGAAGAAGCCAACAGGATGATTGGTGAAACGTGAGCAAGTTTGATTTATAAAAAAAACCGACGCAGAAGGAATCCAGGACTTTTGTAGACGGTATTTATGGCAGTAGCCTGTGGAAGTTTCTTTGAAAAATCAATTTCACAAGAGTTGAAAAAAAGGTAATGTGTAAGTTAAGGAATATTTACAAGTAGTGTGAGGTGACAATCGGCGAAATAAAGGTATGCTAAGTTGCTCTTGATTGGTTAAATTTGTTGGAAAGTTATACAAATCTAAACGGGTTGGGTAAGAAAAATCCAGTATGTTGATAGACATTTTTTGACAATTCGGACGTATTTGAACTTTCTTCGAATGAAAAAAATAATTGCAACAAAATAATAACTATTTTTGAAAACTTAGAAATACATTGAAATAATTCATTTTCATTATTATCTTGTTTCGCTGTTAGTGAATAATGAAATAAATCAAATAAAAACATTGAGTCTGGAAAAGAAAAATTTGTTCCCGAATATAGTATCGGGCCGTAAAAGTAACGCGCAAAAGATCTACAAACTGTCAACTGTCAAAACTTGACGTTTAATGAACTAAGCGTTACCACTCACCTCGTAGACGGTCATGAAACAGTGCGAAATGAAATACGCGAACAAGCCGGCCAAAGTGACCGGCACCCACAGATGTTGCAACCCTTCCTTGACCTAAAATGAAAACCAAACATAGAGCTTTCCAGAGGGCAGCTCGCTCACCTTAAGCATTTCGATGCCGATCAGAACGGTCGCCACCACAACCAGAACTTTGCCGAGGAACAGTACGAAATCGCCCACGGAATTAATGGCCACCACCCTCAGGGCGTTGGACGCGAGCTGTTTGAAAGCTTGCTTGCCCGCTTCGCAGAAGTTGTGACCATAGATAGCTGAACGCGTCAAAATTATTATTATATTTACATGAAATTTTGGAACTGGGGGGTTTTCTGAGATGAGGAACAAGAAATTGCAAATAAATGTACTTTAGTCTTGACTTTGCTGCGACTGTTTTTATTAATTAAATTAATTTTATCAATTTCTAAGCAGAAAAATCTAATATTATTTTCCCTCGGAAACTATGTTATATGAGTGTTGTTATGATCATTTAGGTCAAAATAAAATTGACCAAATCTATGGCCCGAACTATATTGAAGAAACTTCACAACTTCAACAGTGTATTCAGCAGATAAAAATAACTAACGTACAAACTTATATCCTCATTTCGGAGGGAATAGGGAAATAGGAAGTATTATTGCCAGTTTTTTATAAAAAAATAGATAAACTTGTTTTTGTGTGACTAGTGGAGTTCATGAGGCCGTTTTAATTAATTTAAGTAATAAAAAAAGGTGGTACGCATTAAATTTGGATACCCTAATCAATTTTAAACGAAAATGGCTTTTTTTCGCAATATTTGAACGATGTACTTCCGAAATGAACCATTTTAGTTTATATAAGTTTATATGAACTTTTTCACTTATTTTTATCTGTTGAATACACTGTTAAAGTTTCTCCGTTATAATTCCGACGTCCCTGTGCATATATATATATATATATATATATATATATATATATATATATATATATATATATATATATATATATATATATATATATATATATATATATATATGATGACACTATATTCCGGGATATCATCCGTTCGCTCGTTGAACTCCGACTGGAATCCTGCAAATCTTGCATCCGACTGGAATCCTGCAAATCTTGCATCCGACTGGAATCCTGCAGACGTTTCGCCAAAATCTCACTTGGCATCTTCAATGCTCGCGCTCCGAAAACACTTCGAACACTGTTTTCGGAGTGTTTTCGGAGCGCGAGCATTGAAGATGCCAAGTGAGATTTTGGCGAAACGTCTGCAGGATTCCAGTCGGATGCAGGATTTGCAGGATTCCAGTCGGATGCAGGATTCCAGTCGGAGTTCAACGAGCGAACGGATGATATCCCGGAATATAGTGTCATCACATTTTTCCATCCGTGAATCAATACGTGAGAATATATATATATATATATATATATATATATATATATATATATATATATATATATATATATATATATATATATATATATATGTTTCTACCCACGGAATCTGCAGTTTTAAAAATATAAACGATTATTGTTCTGGCCCTAGTAGTATTCAAATACCAAAAAAAACGTTCTATTAAATAGACAGAAAATATCAGTGATGCAAAGGAATAATACAAATGGTTGCCTAAAACTTTTGTATTTAAACTTTTTTCTCTTATAATAAACTCTTTGGGTAGGGTGCAAGAAGCGTTTGGGTCATTATTAAAGCCAAACCATATATGTTAACGTAGCCATACCGATTTCGATGTAAGCGTTCCTAGTCCAATATTTCAAGAAATTCTCGAAACAGTACAGGCAACACTGACAACACTTCCACGCGCATCGGACGCAGTCGTTGTCTTTAGCGCGCAGCCGCTTCTCTAGGGCTGTCAGGATCGCCCTCAGCAGTTGCACCAAAGCGATCAGGAAAGAACCGATCGCTACCGAACCCAAGTGGTACCTGGACAGCAGGTACATGCTGTTGGATATCGGAGAGTCCAATCTGGATTTTTCTCTGGAAAAAAAAAAAATATATATATATATATATATATATATATATATATATAAATATATCACTGTGTTCGAAGTGTTTTCGGAGCGCGAGCATTGAAGATGCCAAGTGAGATTTTGCCGAAACGTCTGCAGGATTCCAGTCGTAGTTCAACAAGCGAACAGATGATATCCCGGAATATAGTGTCATCATATATATATATATATATATATATATATATATATATATATATATATATATATATATATATATATATATATATATATATATATATATATATATATATATATATATATATATATATATATATATATATATATATATTGTTTTGATAAAAACACGATATTGGTCCCTTTAATCAGTCATAATCGAACTGACCTTGTGACATAATCTATTGCAATTTTGACAGATGTCAGATCACAGAAAATACTATTTTTCGATACCCCGAATATTTCCGTTCAGACAATGAATTCTTCATTCTTCGTCAATTAACTCACCGAGTAAAGTACCACTGGGAAACGGCACCGGCAATGACCATGTGCTGACACCCGATAATGTACTGTACCATCCAGAGTAGTCCGAAAAAGTTGTACCACCTGGTGAACTTGATCCAGCCGTTTTTGCGGTAGGAAAACACGTTGGCCCTCTTCTCGGTCAGATGTCCGGCACTCTCGATCCACAAGCAGAAGTAGAAAAAGAGGAATATGACCATCGCGAGGCAAGCAAACGTCTAAAAAAAACAAATGGCAATCGTAGGCCCGGAGCGCGGGAAACAACTGTATAGCCGCCCCGGGATCATAACAGAACAAACAAAATTCAGCTAAAAAAAAACAAAAACAAGGTAATACTTTAATTTGTAAGAGATTTATAAAAATTAAACAAAGTATTTGCATTTACCAAAAGAGGCTCGAAAAGAAGTCCCGGCATCGCGGCTATCGCCTTGCCCGCCTCCTCGAAAAGCTGCACGACCAGCTGGATGCGTTTTCTCATTACGATTATCACCAACAGGACCACGACAGTGACGACCGTTGCGATTATCGCGAATATTAAGTAGGTCGATTTTTTTCTAGCCTCTATGTCCGGATCGACGTTGATGTTGGTCGGGTCGGCGTTCTTCCAAAGCACCCTGAAATTTCTCGGCGTAACGTCTAGGAGGTCATCACCAACTTCATCAAAAATCAAATTTTATTTTTATTTGAAACATTTTTGCAGCAACGTTTCAAAAAATACGTGTCGCATTACCATAGTATAACGGTTGCCAAGGTGCAAGCTACCATGACCCCGATCAGTACTATCCACACGACATAACCGACCAAATATCGGAATAGTACCAGGATGACCAACGAAAACACTGAAAAATAACGTCACGATCAATGCAACGGCGGACAAACAAGCCGACGACGAAGATTACCCAAAGATATCGCGCACATCAGGCAAAATTCCTTCCAGCATAGGTTAAAATCTTCCGACACTTCCTGAAACGGAAACAGGCGCTACATCCGGAAAGCCAAAGCGCGGAAAACACTTACTGCGAAGAAATCTTTCAGACCGGTTTTCGAAAAGAATTTTCCGATGGTCGTTTGGTTGTGAAAGGGAAGGCATCTGTTGAGTATCGCCTTGCTGAAAACGTTACAGGCGCCCCAATAAAGCAGGAAAAGTAAAAAAAGGAAAAGAACTAACAAAATACCACAACAACACCGTGTCTTTATCAATTATCAATGTCCCATTTTGTTAATCTCGTTGGCTTCCAATAAATTTAATTTTCTACTTTTTGTTTCTGTATGTAAAATATCCAAATTGTCATCAAAAATGTGTTTTTCTGTGTTTAAGTGTGCAGCATAATTACAATCTAGACTATTGTTGGTCAATCTTCAAAACTGCCCAGCAACGGCAACATCGCGAGCACCGTAAAAAAAAGGTTGCCTGCAAAAAAGGGATCGGCGCTGCCGACACTTAAGAGAGACAACCCGTGCTAGCAAACGTTAAGCTTCGTCATTCATTTTCATATGTTTTTTCCTTTTTTTTGTTAGTTGTAAAAGTTTGTTAAGTTGTAAAAGTTAAAAAATAAAGTTATCGAACAAGAATCAGCGCAGCAAATAACGTGGACCTACGTTAAAACCCACCAATTGTTTTTAAACGCTCTTTTATGTTCGTTAATGCGTTTTTTGAAGGATCTACCTGTTCATCCAATATCAATTTTAGACACCTGATTTTTAAAAATGTTCCTATTGCGTGAAAGCTATTTTTAAACCACATTTTCCCCTATGTGTGCAATTGTTTTAAATTGGTCGTGTTCTTTATTAGGTTTCGGATAAATAGAGTTTACTGTTGTCTGGGTTTGTTTTTTATTTATAATTTTATCGATAATGGACGGATTGCAGCCGTCGTTCAGTGCAATTTCTTTAATGATATCCAGTTTTTCGTTGTAATTTTCTGTTGAGAGTGGCGTATTAAGAAGTCTATGTATAAAAGAGTGAAATGCATTTTGTGGTTATGTGCGACTGTGTCCGTGTGTGGTGAATGTTTGTGGTAAATCGAAAAGTTTAATTTGTTTTGCGTTTTCGTAATAGTTAAGTCTAAAAAATTATACTATTATGTAATGAGTTAATGTAATTTAAAAAAGAATTCAATTGTCTGTCCGTTACAACAAAGCAAGCAAAGACATCATCCACGTGTCAATACCACCATAGAAAACTTTTACTTAAAGACTAAGTGGGTTTCCCATAATCAAACCTTCCTTAGATATGTTAATCTGTCCATTAAATTAAAAAAAATGGTCTACATCTACTAAATCTATCAAATGTATTGCTTAACGATCAATTGAACATAAATACCTCTCCATTATTAAAGTAAAATTCTCACAACAACATTAATCATGGTCTTATTGTCATTTTTCGGTATATATAGTAGCAGTAAATATTACATTTGATAAAGACACCGGGTTGTGAAAATCTGAACTTTTAGTTCATATTTATTTTGTTAAATGGATTTTTATCAAGTAAAAGCCACCTCAGTTCAATTAATAAAAGAAGTACCAGTTTTCAATGAGATGTAACTTTATATTAACACTGAAGCGTCAATAGCATCTCGTTCATCATTATTATGACATCCAAATTTGAAGAAACTTTGAGTTCTTCATTTTTGTTAGATATTTTTTGATTTAGCATTTCCAAAATATTGGGATGCCAAAAGGAAAATTTTAATAATTCTTTTTCCCTTTTCCTTTTCATTTTTGCGACGTTACGACGATCGGTCCGAGAATTTAAAAAAATCGACCGAGTTTGTACTCACTAGCCCTCGTAATTGCTGCAATTGCTGACGCACAGCCGGTCGAATTTTGCAGAATTGTCTTTTCTTAAAATCAAATGGTACCTAAAACCGGAAGAGAAGAGTGTTAATCCGCTCTCTTGCTATCGTGATCCGCTACTAACTTGCCCAACGCGTTCGGGGTAGTTCTGTAGCACTCGTCCAGCGACTTGTTGAGATTCATTAACGTCTCCTGTTTTCCACATATCCGGCCGCAATTGTCGTAACCGTTCACTATTCTTCTTATGTCTCCGTAAAAAATACAATATCCAAGAAAACATAACTGGAACGAGAATCGTGTCCTCAATAAACACTAACACGAGGTCATTAGCAAAATAGGTTAAATGTTAGAATATTTGATTAAGAGCGTCGCTCCAACTAAATGCAAAAAAAGTCCAGATCACTAAATCGATACGTGATATAAAATTTTGAAAACAAACGCCCAAATAAGCCAAAAAATAATAAAATCGAATTCAAATCCACCGATTGTCTATTGTACCTGCTTATATCTTGTTTGAGGGAGGCCGAGCTAAATGAGAGACATAAATAAACTCAGTCCCAGGTGACAGGTAAAGACCTGAGTCGCGGTTGTTAGGTTGTTTATAGATGATTTCTATCGACAATTTTATTTATGTCCGGCTTCATGAGTGTGTTGGTCCACAGCTGACGAGTTTGATTGTCTTTTTATAATGTTCTTTGAGCCTAGTTGATATTTTTCGCCCGATCTCTCCAATGTACTCTTTGCCTTATATGTATGGAAAATACTGTAAAACTTTTGCATCTTTTTTTTTCTATATGCTTAATTGGGCTCATCTCAAATTCGGATATGCACCCATTTTCCGGCCGAGAAAAATTGACCGATAACAATTTTTCACTCACACAACACCCAACGGCTCCCGGTGGGAATCGAACCCACAACCTCCGGCAAGTTGGAGTTGGCAGGTCAACGCCTTACCAACCAAGCCATCCTCGGTTCACTTTTAGCATCTCAAATGGAATTTTGTCTTTGTTTTGAATGTAGAGTGGCAAATGTAGGATTGCTTTCGGCCTCGTTGCTAGTGGAAGGTTGTGGTGAAGTGAATGTGAAAATTATTAGAGAGAAGATCAGAGGGAAGGTTAGTGTTTGGGCCGGATGGTGATGTGACAATGCATTAAAGTAACGGTACGAATGCGTAGGTTTTCTGTAAACAGAATGATCCATGGGAGTTTATTATTAGTTTCTAATTCAATGATAAAACGTATGTTCGGGTGTACAGAGTTTAAATGTCTAAAAAAATCTACTTGAGACTCAGTCAAGCTCTGAAGCAGCCAACAAGCTGATTGGCGAAACGACGCACGAGGAATCCAGACGCTTTGCAAAAATGGAAAAACATTTTATACTCCTTTAGTAAAAAATTATTTGAAATATTTTTTTTATAATTTTTTAGTTCCATCTAAGAGCAAATTGCACTATTTTGACAATACAAGTTTTCACTTTCAGCATATACTGTTTTGTTAAATTAATTTCACATTATACCGTTTTTCTCATAGATATATAATAACAGTGTTGCCAGTGCTGAAGATCGAGGGTTTTGTTACGGATACACGATACCTACACAATATTTTTAAATATCCACTTCAATGTAAATTAGAAACTTAGTTTGATATACGTCAAGCAAATGTCTTGCTAATATTTCGTTAAAGCTTGCCCATAAAATAACAAATAGCATACGTCAATACATCTGCCTTTACTTATTTTGTTGTGAGAAAAGTGACGTTTTGACGATGAAAGGCAGCGGATGTGGTTTGCGCTATCTCTAAAAGTGTGTCGAGTTAGAATTGAACTATTTGTGATATAATTATGAACATCTCACACGCTTCATTGCCCCTCCTGGGAATTATTGTCTCCCACCTTGCGCGGTTACCATAGCGACCATTCGTATTTGGGAACACCATATAGCTATAAGATAATATAGTGGCCCTACTACGGTAAAAAGTGATGGGTCGCAGGTGGCTATATTTTCGTAGAGGTGTGGATCTTTTGCACATACGTTACGCTCCAACTAACTGAGTTGCCACATTTCCGTAATTTTTCTGAAAAAATTGACTAACTATGATAAGAACGCAAAATGAGTCTCTGAAATCTGAATATAATTGGCAACGCCGAACTAGAACTGCTATTGCCAGAGACTACCAGCAAGTAGTCTGTGCCGTTGTTGTTTACATTTTTGGTGGTTATGATTCTCTCCATACCTTTTTCGTGTTTTTGCGAAAAACCTGTTGTGTTTGTGGTCAAAACTGTAAGGAAAAAAATGTGCCTATATACGGGTAAGTGTGTACAAGTCAATTTAAAAGGGTTTCTATAGTCACATTTCGTGAATTCGACTTTATTTACATTTTCAGTAGAAGTTTATAAAAACACACTGTTTGCTTCGATTTACCGGCACAAATTCGGGAAAAATTAGCTGGTCGCTTTGTCGCTAATTTTTTCAACAACACTTTCTACACCTTAATTCCAATTTTGCTTGAAAATTTAATGGTATTTCGACATATTTTGAGAAATTACTGCATCCAAACATTGACGACCTGCCAGCGGCCATGTTGGTTGATGGAAGCCGCAAGGCCTTATGGGTAGAACGTGAGAAAATGCAATTAGAGCTGCTATTGGTTAAAAACGAAATTTCCAATCTCGCTCGCGCGCACATGGACCAGACCTTCTCAAAATTTTATTACATAGTTGCTTCACAAGTTCCTGTACTATTAGCATAGGCACGGCCTCTATATGTCTAGTGGCTATATGGGGAACACTCTAACATTCACCCCACCGGTCTCTTGCCAAAAATTTGCATTTAGTTAGACCGTCTGTGGGTTTGTCCAAAACTGTTGTACCCGGGTTCCACGATCAAAATTGTACCAATAAGATTATTGACTTGCTACATTTACAAATATGTTTTGTACGGCCCTGTCTTCTAGGCATACCGGTGATAAATTAAAATTAAACGAGGTTTAAGGCGCAAGCGGGTTTAAAGGTACGTGTTTTAATTTAAGTAAAATAAAAATAAATTTTAATAAATAAAAAATATCCGAAAGGCGTTGTTTTTCGTAAATTCGTGTATCGGAGTGATTTTAGTTTGGTTTGGTTCAGTTACTTTGCGTACGCGCGATTTCTCACTTACCAGCCCTATCAGGAAAGTGGTGAAAACCAAAAGGAAGCACACGTCCGTGGTTGTGCGATTTTTTGTGCGTGCCGGTTCCATTTTGTCGTCCGACGTCGATCGACTTCGGTATTTCGAATACTCTTCACTCTACAACAATACCGGAAGGTGCACAAGATCGCCCGTTAACCGCGACTCCAAATATTCGAATTAAAAACGCATTTAACGAAATTACATCGGTCCACTTTCATCAGTCGCCGGACATACGCGACAGAAATGTGGGACGACGTGCGGCGAAAGAAAAATTGAAACGGATTTCCCACGACGTCGCACAATACCAAGCGATGCCGCGAAACGTATATCGTCGCGCACTCGGTCTGCATGAGCATTTTTTAAACCATTAAGCTCACTCTGAAATAATACAAATGCCCCTGGCGAAGGCTATACGAGTGAATCATTATGCGCGGTGACGTGACGCCACTGGCCGAGCGATCGCACTAAATAAAAGTATGACGTGTCGAATTGACGCTATTAACATTTTGAAGTTGTTGGTTTCTTGAATGGTGTCGGCAGGGTAAAAAGAATGAAGGTAAAGTATGTTCATAGATATAAGAAAGTGACTAACTGATACGAATTAAGGGAAGACCCGGGCAAGCTGTAAGAATGAGATATGGCCGAACAGGTCAGTACTTTGCTTAGGATTTAATTATTTGGGGTTTTGTTAGAAAATATAATAAACAATATTTATTATTATATTATTTGGTCACTTTCTTATATCTATGAACAGACCATACAGCTATCATTCTTACAATGACATATAAAATACATATTTTTTAGATTTTTTAGACACAAAACCAGACATTGTTCAAGTCTCAATTCAATGTATACCAAATTATCCCAAGACCAAAATTAAAGTAACAAATAAACGAAATTCGATTCAATTCAATATTGCGCACAGTTTATAATACATTAATTATTAAATATTGTCTTCAATCAAGAAAGAGTGAGGGAGGAGATTCATACTTTAATTTAAAATAGAATGTAGCACGGTGTAACTTAAATCAATTTTTCATAATACTTACCATTTAATTAAAAAAAATCTTAAAAATACCTATTGTTGTATTTGATATCGCCAGTCAGTTTGGATACAAAATACGATTAATTTAATCAAACATTGATTATTTAATCCTTTAATTGTTCGATTTTACGGGTTTTAATGTAATATATGTGAATTACACTAATGTTTTTAAATCGTACCAATGATTTTGAAGATGTGGGCTTTATCACTGACCGCCTCGATCTCCAGATTTAAATGTTTTGGATTATTGTGTCTGAGGATATCTAAAAGAATTAATCTACACTACCCCAATACAGAACACCGAATGTCACGAGAAATAATCCAGGCATATTAAAGCCTATTAGGGACTCAAGGATGCGTAGCATATTAAATCGCAAGGTTGACAACTTTAACACTTATAACCTACAATATAATATGAAAAAAATTACTTAACTGTTGCTGTTTGCTATTTACAATCTTAATTGCAATAATTTCAATAAATAAGCAACAGAATAAAGTATAATTCTTCGACTAAACGTAATTTAATATTGTGATCAGATTGGGGTTTAATAAAAATATATTCAATATAAATTATAATTTTAACTGATAAATATAACAATTAGATGCATTATTTATACTCAAGAGTTTGTCTTACTTACATATTCACTTAAATCAAAGCTTTAAATAGCAGATAAATTTAAATTTTAGCAACAAAAATAACATTAGATATAAGTTCGTTTTCTTTATCAAGAGTGGCCAATTTTTTGCCTTTAAGTATATAAAATAATATACAGCGTTAAGACAATAAAATAAAAAATTCGATGAATTTAATAATAATTTTCCAAAATTTTGAACATTTCCAATTTGCATCATCAAAGAAGTTCTCAAAAATTCTTCAATCTTGTGAAAACTCGTTTTATTTTTAATTCATACTATGTATTTCTGGTAGCTTTGGCGACACAAACGACGCCACTGGAACCAGGTGTGTAACTGCGTGTAGTCTTAATTAAATTAATAATTAGCAGTAACTTACGGCAGAGGGCGCGACCTTGTCGCTCGAACCTAGTACCCCGCCCATGGGAATGATTTACAGCGATCGGCCCCATGGAATCCTATATATAAAAAGCGGAATACATAGATTTTTTGATAATCGCAATATTTTTCCGCATCCGCCAACAATTCGCACAACGCACTTACCCCGAATACAAAAATGGTATCATTATTGTTACACGTTTTTAGGGCTCAATTTGCTTTATATGCGACTCGTGAACATATTTGTAGTTAATATTCAAAGCGTTTTATTTTTCCCGGAAGTTAAACTAGCGTGGGAGTGTGTTAGTACGGACATCATTGGAGTCGAATACAAGTGATAAATACAAACAAAACAAGGGCTCGTACACACGTATTTAAATTCATACTAAACAAAGGGGGTTGCTAGGGGTTACAATTTGGCCCTAACCTACATGTTAAGCGAGAAACTACTTCTACTAGTAGCTGCTACCCAATTAACGAAACAAATGAAAATAATGGTAAATGCATAGCCACCAAAATACACAAAAATATGTTTTGGAGTGGATATGAATAAAAATAAAAAAAATAATTATATTAAAATTAATTTAACAAAATTATAAATACAAATAAAATTCAACCCGTTAATGTATCTCTAAATAACAAGCGCGTCGCAGAGAACCTTTCAGAAAAATAGCAAATGGAAAGCTTTTCGATTTTTATTGGTTTTAAATAAACCGATTGTAATAGCAAAAAAAAAGTGAAAGCGAAATATTCATCACGAAAACACATAATTGTTTTTAATTGTAATGTATTAATGATATTCAAATTAGTTCATTTGGAGAAATTTTGAAATTTGTTGGTTTATTATTGATGCTACCGGTAATACTACAAATAAATACAAAAAGTTTTACACACACGTGCAGCCAACAATTACTTAATTACTTACATAGGCAACCGTCAACATATTCGACAAGCACGTTATTATTGCAATATCACATGGATGTGCGTTTAGATGGGAATCTATTGGAAGTAAATTAAAATAGAGGAAACGCTTTCTTTCGACGCTGAAACCCACGCTATGTTTGATATTGTTTTGTTTACTGTCATAGAGCTAGTGTAGTCGACAACGGAATCAGCCTTCTGCTTTCATCGATCTCTCTGTCCCACTTCTCAGAGTGCTCAGTTTCAAATAAGGTACAAATAAGTCACATGCTATTTATCTATGTAAGCCACAACATAAGTGATCTTAGATGGGTAGGACAAGAGAAGTAAACCATCCCCGAAGAATTGTTTTCATTTTAGACCTAATAGTTGAATTTATAGCAGTGCTGTCAGCGATAGTACTTTGTCAAAATGTCAACACCGTATAGCTTCTAAATATATAGAAAGCAATAAGATAGTACTCCAGACACTTGAAGCAAACATCAAAATTTGTTGGTAGTGATATTCAATATATACATGTGTGAGTTATTTAAAAACCCGCTTTCAACAAATAGCACATTTTAAATGTGGCTTCCAACGAACAAGACTGCAAAGAAGTGCATGAACTTCGCTGTATTTACAGTTCCTATAATGGCCTCTATGGTCAAGCCACCTCAAAACAAATCGTAATGGTTCTATCTGGATTCTACCCATAGCTCCTTAGATCTTAGCTCTAACGTCTTCTAGTGAAAATCTAGTTATTTTTACAATAACCGTTTAGTTTCAGGTTAGTTCAGCGCGCTGGCGAATCTCTACGAATTTTCTATTTAAGGTTGCGCAAAATATATTTTCAGTGATCGGCACGGAAGATAAAATCTTATAGTATAGTTTAAGTGTGTTCTATCTGTCGTTTCACTCACCAATTCCGCATCTCAGCTTGGAAGCAAATAAACAAAACGCGAATTACCAAATTTGTTTGGGTTGATGTTATTGGCGTCAATTAGCCTATTTTTTACTTAAATTGAGGAAATTAGAAATTTGCAGCAACTGGTCTCTGTACAAATATGGCCACTTTGGAAGACAAAATTTTGGGTGGCAAACTGCATAACTATTGTAGCAGTAGTGAGGAAAGTGATAACGATGATTCTGGAGATGATTTTCAGCCTAAAGCTCCCGTTGAAAATCCCGGATCACCTCCGGAAGTAAATAAATGGGAGGGAACTTCGAGTAACACTGGTCCCAAGGGTATTATAGCTTTATTTATACTCAAAGTGTTTTGATTAAAAATATGTTATTAACATAGGTGTTATTGAGGATTGGAGGAAATTCAAACAACTGGAAAACGAAAAAAAAGAGGAAAGTCAAAGAGAGATGATTGAATTGGCAAAGAAGTTGACTATGACTGTAAGGACAAGTCTGGAAGAAGAAAGGGAAAAAGCAGCCCTGGAAGACCCAGAATTGGCAGAATTCTTGAATGATGAATTTTTATTGACTTACCAGAAGCAGAGAATGAGAGAAATGCTGGACCAAACAAATCATAAAATTAAATTTGGTTTGTTATATGTACGCATTAAAGTGTCTTGCATCTTTTCCTTTAATCATTTTAGGTGAAGTAAAACATTTAAGAGACGGGGGAGAATATTTAAACGCGGTTGACAAAGAGGAGAAATCTGTGACAATTATAATACACATTTTTGATGAAAATTTAGAGGCTTGCAGAACAATGAACCAGTGTTTGAATTATTTGTGCAAGATATATGACAGCGTTAAATTTTGCACAATAGAAGCACAGATGGCGGGAGTAAGTCGCAGTTTCAAAGTTGATGGGGTTCCTGCACTTTTGGTGTATAAAGGGGGCCATCTAATTGGCAACTTTGTAAGATTGTCTGATGATTTGGGCAGTGAATTTCAACCTGAAGATGTACAGGGCTTTCTCGTAGAACATGGATTGCTTGAAGATAAGAGCTGCACACCTTTGCTTATAAAAAACTCCACCGCGGATAGCGATAGCGATTAGGTGGTGAATGTGACTACTTGACTTTTAAAAATAATTCCTAAATGAAGGCCTAATATATACTCCTTGGTGCTATCTGTGTACAGTGATACCGTCTAAAAAAGAAAAAGTACTTCATCCTTTTTTTAAGAGGCTAAAGCATTTATTGATTTTTGTATTTCCCAGATCTCTTGAGAATTCAACATAATATTAATGATGCAATGGTATTAGTTTATTGTGTGTTGGTCCCTAATAGCAAAGTGGGTTGTTTTTTTTTTTTTTTTTTTTCATAAATTGTCTCATAGGGCTACCTAACATTTTCAGTACTTTCAGAATTATGTCTGGTAAAAAAACTGATTCTAGAGTTTTTGAAGAAAAAAATATTTTGAACACATATAAAAAATTATTTTCAATTGCTCCAGAAATCATTCCTGTGATGTAATTTATGGATTTATCTTATTAAAATTTAATTTAGTCTTAACTGATCGACCAAAGTCAACCTCTAATAATTACAACAAAATGCTGTGTTTTATATATGACTAAAAATTGTAATTTGATAAGATTTGTACCTATACCTATCCAGTATCTGTGACTTGTATTCCTAGAAAACACTCTTTATGTCACATGGTGCCTTTTATTTCTCCTAGTTCCTATTATTTATTAATTTGCGTCGTTTGCTAATTAGTTTCGCTACGTACTGATATCACAAATTTGATCTCTTTCTATTTTGTAAGAACTAAAAAATATTGAAAACTAATGCTTGACAAGCAAATTTTATTGCATGGTAATATAACCAATAACCGCTGAATTGACCGGACCGTCGTACGTCACGGGCCCGGTGAGTAACTTTTTGCGATAGGGCAAGAACACTTCCATTTTCTTTGATGACAAGTAACTATGTTCCTAACAGTATAAGTAAGAGAAACATCAATTCGTTTTACAAGTGTAATAATTCTTGATTTGTCGTTGATTAAGGTTTCGTTCATCAAAAATAGGTGTTCATCACTGTGCAACACTTTGGCTTCGAATCCGAATCATATCTTAAATCTAATTAGATGGGCGAATGCCTCTGATAATGTTACGCTAAACATTCATTGCACATACATATGTGCTTGAAATTTTTCGTGCTCTGTGCTGTAATAAACGTTTTTCGAAGTAAACAATCCGGAATTTATTTTATATTCCAATTTTACACTGTTTTAATGCACGAAGAATGCCGGATATGTTTATTCGTGACACCAGTGCCGAATCGACTGCATATTTCAACCATAGTCGTGGAAGAGAAAGACGTGTCCCAAGCCCTTCAAGACTGCGCTTCTATTCAGGTTACCGAAAATCGTTTCCGTCCGGGATTTATCTACAGATAGAATTGCAGGTCAGCGACGATGACCAGTTGCCAAAATTTGTTTGCCCGAACTGTTTTGAAAGGCTTCAATCGTTTTATGAATTTAGACGATTAATAATTACTTCAGATGAAAAGTTAAAACGAATGTCTTTGGAATTTGAAAATGTCAAATTAGAAGAACGTGAAGAAGTTTCTTCGACTGAAAATGAACCTGAAAATGACGCCAACAATGATTCTTATTTAGATGCTTGTCCTAATAATGAACCGGTCAAACCCAGGAAGGGCAAACGGAAAAAACAAACAAAACTGGTGCACGAATGCGTCGAATGTCAGAAAACATTCAAAAAAGCTGATCATTTAAATGTGCACATATCATATAAACATGCCGAGAAGAGATTCGAATGCGAGTATTGTGCCAAAAAATTCGCCCGGACTTATGATTTGGCCTACCACCTAAGGGTACACAGAGGAGAGAAGCCTTACATGTGTGAAATCTGCCAAAAGTCATTCGCGTGAGTGTGCAGTGGGCCCAGTTTGTCCACACTGTTTAAAAAAATGAAGCACTTTAAATAATTAAAATCTGAGAAATATATTCAGAAATTTTCCCAAAAACACGACAAATACTAATTTTAACTGATTTATTTTTTTCACTTAGAAAGTGCTATTTGAAATTTTTTCATTTCACTGGAAGTGATCTTTTTACAACAAATGTTCTAGATCTTCGAGCTACTTTTACATGCACAGGCGAATTCACACCGGCGAAAAAAAGTGCAAGTGTCAGTTTTGTGACGAGGCGTTCATTAATTCGGATCAGCTGCAGATACATGTGAGGCAGAGGCACACTGGCGAGAAACCCTACCTGTGTGACATTTGCAGCAGCGCGTTCTCCAGCAGCAGCGGCCTCTTTCGGCACAAACGCGACGTCCACGAGAAGGTAAAATGATTATTACGGTAAACAAGGTTGAACGGATTTAGGGATTTATTAGAAAGAATTGTGCCCCGTGTGCGACAAAATGTACAGTGGTCGCGTTTTAAAAGAGCATATGCGTCGCCACATGGAGAGAGAGGCGGGGATTAAACGGTACGTGTGCGAGCAGTGCGGGAAGGGTTTCACGTGCGGCACCAGCCGAAAGAGACACCTGGCTGTTCACAGCGGCGAGAAACCCTTTAAATGTGACGTAAGATTTGTATTTTGAGACGACACAAAAATTAACAAGCTGCTTTCTTAAGAAAAATTGGAGAAGATTAATTTAAGCGTGAACAAATATAACATGTATAGGAACTACTTTATCTTAGTCCCAAATATTACTAAATACAATATTTTTGCCATCAAATAGAAACTAATCAAAAACTAACCTAACAAAAATGTCGTTTTACTGTCATGCTTGAAAGCGACGTGATAATTTTTGTGTTCAGTTTGTATGTACCCGAAGACCTTAAATCTGCAGGAGAACCCCGGTCTCTCGTAATGATGGGTACGTTTGCCAGGGTCAGAAAAAAAACATGTAATAACAGTTTCGTGACGGTCAAATAAGAAATCTAAAAGTGCGGATTCCAAAAATCCAACCGACTCTAAGGGCTGACATATGAATTTGTGAAATCAGGTAACTCGCTTGATCAGTTGTGTCGTTTCCCCATTTGTTAAGATTTGTTTTTAGCAAACTTTATTTGGTGTAGAAAATTCGAAAGTCAGAAGTATCATTAACCTCCAAAGTATCCGATTAAACTAAGGCGTAACAACAATTCTTCTATTCTATTAAATGTAGCCATTTAAACAATGAACAGATGAGGTGTGGAGTGTTGCTTAAATATGAATAATTACTATGGTAAGCACGTGATGTGGGAGAAAATAATTATCGAGAGCTGCTTCTAAAATTATAATATAACAATTTTAAAATTTTCATAATTACATTATAAATAGTTAAGTTCAGCAAAAGCTATTGTTAAAAAAGAACTATTTGGTATTTTATAGATAATATTTTTAACGATATATTAGCAAGACAAAGATTTTATTCTGTTTAATTATATATCTATGGCAAATCTTTCCTCAAAATTTACAGATAACAATTAATTTTCGGTTAAAATCGACGCAAAATTCGACATAAATTTTGTTGTAAAGGATCTCCGATTCAAATGTAACTTGCTTTCCACCATATTTGTTTTAATTCGGAGCGCTTCTATCGGTTACTAAATTCGCCTTATTTTAACATTGCGGTGTTGCCAAGTCAATTAAATTTTCTCGATAGTTGATTCTGGTATTTATGAACGATTCCTCGGGTCTCTCCTACGTTTTTACTGTCTTCGATCGCTCGCCGTGCTTGATATATCCCGCCACGTTGCAGGTGTGTCAAAAATCATTTAATCAGCGTTCGACTTTGGTGACTCACTCGAGAGTTCATTCGCACGTTATGCCGTTTCCGTGCGAGTACTGCTCAAAATCTTTCCGATACAAACATCACCTGAGAAACCACGTGGGAAAGCACCATAAGGAGGCGTAGCAGTTTGGGCGTTTTGAGCAGCCGAAACGAGACCGTCACAGGATGAGAGTACAAAATATTTTTGAATTTGGATGGGATGAGCAGCACTACTTGTCGTATAAATGCCTTAATATAACATTTTTTTACTTTACAACCTTACAATTTTATTTTTGGTTTAATTTGAAGGTAAACCCCAAAAAAAATTCCTTTATTTTCAACGGCTTTTAATTTTTTTTTAATGGAGTTCAACAATCTATTGTTCGCTGATATACGTGGCAGTTATTTTTATATAAATTTTTTTCTTCGCGATTTGGATAAGTGGATATTGGCGATCATCAGGATAGTTTGTTATATCCAATCCTACGTATGCCCTGCACTTTGCCCTGGATGAAAAAGCGAAGTAGTGATATGTCCGCTTTTATGGTCAAACTGTCGACACACAATAACGCGTTTTACCACAAACCGAAAATCAATTTTACCTAATCGACGCGCGTTTCGCCAACCAAGTTGGCATCTTCAGGAGAAGATTAAAACTTTTTAATTTTAATTTAATCTACTCCTGAAGATGAAAACTTGGTTGGCGAAACGCGCGTCCAGTAGGTAAAATTGAGTTTCGGTTTGTGGTAAAACGCGTTATTGTGGGCTTTTATGGTGTTAATGAGAGTCCTGCTGGTGTTCATCGTGGCATACCTCAATTGAGCTATGGGTAACCCAGGGTATTTTAAGCATTTGGCGGTTAACCATAATTTGAATGCTTATGATATATGAACTGTTTTATAATTGAAGCCATTCACTAGCGTAAAGGAACACCCACCAAACATATGGTTTGAGTACTCTTGGGCTTCCAAGTTGCGAATGCTTTGTGAGATTTTTTCATCATTGTTGATCCAGCTGTCTATATATTTAAAATGATTAACTCTATCAGGAGGTCGAGCATCTAATGAAAGTTGCGCATGTCCCAAAGCTATCGTTCCCCTATTATTTTAGGGCCCCGCGTTTTGCTTGACCCTTGCACTGCCTGGAGAAGGGCGTGTGGACATCCTAGCCAGTGTCATCGTTCCCTTTTTTTTATCATAAGCTCAAAGTTACGGGTTTTATGGTGGTCATTTATGAAAAAAATTTTATATGATGTGAAATTAATTATAAAAAATTGCAAAATGTTTTATAGCCATTTATTTCTTACCGCTCAACAATATATAAGCAGGAGCAGGCATCGAGGATGCGCACGAGGTGTCCGCCACAGTGGACGTAACGAGCCAATAAATCAAGTATCACAGTTTTCGTTTTCGTTGGCCTCGCGAGCTCGCCGATCGCGCAGTCTGACGCAACGCGGACAGCTGCCTTTCGACTCGCGGCATTGTTTGTGGAGTACCGCGCCGCACTCGGCGCACACGTACGCTACGCGGTCGAACGGGTACAGGGCCTCGTCGTTGGAGCATATCTCGCAGATGTGGGCGCGACCTCGACATATCTCGCACTCGACCTTGACGTGTCTCGTGAACAAGTCGACCAGACTGTGCAATTTCGATGGTAACTCTCCCGCGTGGGTGTCGACCAGATCCTGAAGGCTGTACATGTCCGAACTCTCGAGCAGGTACGGACGGTCGCATTTCCACAACAGGCGTTCCTCGGTGGCCCGCCTACACACCGACACATACTTGCGCAGACCCACCAGCTCGCGGCGAAGCCTGCGCACTAGGTTGAGCTCGTGCACGAGCGCGAACAATTTCGGGTTCACTCGCTCCAGGTTGATGAGCGGCCGTTGTGCGGTTATTTTCAACTGCTGGAGGCTTGCCTGAGACACCGGCTGCGGGACCAGATCCCAGTTGTGGACGGCCCGCGCGGGTATCACGGCCGAACCGTTCCAGTGGCAGGCCGAGCAGAAATACCGGCCCGAGTAGTCGCAGAGTTTCGCATCCGACCATTCTTTGGATAAGATAAGCGTAAAAGCGTGGCGAATTATGTGCAACACACATATTTGAGGCGCAGATCAGCTCCGTTGCCACATTTAAAATAATAATATTCTTCGAAACAAGCAAAAGCTCTTTGAATAAGTGTGAATGGGTCGAGTATTTATAAAAAATTGTACGTCGACGGTGGGTACATGCTCTGTGTATAGTCGTAGACTAAATAGACCTAGGAATAGCAGAGAGTGTACAAGCTGAACGAAGGGCTCGGGAGGCGGTTCTCTCTGTATTGGAAGAGTTTACCAGCAGAACACTGCCATCCAAGAAGGATGGTGGACGATGACAGCACATTTAGGCTGGTGTTTACAAGGAGGAAATTCATCTCCCAACCAGCTGCGCACCCTAACGCAGCATCTAATTAACAGTACTAGGAGCTCGATTCATTGAACCTGAGGAACTATCCAAGCTCACCTAGACCGCACACCGTACCATATCAACCAAGGCAAGACGTTTTTTTTTTCTTTGTTGGGTATAAAAGTGACAGAAGCGAGAAAAAAATTCATGCTCCTAATTTGCAAAACCATGCCAAGAAATAGTTGCGGTTTACCTGGAAACAATAATTTACGCAAGCAACTTAGTCCCTTGGGAGCGGCTAAAGATCACGGCGTTTTCAAAATTTACATATACATTATTATTACAGGAAAATTGACATACTTAACATCAAGGGCGATTTGCATTCCGCGCACATATATTTCTGAAATGACAGCCCGCGGTCTGGACAAATCTGAAGCTCATACTCGCCCCGTTCGCAAGCCACCACATGAGCGCATTCCCTAACTATGAGAGCGATGCATTTGTGGTGGCACGTGTACCCGCAATCCTGACACTCATACCATGCCTGAACCACACTCCTGCAAATGCCACCGCATATTTTATAATTCACAAAACTTTTAAAAATAAAAGGTCTACCAAATGGTCCCCGTACAATGGTCGCAATATCTATGTGCGGCGGCCCTGAGCAATGGCTGAAGTTTTAAATGGTGCCCCATCACTGTACGATTAGAGACACCGCTACTTTTATTCCGCGGATGTCTGAAAATTTCGGATAAGTGGTTTAACAGAGATACGGTCCCGGGACCTTACTCCGGATCCGCCATAGCCTCTCTGCATTCCTGAAGTTTAAAACGTAGTTCAATCAGATGCCTAACTAGCCATTTTCGTTCCAAGGAACACTGAGCGTTTTCCAATATCAAAACCTTCGTGTGATTAATTGCCTTCAGCAATTCCTGTTCGGTCGCCTGCTGTAAAAGGAGGTACGACTTGAGCTTTGTTAAGGACAGTTAAATGGATTAAATTCTAGTACTTCGGTAAGAGCTAGTTGTAGCTCCTGAGACGCTAAATTGGACGGTACGCTGCTTTCGATGTCTTCGTTAGACACTGTTGACGTCGGACTGGACGTGCTTTGTTTATTATCTGCCGCGAGGTCACTCATTTTGATAATTTTCCTTTTTTTATTTTCATTTTATTCCCAGACTACCAATCACAGACTACGGATGAGCAAGTCAGTCTATTGCCTCTCTAGGTTTTGCTTTGTTTGGCACAACTATGACAAAATGTTTTCTATGGAACAAAAATGTCATTTCACTGCTCATGCGAGAAAAAGTAACGTCTTTACGGTCCTATGGGTGTTCATTTTTGTGTCCTGTCCTATAGGTCGATGGTTAACGGTGTACAGGACAAGTCCATAATCCCAAAATGCGAGAGGAGAGAAATGGGCATATCCAACTTTGGAAATGATAAACTGAAATAAACTCCGATTATATTTTTTGAATTCTGAACAATCCTCGCACATTTAGGGTACATTGAAATATTTTTTTTTAAACAAATTGTTTATTGACTTGCCTTATAATAGTTTTTAATTTTCTTGGTTAAAAGCAATACCTACAGTTTTTATTTAAACAAATCGTGCACTGACATATTTATAATTACAAGTGAGCGTTTTGTATAGATAGAAGGCACGGCCCATCATGTCAACGTCTAAGTAGTGGTCAAATCACCCGAGTTTCTTTTTTTCTGACGTTTGCATTTCGATTGTTCCTGCCGGCCAGATACTTATCTCATACCTTTGAAAGAGTGAAACTAATTTTTTTCCCCATAGCAGCAAATAATTGTTTAATAGTCATGTTTCGATTGAGACTTGTTTTTTTATTAAGGTTAAACCTATAACTTAATGGAAACAAAAGCTTTGTGTGGTTTTTTTACGAACAAACTTTGGAAAAAATGACACGTTACAACATTTACATGCAGAAATTGGCTCCTGTCTACCCGGGCTTAAGGTTATTGCCCCCGATATGCATAATTTTCTGTTTACCTAGTTTTACTTAAACTTATCAGGGTTTGCATTTTGATGCAGCGATCTATTTTCAAATAATACAGCAAGTTATTTAATTTGTTACCCATTTATAATCGTTGCACAAGCACAAAAACAAGAAAAATGTAATTTGCTGACTAGAAAGAAATAAGTTTTATTTTTATATCTTATAAAATTAATCTTTGGTAGTAAACGGGAATGTATCAATATTAAATTTAAGCCCTATCTCCTGTCACATTATTATCCATAACCCCACTGGCCAGAGGATCCAGCTCTGCAAACAGGCTCAGCCATGACACCTGACTGTCGGTTTTCGTTTTGTTTGGTTTTTGGTTGCTTTCTTGCTTATCTGTAATATCTTTGTTCACTTCTGAAAACTTGAAAGAACCCTGTTCTATCAAAGACGACGGCATGAAACTGCTATTTCCCAAAAAATCAGAGACTGGAGACCAATTCAGGTCCAAGAGGGCGGAGCTAGGTTTTGATTCGTCAAAGTCATTTGCAGGATTGGATTCCAGAGATGAGGTTGGAAGGAAATCTTCTCCCAATAAAGTTGAGACTTCTCCATCGGGCATGTCTATTGTGGCTTCCTGAATCTCGGAATCCCCTTTGGCGGATATTTCGTCTGTTTTGTCAGAATATTCTGCATTGAAGAATGTATTTTTATCCTTGTCCTGGTCAGAAGTATGAGCCAATTCAGACACAATGTTAAATTCATATGGCTCTACTTTATTCAGTTTTCCAGCTGCAGTAGTTAAAATTTCAGAAGATTTGCTGGCAAACAGCTGCAACGCATTCTGGTAAGAGACCAGAGCATGGGAGAACATGTTGCATCTTGCTGCAGCTAGCAAATCGACTTTTTGCAAACAGGCGAGTGTGTAACGGTCAAATTTAACTTTGGAAGTTTTCACATAAGACTGAGCTTTCCTAAAACGATCCAAACCATGACCTGTGTCGGGATCTAACTGAGCGGATGCCGATTTAATCCAGCTTAAGGCTGCCCTATACTCTGTTCTGGCTTTTTCCATTTCAGTTACTGTAAGCCTGGTGTCTGAAACGGCTTGCGCTCTAAACGTCTCCACTTCATGGTGTAACCTCACTAAAGGTGGTCTAACCGTCAGCCTCTGATGTCCGACATATGCCAAAGCTTTTCCAGCTGTTGCCATTATTTGACCAGCACTAGCATTCTTTTCATTCTTGCCACACTCCTTCAGGTATCTGCCTAATGTGTTTTCCTCTTGGGCCAAATAACACAGTCTTTCTTGGTACAAATCTATTACCCGTTGAAGCTGAACGCAGCTATCGTTAACGGACTTGAACAGTTCCAATTTCGCGTCCAGTTCCGCATCAGAGGAGACTATACATTCATCTTCTTTGCCGCCTAGTTTACGCAAAACGCTTTTTTTAGTTACCCAGTACTGCTGCTGCATGTCGACGATGGAATATTATCAAGGGGAATGAATATTTAACGGCGACTTCCAGTCTTTATTTGTTTATCATTATGCCACTATGGCAGACAGCATAGAACATAGAGAACATAGACCATAAAACCATTTTTCATTTATTTTCAATTTAAATTGCAGTATTTCGAAAGCCCAATGTTAAAGTAATTGAGAATAAATGCTAATTTAGTATGTTAATAATAACCGTCACATGTAAATAGCGAAATTTTAACAATACGAACGAAAAACATTGTTGAAAATATTCTCGTGCCATGGAACATATAATTGTTACAACAATAGCATGTATTTAAATAAGGTTCTTTCACATGTGCATGGTTGGTTTTAATTTGGTTAATGGATAGTCTGATTTGCAGGATACTGGGCGGATGATCTTTGTAATTCAGCTCAGCTAAGCGATAAAGTATTTTCTACCTCCTTTTTTCCGTGTTACGAGTTTTGTCGGTCGGTCAACCGGAATAGGCTGTCAACTTTTTAATACAGAGCACGAGTAATCTGTTAAACAATTGTGCTTTGTCTGTTTATCCTTTCGTGCTTTGAGTTCCACAAGTTCAGTAGCAAATTTACATGGTTTACAATATGCAGCACTTCACGGCGTTCATGGTAACACAGGAGCTAACCTAAAATTCGTTTTAATTCTTAAATTCTTATTATCTTTCAGAATGTTGAAAGCACGCGGTCTTACATTGATGACCTGTATTCCCAAGATTCTGATAAATGTCTGTCTTCCATAATTTGTATTAAAAACTCCGTAATCGGTTCAAATCGTCAGAAAGAAAGTGTTATTGCCCAAGGTATTGTACCTCGTTTGATATATTTACTCAAGGAAAAGAACGTAAAGGTGTCGATTAGAACCGAAGCGGCGGTAACTATTGGTTCGTTAGCCAAAGGTACTGAAGATCATGTGGGCCTCCTGATCAACTCTGGCATTATGCAAACCTTACTTGATGTGTTAGATGAGTCAGATCCGAAGTTGCTTGATGCCTGCCTTTGTTGTTTGAGAACACTCTCAAGTCAAGACTTAGTTCCCATAAATTGCAAATTTAGGCTAAAGCATTTGCAAAGGCTGCTTTTATTAGGCGGCCCTACCGAAATTCTGCAACGTCAATCTTGTGTTGCTACGATTTTGGGCTCCGCATGTAAAACGTCGATCGAACAAAACGCACTGTGTTCGGTAGGTGGGCCGGCAGTTTTGGCTGCGCTACTCGCAATTGACAATTATTCTGTAAGGATTCCGGTAGTCACTTGTATAGCGAGCATGTGTTTCAATAACTTGGTTGTGGCCAAAGAAGTGGTTAATACTTCCTATAAAGATGTGAAAGTTCCAAGTTACCTCTCAATGCTAATTTCAAGGGATAAACCCGTAGAAATGCAGTTGGAAGCAGCTAGGTGCTTAACAAATTTGCATCGCGCCGAAGCTATTTCGGCATTTGACCCTATTATCACTTATAAAACGTTGCCTTGCTTGGTCAGGCTGTGTCAGGTAAATAGTGTACAGCCTTGATCCATTATAAATGTTACCTAGCTCCATTTTTTTTTATTTTACATTACATTACATTATATGCTTAATTATATTAATTATATACAAGGTTTTTTTACATTAGAGCCACAATTATCCAAAAAAAAAATCGTCGCTTAGATGGAATTTCCAACAATAATAATATTTTATTTTATTTTAAAAAATATATAACTTACTATACTATGCGTTTTTGGCACTCCCTGTATATAAATAAGTCTATAATATTAAATCTGCAGTTTAAACACTACAACTTGTGTGTTAAACTTTTTTTTTTCTAAAAGAAAAGGGTAACATTTATTATGGATCACCTGGTACCCAAAAAACAATGAAAGTGGACAATGCCTCTTTTAGCCCGAAAATTTAGAATCTCACAGGGCTTTGGCGGCGGAAACTTTAGCCTACTTGACCGAGGTAGACTGCAATCTCCAGCAGGTAGCCGCCATTAGTAATCAACTCGTTAGCGCTCTGGTCGATTTGTTAAAGTGTTCTAGTGTAGCCGCACGAGCTGCCGCGTTTAGGTAAGTTCTATTCTAAACAAACCGCGGTTAATGAAGGATGCGCTATCTACAAGTTAGAGGTAAAAAATTCAATGGAGTAGTTCTAAACAGAACTCCTAGGGGGTGGAAGATTCACTCTAAATAAATTGGTATTTCACTTAAAGTATCGAGGACGCTTACGAGGTTAGCGCCAAAATTTCCCGGCCTGGCATAGATACAGTATCACGATAAAACTTTATCTTCTTTTAAATATATATCTTAGTAGGCTGCGGAAAAAAATTGAAGTCTTGCGTCCAATAGTTTTTTATTGACAGCATTTTAAACAAGACGTGTCCGAAAAAATGTCGCAAATAACGCAAATTGAGTATAGAGCAGTCATAAAGTTTTTGACAAAAGAAGGGTTAGCATAAGGGAAGATATTGTTGCGATTGTGGAAGAGGTGGTATTGAGTGATCGACGTTTAAAGGTCAAAGAAATCTCAGAAATTACTAAGCTTTCTGATACAAGTGTTCGTCGAATCCTGCATGATCATTTAGGTATGCATAAGGTTAGTGCAAACTTTTCGGCTATTTAAAAACAGCGCGGTGTCGAGTGTGCGCGGTCTTTTTTGGAACTCTGCGGGTCGGAACCGAAGCCTATGATAGAAACTATTGTGACGGGAGATGAAACGATGGTTCTCTATTATGACCCCCTATCGAAAAAAGAATCAATGGAGTGGCGTCGTAAGGGTGAAGGGCCTCCAAGAAAATTCAGCGTCTGTCAGTCAACAAAAAAGGTGATGGCCACGAACTTTTGGGATTGTGAAGGAATTCTTTTGATAGATTTTAAAGAAACTAATACCACTGTCAGTGGTAAATATTACGCAACATTATTACATAAAATACTACTACCAGTTAGGGAAATGAAGGGATTTTCATTAACTTTCAAACCCTTAAATGTTCGATCCAGTTTTTATTTATTTATTTTTGTCTAAAACGATAATACGCAGTCTCACAAGGTCCAAACCTGTAAAATCAAAATGCCGGTTGGAGATTTATTTTTTTTTTGGGTGTAAGTCTTGACCACCAGGCCAACTATTCCGTCTCGCTCTATAGGGCGTTCGCTTCTCTCGGGGCAAACGACGAAGATATCCGAAAACGAATAATCGACACTAAATGTCTGATGGAGAGGGTGGTCGAGGGTTTGGGCGACGTCAGCAAGGAGATCAACTTGTCGTCTGTCAGATGTTTGCACTCGCTGAGTCGGTCGGTACAGCAGCTGCGGACTACTTTCCAGGACCATTCGGTGTGGAGGCCGCTGATGAGTTTGCTGACAGGTGAGTCCCCCGACCGGAAAGGACGAAAAAAAAAAAAAAAACAAACCCCGCCCTTAGACGACCCCAGTCCCGAGCTGTTGCTCGCCGCCTCGTCGACCCTTTGTAACCTTTTGCTCGAGTTCTCGCCTGCCAAGGAGCCTATTCTGCAGCAGGGCGCCATACAATTGCTGTCCACCCTGACGTCTTCGTCGGATCCCGCTTTACGCCTTAACGGGGTGTGGGCCCTAATGAATCTGGCGTTTCAAGCCGAGCAGAGGGTCAAAAGTCAGATTCTGACCACTTTGGGGACCGATCAGATTTTCAGACTGCTCGCTGATTCGGATACGCGAGTGTTGATGAAAACGCTAGGTTTGTTGCGTAACTTGGTCTCTCCACGCACCCACACCGACGCCATGATGGCGCTGCACGGGCCCCAGGTCATGCAGGGCGTGGTGCTGGTGCTCGAAGGGCCCCACACTCCCGAGGTTAAAGAACAGGCACTCCTAATCCTATCGAATGTGGCGGACGGTGACAGGGCCAAAGACCACATAATGTCGAACGACGACGTGCTGAAGAAGCTCGTGAATTATATGACGCACCCCGCGCCCTGTCTCCAGGAGTCGGCGGTGTTCTGTATAGGAAATCTCAGCAGGCGCGGCGAGCCCGGTGCCCTGGAGCGGATCGGGAGGCTGCGCGAGTTCGGGGTCGTCGGTATATTGCAGCAGCTGCTGGGCACGCCGGACACCATCTTGTTCAACAGGTAGGTCGTTACTCTAAGCTCCGCCCTTTACGCATTAGGACGGAGCCCCGCAGAGGTCATGTTCAATTTTATTAGGAATTAACTAATGAAAGAACTATGTTTCAAAGTAAATACTTTTAAGCTGTAACGAGGTGCTGTAGTTAGAGTCTGTCTCCATGGAGAAGATAGCTCGGTGACGTCATTGTTGGATGCGCGATATTGCGTTCTTTATCGTGTGGTTGAAACTTATTTCGATTACGTGTATTTTATTGTTCTATGCTTGGCGTTTTCACCCGATTTGTAATACCGGTTTGGGGTAAATAATATTATTTCATTAAAATGCCTCATCTTAACAAACATACTAGCCTATAAAATTAAAAGAAATATAAGCGCCCACAAATCACAGGCACGAAACTTAGATATCGTAAATAACCGGCGTGGATTTTCTATCCGCAGCTTTGGGTTTTCTTTGGGACTTTTGGAATTTTTTTTTGAAAACCTATAAAATTTTGTTCCATGTCATTACCGATAATTACAAAAAATTAACATTTTTAAATGAGACAAGTGCTCCTAATGGTGTATCCAAGGTTTTTGGAGATTTTTTATTGGGGCCATTAACAGTAATAAGAATAAACTATCTATGTGTATTGTATTTATATACAAAAAGTTGACCTCAATCTTTCCATGAGCCACGAACTGTCAATTGGTGTCACTGACGACGCTACGTGGTTCTGAAAACGGTTCCATTGACAACTAGTATTGTTTGGAAAGCGTATGTATTCTCTTTTCTAATGGGATTTTGTGATATGAAAGAGCCAGGTAATTGGTTTAATATTAAGTTATTTTTTACCATTTTTAAAATTGCATTAATTATTAAAAGCTACAACTTGTAATGCGAGATGCTGCACGAATAGTTCGGGATACTAGATCTTTTTTTTTTCTTTTCTTTTGGTGTAACTTATCCCACTGAAAAAGGTAAAAGACATGTATTTCTTACCTTTACCTATATTATTATGTGTAATATTTAGAGCTTACCAACTAACTAATAACACTGCTAATAAGCAGCACGAACACGAAACTTTTAAGTCTTTGTTTAAGGTTAACAATAGTGTTTTTCTCAGTTCTCGCCACTCAAGCACATCCATTTTTAAAGTATTTGTTAAAGCTTAAAAAAAAAGCTTTTGTCCAAGTTTTTTTTACAGAAATTCAATTAACACAAACACGAGCGCACTACTCACTAGTTTAAATTATTTGAATTTAATACGCCTTCAAATGCATTGACAGAATACGCAAAACACGTTAGAAGACTTCGCTTATGTCGCAAGCGACCACGTGCGATCGATAATTTTGGCGATGGGATTGGGCAATCCTATTAGGTTTACGATTCTTAACTTAAGCACGAATTTTAAACCATTTATTTGCGTCACCTGAAAATATTTAAGCTCTTTAATACACTTATAAAAATAATATAATAGTCGATATGTTTATATTAACTGCCCAAGTTACCATAAACGACCTCTGTGGGTTTCTCGCTTTGCCCTTGTCGCAAACGGGCATTCGGACAACAATAACCTATTTTTGCAGGGTGAAATCGACTCTGGGACACTTCACCGATATCTAGGAGCGCGAAGGGTAGTTTTTTAGCATAAAAAAGAAGGTGATCCAATGTGATGTATAGACTGACCAGATCCGTTAAGATTAGGGTAAGGCTGAAATTACTGTAACGTTAATGGGAGAGAGAGATAGAGAGAGACAGAGGGAGCGTTGATGCTACGAGGAAAAACGAGATAGATTATTGTTTTATTGTAAATTGAATTTTCGACGTTGACTCGCGCGGATTTCCCGCCGTTTTGTGATTTTATCCTTTCGTATAAATTAAAACCAATCTTTTTTTTTAGTAACGAACGATATATTTCCTTTGTACAAATCAATAAAAATATCACAATGTCGGCCGTTCGGCCGCGCGAATAAATAAATAATTTAAAGCCGGGACGACTAGTGTGGTGTAACCTTAAAAGAGACCCTCGAGGTCGGGTCTTAGGGAGGTTTTGGCTCGGGTTGGGCGGTGACCGGGACGTGTCCGTATCTCGGGCCACCGCACGGCCCTCGAATGGCACTCCGGACACGCGTCCTTTGTTTCCGACGACCTCAGACACGAGTCGTGATAGGAGTGACCGCACGCCCATACGCCGATTACGGTGCCGTTCGTCTCCGCCTCTCTCCTATGCGAAAGCGATTTGCCGCACAGGCCGCAGGTAAGGTTCGACACCGACAAACCTTTTCCGTTGCCATGGAGCATCTTGGCGAGTTCTGAAACAATCAATTGGTTCTCGTCGCTCCCGCACCACAGTGTATGGATTTACCAATCCAAGCGGACGAAATTCAGAAAATCGACTCAACTTTTGGTACTAGCAAGCAACTACGAAAAAAAAATTGAGAGGGCCCATTCAATATGCGCATTTGATAAAAAATTCTTGTTATATTTTCGTCAATATTTTCATTTTTTATTTGTGTCTTCGTGAATCTCAGACACTTTATATTACCTCCTAATAAGATTCATTCAGATGTCATAAAACGTTTAAAACAATCTGATTATCGAGTCGACATTGAAGATTTTTGAAACAGACTGCGGAATGCATTTTGAACGGAGTGAAGTTTCCTGAAATATGAATTATTTATGTAAAGTGATACGTACAAAGATTTTAATATCTGTACGCCAAATATATAGATAACTTTTGTGTATGATCGGTGACTGATTACTATAATAATTTTCTTTTTTAGAATTGTTATGTACCACCACGTACAAAGAACTTGTTGGAATGAATTAAAAATGTCATTGAATATTATTTCCAAACAAAAAAAAAGATTTGTTTTTGTGTCAGCAAAAGTTAAAAAAAATTAATAATATTAGGTACAACAATGTAGTAAAATTTCTAATTTTGAACGCCTCACCTCCGATTTCAATGAAATGTTTACTTTAACATGAACCTCTTAAAATTCAATTTTTCCTTTCAAAAATTTTAACATTCGGATTAAGTACCTTTTATTCAATCAAAAAAGTCCAATTTTTCAGAAATTATGATACTTTTATAAAGCATGTCTTACTTGTGGATTTATCAAACAAACTTTGTTTATTTAATTTTTTTTTTGAATGTTTAATCCCCACAAATGATAAAATAATTTTGCAACCTTAGATTAGTAAAATCATACACTGTGGGCCCCACGCTCGCCGCGTCGATCTTACTGTGATGGAAGTCTTTGCCGGCAATGGTCAAGCTCGCCTTGAGCAAGTCCACATCGCGGTGATAATCGGCGAGCATTCCCCGAAGCAGTTCCCTAACGTCACCGAACCGCGCGTCGGAAACGAGGTCCAGGAGCTGGTCGGGCGGTACGTGGGGAGCCGCCGCGTTGATTAGTTGTCTCAGATAGGCGTTTGGGACGTTCCTCTATCGCGGGGCAGTGCTCAAACGAATGCTAACGTTAAAACGAAAACTTACCTTACTCTGGAGCAGGGCGAGCCACAGCTGCTGCGCACTTTCGTGGTCGAGGTGCTCTGCCCCGCGTACGCACAGGGCAGCCCCTTCCTCGATCATTTCGTGATTGATGAGCAGCTCGAGTGCTTCGAGCCACTCTCCAGATTGTTCCAGGAGCAATGCCGTCGCTCTGTGAACCTGTTAGGGGCGGCACTTTCAATTTCGGCAAAGAGCGATAGTTTCGATAGTGACTGTGGCTAGAGAATACAATACAATAACGCTTTGAAAGGAAATTATGGCAGGCCTTTGAAGGGGGAACTTGGACAGTGCTTGCGTGGACTTTACCTTACCTGAAGTCATCAGATTTTGAGAAGATTTTTTTCCTGAAACTATGTACCATAATTACAGGACTGCCTGTGAAGAGACACTTAAGAGTGAGAAAAATGTAAACTCGCCAAACTAATCAAAGAACTTTGATACTCTTCTAACAGAATGAACTCTCGCAATATGATTTTTTGATATATGATGATTTTTGTATATAATAATAATTTAAGGCTCATTTAACCACAGACGACTCAGAACTTACTTAATTCGTCTTTTTTCTGAAAATTAAATAGAATTTTTTGGTTACAAATAAAAATTTTCGCATCATTAAGTTCACTTGGGATTAACAACTGCTATTTTGATGGAAATTGAAAATTTTATAGTACCACCACAAATAGTGAATTCTCGAATGGGTTAGTAATTTTGTTAAAAGCAAGAACCTTATTGCGGTGCTAAAAGAAAAACCAGTGTACTGATGAGCTCCTTTCTTTCGCAATTTCAACTGATTTAACTATTAAATTAATGGTTTGTTAGTTAATGGCAGCAGGCAGGCTATTTTGTGTGGTTTGAAGAATTAGCAGACAAGATAATAATAACTCTTAACAATGTTCATGTCAAAAATTAATCGGGAACCCTTTAATATCATTATTAATAATATCTAATGATAATGCAAGTCGAGAAGTTGGCCTGTAAAATTCACATAATTAAGACTAGTAGGAATTATATTCTGAACCCTGAAATACACATAAATGGAAAAGAAATACAAGAACCAAAATGTAGAATTCAAACTTCAAAAATTCAAAATAAAATCGAAACCTTTAATATGTAGACCCTAAGACCAATACTGAAAATGTCCTGAGCTGGACTAGCGAGACCATGAGGCCAAATAACAAAAGTACCGTCGACGTAGCGTGTCCACAATTTTGGTTTTAGATGAAAAGTGTCGAGAGCTTTCTTCTCAAAGGCTTCCGTAAATATATTCGCGATGACTGGTGATAGTGGGGAATCCATAGCTGTTCCCGACGTTTGTTCAAAAATTCGACCGTTATAAGAAAAATATGTTCCCGATAAGCATTTTTCGATTAAGGCGAGAAGGTTTGGTTCCAGATTCTCGGATTTTAATATATCTGAAATGTAAAGAGGGATTCTACGTCGAAACTAACTAGAATATCTTGTTTAATTGTTCAATGAAGTTGAAGGAATTAAAGGACTAAAACAAATAAATTCACCAGCTGTTGCCGAGCACACTCATGAAACCGGGCATAAAATTTTATTCGATAAAACTTCTATCAATGAAAAATCCGAGAGTCTGTAGAAACCTATAAACAACCTAACAATCTTAACCGCGACTCAGGTCTCTACCTGTCACCAATTGGAGAATCAGTCATCCGAGACGGTGTTTATACGCCTCATTAGCGCCCCCCTCAAATAATCTATAAGCAGGTACAGAGTAAAATACGAGCCGGTTTCAGTCAAGCTCTGAAGAAGCCAACAGGATGATCGGCGAAACGTCAGCAATTTCGACCGACGCAGGAGGAATCCCCAGAAGTTTTGTAAAAAGTATGAAGGTTAAAGAAATTTCACAATAGGACGTACCCCGTACTTTTCCGTTATCTGCAACGCCTCTTTCGTCCGACACATACCTAGCTGCACGTAACTGTATACCGCGCCACTATCCCTGACGCACAGCTGTCCGAGATACTTTTCCGCGAGGGGCGGTGGCAATTTCGCGTCGCCCGCCACCACCTCGCTCAAAAATCGATACTGCAAGTCTCCGCGGCCGTCCAAGATCGACGCCAATTGTTCGATACTATCGGAAAAATGTTCGATCGCGATCTCGGCCGCGTTCTCCTCGCTCGTCCGCGCCAAATCTTCGAAACATTCGAAAAACTGTTCGCGCACGCGCCTTTCTGGCACGTTCACGTAACTCGCGACGTAACCGAACGCTTCGAGCTTGCGCGTGGGATCGTTGACGTAACACCGCAACACGTGACGATAATCGCGACGTAGTTCGTAGAGCCGTTCCGCTACCCGGTAACATTTAGACGCGAGCGCCATCTCGAGCATTCGGTCCGAATCGATACGCACGAGTTTCCCCGCCCGTAACAAATCGAGCCACGCCTGTTCGCGTTCCGCCTGGTCGCGGAAGTTGAGACCTTCCGCCTCTGTCGTCGTTAGGCGATGGATCGCGACGTTCAACAACGCGTCGTCGATACGAAGCCTCTCCTGCACGACCAGTCGGGCCACAAAGCACGCCAATACGATCACTTCCCCTTCCTGAAAAGGGAAGACGCAGGTAAGCCGGCTCTCTCTCGGACATTTAGTCAGAATCTACCACGGATTAGCAACAAACTATAAATTAGTCTCTGATTGGGTTGTTGCTCTTCGCTGCTACGATTTGCCTTTTCATAGCTAAACGCGATGCATACAGTGATGAAACCAAAGGCATTAACGGAGAGACCGTGAATAATTTAAGATACGCGGACGATACACTTCTAATAGCAGATAGTGCTGAGAGATTGCAGAAATTAATAGACCAACTAGTAGAGGCATGCGAGATATATGGTATGAGGCTTAATTGCAGGGAAACCAAAATGTGTGTAGTAAAAACGATGAGTTTAGGGCCAATAAACAGCGGATAGATAGACTGAGATGGCTTTTACCCGATGAAAATCTATTTAACGCAATTAAATTAGAACAAAAAATGTTAAGATTTTAGGTAACACCGTGCCTTTATCAAATACAAAGGATGGCGATATTTCAACGCCTACGGTGACGCATTTAAATCCAATTGGTTATTAAGTAATAGATTCGAATATCTCATTTTGCAAATCTCCATAGCTTCCAACAAAGTTGGTTTTTTGATTTTTGATTGATGACATAAAATATCAAAATTTTTAGACGCCTTTTTATGTTCGTTAATGCGTTAAATACAGTTATCTAGTTCCGTCTCTATGGTAAATTTTATATGGTTATGTATGGAGTTAATATAATTCAAAAAGGACTGCACTTGCCTGTCCGTTCTAGTGAAACAACCAAAAACGTCATCTATGTATCCATAAAAGCAGAGAAATAATTTTATAAATTGTAATGAACCTTGAACAGCCTTAGGAGGGATTTTAAATTCTTTAACCTTGTTAATTAGTTCGAACGATTTTTTTTAAATTTCATTGAGAATTTACCCGATGGTGCTGTTATAAAAGAAACTACACGCCTTATTGGTATATCCTGCTCGTGTTATTATACAACATACAAAGCTTTTGAGATTGGCTGACCAGTTTATAGCAAAAATTTTATGGCAAAAGCAGTAGGATAGTAATTGGTTAATAAGGGTCACTGAAAGAAGTAATAAAAGCACACGCACGCATCAAAATAGAAATGTAAGTCTCAGAAAATGATGCAAAAATGCGTGCGTATACCACGGATTTGGAAAAGGTGGGGCCAAATGCGTGTATAGACAAAACAAACCCCCGATAAGCAATGTCAAGGCAAATTGTACTATAGCATATTAATGGTACGGTCCGCCTAAACGGGATCCGGATGGGGCGGCGCTTACGCTGAAATCGGGCACCGCGACGACTTGGGAGAGGATCTGCACTAGTCGTTGGCGCTGCAGCAGCCCCATCTCGCCCGCGAACTCGTCCTCCGTGAATGCCAGCTCGATGACGTTCAGGCACTCCCTGATGTTGTACCGTAGGAGCGCCCTCAGGTAGGGATAAATCGGTTCATCCGCTTTACCGTTTATCGAGTGGACGGTCTCGAGACACCGGAGTATATCGTGCTTAACCCTCGCCACTTCAGTTTCCGGTATATTGCCGGTGGGGTAGCCCAGACCCGCCAAGCACGACGACACATACACCAACATTGTGTTCCCTAACCTAAGAAAATATTCATGTCTTGTTATGAGAATCGTTCTATTTTTATTTATTATTTATATATTTTTTTTATCTTTAGCGCCTGGTGAATTCATTTTTTAAATGCAAAGGAGCTACCGTTAAATAAACAACAAAAACCTAATAAAAGACGAAACATGACATAGTGGACTACGACCTGTGGAAACTAAAAAGAAACTAAACTAATTAATAGAAAAAATGAAAACAAAATCTAAACAATTATCTTGATTGGGGTTTAAAGGCCGTCGTCGGTTGGAATTACTTCCTAACGTTTCGTTAGCACGAGTGGCGAGCTTCTTCAGAGGTCCTTCCATCTCCGATGTTGGACGTAGACTGATGATTTCTCCTGCACAGGTTGTATTTATGCCGATTGGTGGTGGGCGGGGCTCCAGAACTTCCAGATGGAACTTGAACACCTGAAAACTGCGTTCGAGGCAAATGGCTACAGCAAGAGAGAGATCGAGAGATCAATGAACTCAAGATCATCAAGATCACGGGATACCGAACAACGACCCTCCACCTCCCACGCATATCTGCCGTATATTCCGAGTGTCACCGACAGGATTGGCAGAGTATTGAAAAGACACGACATCAAAACAATCTTTAAGCCTACAAAGAAAATCCAGCAGACCATCAGGTCAGCGAAGGACACGAGGGACTCACTTTCAGCTGCAGGAGTCTACCGCATTCCGTGTTCATGCGGAAAGGTCTACATCGGAACTACCAAGAGATCAATGGGAACGAGACTTAAGGAGCATAAAGCAAGCTGCAGGCTAGGACATACAGAGAAGTCTGCAGTGGCTGAACACGCACTGGGCAGCGGGGAACACAGGATACACTTTGAGAGCTGTAAGTTACTAGCATCGGTCAACGGCTATCACAACAGACTAGTCAGGGAAGCCATTGAGATACAAAAACACCCACACAATTTCAACAGAAAGGAGGAGACCCTTGGACTCAACCAAATCTGGAACCCGATCCTTAGGAACGCCCGAGCAGTACCGATCGATATCCCGAGACCAACCGAAACGGAACAAGCCCCGCCCACCACCAATCGGCATAAATACAACCTGCGCAGGAGAAATCATCAGTCTACGTCCAACATCGGAGATGGAAGGACCTCTGAAGAAGCTCGCCACTCGTGCTAGCGAAACGTTAGGAAGTAATTCCAATCGACGACGGCCTTTAAACCCGAATCAAGATAATAGCTTATCAACGGGCCGCGAAAGCCTTAACCAATTTATCAAAATCTAAACAATAATAATAATATAACATTACTGTTTTTTTTTCGTAAATTAAACACGAAATAATTTGTTTATTTTCGAGATTGGTTTATGTCTAGTAATAATAATAATAAAATATCCCTATTATTGCAAAATAGGAAACGCGATTTCTGACACTTGACTAGTCAGAAGAAACAGATAAAATATAAATACAATGTAACTAAAGAATAAAAGAAAGGTAAAAAAGAAATACAATCAATTGAAAAAAATCACGGTTCTTGTTATTGATTTGTAAAAAATTATTATCTAATCATTTAATTGTTCAATAATAGTGTAGAAATGGCAGACGTACATTTTATGCATGTGCAAACTGAAATTTCTTGAAAGCTTCTCGACGTCTCAGATGCGTTCATTAATAAATTTCGTTGCCAAACACAACTATTTAGCAGCACCCAACTCAATATTTTTTCTCAGTATGCAATGCTAAACAGTTTTTTTTTATTTGAAAGCTGTCAGTTTTATGAAAAACTTACAAAAAAGTTTCTAACAAAACCCCTCTATCCAAACCCATCGTTCCATCTTTTTGTTTCTACAATAAATAATATTTATTTATTATTATTATAGTAGCCGATAAATATAGTAACAAATATATACTATAGAGAACACTTGTTGGATATAAAAAATACTTTTTGTAAATCACTTGAACAGATCCTCCGCCCCACATTATTATTCCATACCGCAAAAACGACTCTAGGAGACTATAGTATTAATAAAAATTGCTCAGTTACGTCATCATTTTTCATACAAATCTTCGGTAGATTTTAATACCCACACTCAATTTGGAATATTATTTATCAATTTTATAGTACAAAAGTAAGGGTCATCATGGTCTTTACGGGACACCTCATTGATAACCGCTCACCTGTTGTTGGTCGGCGTGAGATCGGCTAAGAATTCTATCAACGGACTCGTGTAGTCTCCTAGCGTTTTGGTCGTGATGTGTATCCAGGCGTTGTACAGTCCGAGCTTCTTGCACAGCTTCAGCGCCTGGTGCAAGTCGAGACAGCCGATGTCCAGAGAGAGGAGCACCCTCTCGAGAAGCTGATGGTCTTTATCGGCCAGGTAACGCACCAGCATCTGCGACACGGTCGGCGCGAGCTCTTTCAGCGTTCCCGCGCATATATGATCGGACAGCAACGCGTAATACCATTCCAGGTTGTGCGAGTCGGTGGACACGGCCTCCAAAAGATCCTCGCACAAAATATCCCTAAAAATAATCGGCTCATTCGTTTAATTTCGAGATGGCGCGTAATATTTGCCGTTTGCCGAGCTTGACGCAACAGTTGACGGCGGCCGTGAGGCTGTCTTTGTCGACGCTGTTCTGGTTCAAGCCGTTCAAATACTTCCGCAGAAGCTGCATGGTGAGGCCTTCGCGGCCCGAACCTTCTTCTGCCGCGAGGTTAAGTGCCTCTGTCCACCGACCCTGATCGCTCAGGTAAAAAATTCTTTCGGGCCACGTGCGCATCTTAACCATGTGCACGGCGCTAGTACCTAAAATCAACAACTGGCTGCCGCGACTCGACAGGCTGTTGTAGCACGCCCTCTCGCCGGCCAACGCGAAAGCTTCGCTAACACCACCGCCTACGGCGAGTGCCTTGAAGTGGGCGGAACTATATACGAGGCCGGCGCTGGACAGTTCCAGTACTTCCAACTCCCTTTGGGTCCTGACCTCCACCAGCCGCAGGTTTTCCTGATCGTCCAGTAGGGCCAGGTGTCTCGGACCTACCCAGTGGGCGTGGTTAAAAATTGCGAGCAACGCTTATAATCAATTCTTGCTAAGGACCATTGGATCCTATGAATTTGTAGCATATATACTGCCTTAATCCCACTTTATCTGACAGATCTCATCACACCAAGGTCAAGAAAAATATTTCTACTCATAATTTTTCGTAATACTTTTTACAAAGCTACTGGATTGCTCCTGCGTCGGTTTTTGCTAACGTTTCGCCAATCATCCTGTTGGCTTCTCTCAGTTTCAGTCAAGCTCTGAAGAAGCCAACAGGATGATTGGCGAAACGTCAGCAATTTCGACTCAGCAAATACCGACGCAGGAGGAATCCAGTGTTCCCGAGAGAAGCGTATCGTGCTTGCTTTTATTTATTTATGTTCTAAAAAACTCATTTCTTTGCAATGAATTGCGCAAATTGAATATCAGAATGCGGCATTTCTATAAATGGCTGTTTCGCCAAAAAAAAAAATGCCAGCAATATATGTGCCAATTAGTACTTCAATATTTCTATGGTACCTACAAAAAACTATGCGATTCTACGATGGTACCCGTTGTTGCGATGAAGTGCCGGACAATAATAAAAATGAGCCTTGATTAAAAATATTCAAAAAAATAATGACAATATATTCGGGTAGTTCATAGCTTGTTTATGTCAATTACAATAGTTATTAATCATATTATTATTCCTCTTCGACCCGATATTCGATTTTTGTTGTCATACATCTGAAAGCGACACGGAATATTATTTTTTATTTTTCTTAGTTGTTACGCAAGTATCATGAACTGAGATATTAAAACACTTAAAAAGTTAGGATGAAAAAAGTATCACTGTTATTACTAGCTTTTCTTATCGCATTATTTTCAGCTATCTTAATATTTTGTATATTGAAATATTAGTAGTTTCGTTTTCAAACACTAATTACAACATTTTCCTTCTTTAATTTTGTTGATGTCATGTCTCGTGATATCTTTTTAAAATCAAAGTATTTGCTATAAGTGAATACGTTGGCCATTTTCACTAACATGCTACTTGCTTGTAGTAGCTTCTTGACAAAGGTAAAAACATGTACTTTGAAATACAATTGCTTATTTTTACTAGCTTGTACTTAGTATATATCAGCAGTTGTTGCTATTAAAATAATTGCAATTACATTTTCATTTATTTTAAAAACTGCCAAAATGAAAGACAAAAGCACGCCCGTGCGGTGAGCAGGAAATCTAGAATCGAAGCTTGCAACTTACAAATTTACACAACAGGTGAATATTGCAATATCAATACCACAATGCCCGACTGTATTTAAAATACCTCTACCCTGATTTATAACTCAGTACCTGTTCCTATAAAGATTTTACACAAATATTTAAAAATCGTCTGAAAAGTTTTGTGTGCCGCAGATCATTGACTCTATTTACTTTTTGTACCCGTTTATGTGATACATTTTTTTATGGTTGTGATTGTATTTTTTTTTGTGATGATATTGAGTGCATGCGTACATGCACTTTCCTTGGTATGGAGTAGCAAAGAAAAACAAAGAAGAGACAGCAAAACAAGAACAACAAAAAGACAACCAAAACAACCAGGAAATAAAAGAGAAAAGATTTAAAATTCACCTCCTAGAGGAAGAAACAATAAGAGATTTGTACAGACGTAGACTTGATGAAAAACTAATAGAGTTCAATTTTAATAATTTAACAGACACTTACGAACACGTGAAGAAGAGCATTAAAGAGGCAGCTTATGAAGCATTAGGAGAGGAAGACGGAAAGAACAAAAAATATACAGAAGAACTTAGTGAGGAAGCTATTGCAGCTATTCAGGAAAAAAAGCGCTTACACCAAAAATGGCTCTGTACAAATTCGGGAGAAGACCTACAGAAATATAAGGACAAAAACAGAGAAACAAAGAAACTAATTAGTAAAGAAAAAAATGGAAAATGGGATAGACTCTGCCAAAACATACAACAGTATACAGGAGGTACAAGATGCTCGGAATCATGGAGAACAATAAGATCTGTCAGATCAAATACCAAAGAGAAAGTCAATATACAGTTTATCAAAGAAACCGAATGGGAAAATTATTATCAACAACTACTAACGGAGACACGACCACAATTCTGGCAACAACTAACATACCAAATACAACCTAACAACAATCTAAAGCATGTAACAATAGAAGAAAAAGAAATAATAAAAGCCATTAAAGAATTAAAAAACAAAAAATCACCAGGGCCAGGGGGGATAGTGAATGAACTTATTAAGTATGGGTCGGACAGATTATTCAGAATATTGAAAAACATGTTTGAAAGAGCAATAAATGGAGAAACGTTACCAAGGGAGTGGAATACGGCATATATAAGCTCTATTTTCAAGAAGGGGGATCGTAGGAAGTGTACCAACTACAGAGGAATTAGCATTATATCAAGCATGGGAAGACTATATGGAAAGATAATCAAAAACAAAATAGAAGACCAGATAATAGGGAAAATAGGTGAAGATCAAGCCGGTTTCACGGCAGGGAAGTCATGCGTTGATCAGATATATACGGTAAGGCAGACTATCGAAAAGAAAAAAGCTAAAAACAGAGACATCCATTTAGCATTCATAGATATAAGAAAAGCTTATGACTCCATACCCAGACAACAACTTTGGAAAGCAATGGAAGATATTGGGATAGAAAGAGAACTAATAAAAGCCGTAGATACAATGTACAAGAACAACGAGTTGTCGGTTAAAATAGGTAATAGGTACACAAATCGATTCACAACATCAAAGGGCCTACTACAAGGATGCCCTACATCAACAACGTTGTTTAAAATCTATCTTGAGAGGACGCTAACACAATGGAAAAGAAAATGTCAAGGTATGGGAGTCCCAGTACGCGACGACCAGTTATACACCCTAAGCTTTGCCGACGACCAGGTGGTCATAGCCCAGGATGAAGACGACTTGAGTTACATGCTCAGAAAGCTGAAACAGGAATATGAGAAGGTAGGTTTGGAAATAAACTTCGAAAAGACAGAATATCTAACAACAAAAGAAGGGGAAATCGAAGATTTGGAAATAGATGAAAACACAACCGTAAAAGCAACAGACAAATTTAAATACTTAGGGTATATAATAACAAAAGATGGATCAACAGAAGAAGAAATCAAATCTAGACTAGGTCAAGGTAGAACATGTATAAAACAACTGAACTCCATTATATGGAACAAGAAATTAACAAAGAAAACAAAAACAACAATATTTAAGACAATAGTAGAAAGTATAATTACATACGGAGCAGAAACCTGGCTATTGAACAAAAAGAGCAGATCTAAAATAACCGCCGTAGAAATGGAATATTGGAGAAGGTGTTGCCAACGAACACGCATGGATAGAATACGTAACGCAGAAATCAAGAGGCAAATGAATGTAGAAAAAGACTTATTAACTACAATAGCAGAAAAACAGCTTAAATGGTATGGTCATGTCAGACGAAGTGACGATAGACGGTGGATAAAGAAAATCACAGAGTGGAGCCCTATGGGACGTAGAAAGAGAGGAAGACCCAGAAGATCGTGGAGGGATGAAATAGATGAAGCCATGGAGGAAAGGGGGTTGGAAGACGGAGATTGGAATGACAAAGATGAATGGAGAGTCTGGTTGAGAGAGGGAAAACGGCGCGAGCTGTAACAAACCCCATATATATATATATATATATATATATATATATATATATATATATATATATATATATATATATATATATATATATATATATATATATATATATATATATATATATATATATATATATATATATATATATATATATATATATAATATATATATATATATGCATATATATATATATATATATATATATATATATATATATATATATATATATATATATATATATATATATATATATATATATATATATATATATATATTGAGTGCTGATTATTCAAATACCCTCAGTGGTACTCTTCATCTTTGCATGTAATATTTTAACTTTTCATGCAATAGTTTTTTTCAAAAATTGAACTGAGGATGCTTTTACTTGATGAACATCCATTTATCAAAATAAATAAGAACTTAAAGTTCAGATTTTCACGAAATTGTATATTTTTACATGACAACACCATGTCTATATCACATTTGATAAAGGCACGGTGATTTTTTCTCATTTTTGTTTATTTTTAATTTGCTCGTCGGTACAGAATTTCAATGCATATCATCGTTAATACCTATTTGGTTAGTTTTCAATTATAAATGTAGTCCATATAGCTATTAGATAATATAGTGTCCCTATTATGGTCAAAATTAATACTATGCACGCGGCATTGATGTTTTCGTGGAAATCAATTTTCCTCCGCATTTCCCCCACTAACCTGCACTTTTCTTCCTAACAACGATTTCCACTGACTTAACTCGTCTTACCAGAACATTTAGAAAGAAGTTGTAAAAATGCAAAACTTATTGACGATATGTCAGTGGTTAGAAACGAGATTTCAAGTCTCTTAATTTTGTTCATATTTGCTTCATTATCTCTAGTAACTATATGATATAACCTAATAGGTTAGCGGATTACGTACCGAGCCAATGGAGTGAAGTTATGTTGTAGGTTAGTTCGACGTTGCGTAAAGGAATGAGTCTAACTTGGCCGTTGTGCGCGACGAGTTTCGTGTAAAACAAGGAAGTGCCGCGGCCCCACGCCAATACAGGTTGAAAAACTTTCCCGACGGAGACGAGCTGCCAAGATATCAACGGTAGCGACGTTGATATCCTTGGTAACTGTTGACTAAAGTGTACCTTAAGGCGGGGCCTCACCGATATAACGATAACCTGGAAAAGGATCGAATCGAGTTTATCCGCATAAAAGCAGCGAAAAATGTTACCTTAGATAAGGTGGCCATGGCGACAATGACGTGACGACTAAGAAAACCGATATCGTGGCCTTGAGTGAGGGGCTCGAAAACGCAGACCTCACCACGCGCCCCCGAAAACAGGCATTTGGAATCCCATGAGCGGACACCGAGTCGCCTATTGAAGGACACTGAAAAGACGCAGCCCGATGAGTCGCCGCATAACGCGAGGTTACTTAGGAACGAGAAGCGGAGGTGTAGGACCGCAGTTTGAGGCGCGTGCGCGTCTGGCAGTCTTCGTAAAATATCCCCATTTTTAGTGTCAAGCATCGAAATGTAACCTCTCTCATAACTAAGATGAATATTGTTTATTTCCTATGTATACGTCTGATTTTTATGTAAACTAACCCAACGAGAAGCCTGGTTGATTCCAAATTAAATGCTAAAGCAGATATAGCCCCTTCATCTGACGAGTTAGGGTCATGGTGGCACCAACACAGGTTCTGTTCAGAATCAAATGCCAAAATATATCCGTGTGATGTTCCAATGGCGACATACTTCAAACTGTTGGTTATTACAGTCGGCAGACCTGCTCTAACTCTGTCCTAAACAGTTTAATATAAACTATTTTTTTCTGCAATATTTTTAAATTTTGTGTGAATTTCTCACCGAGGCTGAGGATAATTGGTTCGACACCCCCTGCAAGACGCAGTGGAAAAGCATTGATCGAAATCTGGCAGTCATGCTTTGAAATGAATATAAAGAAGCGCTGTCGCTTCCCTCTTCTGATTCCATGTCCCATAAGACCCTCTCCAGCGACGGAAGAGTGGCTTCCGGTATCTCAAACTCCAAATCATTGATCTGCAAGGCGAAAACATTAAACCATCAATTAAAAACCCATTTAAATTGCATAGATCATTAGCCGCACTTCTTTCAAATCCAAGAGAGACTCGTCCGAGTCCTCTATCAGGAACTCCTCGCTTTCAGAACCCATTTTCTCAATTAGTCCGGCATTAGTCTAGTTTGTTTAAACAAATTAAATTATTTGTAGGAGGTGTCGTACGGCTGTCAATCATGGAATAGTACGCGTTTCTTCTTCTTTCTGCTTTTTAACGAAATTTTACTTGACATTGCCATTATTATAAAATTGGGACCAGTCCGATAAAAATGTATGTTTCCCATATAACGAACATGGGAATCGGCGAAATTGACAAATATTTAAAAATAAAAAAATTAGGCTTGCATTTGTAAATTCATCAGTACCCATCCAACTTACCATTGCTGAATTTTAAGTGATAAACGAACCAAATTCGAGTCGTTCTGCGGTATAAATAAAAAATAAACAATAAAACAGAATCATAACAAGTTGTCTAGTAGAGTGCAAAATTTTAAAAAGACAATGTCTCATAGTGACAGCGAAATCAGGGACACCATAAAAAAAAGAAAACAGTTCGATCCAAAATTGAAATTCAAGGCGTTGGCGAAGTACAACAAAAGACAACTGAGATTCGAGGGAGCGCTGAAGCATAGACTGGAACCCATTTACTACGAATTGAGGCTAATTCGAGCGGTGAATACTTATAACACGGAACAGGTGAAAAAGCTTTTGGAAAACGGCGTAAGTCCAAATAGTACAGACTATGAAGGACGCAGTGCCCTACACATAGCAGTTAGCAAAGGTTACGCGGACGTAGTGCAGCTTTTGCTGGGTTATGGCGCTGACCCCAACAAACGAGACATCCTACAGAATACCCCGCTACATTTGGCCGCGTGCGTCCACAACTTGCCGATAATTTCTATGTTGTTAAATGCGAAAGCAGATGCCAGTTCCTTGGATATCCACGGGCGAAATCCCTTACAATTGGCATCTAGTAAACTTGATATATTGCGCCGAAGTTGGCGCGAGGGCTCAATAGAAATGGTCAAGCTGCGAGCAGAATTGGTGCAGGTCATAGATTTGCTTTTGTCGTTTTTCATGAGAGAGGCGGAAGACCGATCGGAAAGGGTAGATATGAATCGGGCGAATGTGAACGAACTTCAATTGATTAAATTGTCGTTAAACTCGAGTCCTGTGGAATTATTGGATAACCAAATGACCAAACTCTTGAACGATATTGAAAAAATCCAGATTAAGTAAATTTTTATGTTAAGATACAGAGTGGGTGAGTGCTGTTCCTGTGATTCGCTCTTAACTTCCACGAAATTATGCGTTTGTTTATAGTCTTGTAATAAATACCAAAAATAAAAAAAAGCAAATACACTTAGGAATACTTTGAGCTTTATTTTTAATTTTCTACGTTGCAAGGGAGTGAGATAGATAAACCAAGTAAGTTTCTACTTATTTTTTCTAATAACACAACAATAATAACTGACCAATTCACATGTAAATTTACCCGAATGTTGCAACCCTAATTGAACAGATACCATTAGCACATTTTTTTGTAAAAAAAAACGTATCTATTGCGGATATGCAGGGTGGTTCATTAGGGAACTAAGGGAATCTTATCGAATTAATTTTATTTCCATTTAATTTTTGAGGACCTTTTGTTTATAGTCTTGCAATTGATACTAAACAAAAAAAAGACACGAAAGAATGTTTTGGGCTTTATTTTTCAACTTTCCATGTTCCAAGAGAGTGAGATATAAAAATCAAGCAAGTATCTACTTATCTTTTCTAATAACACCATGATAATAACAAACGTTATAACCTTAATTGAACAGATGCCGTACTTTTAAACTGCCTAGAATTTGTTGTAACTAAAACATACTAAGTACCAACTACTTGAAATACAAAGTTATTCACTAGAGAATTAAGAAAGGGAAATTTCTCTAATAGTTTGTATGCAGGAGGCTGCGGTCATAGAATAGTATTTTATAGGTTAGTTGCAGTTAGATAAGGACTTTCACAAATAAAAAAATATTAGAAAAATGTTACATGCTATTTAAGATTCAAAAGTTATTGTTCGGTCAAATCGAAAGTTAAATTCTGGCTGAAAAACTATAATTTTAGCTTATATTGAACAAATTGTGTTCCTACTTTCCTGTGCACATGTTATAAAAATTTTAAACTTCAAAAGGACATTGGCCTATGTAACGGGATCAATGAAGGATCATTATATTAGAAAAAAAATATTTTTTTATATATATATTTTGTATAGAACCTGTAATACAATAGGTGTTTAGAATTCCAACGTTGCCATATCATAAAATATTACCTATTACGGCCAAATTCGAAAGTTCCCTTTTTTACTTCTCCAGAACTTTCAATTCATTCACTGAATCACTTGATATACACATATTTTTATTCAACTCTAACGATATCCTCCCTTCCTTCTAGCATATACGCATCTGCATGAAAGAGAGCTCTTCCATAATGACTTGGAATGTATATTATGAGGTATATATTCTTAAAAACGAATTAAAAAAACATCTCAACAGGTTTCCGAACGTTGCCTGACCTAACCATTTTGTGTGTAAAAATGGAGTTAGGCAGTTCCGGTTCACAGCCGCAAACGATTTCCTAAAAAAATCAAAAATCCCCTTCGCCATCATATTTTAGTCAATTATCAATCACGTTTGACCCCATAATTGTTAAACCGAAACGGGTAAACTGTCCGCTCGAAACCTTTAGGCTTAAACGATTTTTTTTTTGCTTAGCTTAAGGACTAATCAACAATGGCCACCTTAAAATAATTCAAATACTGTCGAGTCTGATTAGTAACGGTTCCAGAGTTGACAGAATTCCAAGTTTTGACTTGCGTTTCGAGCTTAAACTACGGCCGTCGCGGGGCTCCGATCAAGGAACCATCACCCTGCCCAGTTCCGCGAAAATCTCCGCTTGTATGGGGCCGTAGTCGACATGCTCGCCGTCCACCGTCATATACCTGAAATTTACGTTCGATTTAACTCGGACACTGCAGACTAAAGAAAACGTTCCAGATACAAAACTTTTTAAGTTTATGAAAGTGACGCTGTTATCATATTGTCAAAGTAGAACTACTGAGAGACTCAGAAAACAAATCAATACGCTCGTTATTTGAGAGTAAAATAAAACTATAACTATACAACTATAGTTAAATGCTTTTTTATATGTGTTTCTACAGTATTCGTTGTTAATTAATTATTTAATTAAAAATAATGAAACCGTGATTTACATTAAACCTAAGATTCCTCCCTTCATGCGCCTCAAGAAATTTTTTAACATATACCTCCAAAACCGACAGAATTCCATATTCTAGTCGTCACTCTTATTAAACTTTTCGTCAAAGAGGCGAAAGCAGTTCGTTGGTTGGTTTGTTTGGTTACCTGTGAGCATCTCGTTTGACTTTTAACAATCCCATCCACGTTCCAAAACAACCCCAAACAGATGGAACGAGCTTCTCACGCTAGTTTTTGGTTTTCAGTTGAAACACGACCATAACAGAGACAAGCGGTTGGTATAACCTGTTAATTTTTGGGATACATCTCGTAAGTGGTTATTGAAGAATTCTTCGAAAAGTTCTGGAGTTCTATCTTCGTGGTAGTCCAAAGTATTTGGAAGAATCGAACACCCCACTAAGGGGTGTGATGAGCGTCGAAGACTACCTCATCAATTTTGTGATATTTGGACCCTAACTTTCCAAAAAGTACTAACCCAACAGTTTACTTGGGTTTCATCATTAACAGTGTTTTGAGTTTGCGTTCTAGGATACTGGCATTAAACGCATTTCTCAATATTTACAGTAAATTAAAATTAAAATTTTTATTGACGCATTTAGCATTTGCAATATAGTTTAACATAAGAAAAATGGTTCCCACGCATTTCAATGGAGTAATAATACTTAATCCAAACAACACTTACTGCTAAACTACCAAGTTTACAAGGCGGCTGGTTGATTAAAAACAGTCTTCTTTACTTTACAATTAAAACTACTGAGAGACTCAGAAAACAAATCAATACGCTCGTTATTTGGGAGTAAAATATTTGTCTGCTTGCACATTTGATGCATAACGCCATAGTTGGTCCTATGAAAATCTATATTAAAAAAAAACTTATTTCTTGCATTAATAGGATAAATATGAAAACCAACAGATGCCAGAACATCTGGTACATTCATCAAGTTGTCAGATTCAAAAGCTTCACAATCTCCTCATAGTTTATTTCCTCAAATAACATTCCCGATTTAAAACCTATTGAATGTGAATTGCATAGTATAACTGCTAGACAGGTTCTGTCTCTTGAGCGATCCAGAGTTCAAATGACAGGTGCAAGTTACTGGATTTTTGGACCTGCTAAAGCTTACAATTCTGCACTTGTTTGTATTAAGGGTTAAATTGTTCTGTCCGTACCACAAAGAAAACCTATCAAGATCCTCCCGTAATCGATGACAGTCAAGTAAGTAAATAGCTTTAAATAGTCCGCAAATGCAGGAAATTGGCCAAAGCGAAAAATATTTTTTAGGTCATTAATGAAAACATTGAAAGGGAATGTGGAAAGATGTCCCCCTTGTGGGACACCAGACGTCACAACAGCCTCTAACGAGATGTAATTTTTAACTATAACTGATTGCTTTCGGTTAATAATATACATACAAGTAATACTTCTGAAAAGGTTTTGAAGACACATTTATTTCATTGCCCCCTCTTAAAATCAGCAGATATTCGATTGGATCATCGTCTTTGTTTTTAAAGACCAAATTGATAGATTGAGAACGTTTTCAGCCAAGTGGGGCTTAACGTTCCATGTCCCAGTCTTCGAGTTCAAGTACGCTTTCATATACAGTCTCACAGAACAACATGTCCAGGTTTCTTAAATAGTTTTAATGCCGATAATTGAGTTTTTCAAATTTTGCAGGGAATGGGTATACTGTATCACTCAAGAAAAAACTTTCAGTATACTTCTTGAATATGTGATACATTATCGTAAATAAAGAATATTATATATTTAAATGCAGCTTAGTAAGTGCACATAATTTGACAAACAAAATAGTTTTTTATTCTCATTGGCTATAAGTATTTTCACATGTAATTGAGAAAAAATGAACCAACTTCTTTTTTTATATAATATAAGATTTTTGGCGAACTTTGTGAAATGGGGGGTTTCCCCATATATATAAATACAAATTAATTATATCTGATTCAAACCCAACAGTTTTGGCTCCAACATTCTTTAATGACAAAGTAACCATATTATTCGCATCCATCGAACGACCGTCCTCACTTACCCTCGCTCCGTCATGTCGGGCTCTATCCTGAACGCGCTGACCGGTATCAACTCTATAAAATTTCCAATGTCGCCTTTTTCTGGTGTCGCGTGTGCCCCGGTACTTAGCCCAAGCATGAACTGCAGCAGTTGCGTACGGCTCGCGCCCGCCTTCACCACCAACATCCATATGCGACCGTCGTTCAACCTGGCCTCGGGAGCGAAGAAGCACTCCTCGCCCAGGTGGCTCTGGTACGAAGCGTGAACCTTCGCGAAACGGAGCGTGTTTAATGGCCCTAACGTGCGGTACATTTGACCTACCATGACAAATCGTCCGGATATGCACTTCCACACGTCTCCGAGGGGCGTGGTCAGACACGGTAATTGCGACGGCGGGCCGTACAGTCGGCCCGGGCTTTCGGACGAAGTCCCGACGTCGCCGTGGTCGACGCCGCTGTCTGCCGTGGACTGGTATGAGCTGCCGCCCGCTGAGAAGTACGCGCTACGTTTCGACCGAGCGCTGTACCATGAATCGACTCTCTGGCGCGCTAGCACGTCAAAAAGACAATCCTGGATTAATCTCGTCGGTCAATATGCCCGCCGAAGAAAATACAGGAAAGTTTTTTGGTTAACTGCCTTTTAAAAGTAAGGAAAATTTACAAAATTCGTTAAGGGTAAGCCAAAAATTTAACAGTACAATAAAATATAATAACGATGGGATAAAGCGTAAACGGATTCTTATTCTGACTAAATAAAACCATACTATATTAATTTCCATGTTAAATAGTACCGGTTGGCCAATTGAAGCAATAATCAAAACAAGGTTTTAGTGCATTTTTCAGCGATAGATCCAACAAAAAAAAATGAAAATCGATCCAAAGGTTTCACAAGGGTGTACCGTTCTTAAGTGGGACGCACTGTATATTATATGGTATGTCCAGATAAGTCGGTACCATATGGGAACTTTTTCATTCTTCATTCTTAGTTTGAGCCGAATTCAAAGTTTTTCATTACATCCATTCAACCTGAAATTTTAATAAACCTCTCTGTATTGGGCCTTTACGTCTACATTTTCAATATATTGATCCTTTGGAAAGGATAAAAACCATTTCACTAAATAAATGCACACGAATTTTTGATTAAAGGATCGTTGAAAGTATAGGCTATTGAGGCAGCAAGTTGAAATAATTTTTTTTTCCAAAATTGTTCAAAATGTTACGTATTAATTAACTTTTCATTTGCAAGCTGAAATGTTATGCATTATGGAGTTAAAAAGTTGCAGAAATAAATAATGGACTATCGTTTTTAAGTGTGTATTTTATTGGGGGAACAGTCTCATAAATTACTTATTACGATTTAAATAATGAATAAATTAAAATTATAATTATAATATCAAGATCATTTTTTTCACCGTGACTTTTTTTAACAAGAATCGTCGACATTTTCAAAAACAAAGTTTGCATAAAAGCCACTTTTTGTTAAATTTTAAGAATTAAAACTTCTCCCATATGGTGCCGACTTAATTGGACACTCCGCGATTCACGTTGAATGTTCCTTAGAAAGTTGTAGAGAACTAAATAAGTTTTCTGAAAAGGATAACATAAATTCAAATCGAACACCATGTATATTAGTACCTTTTGCGCAAAATTCTAAGCAACTTTTGTTAACATTCCCGTATGCAATTTATTTCCCCTTAATTTTGCAGATAAACACCGCTCTATTAAAGCGCAATTGAATTATTTTACAGAGCTTATCCAATCTGGAATCTTACTATACCTCCCTGGGACTCCAGTTGCACTTCCGCTGGTAAGTTCAGATTGCTTCCCATACTGGCCGTGGGTGTGAATATTTCTTTCGACTCGGGCAACGAGTATTCGGCCGGGATGTACCACAGCTTGCCGCCGTAACTTCTCAGGCCGATCAGCCTCGCGACCGACCATACCGTGAACCTCGTACCGCCCAACACTCTCAATCTACCGATAGGCTGTAGCTTTAGTCGCAACGAACCCGAAAATGTATTTCGCGATTACCTTTCGCTTTCGATGTCGATATCCGAAAGCAACCCCCACCCGACCGACAAAAAGGAAAACATAATTTGCTTCGTAGTCTCGACCCTGACCAGATCCATGGGTACCACGTGACCCCTAACGGCTGCCAAAGTAGCTGGTAAGGTAGGCGTGGACATGTACGGCTCGCACGAGTGATGGGCTATACTGCGCGCGAGGCCGTTTCCGGATCCGCCCGGTACCACTCCGATCGGTAAGTATTTCACTATTTCCGCCCAGTCCCATCGTTCAAAGAGACCGTTGACCACTTCGAAGACAATGCCGTCGCCGCCCACCTGAACGGACGAATGAACTACTACAATGTGGACGCGGGTGGTCCCTTTGGGCAAATGAACTACTCGAGCTTGAAACAGTGTAGTTTTCCCAAAGTATGAAACATAAATTTTATTTCAAAAGATACGATTTTTTTCCAGAAAACCAGAATGAAAATTATCTTCTAACTTTTTCTAGTAGCAGACGCAACACTGGAGTTTTGTCTTACCACTCACACCACTCAAATAAATACATGATCGCGCCATGGTGTGGTATCTCCTTAATTTATCATCATTCTTTAAAAAAGTTTTAATAAGCGTTTTTTTTTATGGAACGTCCTATACAGCGTTGTTTGTAATGAATTCACCAAAAAAAAAAGCAATTCAAGATAACTTATAAGAATATATTATTTCTCTATGACTCAAACAGTTTTTTTAAAATAAAAACTAGATTTTAGATTCCATTTTTATAAATAATATGTCGAGGACGCTAGTTACCCCCTACAATCTCGCTATTTCACGTCATAACTTTATTAGTGTAAGTTTTCTTACTTTTTTTTTAAAAGAATATGATGAGTGACGATTTCCAAGTGAAAAGGCATTTATTTCGATAAAATACACCGTTTTCGAGCTATGTGCTTTTTAATAGACTCACTCCCACAATTCAGAATTGCTTAGGAACCACAACGAGAACCCCCGAATCAAACGTCAATATTCCCAAAACAATTAGAGACTTTAATATAGTCAAACACAATACTAATAGGTCTTATGCAATGTCTATTAAAACAGATTTTCAAAATAGTGATTAATAAGTTTAATAAATAGCTCCAAAAATTTGAATTTTGGTCACAGTTAAAGGATTTTTTACAAATTTTTTCACTAGTATTACAAGCTCCTTTACATAATCTACTAAGTTCTCGTAATATACTCCATACTAAATATGTGCACATACTCAATATGCGGAAGATAAACGAGAAATTTAAACAAAGTTGTTTGTAAAACTCAAGGATCCAGTTCCCCAGCAATAATGTTCATAAACAATATTATTTGATTTTCCCATTAGAAAACGATAATTACATTTCACATCAATAGACGCAGAGGATAGGTTTAGTCAAATAAATATACATTAGGGAAAGAAAAAGCTATCCACGGTTATATTAATGAATGATAAAAAAGGAAATAATCAATTCACATACAGGACAAAAATATTTACTATAAAAAGAAAAACAACTCATCCCATTATTAACAAAGAAACAAAAAAACAAGGTAATATTGCCATAACATGTTGGATTATTATCTCGATAATTAACGGGTATTCCAAGGTTATAACGAGCAGCTAATCAATGAAAATTTCATGGCATCAGAACGTGACTATAAATTTAAGCCATAAATTTATCAACCAAAACTATCATCAAGAAATTATCAGCAATACAATATCTTTATTAAAACTGATAATTCATATTTTTATATTTATATATGTTTTTAAATAATAAAACTGATGCAATGACTTACCACAATGATCCCGGTCCATTGAAATAAATTTGCAGTCCTCACAAACTCTCGGGCAAAATTAGCATGCTTAGTCATATATAAGTCATAGGGTATTTCAGCTTCGTTCAAAATAGGTGCGACTTTCTGTTGGAAAATTTGTTTTCCTTTTCCGGCACCACTTTTAGGATTACAGAGAACCAGTAACCTTCGGGTTTCCTTTACTTTGTGGTTTAATGAAAATTCACTTATATTGGAAAGGGTCACATTTTCTCCCTTTATCAAGTTTTTAATGACACACCGCCACCTTTGCGCTTCTTTGTAATTATCCTCGTACCTATCAAACGATCGGAAACGGAGGGTGACGATAGTTCGTTCCCTTTTTCTGGTGGAAGACTTAGTACCTTGGAATATGTACGCATAAATGTACAAGTAGGCGCTGATATCTGTATCGTCCAAATCTATCGAATTTTCTTCAACCACTTGAAGGCTGTTTGAGCGCGGCAACGATTGACACGTACATTTTCTCGTCTTCCGCTTGCTGCGAAGGCACTGGCATCCAATGATGTCTTTGATTGGTATGATTTGTTCCTCAAAATGCTTATCACTATCTTTTATCAAATGCAGTCCGCCCGTCGATAGTTTTACTTTGAAAATGCAATTTTTTTTTGTCAAAACGTAAAAAGTCTCTTCTAGGAGCATGGTGTTTTGATTGGAGATCCCTGCTTTTGTTTCCATTTTTAATTTAATTCAACATATCCACAAATACAAAAACAAAAATGAAAAATTTCACTAAAACATGGAGCTACTTATACAGCGTTACAACATTATTATTTTAGGAACAACTTGATTCAAGTGGGAACTTTTCCCTGCTCGATTTAAAAAAAAAACATCTAATATTTGACAACGCCGCTACTTCTTCCTTTCTATCAAAAACCCTTATTGTTCTTCTTCTTTTTCCTTCTAATAGGCAATTCGACTAAACTCATTTGACCATTTAAGGTAATGTGCACTAGTATTATTTTTTCTTTAAAACTAAAAGTTTCAGCTCGGCACGTAGTTGTAGAAAATGACGAATCCTGGAGAATATTATAAATTACATTTATAACGACTCCAAAAACACCAACGACTAGATTTTTTTAAGCAAAATCTCAAACACGGATCGTTTTCATTATGCTTAATTAACATATGACTATCGGCGCTGCGGAAAATATTCGATTGTTTGCGGTCCCGGTGACTCATCCTATTTACCACTTTGACGCTTTGCGTTCGTTCGAATGGCGTTAATTTCAAATTCAAACACGATCTCGTCTATATAAGCGACCCGCCGTTATCGTAGCGAAAAACGAGTTGTCAGCATGTCCAAGGTGAGTGGTGTTGTTCAATTGTTCATTTACTCAGACCATTTATTTTCTCTACAATTTTAGTTGATATCGTTTATTTGCGTGTTCGCGCACGCGCACCCGCTCGAAGGCGTCGCTCAGTTACCGGCTATTTCATCGTCCGACATTCAAGAGAAAAATAAATCGAGTCACATCCAATCGCTAATTCCAGGCGCGGAACAGGTTGACGTGAAAGGATTAGAAGATACGCTGAATGGTACGGCCGGCAGGCGGAACGTAAGAGACGAAGGCGACCTGCAGAAAGGCCCTCCCACGAACCCGCATGACTTAAACGCGGGTACCGCCGTGCCTCAAACGTACTTGTTATCCAAGAGAATTGTTGCCGATGCTGGCAACGCCAGTTCATCCGAAGGAGGAATCGCTCAGGTTGAATTCGCAGTTTTCGACTACGCCAACAGCGACACTCAAAATTCCAGCTCGAGCGAGAAAAGAGGCGACGATAACGCCCGATCTCAATCGGATAAAAACGACAACACGTCGGACGAATCCAATTCAAGCGAGGAACAAAGGCATAATGTCACAAAGAGAGAGACTAGGGTGACGATAGAGAAGCTGGACGACCTCAGACCGTCCGCCGTTTATTTTGAGGTTGACGGTGGAAGTGAGGTTAGGGTGAGAAGAGAAACGCCTCGAGTATCACCCGGGGGTAAGGTAAAAGGTCGGCCGGTTAAAGCGCCCGTGCGCCAAGGTCCGCTTCCTCAGAAGGCTCATGAAACTAGAAGAGTTAGGGATACGAATCACGCGCAAAGTACAGAAAGGGCCCCTCCCGGCAAAACTGTACTTATAGATGAAGGAGGTTTGGTCGCGACTAGTGCCGAAAATGCGACGACACGAGTAGGAGGAGCAGGGACTTGGCCCAAGGTGACTTATTTTTAAACGTCCTCATGTTGCCAAATAAAAATATTTTATTTTTTATTAGAAATCCGTTTGTTTTACTACAGATACGCGGTTGGTAGTTTTGTAATGTTAGAGGTCCCTAAATAATTAAAAGCCTGCGAAAATGTTTTCTTGTATTTTAATATGTAAACTTTGACTTAAAAATTCTAGATTAGATGTCCAAATATTTTGGTTAGTTTTGGGATAAAAGGGTGACTCATCTTTAATATGAACCTTTCTTTTAAATTAGCAAATTTATTTCGTTTTCAATTAGATACAGTCTGTTACTCCCTATTCAAATATAGAAAGCATTTACAAAAATCCAGCGCAGATACGAATATGATATATACAAAAAAATATCAAAAAAGACTTCGAAAAAAATAATCATTTACAAAAGTCAATTCGCTTCGGACTTGGCGGCGAGAGGACGACGAAAGCGCCACCTCCCGTCCGCCCGGCGACTTACACCGCTACCGTGTCATCGTGCTCGAGTATGTATATATGTTTGTGGCGTAAATGGCACGAGTATTGATGGACCGTCTTCCCCCCCCCCCCTTTTTTTATTATAATCACCCTGTATTCAACGCCCAATCGAAAGTGTCGCTCCGTGTCTAAAAATTAACGCGCAAATGTATATAACCCCGCTTCCGCCCTATTACGAGTATATAGGTATAATTATATTTGGTAGGTTTGATTAAGTTCCACTTAATTACGATATATATAAAATGCAGACTACGGACTGTAGACTGTTTCAGATACACAAACATGAGCACGTAATTTGTATTTAACTAGGAATAAATAAACAAAAATCTTAGAGCTACCCGCTCAAAGAAACGGAACAATTAAAAAATCAATATTTACAGGTATATATGAGGAATATAAATAAGATGGGAAGAGAACAAATTCCTAAACGCTAAATCGGGTATTTTTAATCTTTGGATTGTACAAAAACCTTATGTGGTAAGGTAATTTTAGAAAAATGTCCACCTAATTATATTGTAGAAATTCACGTTCGCACCAAACTACAAACAAAAATAAGACTAGCATATGGGTAAAATAACTACCTAATAATTATAAAAAGATGAGTAATAAATACACACGGCTAAACGCATCCTAAAAGTTATATTCGAGTTACTACGCAACACAAGGCTACCTAATAATACACCATAATCACAGTAGTTCAAATTAAGGTTATTAAAAAAAAAAAAAACGATCTAAATATCGTCGAACTTGATGTGTATCATTTCCCTGTGAAGCTTGTGTTGCACTTAAAAGGCGGTATAGGTATACCAGACATCAATTTTTTTTTCTCTTACCGCGCGGGCGAACATCGAACAAAAATTGACGTCACACGAAAACGATAATAAATTATACTTGAGCATACGCTTACCCTAACTACAACCCCAACGAAAATGGTATCACAGTTCGGTGAAAATAAAATCAGGATTAATCAAAATCATCGAATCATCATATCGTCCTTTGCCACGCCGCGCACCGGCTTCCTTTACGCGAAATCGTTTTTCCTGGAATGTGTCGATCCGAATCGAAATATTCAATGTTCAATTGTATGTAAAGGATGCTTTAAAAATGTCTCTTTCGCGCCGGTCTTTATTTTGGAATTAATCAATCGAAAGAAAACCAATGCGTGGAAAGCGCTAAATTGAAAAGAAGGTCCGAACACAACCCGATTGACCGCACACGCACTCATCTTCTTTCGTACGATTTTGAACAAATACAAATATATATGATTTGAAAGTGGTCCGTACAGTCGAATACATAAGCATAGTTTTTTTTTTCAATTGCGCATCCGCCAATGACGATATCCGCTAGAATGGAGCCCCGCCTTCACATATTTATAAACTACTACCCTCGGGATTGACCACTGCACTGTTTTTAATTTAATGTGGCCCCTGGCGGAAAAAAAAGTTACTATATATTGAAAATAAAATTCTAATGTATTTAATATGTTGATATTGCTCAAAAGAATGGTTCGTCTGCGATTCGGTACCTTTCAGATTTGGATTCATCAGAAAGTTCTACGTTAAAGGAAAAGTTTACCAGTCTCAAATCCGAACACAAAACAAATTACTCCGGTGGATGATAATTTTGCTTTAAAAACTGTCATTTAATAATACTTCGTCTAGTACAACACTCCGGCTTTCCCATTACACTTTAAATACGATAAAAATCGTAAGATGTTGATCTTATGTCATTTTCCACAGCCCAAATGCTTTATTGTTGCTTATGCGAGTAGAATGAGCTGCCCATTGAGATTGAATTTGAAATAAAAAATCAATGTATGCTGACATTATGAAAGGGAAATATCTAACTATCAACTCGCCCTCGCGCAGTTAATCAAACCATCGACAGACTAATTCAGGGTTTCGAAAAAAAGAAATCAGGACGATTTTCCAAAAATTACTATAATTTTAAAAAGCTTTTCGACAAGAGAACCATTTTAATTGCATCTTTTTCAGTTTGAAGTTGAAAAAAATATTTTATTTCGTATGAGAACACCTACTTGCAAATTAATTGATTGACAGTATCACCTGTTGTTGTCGGATACGTCATGGAACAACCTATGTAGTATGTTCGTTACTTCCCATATAGTAGCTTATAAATATATAACCGACCTAACATTTCGTCATTGACGTCGGCCGTCCCTAAAGCGAAAACGAGGACTCCCCCCCCCTCCCGGTGACAGTTTACCGAAACACCACGTTCACCACGTCCTTGATCGTGTTGTTGACTTCGGCGATGCAGCGGGAGTTCTCCGTGGAGTTGCGGGCACCCGCTGATCTCATCTGCCTGCCCTGTAATTCGAGTCGCGTCAACAGTTCCCTAAACTGGAATTTTGCATGTGCGGGCACCACGTTGTCGGCGTAGTCCATACACGAGCCATGCAGCAGCCCGATCTTGTCGGACAGTTGGAGCCAAGTGGCGGTGGAAACGGAAGGGGCACCCCTAAATTTGATGATTAGTTTACCAGTTTCTTTCTTTCAAATGTCTTTCGCGTAGCGACATCTAGTGTGTTCTTTTAGTCTAACTCCCGCTATGTTTTATGGAATTATTTTAAATATCGGGCTTGTTGTGATATTACACCGATTGCACATATCAATATCTATTAAAACAACTCAATTTTAGCATGTCTGGCGAAAAGTCAGATTCGAAACGCGACCATTTTTCCATTTATGAGTTTTTGGAAGTACAGTTCAATTGTTCAATTATATACCTATTTACGGGTCTAATTTTTCTACAGTTTCCTGTAACTGGGTTTGACCTGTTGGAAATAATTCGTTATTTATTTACTTCACACCTATACGTGGCGGTCTTTTATCTGTGGATAAGTCTTCGAGCGGGGCAGCGCCTTCAATTATTACTTAATATGATGAATAAATAACAAATAGCGTTATAAATTATATTAACCATATTTTGAGACAAAGTGCAAGAGAAAGCGAAACAACAAGTTTTCCAAACCTAAACCAGGCTTAATGAAAACAGTTAACAACCATTTCGGGTTGTGGCTCCAGATTATTATTATAATTTTTTTTAAATTATATATATATATATATATATATATATATATATATATATATATATATATATATATATATATATATATATAAATAATTTAAAAAAAATTATAATAATAATCTGGAGCCACAACCCGAAATGGTTGTTAACTGTTTTCATTAAGCCTGGTTTAGGTTATATATATATATATATATATATATATATATATATATATATATATATATATATATATATATATATATTCTCACGTATTGATTCACGGATGGAAAAATGTGATGACACTATATTCCGGGATATCATCCGTTCGAGTGTTCGAAGTGTTTTCGGAGCGCGAGCATTGAAGATGCCAAGTGAGATTTTGGCGAAACGTCTGCAGGATTCCAGTCGGATGCAAGATTTGCAGGATTCCAGTCGGATGCAGGATTCCAGTAGGAGTTCAACGAGCGAATGGATGATATCCCGGAATATAGTGTCATCATATATATATATATATATATATATATATATATATATATATATATATATATATATATATATATATATATATATATATATATATATATTCTCACGTATTGATTCACGGATGGAAAAATGTGATGACACTATATTCCGGGATATCATCCGTTCGAGTGTTCGAAGTGTTTTCGGAGCGCGAGCATTGAAGATGCCAAGTGAGATTTTGGCGAAACGTCTGCAGGATTCCAGTCGGAGTTCAACGAGCGAACGGATGATATCCCGGAATATAGTGTCATCATATATATATATATATATATATATATATATATATATATATATATATATATATATATATATATATATATATATATATATATATATATATATATATATATATATATATATATATATATATATATATATATATATATATATATATATATATATATATAACCTTATGTGTGCATCTTATATAATTATATAGTATAAGTATAAGTTGACTCTTAAGTCGAAGCCCGGGGGTTACAGTAGTAGTTCAAATGCCTCGAACGAAAAAAATATAAACCTCCCTTACCTGATAGTGTTCAGGGTCGACTCCAGGGCCTGCGAAATTTCCAAGATCGCGTCCTTGCCGGTCTTGTCGACCGAGCCGCCGCTGGACGCGCGAATTTCCTCCCCCTCCGGCGTCCGACCCGACTCGACGCTTCCCGGCTTGGCCGATATGGGCGGCTTGGCGTTCGGAGCGATGGGCGTGGCGTAGATCGCGGATCCGACCGGTCGCGCGACTATAGGTTTAACCACTTTCACCGGCGGTTTGGTCGGAACGACCGGTTTCTCCTCCGAAGGCGGCGGCCACGACTTCTTGTCCGTCTTGGTGGCGGATTTTTCGGATCCCGCGCTCCGATCCATCTTGGTCGAGTCGTCCGACGTTTCCGCCGGCGATGTCTCAGTGGTCACGTCGTCCCGATTCGTTTTAATAGAAAATTTCGGGCTTAGTTGCGCGCTTCCAGGATTTTCCACGTCCTTCGCCTCCCATAACTTCTTCAAGCTACTTATGCTACCAGTGCTTTTCCTCTTATCCTCCCCGTCTTCGATTCTGAGGTTACCGCCGCTATCGGAACTCGCCGTGCTCTCCCTCTTATTGTCTCCGTGTTCGTTGTCCTCGGACTTGGCGCCGTCAACTTTCCTCAATCGTGATTTGAAATCGATGATGCCCGCAGATTCGATCGGTTCCGCCCTCTCTTTAACCGCCGCCTTCTTTACCCCCTCCATTTTCTTTAACTGACCGACGAAACTTGCGGCGCCGTTGCTGTCTTGACTCTTGGACATGGCGGAGGAGCCGTCCCTCCTCTGCCGGTCCTTTTCCATGTTCAAGGATTGCGAGAGTTCCGTCACCAATTGCGTCACGGGATCGTTGCTTATGCCGCCCGCGGCGAGAATGCAGTCGAGAGGTGACGGATTTTTGGTCTTTTGGTCGGCCCGCTCCTTGATCTCCGCCACTAGTTTCAGCTCCATCTCTTTCTTCACCAGTTTGTTCTTGAAGAGTTTGGAGGTTTTATTGTCGTCGGCGGTGGACGCTTGGGGCTGGTCCTCCTGCTGCGAATCATTGTTTACGTCTTGAGCTGGGGGGAAGAAAATACGTCACATCCTCTCCTAGTTGCTCTACAGTCGTTTGACCGATGTTCCCAAGTCTTCATGTAGAATGTAAAAATTTAATTCAAATGGATTCAAATTTAATGATAACGCTGCTTAATGATAAGGAGTGTTCTGCAGATATATTAACATAACCAGAATGCTTTTAAAAAATCCCAGCTTTATATTTCAAAAGGAAGCCGTTTCGCGGCTTCTTGTCTTTCAGCTGTGGCTCCTGCGGGCTTTGGCAAAATCGATGTAATTTTACTGCGCATAAAGTGACTTTCAAGTCACGGCACACTTTGGTAAATACAAAAATTTATACAAATAATAGCGATTTCCAATGATATTTTTTCAAATATCTGGCGCACCCTGCACGCAACCGAACTCTCTCACGGCTAATAATTTAAGATTTTTTGGGAAAATACTTGTTTTCTGTAACCATGCAGTACGCCGTCATCGCCTCTAGACTGAGTGCGATTGATAGCGATTTTCATATGGATTTCTTAAAAATGTAGAGGGTGCGTAATCATACCCTGCAAAATGGGTTTTTAAATTTTTAAAAATACTTTCCGCTCTATATTTGTACCAAACTTGAGACCGATCCCCCTTGTTAATTTATTAAGAAAGTTATGTTTTGGATAGTATTAACAATTTGTTTAAAATAATGTTTAAAAAAAATTAGGTATTGAAAATGAAACAAGAATTAAGAAATGTGTGTGAACGCAAAAAACAGCTCAATTGTGAAAATTGCAGTTTGGAGGAGTGTGTGATAAACAAATAGAAAGTAGTTCAAATAACTCGACGCGAATTTGCCATCGGAACTCTTTCCAAATCTAAGAAAACTCGGTTTTTTAAATCGAACCACACTTGAAGTTGGGTACTATATATTAAACAAAGACTTGGACGCCTATACTATTACAATATAATTTCGCGGGTGAATGAACGACCCTGTTAAATAATGGTCATTATTTATGATTACACAATCGAGGAAAGCGTTACAACAAAAAGCTGCATTATAGAAAAACGAAACCTGACACACGGCACTCTGATTGGACAAGCCTCAAAATCTCGTTTGCATTGCGCATGTGAAGCGTCAAATCCAGTTTTTGGTCGAGCGTGAGCAAACGCTCAGCTGACAACTGCCTGTCCTGGGTGAGGCTCGTCAGAGCTGCTCGCACAACCCATTTTAAATAAAGAAACCCACCGCTTAATAGTGGAATACGAATCCATGCCTTCTTTAATTTGTTTTGGTGTAAAACCTTTCCTTCTGCGATGTCGATATAATAAATAATAATAAATGCCAAGTGTAAATAGTTTCAAGCTTAACAATTCAAGTAAACAGGCTAGACACTCCTTTAATGTCGAAACAATGAAACTAGCCGAACATCTTCACAAAGTTCAGTAGTTCAAATAACTCGACGCAAGATTCGCCCTAGAAACTCATACCTAATCTAACGAAATTCGGTGGAGGCGGCAACGGCTCCAGAGGCGACCCCACCATAGGAACGTCGGAATCCATGCTCATCGGACTTTTGCCATCGTGACTAGGGCTGGTAAGACTCAAGCTCGTTCGTTGTGGACTCTTCTCTTTCGCCTCGTCCCTGTTGCTGTTGCAACTATCGGACGAAGGTTCGCGCCTCTTCAGACTGACACCGAATCGCGAGCTCGCCTCCTCGACCGACGGCTGCAGGGTGCTGACGTCCGCGCCGCCGTCGCCCACCTCCGACTGTTCCCTGTTGATTTTTTTCGCGCTCAACAGGGGCGAAATCGGTATGATTTTTTTCCTGAGCTCCGTCGACGACGTCATAATCGACGTGCTGCAATCCACCGTGTCGATCGTACGACCGTTGTCGAATTCCTCGGGCGGCGGGGGAAGGTCGGTGGGCGGAGGCGGAAACTCGAGATCGGCCAAGGTCGGTTGCGCGGAGCGCGACGGACTGCCGCCCCTAAATGGCGTCTGGTTCGCTTTGAACGTGCGCAGACTGCTCCTGACGTCAGCGGAATTGTTTCGCGCTAAATTTCGATTCCGTGACAGTTTCGATGACGTAGGCGAGCCCGGCGGATGGGTGGAGTGGAACGTCGTGACGCCGCTAGACGAGTTGCTCCTGATCATTTGCGGCTGTGTGCGGATATTAGTCCTAGGAGACAAGGATCTGGGCAAGACGCACTCGGACGTCTCGCTTTGGGTGTGGTGCGGCGCCACGCCCCCTTCGTCGTTCGTCGCCATTCCGCTCTGACGTAGCGACTCGAGGTAGGCGCCTATACGCGCGCCTTTGGGCAACGTACCGTAACGGCTGATCGCCTTCCGCACGTTTTGGACCTCCAGAGCGGCCACCTGCACCTAAAACGAGTCAAACGGTGCCCGTGCACTACGCCGCGTGTGGAAGTGGAGGCCAGACGAAAAAAGTGCCTCGGCCGACCTCCATAACGCCACTCGGACGGCAAACTAAACTAACCGCGGGAGAATCCTTGCCCTTGGTCTTCTTTCCCCTTTGCTCTAGGCCCCGGTTTCCCATAATCGGGGCCCTTTTGAAAGAGCCCAAACTTCCTCCGCCCAAAGTAGCCGCCATGGAGACTTCGGGATACGAGTGGGCGCCTGAATCGTCCGTGTCGGGAGTTTGGTCTTGGAAGTCGCTCTCGCTGTCGCCCTTCGTGCCCGCCGTCAGACTCTGAAGGTCGCGGGTCAGTCCTACACGAAAGACACCAATCTGTAAGTACTACTGACGTAACTACGACCAGCTAGAACTACTAACGTTAAAGGCACCGTCCTGAATGAAACAGAACAAAATAAACGACGAATTGTTTTTTAATAATACCATTAAATTCCGAGCCCTCTTCGGTGGCGTTGTCGGGGTGACCCTGGTCGTCTATCGTGCTGTCGCGGAACGAGCTGCAAGAAGACAGCAAGCTGGAAATGGAAGTATAGGTGTGTAAATACAAGTCGTCTCGGTCCCATTCTCGATTTTTATAAAACGCCCAACGCTCTGGGTTGCAAAACCTATCGGGTACTTAATGGCATCAGGAGTTTTCTTTAAAGTTCCGTTTAATGTTTGGTTAAACTGCTGAGCCTCTACACGGCGCCAAGTTTTGGTATAGTGATGGCAAAATCTTGTATAATTTTTGCGAGCAATATCTGTGACTGCTAATGCTAACAACAATTAAATTAAATTCAACTGGAACCACTTATAATTAAATTAAATAAAATAAAGATCACCGCTACTACTTCAAATTTTAAAATTTAACAAAAAAATTGTTGTTAAGGTTGATTCATAATTTTTCACCCACCTAGTCCGTTTGGGAGGGGCGGGCGCTGTCTTGCCCTTCTTATTCGTCGTCCTCCTCATTTGCACCAGACCGCCCTTGGAACTACCGCCCGTGAACGTTGTAAGTTTCGTCGATACGTTGCCGATATTATCTGAAAAAGCGAACAAGACGGTTACCCCGCCCCCGCCAAACCTTCCGCGCAAGTTCTAACCGGCAGAGTTCTGGTCGGCGATCACTACCAGCCCGTGAATGTTCCCCGTACTACCCGAATGGGACTTTTTGTAAGACATGTGCGGCGTGCCTAAAGGTATTGGTACGTCGTTACCTTGCAACTGCTTCTCGACCTCTGGAAATAACCAAGCAAGGGGTAAACGACAACTTTTATTTTTGTATATCCCGACGCACCTTCGGTAATGCTCGACTCTTGAAACATGTTCTCGAGAGCGTGGTGGATCTCCTTAAAGGTGGGCCTGTCGTTCGCGTGCCACTGCCAGCACTGTCGCATTAGTTCGTAGATTTTCGGCGGGCAACCGGGCGGGATTTCCATACGGTATCCCTTCTCGAGCATATGATAAACGTCCGTCAAGTCCACCCCCGGATAGGGAGACATCCCGTACGTTGCGATTTCCCACAGGAGGATACCGAACGCCCACACGTCGGACTTGGTCGAGAACTTGTTGTACGCGAGTCCTTCCGGTGCCGTCCATTTTATCGGAAACTTGGCCCCTAAGACAAGGCAGGTGATGATCCCACAAAATGGGCGTGATTCGGAACCCACTTGTTACGAAAGACTGACACTCTCACACAACTACGAATTGTAGTAGTAGTAAATTAAGCCCCTCCCTCAACCAATCGCCAGAAGTGCGATGTCGCTGTAAGCAACACGTGGTATATCCGTCCCTTATATTAACAAGTGATAACAAGTAAAATAAGAACGTGGAGATTTTTTGGACGGGTCCCACCTATAATGTTATTTCCGCTTACCAGCGTGAGCTGTATAGGTGTCGTCCCTCATCAGCCTGGCCAATCCAAAATCGGCCACTTTGACGAGGTGGTTCTCGCCGACGAGGCAATTCCTCGCCGCCAAATCCCTATGGATGAAATTCCTGCTCTCCAGGTAGCTCATTCCGCTAGCTATCTGCGTCGCAATGTACATCAGTACCACCGCGTCGATGTGCTCCTTGCTGCCGTTGCGCAAATAGTCCAGCAAATTCCCTAGAAAAATAAAGTGATTTTTGTGTGAACTGGGAACTATGAGAGGTCTCAAAAAGGCACCTTTGCTCATAAATTCTGTGATGATATAAAACGGCGGTTCCCTGGTGCAGACGCCCATCAGCTGCACCAGGTTGGGGTGTTTCATTTCCTTCATGATGGCGGCCTCCTCTAGGAAATCCTTGAGCGCCATTGTGTCCTCTTTTAGGGTTTTCACCGCGACCGTCATGTTGTACCTTGAAAAGCTGCGAATCTAAACGTTTCCCGAGATCGGTGCGATGAAAAGGTACCTTTTCCAGATGGCCTCGTATACATCTCCGTATTGCCCGCCACCCAGCTTGTGCTTCATCACGATATCGGTGCGGTTAATCTCCCATTCGTCAGGTTCGGGACTCAGCGGGAACACGGTGGGTTTATTGTGTTTCGGGGCGGGGTAAAGTAGTTGGGTTATGAGACCGTCGGCCTGCATCGAATGGTGATGAACGAGTTCGGCTAGCGTGTTAAATTTACTCTCCGCCGTCACGTACACTTTGCCCTCGGAGTCCTCGTTGATTCTGCAATTAACGGATCGTTTACGGCGCCAATTTTGGAGAAACCTGCACAGAAGCACAGTCTTGAGTGCTATAATTAGATGGGTGATTTGCTTACACTGGTTCACCCCCACCCAAATAATGATATTAGCAATAAGAGACTAAAGGGACTTCCAACTTAAATAAGGAACTTGAAAATCTGGTCAAATTTAAACTTCAAGACTGTCGATTTAATTTTTGGATATCGGTAGGGATGACGGAATAATCCGGACCTTTACCAATAGAAAGGCATCCTTGAGGAAGTTTGATTTGTAGTTTTTTATATGCATTTTTATAATGATCTCTAGTGGGCCTCTAGAAAGGGGGAAAGGTCGATAGAAACAATATTACCAAACTACGAGAAATGTCACGAATAAAATCAGGTCTGCTTTTAATGCGAAATAATTTAGAATTTTTACAATAAAATTTATCTAAAGTTGAAATCGCGAAAGATGGCGATGGCAGAAAAATAAAAAATGACTATTACAAAAAATGGCAATAAAAAATTGTAAAAAGCTATATCACTATATATATATATATATATATATATATATATATATATATATATATATATATATATATATATATATATATATATATATATATATATATATATATATATATATATATATATATATATATATATATATATATATATATATATATATATATATATATATATATATATACATAGTTTACATTAGGCATTAACCATTTTTCTCTTTTAAGTTTTGGGATTATGAATTTTCCTTATTCCAGGGAGATGCTTTAAAGGCAACACGAAATTGTTACTTTTACATTGCAGAGTACCAAGACATACGCAGGCGCGTTTCCATTACCTGTAGTGGTACACCCTCCCTTCGTATCGCAGCGAGATACTCCTCTGACCGGGACTGCTTTCCGATTCCCTAACTAAAAAACTGCCGTTTATGCCGGAACTTAGCAGGTATTCCGCGGCGTTCCTCGATATCGGCCCGTGATACCACGAGTGCTTCTCGAGCGAATTAACCGGTGTGACGTAATTCGACGGTACCCATCCGACCAGGTTCGACGAGGAGTGAGCCTCGCACCATTCGCCGCTCTTATTGTAACTCAAAATTCTCACTTGTTCGCCTGTAATTCAAAGCGATGTTCGAGCTGGTTCCGCAGGTCATTTATTGGGTCACCCCTAACCTTTCTTAAGACTGAGCTGGTTCTCGCCGCCCGCCTGAAAGTCGTACAGTGCGACGAAAAGCTGCGGGTCGTCCTCTTCCTGGACGAGGAGGTTTTCCTTGGACGTCCACCGGTTAGCCGCAGTCTCCAACGACATGGGCGTGGACGCGGCCGCCCCCGATGAACTGCCGCCCGACAAAGTGGACGCGCCCCCTCCCCCCACGACCCCACCCGTCGTGCCGCCGGAGCTCGAGGACGGCGGATCCGATTCCGGCAAGCTGGGGATATGAGGAAGCGGTCTGCTCTGGAGGAGAGCCTCTGAAGAAGGCAGAGAAACCTTTTTAGATTCGCGATCAAGAACTGTAAACCAAGAAAGGATAGTTACAGATAGACGCAGCAGACTTTCCCATACCACGCCCACCGAGAAACTTCGACTTTAAGGTGATCTTTGAGACTGCTTAAAAGCCTAGGCTTATACCAAATAAATTCACAGCAGGGAACTCGTAAAAGGGGTGATATGCGAGGAACGATCCCGAAAATAGATCAGTCCACAGTTTGCCCAAAACGGAAGCCCGCGACAACTATCGCTCATAGGGGCTTTCGGTAAAAAAATTTATTACCAAAATGACAAAAAAAAGGGCGTAACAGGTATCGACAAAGCGAAAACTGAAAATTTCTGTGTTTCATTGGCCAACAAACCATTTGCTCCCTTTTTACAATGTTTGATTTTAAGCTTTTTATTATTTTTTATTTCTCCATTTATACAGACCGACTATTACTTATTTACCCAAATTCATATGTTTTCTCTTCATTTGATAAACAAATAACGGATGACGCCGATCGTGCGTGGACCAGGTGACGTCACTGCACGTGCACACGATTGAGCTATGCTGGCAATGTAACTATCCTCTTTGGTTTACTGGCGATTGCATTTTTTGACTTCCTTTAACTGGCAGTTTGTCTTTAACGTTCATTCATTCGAAAAAATCGAAATAGACCCGCAAACCAAAAACAAGCCATAATTAAATACTGTGATATGGTGAAATGTCTTAGAAATAAATGATTCGGTCTCATGCAACGAAAAACTTAAGACTCATGCGTAAGCGAAAAGTTCAACGCAAACCTCTTTTTAATTTTAAAATAATGTTAGAGACCTAACATGTTCCTGATTTTATCCCATACAGAATTCAAAAAACGATAGACGTATCCAGCAGCAGTCTTAGGTCACCATTTTCGTCGAGCTTTCCAATAGTGATTTCGTTGTTTTTTACAATAAACAAGAAATTAGCCCAAGAAAAATATTTAAAAAGTGACGGCTCAAGTACCATGCACGCAAATCTTTACGTTTTTAATTCATAATCCAAAACAGAATAAAGTAAAACGTCAATTGACAAGGAACAAAAACCATCGCCACATACGTGGAAGTTTAAATCAACATTGCGAGAGGTTGTTTATCCTTTATTTTTGAAAAGAATATTTTTTCTTGTTCAACACAAGTACGTCGTTTCATATCGATATCTGCTGTTTCGACGCACAGATGGCGCCAGGCGCTGCAACTCTATTGGTATCATGCATGAAGTTGCAACCGATATATATTTAAAATCCATTAAAAATCAAACTTTTTAGATAATGTTCTAGATAAAATACTGGACACGTTAAGTTCTGCTCTCCTTTAGTAGACAGGTGTATCAAATCACTGCCGTATAAAACCAAGGAGCGCCCTGTACCGACTGGTGTAAAAGTAAAATATCAAATTTTACAGTTAAGTAATCCCGTTGTATTGACGAGACCTGGGACTGACATTGGGTGATAGGAAAGAGGGGCGGCTTTGGCGGCATTGTTGCATTCTTAACGTTAATATGGCAGGAAGTATCTCTTGAAATATTTCGATAACAATTGGTTAACGCAAAAACAGGCGCAACGTCGCATCGAGTAAAGCAAAAGCTTGTAAGTCAAATCTCGGTTAAACGTCGCCATGTAATTAATATTTGTTTCTGCAAACATGCTCGTGATATCACGACAGAAACCAAACGTTATCCACGCTTCATGCAAAGTCCAGCTGTTATCGAGAAAAACTCGTTTCTGCTCGCTCCTGACCATTTAATACTATCTGGGGCGGAAATGGTGCCGCCGTATAAAAAGAACGAAATAGATGAAAGCCGGCAACAAGAAAGAGCGCGCGCAATTGCAAGCAACGCCACAACATTATCCATATACGCGACAATATGTTGCGTCATAATTAAAGTATTCATAGCAAACAGCACACGAGATAATACATATGGATGAACAGTTAACCTTAAAATATGGTTACAATGACGTAAACACACTATTAGTGACAAAAGCAAACAACAGGTGGCGACCGATGCCGGCTACGTCATGGGTTACAATACAAAACGCAAACAAAAATTTAATGACGATTAAAGCAGAGTATATAGCAACAATTTATCGTAGTAATAATATATCCGCTTTTCGATTGCAGCGTCCGTTAACGAACGATTTAGAGGTCGTATAAAGGTCGGTCGACTGTGCCGCCATCTGTTGGAATTTAACAGTAAAAAACAACGGTCAAGGCAGACGAAGTAGTTAAAAATAGTGAGTTGTTAATGTATTTTGAGGAGTTGCGGACAACCAGAACTTTATTTCTCCACTATTCTTCGATGAGTTAGTCGAAAAGTGAATCTATATCGATTATATATATTTCTTAAAAGCGTGGTATACGTCATACAATGTGTATTACGATTCCTTCGAGAAATGTTTACCCTCATCGTTCTTGAATTTTTATGCGACGTTGCCAAACGTACATGTTTAAATATGATGTCCAGGACCTTTCGATCGGTTGCTGCTATAATATTAAAAATGATCTTTAATACAGTAAAATGATTTACAAAGAGTTTAGTAAAGCGCCCAAATGACAAATAAACTAACCAACTTAAAGTAAGTGTTCTCTGATATTTTTAAACGGTGTCTAGCTATCACATTTTTTCACAAGTTTTCCCGCAATATTTTTTTTATGATATAAATACTTTATAACTTTGCGTCATCCGAATACAAAATAAAGTGGCAGATATATGTTTTAAAGTTATACAACCGCTTTAATGCCTAGTTAAAAATTTATTATTTCGAGAAATTGAGAAATCGTAATATGCAAAAATACATTTTAAAACATATTTTTCTGTTGCTACGCTTTTATAAAACACGCTGCAAAATTGACCGAAAATGTTCACTTTTTGATTTTATTTTATCTAAGAAACACTTTTTTTCCAAGTGTAAAAGTGGTAGTTGTCCGCTGTCGAAAATGAAAGGTGAAATCAATAGTCCGGAAGAAAAACACACAAAAGCAGCAAAATTCGGGGCGTACTCACCATTTTTAACGAGTAGTTTTTTAATGATATTTAAGGGATCTACAAAAAGAAAAATAAATAAATAAAAGCACATCGACATACAATAAATAAGGCCCACACTCAGTGTTGTCGAAACAGCCTAGCGAGCGAGAGCCGATTGTTATCGTTTTTAATATCCGTTATTAAAATTGTCTAGTATAATTCGGGACTTGAAACAATGATAGCATTATCGTTTTTACTCTATATTGGACCGTTTTCATTTCGCCCTGTCTAAAAGTGAGCCCATTAGGCTTCCGACTAGGCCCCTTTGTCGGTGGCATTAATGGAATTATAGGCATTGCCTAAATTAAATCTCAAACGACACTCGACTGATATCCGATCGATACGCATAACGTAATAAACATTCGTGAATCCGTTAATAAACCCAAATTGATAGTAGCCGCAACGTTGTTATATATCCCGAGTATTTCACGAACCGTCGTAAATATTTAGGAAATGTCATTTGACGCGGCAACATCGCATTTCACTCTTCATAATCACGGCGGCATTAATGCTGACGTCAGACGTTCCAGTTTTGGGGCTGTAACTGAACAAGATTAAGGCTTAAATTGTAATACTTCAGGTAATTAAAACATATATTTATTTTATGAAAGAAAAATTATATATATACAGCAGAAACTCTATATAGCGAAATTGAAGGAACTGCTTTTTCTTCTGTAATATTTAATTATTTTATATACATATTTTAACATCTACTTAGGAATATTTTATATAAATATTTAATGTTTCAAATAAACGGTCAGTTTTTTTTTTATTTTTTTTAGTATGCCAATACGCACCTCGTACTTTGACTTGTATATTCACCATTTATTCGAGAGTGGCATCTTCCCCATCTCCCATCTTCCTCTTGGTGCTCTTCCTCACCCGTTCTTGCTTGTTCTAATATGGCTTCCTCTGTCAAGTCTGCTGTTGTAGGGAAATCCCGATCTATCACCTTAAAATCTTGCAACTCCTCACTTGTAAACGTAATTGTTGTTTGAAACTCGCTTAGTGGCTGATCATCTTCCAAGTCCTGTTCGCATTCTGCCTCGGTAACAAGTCCTGCATGTTGAATTGTTTCTGCTGTCACCTCTTTCCAAGCTTTACTAATAAAGTTGACTGCATCTAACATATTAATGGAAAATTTGTCTTCGGACTCGATCATTAAAATGTTTTTCCTGTATCGACTCTTAAGACTTTTTATTACGCTCTGGTCCATCGGCTGTAATACACTTGTTTGTTTTGGTTGGAAGAAATACCAATTCAATATTCCGTAGATTTGGAATATGGGGATGTACAGGGCAGTTATCTAAGAGAAGTGATATTTTCCTCCCCTTTAATTTTGCGTCCCATTTAAGTATCTGTAATACATTCTTCAGAAAGTTTTCCACCCACCACACTTATCGCTTTTGTAAAAAATAACTGTAGTACTTTTCCGCTAGTTTGGGCCACGTCTTCTCCAGCCAATTTTTAGTGACGTTTCTGTTGACATCACGGGTTTCGCCACTTATCTGGCAACTTTATACTGGCCGGTATAAAATAATAATAATAATAATAATAAAAAAAAGAGTGAGATTAATAATGGCAATCCCATTATTAAGTAGAGTAATAATAGCAATCCCATTATTAAAAAAAAAGTGAAAAACAGAGCTAATGGCAATCCCATTGTCGAATAAAAAAATATATTTAAATCATCTTACAATAGCAACCCCGTTGTCTGTTTGTAATGAGTTAAACTTCAAATAGTTAGCAACAGAGATTACCGACCTAGGACACTGTGCAAGAGAAACAAAGATGAAAAAGAGTCATCATTGCACTACAAAAGGCAATATAAGCCATGCAATCCAGTAAAATGACATCCAAGTTAGTTCCGGATTCTCATAAGGCATTAAATGCAGTTTATCTAACGAAGCGATCATCCTTTTCGCCCGGCGGCATGGGGCGGTTACATTCGGCCGGTGCCGGAAACGACACGGGAGGTAACGGTCAAACGGATCGGAATAATTCGGCGACATGGCAACGCGGCGGAAATTCGACAACGCCGTCCGGCTCTTTATTTATCTTTTGTTGTCGAAGTCGGCCACCAATTAGACGCGAAAAACGGTTTTATTGTGCCCGCTAGATTCCTATTCTATTCCTATTCCTTTTTATTATTTATGCCGATCCAAAGCGAGTTCTGGCGCGATCTTCCCGAAGCGGAAGGAAAATTACGCAACCGACGAGTTCCAAGTAGAAAATTATTAATAATTAGACAACCGATTTCGCGGAATTTTAATTGGGATTGTGCGCGAATCAAATTCGCGCTTTTTCATCTCGTCCAACACTTAAAACGCACGAACAGGTATAAAAAAGGATGTCAAAAATAAAAGTACAATAAATTGAAGGAATTTTTCCCAGCTTCTCTCGTTCATAGTCCATGACGGACAGAGGACGGAAGTATTATCGATCGAGTCGACTATAACTCTATGGGCGTTGAAGGCGAGTAAAATGAGAAAAAGTAAAGGGCTTCCGCAGGGGTCCACATTGCGGTCGTCGCTTTTGTCCAAATTGCTAGTGAGCTTCCAGACCTGACTAGAACTAGAACTAAGTAAACTAAACTAACCCAAACACTTATTGTCCTTGAGCAGCATAATAAATAATAATATAAATATAATAATCGCAGAAAATGTCTTTTCTCGGTTAAGTTTAAATTAGGAGCGGATATACATTTACCTTTTCTTCCAACCTTTAGACACATTTGCACACCTTTTACGGCGACTACTCATGCCCTAATTGTATCCGATTTTAACAGATATCTGAAACTTTTTTTTTATCTTTTATTAGTATGCTATACGATATTCCAAAAACATTTGAGTACTTGAAATTTTGAGTATGGCTCAACTCGTTCCCGAGCAAAAATAACCGTCAAAGTCACAAAAAATTATAAGCTCCGTCGGTCAGATGTTGTACAGGCTGTGCTATGTATATGTTTAATCCCGATTTAGATTATACTAGATTATATAGAAAAAAAGATAAATCTATTGACAGTTGCTTTTTTTTACTGAATCTAACATGTAAAAACAGTTTTCACATATTTAATTTTAAATTTCGAATAAAACCCCCTGTGATAATAGAAATCTGGCGTTAAGTCTTGGTGAAAAAGTGCTTATTACAGTATCATAGAAGAGAGAATTTCTTTAACGATCGTGTATCGTTTGTAACGTAATCCCGATGGTAATTAGGATTATTAAATGACGTCTTAATAACTAACAATGGGATCTTTCTTAGAGTTTTTCCGCAGGTTCCACATTGTATATATTATCTAACTTTTCAAAACATCTACACTTTCAAGTTTGAGATTGCGTCTTCAGTAAAGTATTTTTGTGACCCAAGAAACTGATCTAAACTTTATTTCGCAAATTACTAATCAACTGACCACGATTTGTGTTTCTCTTCCTTTTTTCCCGATTTTCTAAACAGAGCGGGCGTCTGGCCTCGCTCGCGATTGCGTAGTAAAAATTGATGCGCCGCAGGCGGCATTGATATTTTCGCAGAGAAGGAAATGATTTTGAGTACAAATTAATTCCGATTTGCAAGTTGTTTCAAAAATTTCTCTTCTCATAAATGAAATGGAAACTGAGGTATTGTTTTTGCAAAAAGCGCGATTCTCGCAAGAATTTGTGTGTTTTTTAATAGCAATCTTCAATTCGAATCGCACATGTCTTCGGAAAAGTTATGGGAGATTAAGAACTCTATACACTCAAAGATGTTTTAAATACAGACCTCAAACTAAGGTTATGCAACTCTCTTATTCTTTCCATTTTATCTTACTGTAATGTATACTATCCTGCCCTCTTCAACAAAGATCAGATAAGACCGCCGAGGCTACAAAACAATTGCCTAAGGTTTTGTTATATCAGGAAATTTGATCACATTTTACCATATTATCGCGAATCCGAATGGCTTAAATTAGACCAAAGATTCTTTTTCCACTCGCGTACATTAATCTTTAAAATTGCGCAGTCCGAATAGCGAAACTGACATTCATCAGCGTACCACTCGTCGTAATTCTCTGTACACTGTCACGCGGTACCGTACTGCCTCTATGTTTCAACTCCATTCACTCTCTAACTGACTAACCAAAACTACTCTACTTCCTTTTATTTTGTTTATATCTGAAGTCCCTTGCAGCACCCCCTTTCCATTGAAGTGACTAACTATAAAAATGTATTTGGGGTGGTTAGGTGAGTAGTTTTACTAGATCTCGCCACCCTTCTATCTTACACTGTTTTATTTCTTATTGTTTATGGCTGTATAAATAAAGACCTGCTCAATTTATATTTCGTACTTGCTTCATATGGACTTGTATTATCGGCATAGGCAGAGTTTGCTATATATGTAGGTTTAATATGAAGGACTCGTTTACTGGGTTCGAAACTTACTGAAGGTGTCCGGCAGTTATATGCGCTTCATGCCGAAAGTGAATTTAAAATGTCGAGTTAAAAATAGCAGGTAGATGACACCTCGGATGACACTAAATGATGCTCTAACGGTAGCAATACAGCACCGTAACACTCCTTTTTGGGGTCTTTGCCGCCGAGAGAGATGTGTTGCCTTATACTGACAGTATTTCCGTAGGTGGCCTGTAGTTGAGTTTTTTAATGACTACAAATGACGATGCAACAACCAGTTTCGTAGGCGTATAATTAAAGAAAAAACATATTCTTGATGATAATAATGTATTCTCAACTTTATCCCCTGAGGTACAGCGATTGCCGCCGTAGCGAATCACTGAACTAGATATTCACACGCGATTTGCTATAGGAAACGCGATCTAAAAAACACGAAGCGCATTAATTACGAAATATTACGTTTCGGGACCATTACCATAATCATTTTCCACGCAGAAGTCGAAGGGGCCGAATGAATTTTGCCGGAATAAATATCTACTTCTATCGCGTTTTTAACATACAATGTGCGCGAAGAAGCTTACGTGAAACGAACGATTTAACAATAGATTTTCTCGGCGTGTGGCTAATGTAAATAAATCTGTCGGCACTTATTTTGAGACGGGTTTCGACTGTTTCTTTTTACGACGAAAATAAAAACGCTCGTTTGAAAATTGTCTGCTGACCAAAAGACATTCGCCCAGCCCGCATCGACACCATTTAAGCCGATTTCTAATACTTTCGACTTGTCTGGACACGCCGAACGCCCTTTGACCGTAAACACATCCAACGCAACCCCTAAACTAACGTCCCGTCAAATAAGGCCGGCTTCTGCATTTTCTTTTGTTTTGAAGTATAAAAATGATGTTTGCCTTCAACGGGGAACAATCGACGTTGGCTGCGGGAGGTCCGTGTCCGTCGAAATTAACCGATAATCATGAACCGCGATTGGATAAACAAATCGCTTAATTAGAGACGGATTTAATGCGGACCGATGTCACTTTTGCCTCGTCGCGTTTATCGATAACACGCGCTGACGTCCGAAAACAAATGAGAGCGGTTGCATGGTCAATGAAATCCGCGGATATCTCTGCCCTCTCGTCGAATGTATTTATGTAGTTTGTAATTGGCGGATCAAAAATAATGGAGCTTAATTAATATAAAGTGAATCATACCGCTGTGTTCGGTAAAAATATTGGAGATCGTAGTCTGCCGTCCATCTTTTACTGTTCTCGGTCTAGTCCTAGCTGTCCTGGTAGAATGGGTGCCCGCGGTTACAGTTCTCTCCTTGGTATTCTGCGCTCCCATGGCTTGAAATCATGCCCTTTCTAACTGGCGAACCCAGATTGTTGCTATTTTTTTCGCTATCACCACACGGAACACTCGTACACAATACGTGGACGCGAAAAAAAAGAGGTTCACCGTACCGTGCGAAAAATCGCCAGTTCCGAACCGCCGCAGACCTGTCCCGGCGATTTAGATCTCATCCTATACTTTTATCTTAAAAAAAAAGCAACAAATCGAGCGATTTTGCTGGACACCAACCCCCCGAACAAGTCTATTCCGCCATATTTAATTTTGTCGACTGTCTTCGTTTAACCCGCGGTATTCTCTGTTTCGCATGTGCATTTCAATTGCATTTCGATTAAATGTTTCCACCGAAAATTGTTAGAGGGCGGCACCTCTAGGAGCCAAACATAAGTTCATTCAAAAACCGGAGGTGCAAATCTCGGATAATATATGCGGCGCATGCGTATTAGTAGCGCACTGTTTCAATAAAAATTATGAACTGATTCTAGAACGGCAAATCAACCTTTCAAAGAAAACATCGACTAGTATATTCCTAAAAGAGGTGATTGGCGGCTTAACCCCGATAAGTGGGCAAGTCGGACCGATCTACAGACGTTATCATTATGAAGCCACAGAATCACGGCAATACAAAACAGTTTTCAATCATCCAAAGGTTACTGCTTACGCTTTGTTTATAACTCTTTGATATTTAACCACCTAAAACCGAATTTACAGTATAAATGGTTAACTAACTACGATTAATTATATAAAATTGTAACTCGGTTGCGGTTATTAAAGATTATGTAGATGACGTCATAACCCGGCATTGTCATGTAATATACATTTATAACTTACAATTACCTGTTGTTAGAGAAGAATTACAAATTAATAACACCTACCCTACACTATTGTAAAGTTAACTTATTTATTATAGCACAAAATTAATATTAATCACAAATGGGAAGGTTATTCTTAAATAATTTACAATTCAGAGTTGTTATGTAATTCAACTCAAATAAAAGTTTTCGTTTTTGCATTTTGAAAAAAAAAAACAGAAATAAACAAAACCAAATAACGCAACCGTGCTTATAAAGGAACCGGAAATAACCAGGTTATGTCCGGTATTCCCTTTTAATTGCTTTATGTTGCACATACGCGGTTGTGTTTGCAAACAAATCAATAAATACCTCTAAAATTTGTTAATTGAATATAGTCAATTAAGTTAACAAGATGACCGAGTTGCAAAACAATTTACCTTCGGGATGGGACTGTAAACTGGACGAAAGGTCCGGAAAATAGTGAGTTAACTTTTTTTTTTTTGAAAATTGTTATTGAATTTTGTTTTTTTCAGTTATTATGTTAACCATTACACGAAAACGACAACTTGGGAAGACCCAAGGACCCGCCACAGGCCTCTCGGTACCCCGAAACATTTCTCTAACACACCAGTAGAATACATACCCCTACAGGTGACTTAATGCACTGTGGTGTTTGTTCTTCTTCATATCTTCCCTACTTTTACGCACGCTGCCTTGGACTATTTCTTTTGACAATCACTATAGCACGGATCACCCGAGTTGAAGAGAAACTATGTGTATCCAAGCCATTCACCCCCAATCCACGCATTTCAAATGAACTCGAGCATACCTTTGCAGGTATTGTTCTCACTCTTTTACTTTTATTTCCAAGGGACAACACCTGCACCTGCTACTATTATTTTGTGGCTAGAATTGTTATCAGGGGAGTTTATTATAAGTAAGTTGTGTGCTTTGTCCTGAATGAGCAGTTCATGACAAATTAAACAATTTAATATCATAAGATAGAACAACAGTGGTAACTTTAGTCTTTTATAAAGAAGAGTTATCCTGTGTTTTTTTTTTTATTAAAAACGATTATTTTGAGCAATTTTGGGCAAACACCATAACTTTCGTAATTTCAAATGTTTTGATACGTCGGCCAACTTAATTTTTCAAAGAAACTTCCGCAGAACTTGTTGATGTGCCGCCAGTCATTCTGTTGATTTCTTCAGAGCTTAACTAAAAATGTTAAACAGAAGAAGCCAACAGGACGATTGGCAAAACGTCAGCAAGTTCGATTCATTCATTCAAGGCAGGTGTTTCCCGCTCCTTTTTTTTGTATTTGTCTCATTATTACAAACCAATATCTACCGATAACCGTCAAAATACATATGGCTCGATTTCTAGGAAATTAAGTCGGGGTCTCGAAAGAGTCCACTGACGTTACGTAGCGGCAGAGTACAAGATAGTTCCTTCTCGACTACAAATTCCCTTTGTGGATCGGATCCGGAGGAATCCGTTGCCAAAATAAGCGCGATGTTTCCAACTGTTTCGGAAACCCACATAAAAATGCTTCTAAAAAAGTAAGTACGCAAATTATAAGCAAGGTTGCCAAGGTGAAATTTATTTCTCCTGATGAACTCTTTCAGCCTTAGATATGCTTTCATACCTTTGGGTGGTCATGCTTATGCGGGAACGCTTCTTCACTTGTCTCACCGTTAACATTAATCACAGGCTATTTGACAGGTTTTATCAGGCCCACGAAAAGTGTATCTCTGAAAAAAAGACTTACCCTGTTGATGTCAAAAGACAACAAATAACTACGAATTGCTGCACGTCAGGAGTTAAGGTACTGGGACACTTGTACACTTTTTATATTGGCCAATTCAAAAAATGTCGTCATTCTTGATTTAAACAATTTTTGTTAAAACTTTCCCTATATTTTGTTTGAGGGTGGAATTCAATATTGGCCAATTCAAAAAATGTCGTCATTCTTCTTTTTAAAAAGTTTTTGCTATAACTTGAAATATATTTTGTTTGAGGTTAGAATTCGACGTTGCTTTTCTAATTAAAATGCCGTCGTCTTAAGTATTTTAAGTGCAAAACTAACAGGAAATACCGAAAATGACAAAAAATATGAACAAGAGACGGAATTAAACTTAACTTAAAGTTTGTTTGATAACTGGTTTAAAATTTCATAGTGAAATTCATGTTAATCACCTTCACTGTCAAATAGCCTATGTTATTCACCTAACTTCATTGACTAAGAATCACCCTCACCACCGCTTCTTTCTTCTAACAATTTTAGGTACTTAAACCGCGAGGCTTTGGTGATAAGCGCGCTTCAAGTCGAAAAATACCCCATCACAACTCCAGGACCTTTTTCCACACCACCGCCGCAAAGAAACTTCTGGAGGTCCGGCAGCCCCGCTCTTAAGGGTGTTGCCGGGTCCCCCAGGGTCGGCGAGGGGTTTAGGAACTCCCCGAGACCTCATTCGTCTCCCAAGTTGAAGCTAAGGTCTTTGAAATTTTTTTTCGTTGTACATATAGGTTATGTGTCACGCGTCATAGTTTGTGTTGTCATCGCGATTCCCGCCGCGTCCATTGTCTGACCTTGAACAGTTGCAGGTACATGAAGTCGATCTTTCCCAACGCGGACGAAACGGTGATTCTGGAAGTCTTGCAGAACAACGACAGTAATATTCAAAAAACGTCGGAAACGCTCAAAGAGATGGGCTACAGTAAAAAAGATCATTTTAAACCCGCTACGCCCAAACCGGACGTTAAAGTCGACAGTCCGGCCGGAACGAACGAGCCGGATCAAACTCATAAACTTCCGGCGCCCAAGATGAAGACATCCGAGGAGAAGCAACAAAGTAAGTGTTTAGGCAGTAGGGCCCACGTGGGCGCATGCGCCACCCCAAGGGATGGCTGCCCCCCGCGACGGGGTTGACTAATGAAATATATAGAAAAATGAAAAAATCAAAATGAATCAAAGATAAATTAGACTGACCAAAATAAACCATAGAAAAAGTGAACGAACCAAAATAAATTTAGCGGAAAATATAAAATGTGTGGTGGGGGTAGACACAGAGGATGTAATACTGAAACTAGGTATATATATATATGTGTGTATCGCGTTGAAAGAGTTAATATAATTATCAAGTGAGCGAGGTTTTTTATTTTCACGCCGCCATAGGCGCCGGCAACGTAGTGACGTCATGAGATGTTGAAAATAAAACAGTTTAACAAATGGCGGCCGGAATAAATTTTACAATTGTTAAAAAAAATTCAATGTTTATTTCTAGCCAAAACGAGAAGGAAGTCTACAAATTTTGAATAACTTTTTTGGAATTCAATGGCCACTATGTATAGAGCCCTAGCCTATGCAGCGAATGGAACTTAAGTTGAGGGGCGCGAGATTTTGATTAACCTAACCTCAACTCCATAAAAAAAAGTTAAAACATGACCCAGTGTAAACATCCCATGGGATTGTTAACTAAATAAGTCTTTATTTGTGAAAAAATTTAAAATCAATAGTAGTACGAACTTGCGGGCTAAAGTAACAATATACTTTAGTCACTCGGTTTATTCTCAATTATAAGCAAATATGTTAACTACCTCAAAAGTTCCTCTTGTGACATTCTGAAGTGATTTTAGGAACCGTCAATTGTCGTCTTCGTGTATTTTGGAATTACATTTTCATAATTATTATTTCTTATTGCGGGAATTCTCATAGGACCCGCAAAACAGCTTATATATATATATATATATATATATATATATATATATATATATATATATATATATATATATATATATATATATATATATATATATTGATGTATGACGTAATACAGGCACACACAGTTTCACTCGGAGCTCGGCTGTGTCGTGGTTTTGGTGGACGCGCCGGCTTCGGGTTCGTCATCGTCCCCTTCAATGTCGAGTGTTCGGAGTTCCATGGCGAGTTGTTCTTTGCAGGCCCAGCAGAAATCTTCATTTGTTGGAGTGTTGCAAAGGTTGCATGGTTTGGATTTCTTTTTTGTTGTTCTTTTGTCCGGGGTAGGTGGTTGATGGGTTGAAATCGGATTGTCGGGTGTGTTTGGTCGTTCGTTGAATAATGGTGCTTCGAGGTGGAATATGTTTATTCTTCTTTCGCATGCTTTGATGGTTTCGCTATGTATTCCTTTTGGCCAGAATAGGTCTAGGTGGTTGACGCATATGATTCGTGGTGTTCCGGCTTGTTTGTGTAATAGGTGTTTCCATATCTAGTAGTTTTAGTAGTGTTAATGGGCTCCAGTTTGGAAAGTCTAAGTCGTCTAGTATTATTCCGTCTACGCTTTTGTTGTACCTGCGCCAGTCTTCTTTGTCTTTCACGTGTAGGGGATGTTTAAAATGGGCAAGGGCGTATTGGGTTTTGCCCAAGCCAGTGCTACCAACAAGTACAACCACTTTTTTGGAAGTATCCATCAACTTACGATTAAACGCTTCGGCGGGGTATAATCCACGATCTAGGCAGTCGTATTTTTGTGTAAAGTACAGGCATAGTTTTTTTTGGTTTTGTAGGTAGAATAGTTTGTCGTGCTGTTCCATTAAGTCCATTGCTCCTTGGTAGGTTTCGCATTGTAAAGCTTCGTCGATTATGGTTTTATCGACTTTGCGATCGAATTTGGGTACTTCGCCGTATATGTATAGCTCACCTTCTCTTTCGTTTTCGTCCGTGCAGTATTTTATGCGCGCCTCTGGGTCGTTTGCGTTGTTTAGTAGTTTTTGGATTGCTCCTAGTGTTCTTGCGTTTTTGAAGCCGAATGTTAGTTGGATACGTTCCATACCCATTCTGCCGGTTTCTTGGTGGCCGATATACCATGCAACGTGTTGTTGCATGGCTTCTAGACGTTCGGTTCTATCTTCGCCGCTTATAAAGCGTGTAAATACTCATTTTTTAGTATTTGTATTCATGTCAGCGGATTATATGCACCGTTGGTTCGCAGCACTTTACGCAGCGTTTTAATATTTGTTTGCGCGCAACCCAGAAAGCCTGTGCTGGTATTTGTATTTTTGGATGTAATTGCACCTACTGCACACAATTTTTTTGGTATAAACAAAACTGTTCGCGGACGCGTTCATAGCAAAACTGAATATTTGTGTGTGCCGGATATATATATATATATATATATATATATATATATATATATATATATATATATATATATATATATATATATATATATATATACAGGGTTTTTCACTTAAAACTCCGCACGCCAATAAGTCCAAAACGAAAAGAAATATTTAATTTATGTAAAAAGTAGTCAAAGTGTGGGGTCAAGTAGATATTTCCTAAAGTTTAAAAAATTGCACGCCTGCAAAGAGCTGGGCGTCGCGATGCGTCGAAAAATTATTCGATTGCAGAGACTTTGGAAATACGCGCATAGAAAAGTACATATTATTTAAAAACTTTTTTGTTATTTACTCAAACTTATTTACTTTACCCGTTTCTAAGTTATACCGATTTAAAGTAAACATTTCTTGATTAATAAAAAATGTGATTAACGCTTATTTTTACAAGTATGCCATGAATGTTAGTTACTAAGTTAAGAAATATCTACAATGTTAGTTACTATGGCAACCATTGTTATCGCAGTTGTTTTAAGTGAAATTACAAACATAAGTTGTTATAAGAAATATCCAAATTTGTTCGGTTTAAAAAAAACTAAGAATTATTATGTGAAAATGGTGCAATTTAGCAAAGAGGAAAAAGTAGACATGTTACTGGTGTTTGGAGAATGCAGATGCAATTGTCGCGAAGCAAAAAGAGTTTACGCACGGCGTTATCCGCATAGAAGAGTCCCCGATGCAAAAACCTTTTCAAGTTTATGTAAAAACTTAAGAGAATATGGCAGCTTCATAAAACCTAAAAGAGATAGGAACAGGACGGCTACAAATGATGAAAATACTGCTGCTGTAATTCAGCAGGTTGATAATAACCCCAAGATATCCCTATCAGAGATAAAAGAAAATACCGGTGTTACCATAAGTTCTTCGTGGAGAATTCTACATAGAAACTCTTTTCACCCGTACAAAAGTAAACTAGTTCATAAACTAGAACCAGGCGATTATGCTAGAAGAATGTATTTCTTAGCAACATTGTCCGATTTGTATAGCCAAGATGCAAATTTTCTCTCGAAAATTTTATGGAGCGACGAAAGTCGATTTCAAAATAACAGAAAGAGGTAACCAACGAATTTTTAGTATCAATGTTTGGTGCGGCATATTAAATGGATTCCTTATTGGACCTTACTTTTACGAAGGAACTTTAAATGCAGATCGCTATTTAAGATTTCTTCAAACTACACTTCCGGAACTATTAGAAGAAGTGCCTCTTGACACTAGAATGAATATGTGGCTACAGCAGGATGGAGCGCCTGCACATAATGCCCAAATAGTAACGAGGTATTTGAACCGAGAATATCCCAATAGAGGGTTTGGTATTAATGGACCGGTAAGGTGGCCGGCGAGGTCCTCGGACATTACACCACCAGATTATTTTCTTTGGGGCTACCTAAAAAACGTTAACTATGAAGAACCTATCGAAGATATGGCTGATCTCATTAACAAAATTAGTGCAGCGTGTGCCGCTATCACAAGAAGGACTCTCCTACAAGCGACCCAAGCTCATCTGTTAAAAGTTTTTGATAGTTCGTTCAGGTGGACATAGTTTTGAACAAAATTTTTGAAATGTCTTATTATGTAGTTAATTGCAATAATAATTTTGGTTATTAACTTGTAGGTATTTTACTGTTTTTTCATGTATTTATCATGTTATCAGAACTAAATCGATAAAAAATAATAAATAAAATCATACTAAAATAGTTGAAATCTATTGTTTGTAATTGCACTTAAAACAACTGCGATAACAATGGTTGCCATAGTAACTAACATTCATGGCATACTTGTAAAAATAAGCGTTAATCACATTTTTTATTAATCAAGAAATGTTTACTTTAAATCGGTATAAAGTAAATAAGTTTGAGTAAATAACAAAAAAGTTTTTAAATAATATGTACTTTTGTATGCGCGTATTTCCAAAGTCTCTGCAATCGAATAATTTTTCGACGCATCGCGACGCCCAGCTCTTTGCAGGCGTCGAATTTTTTAAACTTTAGGAAATATCTACTTGACCCCACACTTTGACTACTTTTTACATAAATGTAATATTTCTTTTCGTTTTGGAGTTATTGGCGTGCGGAGTTTTAAGTGAAAAACCCTGTATAGTGATGCAATTCGATAATACTTTTGAATATAAATTGTCACATTCATGGATAGTCTTTCTACAATATGTTCTTCAACAAAAAAAATCATAGGCAATTTACCGTTAGAATTCTGCAAATTACTCAGTGTCAGATTTTATTTTTTTTGAATTTTTAGTGAAGGAAAAGCTTCAGGACAAATACAAAGATGTGGCGGAGCACCTCATAAATATCGCATTGGAGAGCGTGAATTACGACGAGAGCCGAGCCAATCAAATATTGCAGATTATGATACAAGAGGACACCCAAGTCGAGAATACTCGGAAGAGCAGCGTGAAAAAACAGTTCGTGTGACAATTTGACGCGACGGATAATTCTAATTAGTTTTGTACATTTTAGAGACGTAAAAGAACCCGACGAACCCAACCCATCTGCAAGTGACGACCGTGCCCAAATCCCCGTCTCTCAAAGTCGACAGTCGATAAAATCGATCCTGAAGAGTGACAAAAAAGACGAGACCAGTTCGTTTAGCCGGTGAGTGCGCGACATCAAGAGTAATTAGACTACTAATGGTTCTCTTTTTTTACGCTAACGAGCAGAGTAATGGATGAATGCGACAGGGGCCACTTTAAATCGACAAATCTGCGCAACACCTTCGGTCACAATCCCGGTTTTTCCTGCGGCCCGAACGAAAAGTTGCTGTTGTAAGGCGAATTTATTCATTTCATGATTTTATAAGGGATTGAGTTGTGTATTACAGGGAGAATTATGTTCAGTGGCAAGGACCAAACAGGGCCCTGCGCAAGGGACCCTGCGGCTTAGCCAAAGGCCCCGATAAAAGTTTATTGTCGACGAGAGTGTATGTCCCTCGCGAACCTGGCGCCGAGCTTGCCAAAGGGCCGTCGTGTGGCTCGGCTAAGGGTAGCATGTTTGCTCAGTTTAAGGCGGTTGTTCTAGGCGAGTCTAGGGTTAAGTAACATTCCGTCTGCGTTGTGTTGTAATAACAGTTTCCTGTTGTGTTATCTGGATTAGAAACCGTATCATGTGCAATGGGTTGACTAGGGAGGAATATAAGAAAGTTGATAAAGCAACGTAAAAGTTAACTTGTCCCAAATTGTAAACTTTCATTGATACTTCAAATTTTATTTATTATAAGGTCTGTGCATTGGGAGCACATTATAAAAATCTCAGTTAGAGCACAGTTCTTGCACCAATTATATCAACATTAAATACATTTAACTCCTTTTTAGTCCTCCCTAGTATCAACAAGTTTTGTTAAATGTTGTAAACATTATGTACATCATTATGTGTGAGTTACTACTTTCTTGTTGGTTTGTCTATGTAGGTGTTTTCGTTAGTCTATCAAATAGGCCTAAGTTTAATATATCTGTGACATGTACATGAAATTTAAGAGTGGCATATTTTTACCCGCAAATATTTTTATAGAAATAAATTCTCCGTTATTCAGTTCTGGAAAAAAGTGGGCTTTAATACTGGCAACAAGTCGTCCAAATACAACTGAAGGGCAGTCCCTTTGAATAAGTTACCGCTATTTAAAAGTAGTAGTTCAAACGTCCAATGTGCGAATGATCAAAAAGTTGATGTAAAATCTATGTGCTTCAATAAACTCATTATATTAGACTTTGCGTTTGACGTTTCCGCATTATTCCATGCCTGCCTCGCAAAAACAAAATAATAAATAATAATACTTGGCAAATTTAGATTTCGTCCTCATTCAGGAGCATGTTTGGAATGCCATTGCTAATGGGGAATTTTCTCCCGCTCTCGGGACAAACGAGTTCGCCGTCTATCACGTCCACTTCCAACAAAACCCGATGCGCCTTTTTCAGGAAATTATGATCATTTTCGTAGTTCTCGGATAGTTCTTTGGGCAAGTCTTCCACTTGGCCGATGCTCTCCGCCGCGTTGTAGAGAACAGGCCAGTCGACTTTCGGAATTATCCGTGACACGAAATCGGGATTGAAGTCGACTTCGCATATTCGCACGTCTGATGCCTGAAACGTAAACGGCATATTACAAACCTTAACCTCAACGATTTCGTTCCGTCACCTTAATCGCTAAGGGATATCCTACGCTGACCCCTTTTATACACTTCGAAGTCAGCATATTGTGTGTGAGGAGTTTCATTTTCCGAAGGCTTGGATTTCAGTTTCACAATAATTTACTACTATTTAAAATTTACGCGTCCAAAAATTGTGATTTAACCTTAAAATTGAACTAAACCAACCAATCACTTTAACCTATGATGCTGAAGACCTGCATAGAGCAAATTTGGTAATTACAATAGCGGTGTTGGCGATTTTACAAGTTACAAGTGTTTGTTATGTTGATATTGTTTAAAAAAATAACATTAAAGCAAAAGCTTACTGGTTTCAAATGTCACTGAAGAAATATTAAATAATGATATTTTTCTACTCTCGTGTCTTACACACTAGCGTGCTCGTAGAAAAAGTATAGTATGCAAACGTGTTGCGTACTATACTTGCATCACTGTGTTACCCTCATGCCAAAACAAACTTAGTGATTCAAATGTTGGTTACCATACTTTACATTTTATTATTAAACCTACCTAACACACTTTACAGCTTTACAACCGGAAGCAACGCGACTTATGGATCTTTTGAAATTTTTAATTGACCTTTAATTTTATAAGAAATGCTTTTAATTCGCGAGCGCATACTGTAAAAATATATTATTTGAATTTTGTTTTTTTTTTATATTTAATCAGTAATTGTTCGCTACACTTTTTTGGCCGTAATTTTATTTTATATTAAATAAAAGAAAATCATGTTCCCGGTATGGAAATGGAATATTTTGCAAACAGTTGAAAGCATCTGCAGTAAGGGTGGAAGCCTATAGCTACAATCTGTGGAAACAAATAACGCTGTTATGTAATATACAATAATTTATTTAAGTAAAATATGACATAACAAAATCCAGTGTTCAGAAAAAAAATTATAAATATAGCATTACAAAAATGAACGTAATAATATAATCTACCTTAAAATAATACCTGCGGCACTAAAGTATTGTATTCAAAAATAAAATTTTACGTCTCATGATATATATTAAGGATGATTAACTATTATTCTGTTATTTATAAACATAAACGACCCCTATTTTTATACATAATAATTAAAAATTTAAATAGAATATAAACAAAGAGCAATAACAATGAGCTTAACAACATTCATTTCAATAAGTAGATATTACCATTATTATTCGAAAATGTCCAATTTGTTATGTATGAGCACATGTACAAAATGTCAAAAACCACATAAATATTGCCATTTTATGCGTAGCGTGTTAATAACAATACGTGTTAATTATTTCAAATAAAACGGTTTCGTCCTAAAGTGTATTGGAAAATTTGCTTATTTTAGAAGGGAAAGGAGAGATTTGTCAGCGGAAAGGAACTGGAAAAAAATAATACTTTTCAAGTTTATATAAAAAAGCTTAAAACCTATAAAAATATAGCGTAAACTCGTAATTCAATATTTATTAAAATTAGGTACGTTTCACTTCTTTTTCAAAATATCATCCCTACCTAAAATATGTCTTTACACTTTGCTTTCGTGGCAACTTATTGTACAAAATATATATAAGTTAATAGGATGCGGAACAAACGGCTTCGGGTTAACTTACCCATCCGCTTCTCCCTTGCTCCGTAACACAATAATTCAGTCTGAACCACATGTTAAGTACAGTAAAATTAAAATACGCGTTATAATACAATACGAGATATGTTCCATAAAGATCATAGTCGAGGGTTTTTTTGTTCGAGACTCAGTGAAATTTACGAGTTAGTTACTTGAGTTGAACTGCTAAAATGAAGGGTGCCCACTTGCGCGATAGCTTTACTTAACCTTACTTTCTTCCTGGACATTGCAATTTTTCCTTTGCACTTTATAGCCCAAAATATAGCGGAAATAAGCCAAAACTAAATACAATGCAAAGTTTGAAAACGCATAAAGGAACATTTTTGAAAATACTTATGTGTTGCTTTCAAATCGCAAGGTTGTAAACTTATGTGGACCAAGCCACCCGTTAGTTCAGAATGTCGCCGGATCGTTGGAATTTATTGAAATGTAGATTCTGATCGGCATGGGCAATCTAAATATGTCGGGGATTTTTTATTTGACCACAAAATATGCCAGAGAGAGCAAGGTCAAGGAAAACGAAAACACGCATAGTCCGTTGACGATTAAAACCAGCACGATAACGGAGACTTGGCAACAGGTGAAAACGTCACTTATCCGTTGATAGTAGCGAGGGAAAGTGCGGATTGAAACAGCTGCTAAGAGAGCAACCGTAGTTCCAGAAATTATGTATATCCTACCTGTAACACTCCTTCTCTATAAAAAATTATTAAAAGTACAAACCGCGTTTATGTCTATCGGCACTATATTTCTATAAATTTTGTACTACACGATATTAACAGCAGAGTAGATACCCTACGGGGGGAGCACGATTCCTGTGAGAAACATTTAAACTTTCTTAGAATGTTTTCGAGTAAAGAGAAATTTAGTTTTAGTTATTGTATAATGCCGTTTGTAAACTAGAAGTACAATCTTTTAAATAAAAGTGTATTGAAGATTCTACTGTTCCTGTACAACTTTGACGCAATTTTTCGCTAATCTAAATTATGAAAGTAATCTTCATATCTTGTTTGTTAAATGTAAAAATAATTAAGCTAAATGTATTTAAATTGTTATTTAAAAACTTCTATTTAGACTCCGTTTGTTTAATAAGATTTAATTAAAGTTAAAAAAATAATGATTATTAATATTTTTGTATAAATTAATTTTTATGACAAGCGTGATTTTATAAAAAGAATTTATTTTTTTTGTATTTGCACTGAATAGTTATAATGCGACTTTAGCTTTAAGTTCTCAGTGCTCCTTATGACATTTTTCATATAAAATCAAGGAAAACTGCGCTTATGGAGGGGCAAATGTTCGTTTTGTGTAGAACAACAGCGGAAAGTACTTGGTTGGCGAATCAAAAATAATATTTAAAAACGATAAACGAAAAAGATGGACATAATACCAAATTAGATCTCAAAAAATAAAAAAAATTCTTAGTTTAAAGAGCACTTAATGTAAAAAACTTTGTGTAATGTAAAATTCGAAGAAAACTGGAATTGAAAACTGGTTAGACAAAACGTGTATTTTAGTGTTAAAAAAAAGAGACCACGATTTCCGAAAATTCAATTCCTTTTCCATAAATCGCCGGTACCACCACCCCCCCGGGGGACTCATAATAAATCTAACTAATGAGAGACACTTAGAAGTAATATCGCGTTATGATTGTTACGTCACTTAAAACACCCTACGTAAGCATACGTCAGTAATTTTCTACCATTGTCAAACATTTATTATTGTTTTACATTTTTGGGGTAATACCGCCGGTATGTATTATTCAAATTCAGCACCGGAGGGGGAAAACAACGAACGGGATCGGCATTCCGAAAATCTCCGCCCCAAATTTAGTCGCACTCTTAAAACAGAGCCAATCGATTCCTGCAATTCGGGAAAATAGTCCGTGACGGCTTTAAAGTGCCCGGATCCGTTTTTCAAGGTCATTTTTTTACGGTCATCCGCGGGCCATTGATATGTTCAACAATATAATACCCTAAATTCATTTAACCTAAAAAACGTAGCGACTAAACAGCTTGAGAGACCCTGTCGTTACTCAGATTGATATCGCGGCTGCCTGACGGGGTTTTGAACCCCGCTTGGTGCCTCGCGTCCCCAATGCCGTCGTCAGCCTTGGAGCAATTTTTCTGTTGAGCAAGTTTCGGCGTACATTCGAATCTGCGAGTTCGCTTCGCCCACCTGCAAGGTGATAATTCGCTGACGTCATGGCGTGTTATTACTCCCTCTGCGTCATACGTCTGAATGTAAAAAAAAAATGGACTTTTAAAATATAACTTTAGGATGAGTTTCGTTACTTGACGCTGCGGCTCTTGCAATGTCCGTCTGAAGCTTCTTGTTAAAACAGTAATGGCACTAACAATTTTTTAGTAAACTACCGAATCAAAAAATAATTTCCTATTCGAAGCAAGTGAGCATCTGGATTCGTAATTTTTCATCTATATAATATGATGCCGTGCCAAGGCGATCTGAGCTGCAGACCGATACAGAAGAAACTCTCCAGAATTTCCAAAGACATAACGTTCTAGGAAGCAATTGCTGAGATGAATAATATCAACATCAAAACATGACGAAATTGTTGATGACATTTGAACCCAGCAGTGATGGTATGGACATGTATCCCTTAAATTAAAATTCTTAAAGATGAAGAAAATGAGTGAGTCCACGCAAGAGTTGGGGGAAGGTAACTGATAGTAACGGACATTTTATAATAAAAGTAACGGATCCTTGTTAGTAACTACTACAGTGCATCGATCAAACGAACAACAACATATGTATTGAGGATATAATCAAGTCAAAGTGACCCTAATCATAATTGATGAAGATGTGCATTGAAGGTAGCATTTTGATCACCACCGTCCAGAATATTCATAATCAGTATGCCTTTGGCAGACTACAACTTAGTAGTTACTTATATATTAAACTTTAATATCTCAGATTCTTACCGTCAGATATATGAACGCATATATGGCCCAGTCGGTCACTGCAGATCGTCCTCTGACTTCGGGATGTCAAAAATTTCCGCGAACAGGGGTGGCAGGGCGAGTTTTTGCCAGTTCACCCGAAACCAGTCGAGGTGAGCGGTGTGCTTGTTGCCCAAGCTTCTCAGCTCGGGCAACTTGATCAGCAGGTTGGAGAACAGTTGGGTCTCGCCCGCGTGATTCCTCCCCACCTAAAACGGTCTACCGTAATGATCGGCACTCAGATGTCGCGGTATTTTCCCTCTTACTTGTACTTTCAATGCCTCGACCAGCTTGTCCTGGTAATGCTCGATCGTTTTGACGTCGGTGAGTCCCGGTCTGTCCGCAGTCATCAGTACTACTGCTGAGAAGAGACCCACTTCGGTGTCGTTCAGGGACAAGGCGTTGAAAGTGTTTGCGAAGTGGATGATCGTCCCAATGTATTCGTTCTATGTAAATATTAACTTTTGAGTGGTGGTAAGCGTAGCCGTTTTTAGAGACAATGACTCTCTCAAACCAAACTGGTATTGTATTTCGTTAGTTAATTAGTTTGAATCATTTGAATCACAAAAATCGAAAAACTTAAAAAAAAAAATTTTTAGATGGAAAACTCATCTTGAATTCTTGTTAAACAAGTTACTACCTGAATTAAATGCTTTTGGCGGTGGTTTGGTGATTGATTTTGATGGATAGTCCTATCCGTATGACTTGATAAGTCAATAATAACCAATAAACAGGGTATTGTATTGATTTTTTATAAGCTAAGTATAAAAAAATTGGGTGAGCATACTCGGTCAGCCACATCGATCCTTTTAAAGCCGGTCCTTGTTCCCAGCCCGACCCTGTATTTAGATTTCATTAAACTTACAGATCGATCTGGATGACTGCGGACTAAATTTAAAGTCCAAGAGAAAAATTGACCTGTTAAGTTTGGAATCGTCTAACTAATCAGTGTGTAAGGTACACTTAAAAATAAATCACCCTGTATAAAACGAGTTTCATTGTCATTAAAGATCGCTAAGATGAAATTAAAGAATCAAAGGCCTCATTATTTATAATTATTTACCCACAGAAAACAAAATTTGAAAAAAACACGAGGTTAATTCTCGGAAACGAAATGTCAGGTAAAATCTAAATAGACGATTTTTTTTCCAAAATCAAGTTCTAAATAGACACCAACAAATTTGGGACTGCTTATATAAGAATACTGCCCCTAAAAATTAGTTGGGAACCGATTTAAACGCTCTATAACAACAATTATCTCCAGGGGTTTAAGGAAGAGTGACCAAAGTTGATGCCCTCTTCGAATAACTTAAGGTCAACATTAAAAACAATTAAAATCTGATGTTCCTGTTTTAGGCATGAATGGATAGTATACTTCGACCACAAATATAGTGCTGCCTAGCAGACCTTTACCCGTAACTATTCCAGGACCGTCCTTGGAATTTATCTACCTAGACTCACAAGTGGGATATAAGTATGTTCTCAATCATTTGCGCCTAGCAATTCTTGAAACATGTACATAAAAAAATTAGTACAAAGTAACAATTTATTACGTTCTATTTCATTAATTATTAATATTAATATACAATATACAGTACTTCTAGGGTTAAAACTTAAAAATGCTCAAAACAGCAAAGCAATAAATGCACTATATTTTTGGTCCTATTGTACACATAAGAACGATGACTCACATCATACATCAGTTCGAGCTGTTGCCGCGTCACCACCGTGCCGTCGTCGAAGGTCAAAGACTGCGACGACGTCATCCTGGCCACGTGGCTGAGCCACAGCTCGAAGAACCCCAACTTGATGAGGATCAGCTGGTCGTCCTGGCCAAGGCCACCGAATCCGGGCACCCTTTTCGCGAATTCCACCACCCTCTGGACGCTGGGAGTCATGCACGTGGCGAACTGCTGCCAGAACCAACACCGGTCGTTCTCCAGGGATTCCGCGGTGGATGACGCGACACCTTCCCCGTCGTCGCCGTCCTCGTCTTCGTCGTCTTCCGCTTTGTACCTGGGTGGCGGTACCAAGGACCTTCGTTGCAAATTTCGCGTCCTCTCCTCGGTGTAACCGCAATTCGCGTGATGCGCCTGCAATGGAACCACCAAAATCAACATTGAAAAAGAGTTTTTTACAGAAGTAAAATTGGGTTAAAATCAAAACAGTGCGTAAAAATTCTGACCTATCATATTAAATAACCTTTTATCGGTGGCTTGCGATTTGAGAAGTGATTTGTTTTTAAATTATTAAATAGACAGTTATCTAAAACCCAATAAAGATTCTAGATTGTTTAGAATAGTTGTTGCGGGTAGAAAATTCGAGCAACAATATAACAAGCAACTGGTTCGGCATTCAGCATTCGGTTAATCGATTTTCCATTGTAGAATGTTGCAGCCCTTGTATTTCGCGTTTACACACGGTGTTTCAAAACAAATGCGTACCCTGTCCAAGCCTGACCTACAGCTTCTCCTTAAAATATCCGTCTCCGTTAATTTCATCTTGTTTACGTTAGATACGAGGTTAGCGCCAAAATTTCCCGCCCTGTCTCCTTGTCTCCTTTTAAATATATATCGTAGTAGGCTGCGAAAAAAAAGTCTTGCGTCAAACAGTTTTTTATTGACAGTATTTTAATTTTTAATTTAATGACCCCCAGCGACTATTATTTGTTTAGATATTTGAAAAAGTATTAACGTGGACGGCGGTTTCACGGTGAAATTGAGTTAAAAAGCAGTTTTAGCTCATTTTGCAGACAAACCAAAAGAATATTTTTTTAAAGGGATTGAGTTGTTAATAACGAGATGTAATAAGTGTATTATAGTTAAGGGGGATTATATTGAAAAATAATAAAAAATTGTTACTCTACTTTGTTTCTTTCATATTCAGGACGGGAAATTTTGGCGCCGCCCTCGTATATTCCAAACTTCTGATCCATATAAAGTAACACTGCTTCATAGATAGGCCTCTTAGTTAGATTTTAGTCCAACATAGATTATTTGGTGTTCGTCCCTTATTTATTATTTCTGTTATTTCATTATTACTGTTCCCATGTTTGTTAGCATCACTCTTTCACCACTCCTTTTACTGTTTCTTTTTCTACATTTAAGTTTTTAATTTCTTCTTTTACGACAACAAGGTATTCACACTTGGCCATATTTATGGTTAAACCAGCTAATTCGTACTCCTTGAGTTTTCGTGTCTCCTGCCGAAACAACGTCGTCGTCCGCAAAATATAGTGCGAACAAGCTGTTTTCCCCTATTCTCCGTCAAATATTACTATAGTTTTTGTCCACCTTACTAAGGATCTGCCCCAAGCATTTAGTCTAATTTCGAAAGATTTGCTCTGATGGCTTTTCTTATGTAATTTAAAGAAGGAATCACGCATTTGTTTTGAAACACACTATATAGTATGCAGGGTAGCAAGTTGAAAGTGATTCTTTGAGATATTTTAAAACAGAAGGTTCAAATGGTCGAAATTGCATTATTTTGAGAATACAGGATGATAAATTAAAAAAAATCATATAAAAATGTAGATTTTTATCATTTCCATTTTTGGGTTTGTTGTTCTTGTTTTGCGTTTTTCTGTTTTCGAGATAAAACATCAAAATGGAACATATAAACTAAATGACTAAATTTAATCTAATCAAATTTAATCAAGTTTAATCTAATCAAATTGGACAAAATGATCCCTTTACGTCTGTCAAATTTTAAGAAAATTGGCTTATAGATAACTAAGATGTTTCGAAAAACCCGATTTTTATTTCAAAGTTTGATGTAATTATATTTTTATAAGCACATTTCGCCTTAAAATCACTCAAAGAACCAGCCGCTGTAATTTGGCTACATAACTGACCACCAAATAGCCACTGGTGGTAGCGTGGTCTGTAAGTTTGACGTACTCAACTAAAGGAAGGAAACCTACTTGCGACACCCCTAAAATAATATCGTATACAGCCATCTGTTTGGTTTCCGACTCCATGCTACCGGGATTGCTCGACACGCTCGACGGTGACAAGGTTTCGGTCGGAGTGGGCGGGGTTACTACCGCCACAACGTCGGGGGCGGTGGTCGACACCCTCGGCGAGGGATTGTCTTCGGCGTTGCGTTCGCGGGATCGTTTCGGTACCCTTCCGTATCTGACGGCTTGAAATGAAAGCACCCAAGTCGAAATCGACAAGTCTCACTGGATGCGTGGTATACTTACAATCCCTAGACATTCCTACGGCCAGACATTTTTTAAATCTGCAATACTGACACCTATTCCTATTCAGTCTGATTACCAGGCATTTGCCGTCCCTTAGGCACCTGTACTCTATCTGCTTCTGGATGCTACGCCTAAAAAAACCCTGAAACAAATGTCTTTCGGTTTTTTATGTTTTCTGGGGGGTACTATACAAAGAAGTCTGACAAGAGCTCGACAAAAATCAATTTATTTTTTAAAAGATTATTAAGCTGCTACAGTTATTGTTGCGAGAAACTACATCTTGGGACACAAAAATAGATGATGATATTTGGTTGATTCAAGTCAGTATTGCTTTACTGTCAGTGCTCGGATACTAAAAGCTGAAAGAAATGAAGAAAAAGATGAATTATAAGACATTGGCTAAAGCCTTGATGAAGATGAGAGCTGCCATATTTTAAGCACCAATATTTCTGTAGAGCTAAATGGAGTTTGGCTACCGTTACCATTTCTCATGTTGGAATGGAAGGAAAATGCAACACTGGCATCTAAAGTCTTGACGAAGACGGTCCTTGGGCGGACTAAAGAATTGAGTTAATCTCTAGGCACGTATATTACCGTAAAATGAGGAAAGTACGATCATGTTTTGAGAGAATGTTGAACTTTGTTGAATCTTGACCGTTGTTAGTGGTTGAGTGTACAGGCAAGTGCGCGATGAAAGAAAATAATTTCCATTTGGTGCGTAAAGTAAACGTACTTTGCAGCCCTCGCAGGAAGTCACCCCGTAATGATATCCGGACGCTTTATCGCCGCAGACTTTGCAGGGGACGAAGGTTTTCGTGGTCGACGAACTATTGGAATCCGCTGCCACGTAATGTTGTTCTGGAAAGAAGCGAAACTGAATATTAAAATGAGGACAGTCGTGTTTGCAGATTGCCGACATTCAGAAATGTCATTAAAATAAGGACATGCTATCACTGTACATAACGGGACTACTTTTAGTATATTTTTATAGAATTTTCAAAAGAACAGTTTTTTGAAAAATGCCAAGTCAGATTTGCCTATCTCATTTTTTTGACTTATTGGGAATTGAAGAAAGATTATATAGCTTTTTATTTCCATAAGACTTGAGTTACAAGTGTCAGAATACAAAGATAAATATACTTTAGAGTCGAAATTGCTGACGTTTCAGTCAAGCTCTGACGAAGCCAACAGGACGATTGGCGAAACGTCAGCAATTTCGACTACGTATTGAACAGGTATCACAAAAAAGAAAATCTTTAATATTGTAATAATCGAGGCAGCAATTTGTTTTTAAGAGTGTATTTGAATTTTGTTTGACTAGGCAAATTATTAAAAAAATTTAAAGTCACAACAAAAGGACTATTTGATGAAAGAGACAGTCGGTGTTAGGATTCGGTGTTAATGATTTTGTCAAAGCTGATGCTCCCATGAAATCCGCTACAAAATTACTGATCCAAGGATATATTTTAGTTTTGTTCATATGTGATTGGGAACTATCGAGTATTTTAAAGAATCGAAGAGCATTGTCTGAGACTTATTTAACTAAACCATGATTTTTTAATTTGTTTAGAATAACGTCATCTTTATAAAAAATAAATATTTTTGCTGTGTTACTTTAAAATCGGGAGATATTACTTGATTCTATTCATTTATTCTATTTATTCTGCGTACGCATTCCAAGGGAAAAATGACAATAATTTAAACACACGGAAGTCATAAAAAATAAGCGACGCCAGTAGGAAATTTAAATAAAAATTATAGACGATTGATAACCAACTAACATGTGAAATATTTCTGTACACAATTCATTGTGTTTCTTCCCTCCTTTTGTATTTTTTCATCTTTTTGTAAATGGCAAACTTAATAATGTGATTAGTAATAATGTCATTGAACTAAGTTTGAGTACCTATCACAAGACGGAAGTCGCTGGAGTATCAGCGATGCATATTTTAAATTCTCGGAATTTCCAAATGAGGGTGTGGTCGGTACCGCGTAGCAGACCCACCGGCATGTTCGCAGATATAGAGGCAACGCCAATTAGGCCGCGAGCCGAGTCCATCGAACCGTATTTATTGATGCCAGAAACAAAAATCCCATGTAGTAACTATTTCCATTTTGTCAATAACTAAGCCGTCATTTTTAACGATTGAATGGGAAGGGATATATTGGGAGCGACGAGAGAGACACTTCTGATAACATAGGGAAATCTAAGTCATTTTTGGTATGGTGTGTTCAGTAGACAGTTGACTAAAAGCCCTTCCTCATGTGACACGAAAGCAACAAAGCAATTAATTGAGGTTCTACAAAGAATACGTCTGATAGTAATGCAAAAAATCTAGGACATACAGTTTTAAGGCTTCCACCTTACCACTGTATATTTAAACCCATTGAACATGTTTGGCGCCAACTGAAATCTGCCATTCGTCATAACATAACATTTTTCTCCAAGGTCCTCAAACTTATAGAAACCGAAGTTTTTAACATCCCTAAACGAAGTTGGGCAAATTCTGTTAAACATATAGAAAAAGCAGAACAATCGTATATCCATATTGCAAATTATAATTCGAACAGGCGATGTAGCGATAGTGATACTGATATATTATGTGAATAATTTTAAGTAATTTAAGTAGGTAATAAAAATAATTTGTAATTTTGTTTTAGATTTAAACATAAATACAGACATAAATAAATAAATATTATTTAGTATCTTTCCTAACAAAAACCCAAATAATTAAATTCTAAGCAAAGTACGGACCTGTTCGGCCATATTTCATTTTTACAGCTTGCCCGGGTCTTTCCTTAATTCGTATCAGTTAGTCACTTTCTTATATCTATGAACAGACTTTACCTTTAGACATGTTTGAATTTAATGTGCGGCCATTTTGACCTGTGATATGAAATAACTTTTTTTTTAACGTTAAGTGGGAAAGCATTAAGATTATACATACAGATTATTGTCGGCCTTTACATCACAACATCGTTCGTCAGGATTACAAATGAGTAAAGTGCTGGGCAATTTTTTAAAATATTTATAAATAGATAACAGAAAGTGATTAGTTTCGGTTAATATTTAAGGTAGCTTTTGAGTGTATTTTAATTATTGCTGAACGTGGAAACTTCGTTCATGCTCATCTAGAATAAGATTTTGTACTCTTGGATGCATAATTATTACAGCTAATCGAATCGGAACGGAAGAAAACATATCGGCAACGTTGTATGTCAAATTTGTATGCCTACTTTTAAAGTAATACGAGTTCGGGAACTAGTTGGAGTGTCAATCAATTTTGGTGATCTGAGTGATTACGAGCCAAGTATCACCAAACTTACTTGATGGGTAGTGGTCGCTAATATTTAAAAACCGGACTATCATATCATTACCGCGAAAAGCCAAGAAACTGGCAGATTGTGGTTATTAATTTTGATAAAAATTTGCCAAAATGCATCCCAAATAATTGGTATATTGCATACAGAACCCAATCAATCAAGACTTCATGGGAAATTACTTATTAATACCTTTCGAATACTAAGATTTATTAATGCTGTAGTTTTGGACATGGTACACGTGCAAAATAATCGTTCATCCAGTTAGCCATGACTTTAGGTTGATGTAATAAGAAACAGTATTTATTTGAGAGATCTATCCGACAAAAAAAATATCCAAATAGATCCATAAACAAAGATTTCACATTTGTGTAGAGTTCTTTTCTGTTCACGTTGTTTTGAGACGCGTGGAATTTGATCGGCAGTAGAAATCTATGCGGCTAGCCGAACGAATGGTAGAGAAATAACCACGACCCGGTCCATAGGTGTCAACGACACCGCGTCAATCGCAACCTTGAATTTCGATTTAATTATGGCGTCGTATCATTCCTAACCATGTTAATTCGGGACCGCCCATCTGACCGTCTAGGATACGAGAAATTTGCAAATAATGACGCCGCCAAAGCCCACGCCGAAATGTTTGCATCTCACTTTCGTTTCGGCAGCGCCAGGTTGCGTTCGAGTCGCGAACTATAAACTTGGCGGGAAATTAACATCAAGCAATGGCATTCGGGGGAAAGCAGTAAAAAACGTCTAGAAAATTTATAGAGCGCTCAATCCATTTCGGTCCGATTCAACCAATCTAAAATTGGGGGAAATTTTTTTTAACATAGTTCAACAAATTTAGGTACTATGGTAGGTAGGTACTATGCTCTGTTTATAAATACGAGACGGTTATGACAGTATTATTGAACTGGCATTCCATAGGTGTTGTATTGTGCCTATGATGATTGTTAAGGATCCCGAGAGTGGAAGGTAAATGGGCAAGTAGTCGACCTATCTGTTAATTAGTTTTAAAATTAGGATTATAGTTAATTTGCGTCAGTTGTTCCTAAAGTTTTTAAATTTGTTTCCAAGAAATGGATTAGTGAAACCAAACCAAAAAATAATATTCGGAGTTGGAAAAATTTGTGGGACAGTCAACAATATATCAATTTGGGCATAAACGCAGCCCCATCAGCTCACCAAAGAGAAATACAGGGAGAAAGGAAAATAGTGACATCAGAAGAATTGAAGAATTGGTTATACTTAAAAAAAAAGGAACACAAATACAAGAAAGGAAAACTAATGTCAGAAATAAAAAATATGATTTCATACCAGGCGTTACGAAAAAACTCAAAACAGAAAATCACTTTTAATGGAGAAAGGAGAGAGACGGACAGAATAGTGCGAAAGAGTGCGGAAAGCTGATAACATTGTTTTTCTGGACTCCAATGACTACAGCTCATCTGAGTGCTGGGAACATCATGACTAACATTTGGAATATTGTAAATTGCAGATTTTTTAAATATGTTTTATCTATTTTCGTATTATTCTCACTACCTACCAGTCTCAATAATTGTAATCATGTACTATTATCATTCCATTTATTGTTATAATAAATTACCCTATTTTAGAGACAATGCGAGATATTAAAAAAATAAATTACGCAATTTATCTTAATTTTACCATATATAATTTAGCCATTACTTTCTCGCATTTAGAAAAAAGACATAGAAACTCATCGATTCAATAAATACTGAAAGCGAAATTTAGTTTAAGAACATTGCAATAATTCAAAACTATAAAGATTCCGAATTCTATATTATTTTAAACCTTGAATCAGCATAAAATACTTAACACCCTGTGTAATTTTAACGTCCACTTTCGATGCACGAATCGGTATATTTTGATTTATTTATTTATTTATTTAGCACTTGGCTATTTACATAAGCAAGTAAAATTTACATAAACAAAACTATAAACTTCGCAAATACCCCGTAAGTCTCTTCTTGAACACTCTTGGGCGAGGCGCGCCCTTAATATTATCCGGCAGTTCATTAAAATTACAAACACCATCGTAGAATAGAGTTTTCCGTAAATTTGTTGTTTTTACCATAGAAACATTGAAGTGCTGATTGGAACGTACATTATATTGATAAAAGTTTGACCTTTTTTCCAACCATAATTTAAGATAGCCCGGTTGGTGATCGTGCGCAATTCCATAAACCAACATTAAACTTGCTCGTCTAATGAACTGCCCGACATTTAGCCAATTTAGCTGATCTAACGTACTCTTTATAGGAGTATATCTATCGCAGTTCAGGATGATTCTCATAACCCTATTTTGTTGTAACTGCAACTTATTTAAATGAGGCAAAATCATCATCATACACTAATATCCTAGTCCACTGCGACAAAAACCGCGATACACGGTTAAAAACCCTATTTTCTTACCAATTTTTTTGCATAGATATTCAACATGATAACTAAAACATAATTGTGGATCCAAGATCACCCCCAAATATTTAATTTCGGAAACAAACTCAATTTTATTACCCTGTATATCCACAAAATACCCCGACTTATAAAATTTTTGACAGTTAACCTTAGAACCGATAACCGTGCACTTGGTTTTGGAGCTATTTAATTTCAGTTTATTTTGACACGGCCATTCGTAGAAATACTGCATTTCGGTGTTCAGTTTGGTAGCTATTTCTTTGCAATCGTTTCCAGAGACTGAAATAAGCGTGTCATCAGCAAATAAAGGAGTTTTTTAAAACCTGATGCATATCATTTATATAAATAATAAATTATTGACCTAAGGTATTGTAACTTATTTATTTATTTACAAAACTTTTACATTCATTTAACACAAATGGAGAGATAGCCGTGTCACAGCTAAAAACCAGAACAAAATATAACTCACTCAAACTGAACACATCAGGATCTTTCAGCTTTCAGCATTCTAGTAAGGGAAGTAGGGAATAAACTCTATAATATATATAATATACAATAATTCCAATCATTCAGAATCTTAAAGAGGAAAACTAAATCACTCTGAAATCTTCTGGTTTGACGAGTATCAATATTGAAGGCCCAGTTATAATACTGTAGTTGATTTGATACACATTATAGATATTGATATGCGCTTTCGAAGCCAAAGATCTTAAAAATACTTTCTGAAGGGCTTTGATGGCAGGCATAATATGGAGAACATATCACAGATGCATGCGGTCTAGAGGGAAGCAAAGAGATATAACAGAGTTCAAAGCAATGTGGAGTCAGTTGGACTCGCATAGACCTGTTTACCACGTCCGCCAGACATGTCACAAAACTTAGTTTAGAATCGAAGAAAACAATGCTAGTGACGGCCTGGATCTCGACTCCATCGATACTATATCGGTTGTGAACCATACTCAACGAACGACTGAAGCTAATAATACAGCATTTTTTTACATATTTTTGTTACACGGCCCTCTGAAGCAGCAGAGCATCCTAGCGCGACCCAACTCTAATGAATATCTTCAAATCGTCCGCAAACAAAAGACACCGCGACTCCGAAGCTACGCTAACAATATCATTTAAAAACAAGTTAAAAAGGATGGGTCCAGTGGGGGACTCCCGAAAAAATATCAATTTAACCTGACACGAACCAACTGAGTACGACCAGACAGGACAGATGCACATGAATCAGTGTAGACACCTCCTGACCAAGCCCCTCAAAGAAATTCAGTAAAAATTGTTAGTAGGTGATTAAATTCACAGATTAGGAACCAAACGTCTCTATAATTAGCAAAATCACTCTCGTGAATCGGCAACAAATAGCTGAGCCTACGAAAGTCAAGAAAAATACCTAAAGACGAGGACGGATTAAATATAAGCCGTGGTGGAAACTCTTAATCGGCTGCACGCAGACGTTCCTGTCTGTAACTTTTCTGTTTTGCTATGAAAAATATCCAAACATTTATTGATGTTCGCTTGAGCCTCGGGGAGTCATTCACAGACTAACCCCATTTCCTTACCAATTTTTTTGCATAGATATTCAACATGATTACTAAAGCATATAATACTATATTATATATATATATATATATATATATATATATATATATATATATATATATATATATATATATATATATATATATATATATATATATATATATATATATATATATATATATATATATATATATATATATATATATATATATATATATATATATATATATATATATATATATATATATATATATATATATATATATATATATATATATATATTTTTTTTTTTTTTTTTTTCTCTGTTGCTCTGCGGCTGATAAGTTATGGGGACACTGTATAAGCGCATTAAACAATTCCAGGAATCCATTCGACTAATGGCGAGCGATAAATATTAATGGAAAGTATGGAGGCAATCTGTCGACCTTGTGTGGAAGTAATCGTCCCTGGGAGTTTTAATCAGATAAAAAGCGGAAAATTCGATTATTTACGAGGTCACTGGAATCCAATTATTTAACATTTATTAAAACATATGTATTAGGTATTCCGACTCATACCGCAAGGAGAACCATCTGTTTAACAAAAACCATTCATCTCCTAACGTTCTTGAACGACAGAATAAAGAACGTGCCGCGAAAACAAAGACGTAATAAAAGAGTGAATAATGAAGACGGTATAATATAGTACAAAAGTTCCATTCGGTAGTTCCGCTCTATAGAGGAAGAATGCCTTTTCTTTTAATGTGCGTAGTTACTCGACCGTTGAGAGAAGATAAAAATCTGCACCAAATTTAATAGTCGTATGAACGAGACGGCCACAGAATAAGCTCGTAAGTATAATTTAGTTCAAATTATACCGTCGCCATTTTCCCCTGCCATAAAACCCTAATTATGCGGTTTAATAGCTTTTCAAACGATTTTTATTACGGTAAAGGTATTAGGGAAACGAAGAGAAAAAGCTTTTCCTTTGCACTGTGGAAGGAAAGTGGTGCGGACACTCGAACGTTATCGGGAATAAATGTCGATTAAACCCGAAAAATTGCTAGATTTAATATTATCGCAAAAAAGAGTGAAAAAAATAGCATATAATGAGATAAAACCATAATACCATCCTAACCTAACCAAAAATATAAATACAAGAACTTCAAGCTCAAAACAAAAAATTGCATTTTTGCATTGCTGCAAATTTAAGATTATAAATAAAAGTCAATTTCAAACATTTCGTACAACACCCCTGCCTTATTTGGTGATAAAATATAAGGAAAGTGAAAGGGAAAAAAAGCGTTAAGTAGTATTTTTCATTTTTATTTTAATAAGTAGTAAGTTACAAAAAGTTCCAAAAATTCAAACGAAAATAATATCAACGCCAAGCAAATAATAAGATTCCACAAGCTTAAACGAACAATGGCGACGATATAAAGTGAAACACGGGATCTTCCACTATACGCCTCAACAATTCTTGACAGTATTGCATCCGTTGAATTTTATTTCTTCGGATAAGCCTTATTATAAATTCGTAGAGCGATTTTCGAATAGCGATTTCTAGAAAGTGATTTCGAGAAAGTCATAGATGAAAATTATTTTCTTTTTAGTTGTAATTCAAAACAAAACTTTCAAAAAGATTGTTTTTTTTTTACAATTTATAAGAAAACTACCTTAAGTTTAAAATTTTGGACATTTGATTATCTTGAATTAAGTAGGCTTAGACTGCGGATTCGCGATTGTTTGACAGATGCGTTTGATGATTGATAGTTTTGGTTAGTTTTGGCGACTCGTGATAGACGAGAGTTGAAAATATCCTCATAAACAACAGTTTGAGAGCAAAATAAGTGCGACGCTCTTGTAAAAAATATAAAAAATATTTGTGGTTTAAATTTAGTTTCATACTTTATTTTGTAATATTTTATTTATTCTAGAAATTAGCGGAGCTTTTTTGAATCACCCTGTATATATTTTTCGAAAGACCTTGTTTGTTTTGGAAATCCAAAAGATAATGCTGCAAAATCTTTACTGCCTATCTCTCACTTTTTATGAGCAAAAGAATAAAAAACAAAAATTTAATTTTTAAATGAACAATTAAGTACCTTAATTGTCACAATTATGGAGGAATATGGAGACAAAACGAAAATTCATGAAGTTTGCAATTTGTTTAACACAAATTATCCAGTCCAAACATTACTCGCGATATTTCCATTAATTTGGCTTATTTCGTATCTAACTCTAAATTTTAAATCACCTAAGCTTTGTAGTCTTTCCTTATACTTTTGGTTGTAAATACCCCAGAGAAAAATATCCAGTAGAGTAATATGTGAGGATCTTGGAGGCCATTCTATTGATCCGTTTCCACCCTATTGATACCAAATCTGTCCATCTGGCATATCAGGCTATTTTGGAGTTGCTAGTGGAAGAAGATTCAGAGTAGGAATTAAGTAATTTCGAAGAGATAGTAAATACCGGGATGAAGTAGGATTTTGATCTAAGAAATATGGTCCATATGCCTACAATTCTGTCCATTTACCGCACCATTTAAACAAAACATGGTCTAACGAAGAAAAAATGGATTTAATTACTTCTCCTTGAAATAAACGCAAATCTGTTAGTGGGTTAACACCGTTTAGAAGATTCATTTATCAAATTAAGGTTAAATTAGTTTATGGCGTCTTTTTTTTATCGTTTTTACAGATTACTGCGAAAGTGAAAATTTTACGATTCAATGCTGCGCGGCTGCGATAAATCGACCAACAGCGAGGGCCAAACGATCGACGTCGCATGCGAAATATCGACCGATAAATCTGTCCAGAGGCGATAAAACGTGTCGATTTGTCTGTACGCATACTGATTGCTGGTATCACAAGACGGAGCAGCGACTTTTTCAAACTCGTAAGCTAGCTACAAGTTGGTGAACTACAGGGGCTTGATTGATTTTAGTTTTCTAGAAAACTGTTGACTGTTGAGGAAGAGGTTTGTCTTAATTTTTTTTTAACTGAAATGTTGAACTGAATGTAGATTTTTCATTTAGACTAACCAAAACCATGACATCTAATAACTATCATCTAATAATACTACCAGACATAATATCTGTATAATGTATTTTTTGTAGCACTTAGTACTATGTACAAAATGCCTAATATTTATTTACAATACAATACCTGTACCAGATAAAAAAAAAACAGGGAAGGGCTTAAATATTCGTTGATTACTTTATAACCCTCTTAGGGTTATGTATAGTTCATAAAGTAAATATGTTTGACTCACTAATTCGGAAACACCGAAACGCTTACCTTCTTTTAAATTAGTTATTAATAATCTACTAGTCAAATGTGTTTTAGATTATACAGGGTGTCCCTTAGTGCAGAAAGGGGTGATTCTTGAGCTCGTTTTAAGAAAAAAATATCATTATACTATTTATATCTTCTGGAATTCCTCATGTTAAAAACTAATTTGCTAGCGTTTCGCTTGATATGACATGATGATTGGTATCACATTTTCAAGCAAATCGAGAATAGTAAAAAAAAAAATATTTTGGATTTGTGTTGCCATTTTTGTTAAGTCTATAGCATGTAAATTACATAGCAGAACACATACATTGGAAATACTATATTGATTTTTATTTTTTTTATTTTTTCAAAAATATTTACTGGTGCGTGAATGCACCACTGGTTTTATCTGTGAAACAAAACTTGGTTATTGCAAGTCTAGACAAGTTAGCGCATGTAGAATAAACATCTAACAATTAGCGTGTTCTTTAATATTAGTTTGTGCCTTGTGCAGTGAACGTTGCAGTTCATAAAATATGGCATTTCCGAGATATCTGACTCAAAAGGAATTAGAGGCAGCTATGGAGAAAATCGTGATGGATGAGGACAATAACAATGAAAGTCGTAAGTATTATTTGGATTTACGTATTCTTACGTATTGCAGCATTCGCAGCATTCCATTCCATATAAAATATTTACAAAACATATTCACGCGATTCACGAATTTAGATCATGTGAGGAACTAAAAAATAGGCTCCGCTTGAAATATTTTTTATGTTTTTTGATGATGAACTGATTGATTTAATTTTAAATCTTACATTGCTTTGCGACTTTTAAAAACTGATAAAACAATTACTCAAAGAAATCTTGAACATGCAATAGATGAAGTGCGCTATGATAATCAAGGTCACCTCATGATTGTTCACGCTAATATTCCATCAGTGATAGGTTCAGAATACCACATTAAATTCGGGCTTTAAAGGATAGTTTTTTCTAAGAATATCGTATTGCACTAACCGAAATCGATTTTCATAATCTTCATCTAGCATTCTCACTTGCATTTTCTTCAATTGTTTATCGTTCTAGTGCATAAAACTCCTTTTAACTCATTAGAGGATGTAGGGCAGCGAATAGTGATCTCCTCCAAAGCTGAAGAAATATTCCAGTGCCAACTTAAAGTTTGTCGTTTCCAGCAATGTTTGTAATAATTTAGTTAATATTAATAGTAAAAAATACAATAAACTATAAGTTTCTGTTAATTTATTAATCAGTCGGTACTAATCTCCATCTTCTTTTTCTTTCTATTTTCTCAAGATTGTGCTGCCCTGTATCTTAGATATTTGGAACACAGGTTGCTTTGATTCATTTAATTTTTGTGGAAAAATTAGGGCTCTCAAATCTCCATAAAAAATAATTAAAATTTTATATAGCTATCTAAATTTATGGCTAAAACAAGTAACAGTTGTCATCTTGTCTTCTGCACTTATGGCATCTCGAAAATTAATTCACCCGCTCATTTTTAAAAGCTGTATAAACTGCTCACCGTCTTTCTTAAACTACTTTATTTATTTTATAGCCAAGGCTCGTCTTCAGGTAGCAATGATAAGGGCAAGGGCGGCATTTATTTTTATGGTGCCTCGATACTTTTTCAATACCTGTAGAGCAGACTGGGGCTTAAATAAATAAGAATAAACAAAACAACAAATCCAGTCAAACATAACCTCTTTATACTATGAGTTGGTTGAACGACAGTATGTTCCTTCAAAAACTTCGTGAAGAAATTCATCAGTTGCTTAATGAATTTGTTATTTGTTTATTTGTAAAAATAGCGTTTGCGCGCGACGCTGAAGAAAAGTCGTAAATCTGGCAGCGTCGCAAAATTAAAATCCCGCTCCTGAACTTGACCTTTCGCGGCCGCCGCGATCGTCTGCGACGTCCGTGTCGTTTACGCTTTTCGCGAATTGAACTTGAAACTGAAAACGCGACCACGCGGCGAACGGGAACGTGGCTGCTTGGACGCCACGGAAATGTCCGACATTTTGACAGGATCTGAAAGTCGGTAGTAGAAACGCATCTCGCTTAATTCGAATTTGGCTTGTCGAATGGAGCAAAATGGCTGAGTTGGGGATGGTTGGACAGACTTGAACTGCTTTTAATCATGGTTTCTTCTAGACGGAATTAAGAGAAGTGTTTACTATTATTAAAACATAAGCCATAACAAACGGGGTGGACCTGCCGTGTGTGGAATGAGTATACGAGGTCAGGTAAAAACGTTATTTTTGATCCCAGCGAATTATTTTCGCAATAATTTTTATCTACTATGCTCTCTATATGCTGCAAAATGAGCTACTTTCTACTTTGGATTATAAATTTTAATAAACAAACCTCTTTGTACGAAATTTGTTGTCTTACAATATTTTGGAATTTAGTTTACTACCTTGTAATACTTTGCCTTTTATCCTAATGATTTTTTACATAAAAATGAAGTAATTGACACGTCTACACATTTTTGAAAACCCGCCATTATTCTTATCATACCCGCACCTACTAAAAAAAGTTGGATCCGATATCTTGACGGCGTATCCGCACACGTACGCAGTAATTAAATATAAAAATACAAAGATAAAATTTGAAAAATGCTCTGTATCTCACAAAACGTTAAGGAGATTACATTGGCGTCATCCTTTTTCTTTAACAACCCAGTAACTATGGGCAAGAACCGTTACTCTCGATTTTTAAAAATAAGTTGTTGAATACCCTGAACCTTGATGTTGTCTAAATTGATCTTTATGATCTTTAGTTTTCCATGGTGGTAAGAGATAAGGGGATTAGTTATATAAATTGTTACTATCCCCCTTTTCCTAATAATTATTGCTCAACTACTCAACAATCCACTTATATATCAAAACAAAGATAATATTTATTATCCAAATTTACTAAACTTCCCAGCATCAGTTCGTAAACGACATTTAGGTTGTACAAAGCTGATGTGAACCAGACATCAAACAGATGTTTTTCAATCCATTCAGTCTGCAATTCAATGATTACAATGATTACAATTAGAACACGCTACATTTATAAGATATTTTTTTAACAGGTTTGCCGTGGCCCAAACACAGTACATTCAAATATATACGTTAACGAATTAGGACAGTTTATAAGGTTATGTAGCAATTTATAAATAAAGATAACAGACACTCGCAGCTCCGTTCAAATCTATTTATATAAAATCTGTTTAAATAAGATTAATAATCTAAACTTCCCGGTGGATATCACCATCAAGCTTTGATCACTAGATATTTCGAAGAGGACCGAAATTTGATTTGGAAAATCAATAACTTTATCTGTTCGAATGAAACTCGGGATTCTACACGTCGAGGTTATAAAAAGTAAATTTGCAATGACAGGAATCATTAAACAGGGTGGACAACTTAAAAGGTACATTAAGTTTGGCGAATGAATGTAATGTGACAGCGGCTTTACCACACTTTATTAGAATAATAAAGATAAATGAGTAGTAAATCCAGTAAATCCAGATCCAGTAAATAAAAACATATATAAAAGTAAGAATAATATAAAATATAATAAACATTATCATTTAAAAAAGCGTGTCATCAGCTTCCGGCATTCTTTCTTCTATTTCTTGTACAAACAAGTTTATCCGAATTTACAATCTCTTGTAATTGTTATTTCAGCATTTCTTTCTGAAATTGCTCCTTATTTTAAGTAAGCCATTGAATGATCTCCAGTTCCGATGTTTACATAAATTCGACCTCTTAATTTTGTATTAGGCAAATTGTTTTCAATATCCACTTCGCGTAATATGATTCGTAATAAGTGTTTTTAGGTTAGGTTCTTTTTTCCAAATAAATAAGAACTAAAAGTTCAGACTTTCACGACAATTGTTTCGACAACACCGTGTCATTATCAAATGACATGTCACGTCATTTATGTATGTCATAATATCATGTCATAATATATAATTTCGTGAGAATCTGAACTTTTAGTTCTTATTTATTTTGATAAATGGATTTTCATCAAGTAAAAGCCACCTCAGTTCAGTTCTTTTTTCAATTTGTATGGAAAATAAACCTTATTATGTACTGAGGATTTAACGACATTCTGGTAGTATTTTGATGACTTGAAAGTTAAATTAGTCAGTAGTAAGTTTTTAATTTACCTAACGTTAGAGATCTCTGCACACGGTGTGTTGTACGCGGATTTAATTAACAATAACGTGTTTTTCGTCGCACTGCATGTCATTTTTTCCACACAATTCATTACAAAAACGCATTATTCTTAAAAACACTTGTGCGGAAGAGAAGTAACATACATTTCGGTAATAAGGAAACACTGTGATGGGTAGCAAAAAAAAAACAATCGACTACGTCCTGAGAATCGACAAGCAATGCAATCAAAGATTTACAAACTAGAACCAAACTGATTTACGCACCGTTGCCAAAGGAATTTTTTCCAATTAACGCTTAATTTGAAAAAAAAAAACGCCGCCATTTTGACTGCAAATAATCGGCGGAAACGCTTCCGAACGCGAATTAACATAATAAACCCGTCCGGCGTGAAGATGACGACGATTGCCGCGATTATTTTCGATATCTAAGCCGAGTTTTCGAGTAATAAATAAAACCCGACGGACGAGAAGCTCCGTCTCCACCTTAATGAAAGCGCAACACCGTGTGGTCGTCATTAACGCTGTTTTCATCTCGATTATTACTCTAAGGTCGCTGCCACTTGCTTTTTAATGATTTTAAAACACGCTTAGGAACATAACGATTTGGTGCGCGTCCCTTGACCACCATTTTTATTCCCTCCGCCACTTGGCTGTGACATCTTTCATGTTGCCAATTTCTTAAGTCAAACAATTTATGAAAGGGGCATATGTTAGCATCACCAGTCAACACTCGCCCTCCTCGCTGTTCGGCAACGATTCGTAAGAGGGTGCCACCGTCCGCGAACAACAACAACGATCCGTGAGAGGACGCCACCGTCTACGCACAACGTTCGCTGAAGCCTGTCAGCCGCCGGGCATTCACTTGCTCCGCGTGTGCCTGGCATAAGCAGTTGTTTACGTCAAATAAACCCCTTTTTACAGTTAAGTTTTGTGCAATTATTAAGTTAAACGCCCTAAAGACATATTTTCTATCAGCATACACGCGTCCCAAATCGGCGTTAATCGTATTTTTATATATTTTCGATTATTCGTAGATGACATATCAGATGAATGTGATAAATACAGTGAAAACTCTCTATAGTGTAACGTAAGTCTTATTCCGAACAAAATTAGGTCTCCATACAAAGCTATGCATTAATCCACTCTGTATAACGATTTTCTCACTGTCTACACCGAAAGAAAAAATTTGAAGATTTGGATCGGGCAATGTTGCAGTGGTTCCAACAGCAATCTCTTGAAACAGCTTGGCATTATCCATTTCATGGCTTCGGAAGGATGGTTGGGGAAGTTCAAACAGAGACATGGTATAAATTATGGACAGATCAGCTGCGAAGCCCGTGATGTCGACAAAAACGTCACTAACGATTGGTTGGAGAAGACGTGGCCAAAACTAGCAGAAAAGTACAACAGTTATTTTTTACAAAAGCGATAAGTGTGGTGTGGACATCGCAAATTTTTGAAGAGGAGATACTTAAATGGGACGCAAAATTAAAGGGGACGAAAATAAAACGTCTCTTAGATAACTGCCCTGCACATCCCCATATTCCAAATCTGCGGAATATTGAATTGGTATTTCTTCCAACCAAAACAAACGAGTGTATTACCGCCGATGGACCAGAGCGTAATAAAAAGTCTTAAGAGTCGATACAGGAAAAACATTTTAATGATCGAGTCCGAAGACAAATTTTCCATTAATATGTTAGATGCCGTCAACTTTATTAGTAAAGCTTGGACTTGTTACCGAGACAGAATGCGAACAGGACTTGGAAGATGATCAGCCACTAAGCGAGTTTCAAACAACAATTACGTTTACAAGTGAGGAGTTGCAAGATTTTAAGGTGATAGATCAGGATTTGCCTACAACAGCAGACTTGGCAGAGGAAGTCAACAACAACAAGCAAGAACGGGTGAGGAAGAGCACCAAGAGGAAGATGGGAGATGGGCCACTCTCGAATAAATTGTGAATATACAAGCCAAAGTAAAAAAAAGACCGATTATTTGAATGTAGTTCTTAAATAAAATAATTAGATATTACAGAACACATATGAGTATTGTTATTTTTCAAAAAAAAAGCAGTCCCTTCAATTTAGGTATATAGAGTTTCGACTGCATTTTATTTTTATTTTATATTTGCTCAGATTAGAAATTAACCGCCAGACAGTTCGCAAATTCTGAAAGGAAAACCATACAGATCCGGCTCTGATTTTTTATTTAAATTTTACCTAATTCATCAAATATCCCCAATATTATTACTTCGCTGGTTTTGTTTTGAGAATTTCATTTTAATACGAAGCAAATTTTTATTTATCTGTATATCAAAACATTTTTGGAATCTCTTTTGCTTCTTCTTGTTAATAATTCAAAAGTAAGCGAAGCTTACGATAGCGAGTAGCACATTATGCGTATATACCATCTTATACAGTGTGTCCAAAGCTTTATTCCAATCTTGTAAGAAATTGAAATAGCTCCAACTGAATTAATTTAAATGGATATCTTATTTTTAACCTCCCAAGTAATTACTCATCGAATTTGGTGTTTCCGAAGGCATTTTCTAAGGTTTATTGGATATAGAAAAGCGGCATTATTTTTTGTCACTGATATGATTTTTATCATTGCAGAATTTCATCTAAAAACTACACGCTTTTCTCCAGTTTTATGTTATCTTCAGTTAATTGTTTTAGCCTAGAAAACAAATTAAGTTAAAATTTTCTAAAAGTTGGTAAAAATCTAATTTGTTGTTTTTGTTATTATTCGTGTTATTCTTTTAAACCCGTCGGTTAGTTTTAAAGTTTAAACTTTGACTCAATGTGAAAAAGATGAGACGAAGTTATACATAGAATGCCTAAGTACACTTTTAGACACCCTCTAAAAAATGATTATATGTTACACCTCTTCTATGAAATCAATATACGTAGTCCCCCTTCTAGTCGCTAGGTGGCACCACAGCTTTAAAGCAGAGCCAAAAAACTGTGGAATAACTTACCATGGACGGTATATTCGCTATCTATGGTCTTAACCTCATTCCTCTTTTTGTGCTTTGGTGGCACATGTTCATTTTTATTCGGCGTCGGTGTTTTCAGCTTTTTTCAGCGTTTTTGGAAGTTAAATGGAGAAGTACAAGTGAGATTTACGTTATTCCTTATCGGATGAATAAAGATAACTTTAGAAGATAGTGGTGTCTACACTTCTATTTTTACTGCTCACAGAACTCGACATGCCTCGACATCGTCTGCGTTTTGTAAAGGTGTTTCAATTGATATGATTGGAAAAACGGCAGATTGCAGGTGCAGGCTTTTTTGTTAATGCCACATTTGGGACATAGAATTTTTCAGAAGGTTTGTTTTCTCGGACAGCCATTTATTTGGTATTTGTACTCGAGGCTTTCATAAACTTCATAAGGTTTGGATTTCCTTATATAGCCGAATAAAATCGTTTTATAACAAATTTGCTGAGTTGCCTTTGAAATTCTACGTATATTGATTTCATAGAAGAGGTGTAACATATAATTCGATGATCAAACGAACTTACCTGGTAAGTGAAGTTCGATCGTAATTATATGTTACACCTCTTCGTAGAAATCACCCATTCCCGCCCAATTTACTGTTCTGAACAGTACTAAAATGCCCTTTGGCAAATTTATTATAAACCGGCTTTAAAATAGAATGAGGTTAAGACCATAGATGGCGAATATACCGTCCATGGTAAGTTATTCCACAGTTTTTTGGCTCTGCTTTAAAGCTGTGGTGCCACCTAGCGACTAGAAGGGGGACTACGTATATTGATTTCTACGAAGAGGTGTAACATATAATTACGATCGAACTTCACTTACCAGGTAAGTTCGTTTGATCATCGAAAAAGTTTTTATAATTGCGATATGAAACTCACAGTAGAAATTTCACGAGGAATGTTTTTATGATAACCTGCATATTAGGAAAGTAATTTATTAGATATATAATCACACAAGTAAAACTCGCATCGCTACAATATTCCGGATTTTTGTCAGATAGAAGCCGCGCTAGGGACATTTCGATTTCTGAACCTGCGCCTGCAGAATGACATTTGAAGTACGAATTGTTCTACTTTTCTCCGTGTTCAATGGAAATAAGTCGGAGCACGGGAGAAAGCGTGACGTCACGCTCAAATTTAGTGGTCCATTGTTGCCAATAGACAATCGTGGAATGAAGCATATAAGTAAAATATATACGCAAGGCTCACTTTCTCCTATTCGGAACGTGTAATGGCAGCGCGTGCAATTACATCCTTTTTTTACATCGACGAATAGTGGTTATATATAAGTAAAATCAACTAAACGGCTATCCACTTCAGTTCAGTTATAAATTTTATTATAATGTAATATTATATGTTGTAGTTTTTTGAACAATTGCAAGCTTTCCGTATTACAGGGCTCTTGTTCTGATATTCTTTGCCAAAATCAATTTGATGTCACAATAAATGTAAACTTGGTCTAATTTTTTTTGACAATCACGATTTTTGAGGTTATGCAACTTGGAGCACAGTAGTTTATGTAACAAATACCACTTTCCTGGACGAGTAGAAAGCCGGACTCTAAAGTTATTTTCATATGAACAGTAAGTTTTGGATCCATTTTCGAAGCATCCGAAAA